GCTGGCGCTGGACAGAATGGCTGTTTCACCTGGCTTTTGTCCGCGTGTGCAGACGCGCGGCCGTAGCCCCAGGATTGGGAGATAAACTCGGTGGCGAAGGCGGTCGTGTCTGGCAGCAGCATGCCCTCGATGATGGACCGCGCGGCCGGCGCCGGCTCCGCGGCCTCCGCCGCAGCAGCCGGCGACTCCCGAGCGGCAGCCGCCGACGCGGCCGCCGATGCTGCAGCCGCTGCGCCGAGGCAGCTGGTCAGGTGCACGAGCAGCGGTAGGTGGTGCGGGTGCAGCTGGACCTGCAGATTTTTTTTTTGAATTTCTGAATTATTTGAGGCGTGCCTCTAGACAATCTACTATTTATTGCATCCGTTAATTTTCAAGCGTGTTTGCCGTGCGCCTGGTCCAACAGAGAGAAGGCCATGTCAGGCATGTATCCTGCCTGCACAGGCCAGGAAGGTCAGCCAAGCGATCCTTGACAATGACATCATGGTCGAGCATCGTGGACCAAGCCTTTCTTGATGGCGCCAGCAGGTCGTCTTACATGCTGTATGAGCCTGCCATCCTCTTCCTAAGAAGATCAATAAGCCCGCCAGTTCGGTTTGCGACTTAATCAAACCAAAGAAAAGTGCTCAGACGGGGATAGGAATACGCCGTGCCTGAAGAGGGTCCAGGGTGAAATCAGCGTCGATGTCGGGGTGCAGCTGCGACTGTGCGCGCCACGTCAGCAGCAGCCGCAGCCGCCCCGAGCAGCCGACGCCCGCCGCGCTGCATATGATCACGTGGCTGCTGTCACCCGCCTCGTCCGATTCTCCTTCTGCGCTCCCCTCTGCGCATTTCACAATACATCCTTCACCAACACATGCAGTGGCAACACTGCAAGGACTCATCAGCACCGCAGACAAATACACACATCACACAATCCCATGGATTGTTGCGCATGCACGATGTCGCTACCTTTGGTGATGAGATCTGGTACTGACATGTTGGGGATCGGCCCAAAAAATCCGTCTAACTGTGGGCGGGGCATTTGGGCCAAGCTCCAAATTGCATGCACCGATACAGTCTCAAGGGAGGCACACCTTGCACAAGCATTGCATGACAGCATGAGGGGTGCAAACCTGACAGCCCAAACTTGGTCCCAAGAAGCAGTTAAATTATCATAAGTTGCTCACCGGATAGTGCGTCGTCATCGGCAGAGGTGAAGGAGCACTGGGCCTGCCGCGCAAAAGGCGACGCTACAAACGGCGAAAACATTGGCGAAGAAGCAGATGGCAAAGTGAAAGCCTCTGTGGGCGGCCGCTGCCCTATTGGGGTCGACGGCTCATCGCTCCCCAGATCCGTCCAGCTCCTGAGTTGGCAATGGGGGGTAAGTATCCAACAGATGAAAATCGCCTCTTGACAGATCTTGCCAAATGGGACATCTCCTCCACAAGATTTCCCGATGCCTGTCAAAAAAGAAGCTGCTGCCTACGGTGCTGCGGAAAGCTTTACTATGGAAATTCTGGCAAGGGCGCGGTGGGTCTTACGCGCTAGAAGGAAAAAGGGTGACAGCAATTTCATGTGAAGCAAGCCCTATGCGCTCACGCAGAGCAGAACATAACATGCTGTCCATGTGTGCATGCACTTTTGCAAGGCGTTTCACTCACCCTCTCAGCGGTTCCCTGTAGTCCAGAATGTCTCCGGTGCTGCTGTGGTGCGCGCGCTCGCTCTCTGGGGTTTCCTGTGATGCCATGGCCGCAGTAGCGCCCTTATGTTGTGTCAGGCCAGGCTCGGGCGCAGATATATCCTCCTGCTCTGGGTCAACTGCCGGGGTGAGCATCTGGCTGAAGGCTGCGGCGTCGGGCTCCTTGGTTGCAGGCGCCTGAGCAGGTGCAGATTCCATTATGTGATGAAGACCACATTTTGGATGGTAGGAACTTTGAGAAAAGCAATATGTAATGAATAGGCGTGGCATGCACCACATCTCTTATGATAAAAAAAAGGACGACACCAGCGAGAGCTGATGGTGCAGCCATCCACTTCCTCACATCAAGAAGAGTCATGCCTTTGCACAAATGCACAGGATTATGGAAGCATGCTCACAAGCAAGCTCAAGATTCAAGCATCATAATTACATTGCAAGCAGTTTCGTGGGTAGGGCAGGAGATTGAATTCACCTCCTGCACGTCCTCGAAGAGCTCCACGGTGAGCCCGGCGAAGGTGACCAGCTTCTGCAGCCTCATCGCCGCCGGCATGGGCGCCGTCATTTCTGGCGTCGCCTCCCCTGCATGGTTAGTAACCCTTGTCAAACATTACTCATGCTGCCAGCAAGCCAAACCAATTCACGTGAATCAAACAATCTTTTTGTGTTATTTACTTTATTCCTCCTCCTGTAAGGCCCGTGCAGATCAAATGCAAGAATGGGGCAGAGGGAGGGACTCTCTAAGAGCCATGCAAGTATTGCGGCAGCAGGTGGCAAAGGAGCCTCACCTGCATAGGTGAGGTCATCCAAACGGACAACCACCAGTGAAGCTGGGCCATCCTCTCCATCGAGCGGTGGCAACTCTATCCTCAGCGTTATGTTGCGCGCCTGTACAATGCAGAAACAATTGTTTCAGAGCCTTCACGATATCACGCTCAAGACCAAATTGACACACCATGAGCTTGCACAATGTGGCCCTGTCAGTATGTATTGTCTCATGGTGGGTTCAGACGCTGCAGATGAACAACAAGAGCCCTGGCAGGAGCGACTACCCTTTTACAGCGTCAAATACCGACATGGGACCGTGCATACAGAAAGTCATACCACCGCTCCTCTTTGGACCAGCCAGCATAAACGTCAGGGTGTCATGCCAACAATTGGTGTCATCCGGCAAGAGCGCCACACTGCCTTTGCTGATCACGCAAGGACAATACGTTCCAGGCAGCGCTGAGCGCATGCATGCACACCTGCAGACGAAAGCGCTGCAGCACGTTCTCAATGCCGCCCGCTATGAGGTTGACGCCGTCGGCTACCGTGGCCTGCCCAAAGCCGTAGTCATCCCAGCCCGCCGGCCCCTCCTCGCCAAACGAGTCCTCGCCCCCCGGCTCCATGCCTGCGCCTGTGCCATATACAGGTCGGTGCTCTTTCCTCCCATCTACGCACACAACATGTCATGGATGCCACCCCTACAGCCCACTGGAGTAGTAACAGCAAGCGGAACCTCACTCCTTCTCTATAACCTATACCTATATGCATATACTCCAAATCATAAACTCCACATCGACCTGCACATCATATTTGCCAAGTGGAGCGAAACGCCATGCTCTGATGCGCTGCATTCATGCACCCTACTGACTCTGTCATGTGGAATGGGTGATGCAAGCACTGCAGCTCAATTTCCAGTGGGTTGTCGAGCAGAACATAACAATTACAAGGGCACACCTGGAGAGCCGGATGAGGCTTCACCGGGGTGACCGGCAGCCCCCGCAGGGGGACGAGCCTTGGACCGGGGGCGCAGCGTCAGCAGTGCCTCGTCCAGTGTCAGGCTGACTGCCTGGCTGTACAGGTTTGTGAAGGGAATCTCCGCCTTGAGAGCCCCCACGTAGCCGGCCGCAATCTCCCAGTATGGCGACCCCTGCAGAGTGCAGCACGCCTCAATCCCATGTTAATTTGCAACACCAAGGATCACAAGCAGCATGCATAAAAACTCCCCGATTGTTTCAGTGCCATTGAGGCCTTCGAGTGCTTGCCAGGAAGCAGGATCTGCAGCAGCGCAGCATGAAAGAAGCAGGGCAGAAGTATGCGAGCTGCAGCAGAGGTGTGGAAACAGATGTCTACTGGGAAGCAGGCAGGAGGTACAGCAGTACAAGACCCACCAATTGAGCATCCAAGTACTCTGTATTCAAGAGCGCAGAGCGAATCTCAAGAGTGCCGGTGCCCAGAGACACATTGAGCATGTCCAGGTCCACCTGCAAGCAAAACGTCTCTGTTTGTTCCTGCCATGCTTTACTCAAGTACAGGGCTTCCTATGATCTCAATCACTCCACCTACCTGTCGAAAAGCAGGCCCAGAACAATTGGTGCCGCTTTACCACAGGTGGCAGAGTGCAAGCACAAGAGCAAAGTTCGTACAGAGCCAAGAATAAATGAAAGTACCTCATTCCGTAGCAGGCACCCAAGATTGCGCTTCAGCATGAATTTGAAGGCCCTCTTTAGCAGCCAGTCTGTGCCCATGCTGCCTAAGAATGCCGCCATAGTGCAAGGTTCAGAAGCCTCCAATACGCTCCGGTATCGTGGCTCTTTACCTGTGATTTACATGTTATATTTAAGCAGCTCGCGATGCCTGCCAGGCGCTGAGGATGTGCGCTTCCAATTTCTCAACACTGGATTGTGCAGAGCAGAGGTGCTCGAGGCTTCAGAACGTTAAGCAAACAACTCGACTATGTTTCAGAGTCATAGAATACATTGACAATATCACATGCGTCTGCTGTTCAAACAGTGCACAGCTGCACAAGCATTCTAGGTACTTGCGCTTTTTCTTGTAAGGTGAGAGGTCGGCAAATGGTATGCATTTGAAGACTCTTACCGATCTGCCAGATACTTTTGGATAAAACTACGTAGTACTGTCGACCTCAACCATGCTCAGAGGTCCCGGGTGCAATGCCTGTGAGGATGTCGAACTTGGCGAGTATCCCACTGCAGAACACATGTCATCGACGTCTGTCCCTTTAAGCAATTCAATCTGAGCAGAGAGATTCCTCGTATTCCAACATCTGGGTAGAATTTGCAGCATTGCGAGCATGATCGCAGATTGCCCTTGTTGTGTGATTGCCATGCTGGACAATTCTTAGCTTGAAGCCCTTGACCTTCACAATTTGAAGTGACAGCCAGAATGGAAGGATTGATGTTTTAGAAGAACTCGATTTTGAGTGATGCTTAAACGCTGCATGAAGGACAGCCTGCATGTTGCGCATTTGCAGGATATTCTAGGGAGCGGGGTTGGTCGACCAACCCCAGGCCCGCCCTGACGTCACCGTAGTAAGGATGATGGTAAACAGCGGTTACTCCGGAATCTGCCTTACAATAGCATGGCAATAATCAGTTCTGGTTATTCCCACAACGGCCTGGTGACCCGCCAGTCTTAAGCAAGTCCCACAGTACTAATGATATGAGCAGCTTGTAGCTAGCGCTGCGCATCGCCACAAGGAAATTGGGCGCCTCACATTCCCCACGTGTTAACTACCTTCTCACCCTTGCTTGGAAGCCCATAGCCTGCGCAGACAAGGAAGGCCATCAGCATGGGCTCCGGTATAAATCCCTCACCTCCCTGCCTGACATGACCTCCTTTGCACCTTGCATTCTATTATCCAGGAGACTCAGTGTCAGCCTCTTCCCGCCAAGGGAATGCAAAATAGAACTATAGACAGGTCAGGGAGAGTACAAGGTAAGGATACAAGGCATCTACCAGACCATGAGCGTACCTGTCGGACATTGTTCAGTGTCCGGTTTGCAGCTTCTTCCGCTTTGTCTGCACATCACAAAAAGACTAGGATTTCAAAGGTTGTCCAAAGCAAGTGAACCCCGCCCTTTTTTTTGCTGATGCACCAGAAACAAGCAAGTTGTAGAGCACTGTGGCTTGAACCATACAGAAAAGGCAAACATGCCATGAAGTGCATGGCAAGCGTGACAGCATACCGGCGCCCTGAGCAAGGACCTCATCCAGGTAGTGCTCATCATCCATGATAAGCTTGTAGCGCTGCTGCAGTGGCTCCAAATGCGAAACAACCTGCCAGCACCAAATCTGATGTGAGCACTGCTCTGCATGCATCAACAACCCTTGGCCATCAATTTTAAACTTAAGGCCGGCAACAAAAATGTGCCAAAACGGAAGTCCTGAAGCAGCGGTGCACACCAGAGATTTGTGAAGGTTGGGTGCGAAATTTTCTTGACAGCATATGTTCAGTGTTGAAAGAGGGATTGCACACCGCATCTGCCAGGCGAGGCTTGAACTCTCCCCAGGACAAATCACACACCTCCTCCACCGCAGCCCCCTGCACAGGCACCCAACAGAGAACATTTCATGCATCGCATACTGTGCAGTCCCAGCTGCTGCTTCCTGCAGGTCTGTGTCACCATGCAACACAATTCTGTAGCTGAGCTTTTGTCTGTAAGTGTAGCCGCGTTGTACTATTCTTCCATTACGGGCAGACCTCTGCAGCCAGAAGCCAAATGCCGAAGCCAGATGCTTGCGCACAGACAGTTGCCAGCTAGCAAGGCAATCATGTGCAGAATTGATTCTTGCGGTTCTCACTTCACGCCCATGCAAACATGCAATTTCATCCAAGCCAGGGTAGCATTAGAAAGTGATCAGGGTTTATGGGAAAAAGCTGCTTACTGTGCTCATGCCAGTGACGAGTGAGTAGATGGTGATCAGATTGGTGGCCTCTGGCCGGTCAGGGTTGTCCCACTCCAATCCCTTGAACACTGCACACCAGAAAACACAACACTTCCAGAACAACACTCCTGAAGACATTAGATGCCACTTTGGACCCTTCTGTTCTTCATGCAAAGGGCTGCAGGTTCCATATATTAGGGCTACAGGTTCCTCATTTGAAGGCAGTAATTCATAGTGAGGCAAGATGTTCGGGGCCTTTGGGCAATTCCGAAGCAGCGCTTACCATCTGTCTTTGCGCGTTTGATTTTGTTGGCGAGCACGTCTGGCGGATCAAGCAAGTTTATGCGGGACCCGTCCGACTCTGCAGACTTGCTCATTTTGCTCGTGCCATCCTGCATTCCATGCATCTGTTGTTACACATCCCATGATGCCTTAACTTAAATGTGATGCACCTTCCACAAGAGTCTGATATATGACCTCAAATACAGAATTCACAATTGAGTATGCTCGACATGAGCAAGGCAAGGCAGAAAATGCTCAGATCCGCACAAGCTTTCCATCCCCTTGAATGTCAGTTGCCAAAGGGGTGGCCAGAACAATGTGAGATTGACAACATCTGGCCACACATCGCGTGTGGATTAAGTCCCCTCCAGTCAGGTGGCATGACAGCTCAGGCGCACCGAAAGAGACATGACACGCGCGCCGGCCGGGGGCATGAAAGCCTCGGGGATTTTGAATATCTTCCCGCCGCGGCCGCCCAGCTTCTTCCACTTTGACCCCCCGAACTTGTAGTTGAATCGCTCTGCTATGTCCCTCGCCAGCTCTATGTGCTGCCTTTGGTCCTCCCCTGTTCAAATCACACAATTTTAGGTTTGGATTCAGCTGCGACTCTCTGGTAAGCCCAGTAGATGGGTCAGTTGTGGCCTCACCATTTGAGGTATAAAATAATCACAAAATGGGTTCTGCTTGAATTTGTACAAAATGGGGGTGCTCAGGTAGGAAGTAGAGACTGGGTCTTACCCACGGGGACAAGATCTGTGCCGTACAGAAGAATGTCAGCAGCCATGAGCACAGGATATGTCAAGAGCCCAGCCCCAACCTCCTCAGCATTCTGTGAGCACACACCATGTTTCAAAGCCCCATTCTTTTGTCATGTCATGCAGTGAAAAGAGCCAGTATGCTTTGCAGCAAGCAGGACATTGCATGGCATGTGGAGGAACGAGCAGGTAAGAAGTTGCTGGCCGCAGATCAGACCTGCTTCTGCGACTTCTCCTTGAACTGGATCATGCGCCTGAGCCACCTGTAGTCGTGCACCATGGGCTTTCTCACGCCCTTCAAAATCATCCTAGCTCCACACATGACTGGTGCCTAAGCTGGACACACAATGCAAACAAAGATCCTAGTTGCACAAGGCGAATCAACTTTCCAACTGCATTGTGTCCACCTGACCCCTGTTGTTTGCATAGTGAGCCTATAGAACTCACCCGATGGGCGTGTAGCACTGCAGCAGCCAGGCCAGCTCAGCATGGGCGCTGACGTGGGACTGCACGAAGATGGCGGCCTTGTCAGGATTGATGCCGGATGCTAGGTACAGCGCTGCGGATTTCCTGGTCGCCTCTACAAGGTCTCGGGGCTCGTGTGGCATTGTGATCGCATGCATGTCCACCACACAGAAGAAGGTGTCTGCGTGCACATGCACCCCCATGCAGTCAGCAACTGCTTCAGGTAGACCATGATAAGACAAGGGTCAATTGAAATTGCGAATCATCAGATTTAAGGGAGCTTTCAGCATTGGGGCTCACCATACAGGTCCTGCATCTTCACCCAATTACGGATGGCTCCCAAATAGTTGCCTAAGTGGAGCGTCCCAGTGGGCTGGACCCCTGAGAAGACTCTCTGCCTGTGTGAGGACCACCAGCCAATTGAGCGCCGTCCTTGGCAACCCCTGCCACTTTGCTGCACCAAGAGAAATGCACCCTTGTAGCTACATAGATATTGCAACGGAGTCGCAATGCATACCTCCGAGGTGCAGCAGGTTCCTGAGGCAGCCTTGACTTGGACTCCTGAGTCACTGTCTCTGAAGTGCTTGTTGCTGCAGTGCATACCAATCGCCCCCTGCAAGAGTTCACGGTCCCCTCCATCCTTCTATTTGAATGTCCAGAGGGCTGGTCTAAGATGCGTCTGCAGCCCAGTATCCGTGCAACAAAAGCTGGACGCATGCCTCCAGGAGCAAGTCTTTGCTGTTTCGACAGGAGACCGCAAGATCGCTGTGCTGCCTTCGCAGTCGTCATTTTTGGTGTAAAAATTTAAGACCGTGCCTTTTGAGCACTCATTCACATTGTAACGACCGAGTCAATTCTTCAGATCACTAGACTTCAGATCTCTTCCTATGTACCTATGAAACGCTTTCAGCAGAGTCTTTGACTCTCGTACATTCAATGGAATGAAGCTGAATTTTGGACTGGGAGATCAACTGTCAAGAATAAGGAAGAGACTGTGGGAGGATTGGAGGCACATGAAGGGCCACACCCGATCATGATGAGTTCACCCTGCCGTCAGCAAAATGCCCAAATCATTGCTCTGCTTGCACAATCCCATTCCGTATTCATTCTTGTAGTAATCTTGAGAAATATACCTGTCTATATATTAAAGCTATATATGTACCTTGCTCATTTATTTTAGTAACTCTTCAGCGCTTTTCAAAATCCAGATCGCCTTTCAACCCTGCCTCCTGCACGACACAATCAAGAATCACCAATAAAAATAATTGACGTTATTTATTGGATGAATGCGATATGTGTGCTACCGGTCGCTTTATAGTAGGACTAAGTGCAACCTTATGGGAAAGAAGAAGAGGATAGAGGAGAGTGCAGTCGATATAAGGGGCAACAGAAATGCCAAGGTGACGCGCAGAACAGAAGGATCACGCAAAATGTGGCTACCCCTCTGTTTGTTAGATTGTAAACGGGGTGATCCAGGTCTACTCACTGCTCCGTTTGTTCATGCAGTCAGATGCAGATGCAGGAGTACAAGCGAAGAAGAAGATCCTTAAGCTCACAAAGAAGCTGCAGCAACCTGGGGTGCCCCCAGAAAAGAAAGCTCGCCTGCTGAATAAACTTGAGGGCAGCCTCGCCAAACTTGACTCGCTGCCTGGCCTGCAGACCAATGGCCACCCAGCGGGTGAAGCGTCTGGAGTTCATCCTCTCTTACCACTGGAATGGACCAAGATTCCCCATTTATGCGTTGCCCTGCTGACACGACTCATGTGGTGCAGCTGTCAGTACATCTACATTCTCCAAGGCAGCCACTTCTCAGCACAGTTTTAAAGCAGCGGGCAAATCTGGTCTGCCAGGTAGCTGCTGATCAAAATGCACACATGCCTGCACCTTTGAATGCCCACCACGGCACCTAATGACATCCCATGCACCCTGGCATGCATGGGCATGTATGAAGGGCTGGCATGGCTGCAGGTATCCCTGGATTTGTCACAAGGACACCTGAGGAGGAGGCTAGGAGGCAGCAGCGAGCCGCCCGATTTCAGGAATGCATGAGTTCCGCTCCTCTGCAGGTGTGTGCCATGTTTACCCCCTCTGACACCAGTCGGGGCTTTCACCTGGTCCTAGACAGTACTTACCCAGACGCCTGGTGCTTCTTGGATGTGCTGCACTGTCTTTGCAGCATGGTATGGATTGTGAGCCTGGGGAGGCACGCCTTGCCAAGAAATACTGCAGGACTGGTCTTTTGCCAATCTTCGCATTGTTTCTTGTGGCTCCTCAGCATAACAATCAGCGGACGTTTTTTCCTGGGAAATGTGCGTGATCATTGCCTCCTCCTGAGGTCCTCTATTGATTTGTAAGACGCTATCATCACTCCACGGCCGGTGTTCTCTGGCGCAGTATCTGCATGCAGAGCAAGCAACATAGACCAAGCATCATTAGATCAGACCTATTAAAAAAGATACCCACTGGAGATCAGCATCAAGCGTTATGATCTGTTATGGGCACAGGAGGCTGTCACTCTGCAGGCGGCGCGATCGGAGGGGAAGCAGGCGGTGTATGGCCAGAACCAGCAGCTGGAAAAGGAGTACCTGCGGCTGACCTCAATGCCGACAATCGATGCCGTGCGGCCGCCGTCCGTCCTAAAAAAGGCTCTCAAACACGTGCAGCAGCGGTGGATGCAGGTGGAATTTACTCCCCTTTACTTGCTTGCCACCTTTACCCCTCACAAAAATGTGAGCTGTTACTTAGTGCTCCTACTTTCATCTGCTTGAAATTGGCTGTTCAGGCACACTGCACATGTGTGATTGTGCTATGCCATTGCAAGCAGCTATCAGAGGGAGGCCTTGAGTAGCCCCATCAAGCCTGTGGAAAGTAGGGGGACCTGTATCTGTGGCAGTGTATCTCTGTAGATGGCGCTTGCCTATAAAGTGCACCTATGCCTCTCTCATGGGTTTGCCATTGGTCTCCATGGGATATTAGAGTATGCAAGTTTGCATGATTATCCGTATGCGCACATCAAGGATATTTCATTAGCGGGTTGGTTTCAGCACTTAATTGTGAGGCAGCAGCATCTGTGTGTGAACTTTCAAAGGCTGTGGATATTGCATGGCACAGGATGCACACTATGAGTATGCATGCGAGCAGCTGAAGAGCATTCGGCAGGACCTGACGGTGCAGCTCATCCGCAATGAGTTCACAGTGCACGTGTACGAAACGCATGCCCGCATAGGTGATCCAAATGCTCAAAAAATCCCCAGAATTGCATCAAGGCATGTAGTGGTGCCCGGTGTTCTCAGGAAGACTGAAAATAGCGTTCTGTCGGTGCAGCGCTCGAGCAGGGAGACCTAGCAGAGTTCAACCCATGCCTGTCGTTGCTGCAGCAGCTGTATGCTGACAAGGTGCAGGCGGCTCTTCTACTGCTGAACTCGTCATTCATTGCCTTCTGATGCTGAATTTCTCTTCTCTGGGCCTCTCACTTGAGGTCATTGGGCACTTTATGACCACACTTTTGGGGCTGGGAGGAGGCTGCCGAGTGGCACTGCACATTGAAGTGGGTGATGCCTGAGACGTGACTCTACTACCAAAAATGACAGAGCAATGAATAAACTGTTCTGAGTTCCATTAAATCACTGAGATCTGATGGTGCAGATCGAGGGCAATGAGACGGAGTTCATGGCGTACGGGCTGCTGTACGCGGCTGTGACTAACCCCAAGCAGCTGGCCATGGAGTTGCGCGGCGTTCCCTGCACAGCCTGGCAGCACCCCTACATGGAGCACGCCCTCAGGGTGACTTCTTCTCACCTCTCCAATGTCACATGCATGTCACAACCAAAGTGACCAAGGTATCAGCATTGTGTGCAAAAATCCCATCTACAGGGCTGCAAAGAAAGACGGGCGTTCCATTTGGTGCCCTTTTGGCCACACCTGCAAGCTGAGTCTGAACTGCCACAAGACATAGCTTTTAGATTTGACTTAATCGCAAGTTGTCGGCACCCAGTGTGCCCAACTGCGCAGCGAGTAAATGTGAAAAAACGCCCGCAATCCGAGCAGCAATACAGGCAGCCTTTTCTTCTCACTCTGGCGGGCGCATGCAGTGTCCGTATTGTATGCACTGTCTTTTGATTGCAATCAATTTGTGCAGGTGTGCCTGGCCTGCGCGCGCAGCGATGCATGCGAGCTGTTAGACCTGTACGCATCAGCTCCGCGCATGACTCCATACCTGATGGATGGCTTGCTAGAGCGGCTGCGCGTGCGGCTGGCGGCCGCGCTATCGGCGTATTCCCCCTCCGTGCCCCTCGCATCCGTCGCGGGAACCCTAGGGTTCGACACCCTCCGGCAGGTGACGGCACCCGGTTGCTGTACTATCGCCATCCCTCAAAAGAAACGAACTTGGTCTTTGTTTGTCACAGGATCTTGCAAGATGGCTTCAGATGCAGTTCTATGCCGTACTCACAGGATCGGGTGATTGTTCAACTGTCTGCAGCACTCTTCATGTAAGGATGCATTACTCTTGTGTGAGGATTGCCTGCCTGAGGTGCGCGCAGTGCAGTTGCGTCTCAGAGCGCGGGTGTTGCTGCATGCCAGCGCTAGATGTTCAAAGTGGAATTGAGCAATGGTTTTGTGGAAGCAGGTGCGATGGCCTTGAGACAGTTTCTGTGCACAGCAGGCTGGGGAATTTTTGGAAAGAAGAGGAGCTGTTGTGGACTGGAAGGCGCTTGTGGTGGTCACCAAGCAGTCAAAGGCACCCACAGTGACTCTATGAAGGCTCCAGCTGGTTGCTGCACCTGCATGTTGCCTAGAGAGTTGAGATCAACTTTCTAATTGCCTCTGGTATCCTGCCAGGAATGGATTCTGTCGCAGTGTTGAGAGCTGCACAAACGCATGCTGCTTGCAATAGATGGACGAATGAATGCCTTGCTATCGCTTGTGTGCCACAGGGCGCATGATGACCAGAATGTTGACTTGTGAAAATTTGCTGACTAGTAGTGACCGCGGGCCTGGCCCAGCTGGCCCAGCAGGCCTGTAATATTCAAGGTGGTGGCCTCAGCTTGGAGCTGGGCTGCAGCTCACTAGAATGCTGACAGTATACGAATTTACCCACAAGCCGGCCGGCCGCGGCAGCAGGTCATCTACCACCGTAAAAAGACCGGACCGCAAATACAACGGTGCACCGGGTACCCGCTTGGGTTTGCACCGTCAAAATAATCAACATAAAAGGGGGTTTGATTGAAGTGGTGTAGACAACCTTCAAGGACAATCAATCGATTTTCAAGCATGCAGTGGCGAAATTCCTGGGGGCTAGCGCCAAAAACGCGGGTGGTCTTTACCCCGGATTTGGGGCCAAATCGGGGACCAGAATAAAGCGCGTCATGGACTGCCACATCTGAGCCATGTGAGTCTCACGTTCCCTCTTTCGGAGCCCAGATTCTCCAGACGTGGAAGGGAAGCGCTGTTCGATACCACCACAGACAATCCCATATGCGCAATCCGACGACAACTATATAGCCGATTATAGTATCTGACAACATGGTGCCCGGCCTGAGTTTCATTGGGCGCCGTCTCGGGGGTGGGAGGAAAAACCGAGCAGATGCCACAGCGCAGTCAGAGCCTCCGGAGGGCGTGCTGGGAGAGCAGAAGGCTCTCAGCAAGGAACCACATGGAATTTACGACTCGGTACACAGCCTCCATACCATGGAGAGGGAAGCGCCCAGCGTCAGACCGAAGCCCTCACCCCCTCCATCGCCCACTAGCACCTTGCCAGAAGTCAACTTTCTGGACCTCAATGGCAGCGACAGCAAGTCCAGTGAGGCCTCCTTTTCTGGCCCCGACGATGAAGCAAGCTTGACAGCGGACGATGCAGAATGGCAGTGGCACGAACCAGCCTCAGAAGTAGACCCAAAAGATGCAGCGACGCCTGACAGGTTTGTCACAGAATCTGACCTTTCCGAATGCAGGGTAGCATGTTTTAGAACTTTACATGCAATGGGATGCTGAATTGTTCACCGATCCACCTGGTGCTGCCTTTGCCCTTGGCAGTAGGGCAGCAAAGTGTTCAGTCCTGTCTGCACCACTAAGAGGGCTGACCCAGCTTCCAAGCATTGGTGTTGTACCCGATTATTTTACTTTCAATTTGGTTAACATGCTGTTGCAAAATTGTTAATGATTGCTTTCTGCTGCATTCCAAAACTAACCCTGTGTGCTCAGCTGTGCCACTGCTCTAGGGGACAAGAAGTTCGCATGGCAGGTCCTTGGTTGGGGGCTCCAAATATCTAGCACCTCTGAGTCTGATGCGTCTGACAAGATGCATGGGGTGCAGGTGGGTCAAGAGGAACCGGCACTTAATCAGACTAACGGGCAGGTGAGCAGCCAGCCTTCTCTGATGCGAAAGCAACCCTGCATGCTACCGTCCTCTCTCAAACTCTCTGGCAGAGTTGGCTGCCACATTTTCCTGGAAGGCAGAGAAGAGTGGCTGATTTGGGGTTTCCTCTGGAAGCAGACTGCTCACAGATTGCACTGTGATCACCGCAATTAAAGCTTATGAAAGCATGCATAGGCAGCTTATGAAGTACTGCCTTCACCTGCAGCTTGTCTGCAAACCCCCTTGCCTCCTGGCAGGAACATTGCTTAGTAATCATAGTGAAGTGATTACTGATCTTTAGCCCTCGGGTGCGCGCAGGCATCCGCTCAACTGCGAGCCGCCGATGCCGATGCTGATGGAGAAGGGCTTCATAACTCCAGTCTCACTGCACTACGTGCGCAACCACGGGGCGGTGCCGAAGCTCGACTGGGACTCGCACCGAGTGCATGTGACTGGCATGGTCGACAACCCCATGTCATTCAGCGTCTCCGAGCTCATCTCCCTGCTGCCCAGCTACACCATCCCAGTCACCCTTGTCTGCGCCGGTGAGTCATTTGGCATTATTGCCCCTTTCTTAGCGGTGTCGGAGGTTTTTTGGTCATTTTTGTGATCATTGGCCTTATCAGGTTGCTATCGACAGCATAGATTGAGATAACGTTGCAATGGTCAGATGGTCTGTCAGATGATTTCACGGCAGACTTCTTATCAGGAGTTTTATCAGCATGCCTGACCCTTGGATGCTCTTTGCATCCAGCTTTCTTGAAAGATTTTCGTGAAGGAGGAGAAAGTGGCCCAACTTTCCTCTGCAGAAGAAGGCAGACCAGCACCGCACGGACTGGCTCACAGGCCAACATATCCAGAAATCCGGCAGCTGTTACTTTTGTCCCAATCAGGCTTGTCCCAATCAGGCTTGGCACTGTTTGAACTCAAGCAACCCTGCGCGCAGGCAACCGGAGGAAGGAGCAGAACATAGTTAAGAAGAGCGTGGGCTTCAACTGGGGCCCCACAGCCGTGAGCACGACCTACTGGACGGGCGTGCGGCTGTGCGATCTGCTGAAGCACTGCGGCGCAAAGACCCCGATGGAAGGGGCGCGCTACGTGCACTTCCGGGGGGTCCAGAAGGAGCTGCCGCAGGTGGGGCGGCGTTCCTATTTGCTTCCCCAAGCACATGCACTTTAATGAGACTGTAATTGCTCAGATGCAGGGTCTGCACCAAAGCTGTAACCCTGAACGCATGTACTTTACCATTTTGCCATTGCTAAAACCACAACAGTCCTATGCTGGGAGGCGTAATCCGCAAGAATGACCAGGCTGCTAGACTTGTATGTTAAGGCAGTTCCAGCATCTGGCGCCAGCAATCCTTCGGCCCAAGGCAGGGTGCACCTATGTTGCAACCTGCCATGCGCAAGATGCTTGGCACATGCATTTGAGGACCGGCATCTGCTAACCTGTCTGCAGCGCGGCTTTGTCAGAGCACATGTGACGGCGTGCTGCGCGCATGTGCTCGCAGGGCGCGGATGGGTCATACGGCACGAGTCTGTCTTACGCGACTGCGTGCGACCCGGCGTGCGATGTGATGCTGGCATACAAGCAGAACGGGCGCACTCTGGCGCCCGACCACGGCTTCCCCATCCGCATGATCATCCCCGGCCACATTGGTGTGTTTTGGGGCTTCCTTCTTCACAACAACAGTCCTGTGCTGCTTATTATCGCGGCGTGTTCAGGAAGAGGAACTGACGCTGTCATTGCCCGTGTTTAATTTCCCCTGGGACAGAACAATAGGGGTGCCTGTCGTATCATTGAAACTCTAGCAGACTCCCAGAGGCAGGTGAGGGGTCTGTGAACAGGCACAGGGCAGCACAGAAGCACTGCAAGTCGCCACCGTGGTACATCTGCTTGGACAACCGCCATCCTGCCCTGCATCACGGATTACTAAACTGGCAGCCAGTTTGGCCCGCAGCTATGACATGACAGCCGATGTGGCAGCGGCCCGACGTGGCAGCTGACATGGCTGCAGCCAGATTTGGTGGCTGATGTGGCGCTGACATGGCTGGCTGCTGTGGCAGGCGGGCGGATGGTGAAGTGGCTGGAGGAGATCAGCGTTGCGCCGGAGGAGTCCCAAAACTTTTACCACTTCCATGATAATCGCGTGCTGCCGCCCGGCGTCGACCAGGAAAAGGCCAAGGCTGAGGGTGCGATCCTGGATCCCCTCCTCCCTTGTCTCACAAGACTCCAGTACTGCTTTACTCATTTTGTCCCCTTGGTGAGGAGGGGAACTGCAATGTGCGGTCTCTGTCACAGCCTAGTGTGGAGGGCTGGATGCACATTTGAACTTATGATCTACGGTGATCTGTCAGACACCAGTGTTGCAGCTCGTGCGTGGTGAGACTAGGCAGCAGTGCAGAATGAGCGCGCCAGTGATGCACAAGACGCCACAAACACATGCTTCTATCGGCAGTCACGCACGCTATCTCTTCACTGTCTGCTTGTGTCCCTAGCGCTAAAGCCCAGCGCAAGCCTCTGTCTGATCCCTTTACCCTCTCATTGAGTTGTTGACCCTCTGAATAACTTCTGCTGGTGGGCAGGCTGGTGGTACCGCCCGGAGTTCATCATCAACGAGCTCAACATAAACGCAGCCATCAGCTCTCCCAGTCATGATGACATCGTGCCGCTGACCATGCAGCCCTACACCGTGCGCGGCTATGCATACTCAGGTGCGTGCTCTCTCTTTGGTATTTTGCAGTATCCTTGAAAAAGTGCTTGTGCAGTGAACATGCCCCGCGGTGCCAGATTTGTGGCTCATGCACAATCCACCAAACCCGTTTTGCCTTGAGCTGCAGATGTAGCTTGCACCTTGCACTAGGAGCTACCGCTGTCTTGAAGCCGCCACCCTGCACTGTACCCCCTGCCGATACACTTCCTCGTTACTTCTGCATTTACTGCAAACCACCAGATGCAACATGCGACGCTCAGGCAGCGGCAGAATAATCCCATGCTCCCATGTCCATCCACCAAGCCTCCGTCTCTCCAGCGCCACTCTCCCGCTGCATTATAACCCACAGGAAGAACCAGTCCCTCCTTTGGCAGTCCTGTCATCGCAGCTGTTGACACAACAATCATGCGCTACGCAGGCGGCGGCAGGAAGGTGATCCGGTGCGAGCTGTCACTTGACGGCGGCGAGACGTGGCGCCTTGCGGATATACAGCGGCACGAGAAGGCCACACCGTACAACAAGTACTGGTGCTGGGTCTTCTGGAGCGTGGAAGTGCCAGCGGTGGACCTGCTTCGATCCACAGAGATCCGCGTCCGCGCCGTCGACTCTTCCAACAACCTCATGCCCGAAAAGTGCGCTCCGTGGCTCTGCATGGTTCCATTCTAAATTCTGAATCACAAGTATGGGGTTCTTCTGCTTGCCCAGTCCAATTATCTGGCCCAGCCTGAATGACCCACCAGGCAACTGCCATGCTCAGCGTATTGATTGCAAGAAGGTCTTGGTTCCTTGCGGCTTGTGGACAGCCAGTGTGGGGCCAAGGTGGTGACTTGTTCAGTGAAAGGTGCACTTGAGACTCTGCTGCATGCAAGGAGAGGAAAGGCAATCAAAGGGCATGGAAGCAGGATATGGCTTCCTGCGTTGTGCATGCTGGCGCAAGCCAAAGGGACAGCCTGAGACTGCAATTACTCTCGCACTGTCCCTGACAATTTCCTAAGAGATTGGGGTACAATTGTGCGCAGGCTAACCTGGAACCTGATGGGCATGATGAACAATCCGCACTACCGCGTGAAAGTGCACGTCGACACAACCAGCAGCGGACAGATGGCCATGCGCTTCGAGCACCCCACCAAATCCGGCAGCGAGGCCGGCGGGTGAGTCATCCTCTTCTCCATGCTGACTGCGATATGATTCCATTGACGTCTGAATGCTCGTGGAGGAATGGTGGGGTCTTGTTCTTGTGGAGAAGCATCAGAAATGTGACTTGTCTTGCTCGTCAAATTGTATCGCTGGCTCGTTTCTTGAAAGCTGTGCTGGCCATGGCTCAATTGGCAACCTCTGCTCATTATATTAGGTCTGCATGCAAGAAGGCGGCTGGTCTTTTTCAGAAGTGAAGATGCAGAGGGATGTTCTGGGCTCATAAGCTTCCGTCCCAAGGAAATTGCAGGAATTAAGATTTTCAAATATGAGATTTTTTAATTTGAATTTGTGGTGTTGGATCCTGAACAGGTGGATGGAGCGGGAGATGGGGCACCACGTCGCGCAGAGCCTGCCGACCGAGTCAGACACGGGTCTTTCCGCCAAGAAGCTAATGGACGAGGGGGCGCTGCCTGCGTACACCCTCGAACAGGTCTGCCCAGGCGTTCCCTGCTGTATAGTAATGAAATGCATGTGGAGATTTGGTTTAGCTTTGTGTGGTGGAAACAGAACTGCTTCCTATGGGCTCAAAAGTTCCTGCAAATTTTATATTGATGCCCGTTTGGGGCCCAGAAAGATTGCTGCAGCTGTCAAAGCTGCATAGCTTCTGTGACGGGAAAATATGTGTTTATCTCTCTGAATATCCTATGACAGTCATTATTTCTGCACCCTGTGACCTAGATGATTGCTGCATTCTGTAACACGCAAGCCAGAAGCCTGGCTGTCAGGCACGCTGTTGAGTGAAAAGAGTGCGGATTTGAACATTTGATGTTGTAACATGCAGGTGGAGGAGCATGACACAAGGGAGAGCTCCTGGTTTGTGTACGAGGGCAAGGTGTACGACGCCACCAAATTCCTCAATGACCACCCCGGCGGCCCAGAGTCCATCCTCATCGTGGCAGGCCAGGTGAGACCTTTCCATCCCTCTGGGCTTTTCTATGACACTTGCGCACGCGTGCAGTGCTCTGCTGTGTGAATAGCTGCATGGCAGTGTCTGAGGGACGTACATAGCACTGCGTCACTGAGCATGCGAATACGATGAAGCCATAAGGCATATTAGATATTGTGCGCTGGCACGATGGGCACCCTCTGTTCAGCATGCAGCAATCCAGGAGATGTCCGCGAACATGACAAGATGGTGATTGGATGGTTGGTTTGATCGCAGGATGCGTCGGACGAGTTCAATGCGATCCATTCGCAGAAGGCCAAGAAGATGTTGGCGGACTATCTTATTGGCCGTGTCGGCGATGCACCCGCCAAGGAGGCCAAGCTGCCGCTCATCAAGGAACTCGAGGTGTGGCATCCTTGCAGTCTTGACGCCACAGCAAAAACACTGCAAAAATACTGCCACCGTGATCTGAAATGTGTTTTTTTGCTCCCTAAAAAAATGCTTTGCTTAGAAACTGAGATGGAACAAGTGATCCCTAGGTGCCATCCCATTATCTTATTTTTGTTGCTTCAGATCTGCGTAACTTAATGAGAGGTATGTATTTTGTTGTCTTTATGCAACGCCTCTTTGTTACCGCTGACGGGTATATGTGGAAGAGGACCCAGCAAGCCCTGCTCATTCAGAGGAAAATATATGTATTTGGCTTTGAAACTTAAATTTAAATTTGAATATAAATTGATTGCTTGATCTGGCGCGCAGGAGGAGAAGGCGGGCACGGCGGACCTGACGAATCTGGTGGCGCTGAACCCGAAAAAGAAGATCCCATTCGAGCTGGTGGAGAAGATCGAGCTGAGCCACAACACTCGCCTGTTCCGCTTCGCACTGCAGTCGCCGCGTCATCGCCTCGGGCTGCCCATCGGCCAGCACATGTTTTTCTACGCCAAGGTGCGCCGCAAACTGAAATTCAAAGCTTGAGGAACCAGCTCAGAAGCTGAAGAGCAGCTGACGGAGACTGGATTTGGACTGCTCTGCCCGCTGCATACCACGGAAATAGTGGAGGCCAGGAACTTTCTCCCTTTTGGCAAGCTAGGATGGGGTAATGCTGGCCAGGAAAGTGCCTCTTGCTATCGCACATTCTGCACACACGCACTTGGGTGCTTTCATGGTGAAATTGTACGATCTTTTGGCTGCTGGCTCAGCGCATGAAGGCCCCATGTACATTGCTCTGCGATTTGTGTTCACAAGTTGTGCTCTGCTTGTTTCTTGCAGGAGAAGGGCGAGCTGGTCATGCGCGCGTACACGCCAACATCCTCAGACGATGACCTGGGCCACTTTGACCTGGTGGTCAAGGTCTACTTCAGCGCCCAGCACAAGGACTTCCCAGAGGTTGGTCATCCTGCATCCTAACCTAAATTCCATTTTTGAAGAGCTTGTGAATCTGCATTCGAAGCGGTGCATGTCGGAGTACACCTGTTTGCCATGCATGCTTTTGCACAGCTGCCTGCACATGCCCAACAAGAGAGCTTGGAGTTCTGAGAGCATCCTATGGGTATATAGGCAGCCCTGTCATTGCATTGGGAGACAAGTACAACAGCTTTCAAATTGGGATGCATAAGTTGACATATCAATCATAAGCGTGCAAGAGCAGTTCACGGCTGTCTCATCGCTGGGCAATGAAGCAAATTCTCACTGGAAGCACATATAAAGAATTTGCATATCAACACAATTTGCGCCGCAGTGCATCTTCTTATTGGTGGTCTTGTTTGCAGGGCGGGCGCATGTCGCAGTATTTGGAGCGCATGAAGCTGGGGGACAGCATCGAGGTCAAGGGGCCTCTGGGGCACTTTGTGTACGAGGGAAAAGGAGGCTTTCGGAATAGCGGCAAGACTGGCAGCGTGCGCAGCATGAGCATGATCGCTGGCGGCACCGGCATCACTCCCATGTTCCAGATCATCAAGGTGTGCGTCAGCGCTGATGTGTGCAATTACTCATCCTTCTGAGTGCCTCCTCTCTGGTTTTTCTTTCTGTATTGCTAACAGGTCAGATCCTTTGGTAACTATGAGTGCTATTTGCCATGAAGAGATAATTGCTTTTAAATCCGGATGTGAATCTGCTGACATGCAAGAAGTTGTGGCTTATTTACAATCTTGCTGCCACTGATGTGAAATTCGTCCCAGTAGACTTTTCAATGACTGGGTGAATTTGTGCAGGCGATCCTGAAAGACAAGGAGGACAAGACGCGGGTGCGTCTGATCTTTGCGAATCAGTCGGAGGGCGACATTCTGCTGCGGCCCGAGCTGGACGCATTCACAAAGGACGAGCGGTTAGAGATCCACTACGTGCTGTCGCGGCCGGCCAACCCGGCTTCCTGGACATGCGGCAGCACCGGCAGGTGATTTCTTTTAACCTCTCTATAGCCCTTGCAGCTGCAATACTTCGTTGGCAAGTTTCAAGGAATCTCATGGGAGGTGTGGCAGCCAGTGTGTGGATCTGAAAGGGCAAGGCCCATGGGGGTCTTGGCGTCAGGCAGGGCTTGTGCATGCAACATTGGCTTATTCTGCAGTCCCTTACCAATAATGAGCCCGCCTTCTTGAGATTCCAAAGATAAAACAGGCCCGACCAGGGATGGGTGCCTCTTGTCAGAAAAAGGATGAAGGGAAAAGTGCTGAAGTTATTTGTGTAATTTGCAGGGTGTGCGAGGAGATGCTGCGGAGGCACCTTTTCCCTCCCGGCCCCGACAGCCTCGCGCTCATGTGCGGCCCACCCGGCATGCAGGTGACTCACCTCGCACCTCACCTCACCTCACCTCATGTCTGAGCCTGTATGTTACATGCACCGCATCGTCCTAAGAGTTTTGCCATCTCAACGGACAAGGTCCATTCTGGCACTTACAAAAAGCACAACATGTTTTTTCGCCTGCAAGGTGGTGCATGTTATGAGGCTCTGCTCATGGGGCATCTGTGCAACAGCACAGTGCTCAATGAAACAAATGCAAACAAGAAGTAGGCTTTGCGTTTATAGAGGGTGTTACTGATGAGATCTGTGGCCTCTGTGTTGCGCAGGATGCAAGCATGGTTCACTTGGAGAAGTGGGGATACACCAAGGACAATGTTGTCATCTTCTAGGAAGCACCTACTGGTCAGCACCCTCAGTCAGTCACTGAGTCAGCAAGACTGCAGATACTGCAGAAGCACGACCCGCTTGGCTGGTATTTGGCATGAGTGTGTCTGGGGCCATTTGTTGAACAGGCTATACCAGCAGCTTGTTCAAAAAGTGTGCAGCCCAGTCAAGTGGGCTGACTTCTTTGTTGCCTGTATCTGTGAATTAGGTCCATATAAAGATCTATTAGAGAGAAAAGGGCAGGTACACTCATCCTTCAGCCTCAGTATGACATGAGTCTGAAGGATATCACGTTGCTGCATCATTGAACTCAATTTGTATCTTTATGACAGAGTTGTCTCATTGTGGCATGGCCACATCACAAGGGTTGCTCTTCAAGTTCAGAGACTAGCGCGTTTTATTGGAATAGAAGTTTGTTTTGCCGAGCTTGTCTTGGGAAGGTTGCCGGGTCTTGGCAAAGTTGCCCATGTGCTTAAATGCTGGTCAGCAACTGCAGATGCATCGGTGCCAACGAGCTTCGCGCAAAGCTGAAGTTTTTGAGCTTGGGAGTGCGTTTATGTGGGTCTTTTGTCCCATGCAGAATATCCTGTTGCTGCAATAATGCATATGTGATCACACATGACAAGTTGCATGTGATAATAGGGGCTGTCAACATGTTGCTTGGTTGGTTCTCTATAGGTCTTCAGGACGCATGCGCGGGTCCGTACTTATGCATTACTTATCCTTATACTTATCCTTACCGCGTAGCTGTGAGGGAGTTGCAGAGCGGCAATAAATTTTTTACAAGAGACAAATGTAAAGTGATTCGTTATTCCTGCGAGCAGTCTTGGGCTTGCACAAACTTGACATCTTCACCGGGCTTCAGAGTGCTTAGAGCCACATCTGCAACACAGAGCTGCACAAAACGGGACGTGTATCAGCCAACAGTCCGATTTAAATTGCTAATATCGAGCATGCTGGCTCTGGAACCGAGTGATGTGCAGTTGCTGTGACACCTGCATCATTCCCCTTGCCCTTTTCACACCAATCCCACCTATGCAAAATGCAATTACTTTGTGGATTTTTCGGTTGCAATGTCTATAAACTACATACCTGGCTCATCTTGAACAGGGTGTGTACGAGCAATCTCAAGGATTGCATGTGCAGGTGTCCTGCATCAGAAATGCCAGAACAAAGAAACACAGAGCACACAGAGAATTCGACATCCCTGCAACAAAGACTTCCCCCGAGCAAATCTGAACTTTCAAGCCCTGCATCACAAAATGCCAAGTGCTCCAGCTACTGTGCCTTGCAACTTGCATCAAAAACTCTCCCAAGATTCTGTCCTGCGCGGGGAAACTCTCTGACCTGCTGCTGTGCACATAGCCGGACCTGCGACCAGTGTCCCAAAAGAACTGCATGCATCCATCACATGGAGGAAGCGAGCCTGTAGTATGTCTTCAGCCCACCCGTTGATGATCGGTGTCAATGACCCCTGCAAGCCACTGCCACGGCACAGCGCCCGGCATTGCTTCACAATGGAGACTGGGGTCACGCTGACATCAGCCGACGCCGACTTAATCGGCTTCCTGCAGTTTCACAGCGCCAGATCTGGCGCCCGGGGGCGGAGCCTATTCAGGCGCGCAGAGAGTCATCGCAGGTGTCAAATCAGTTGAGATTGCCGGCGGCGTAGTCAGCCTCCTGCACATAGCTCGCCACGACGGTGCGGCCGCCAAAGCGCCGGCCGTGCATCACGCGGAATGAGTTGACGGCCCCCTCCTTCTCGGCAAAGTTGATAAAGACCTTGCCAAGGCCGCTCGGCGGCGGCTGGCCCTCCGGCGCTGGCCGCGGGATGAGCACGTCGATCACCGTGCCAAACTGCAGCCCCCACACAACACAAGCCGTCACAAAAGAACGGAGTGTACACTTCAAGTCCTTCGGCACTCAAGTTGATGTGATTTGCACCGTTCAGATGTGAACAGGTGCCACAGTGCTCACGCAAGGCAGCAATTTCGGAACAGGCTGGAACATGGAAAGCGCGCATGGACGAGAGCCGACGCTGCAGCAAGAGCACGGCGCAAATATCGCAATCATCGCCGCTGCCCATGTGCAGCTCCCAGGATAATCGGGCTGCCAGCTTCGAAACTCATGTCACCTTCCCTCTCAGCCCAGCGCGCTCTCCCATCTAGCACTACTGATGATATTGATATCTGCGCATCCTGGCGCCTCATAGTTTGGGAATCTCAAGAGCGCACTCGTGCCCTCCAAGCCTAATCTAGAATGCCAAAATTCCGAAAGTTTGCACGGTGGTGCACCCTGCCCCTTAGCAGACCCTTGTACGGTATTTACATGACTAATGAAAAAGGTAATAGCAGCGCACCTTGGAGGCCTCGTCGCGCATGTCCTGCACGATGTCGACGTACTCCTCATCGTTGGCCAGCTCGTCCAGGGACACCGCTTCTTGCAGCGCCAAAATGCGCGTCGCCGTCGGGAACGGATCCGCCGATAGCGCCGCAGCCGTCGCAGCCCCCGCCGCGCCGCCCTGGTTCTGCGGTGGCGTTCCCATTGCACATGTGTCAATCGATGGTCGATCGAGTGCTGCAGCGCTGCTTGCCTGATGCCACTGCCGGATAATTGTGCTCTTGTGATTCCCGAGACAGCATCGTCTCAAGCTGCCACAAGCTGGCAACAACAGGGGCATAGTCGCATCATCCACCACAAATCCCAGTGATGCATGCTGTACGAGAACATAGATGGCGAACTGCCTGATGCCTTTTCCCAAACTCCTGCTGCAGGGCACCAGCAATGGAAATCGAGGTCCCAGCAGCGCGAATGCATGGCTGCTAAGTGTACACAATGCATGACCGCACTGTGGTGATCTCCTTTTCAGCTTCGTTTGTAATGTACGAAGGAAAAGAGAGGCGGCTGCACCTCGGTGGCGCGGCGGACGGTGAGGGTGCGTTCGCCCATGCGCATGCCGTTGAGGCCCGCGCACGCAATATCCGTCACATTGGGGTCCGTGTACACCACAAACCCGTACCTGCGCACAGCATTACATATAACCAGACACCCTGCATTCCGCAGTAGAAACTACTCTATATCCTCCATTGAAAAGCCACATTTTTTGTCGCAATGGGTCGCAATGGGTTCTTTGGGCTGGCCCTGAACAACACAATATACATCTCCATGAAGCAGGAAGCGTCAGTGGACAATCGTGCAAGTATAGAGCAGGCTTGTTTCCCCTATTACAACCAAACCACCCGGAAACACGTGCTCCCTCAACACCCATCTCAGCGTCCATCGGCAATTGTTGTTCCTAGCTGCAGAAAAAAATACCAGGGCACGGCAATAACAAAGGAATGCAGACAGAGAATTGCACATGCATAGAACAATTCAAAGCCAGGTGAAGCTCACCCCTTGGAGTTGCCGGTCTCGCGGTCCTTGACGAGGTCGAAGGACTTGATGCCGCCGAATGAGCCCAGCAGCTCGCGGCACTGCTCCTCGTTCAGGTAGTACGGCAGGCCCCCAACAAACACCCGCTCCGCAGCATCAATCATCGCCACCTGCGCACACATCAGTAATGCGTGACTCATTTGTCAGCATAATCATACATGTGGAGCACTGGAAGTTCACTGGCAGGCATTGCCCTGCAGTTTGTGGGCACGTTGAAGGCCGCCATCATAACATATGCGGCAGCATATCGATCTGCTGGACCAGCCAAAGTGGAGTGATGATGTATCGCCCCATGTCTCTGGCAGTGGAACGGCATCAAGTCCCACCAAAGACTGGTGCAACAATACTTGCAGCACCAGCAGCTCTCGTCTTCCCACCCAAACTGCAAAGAAAAGACAAGATACAAAAGGGTGTCTGCACGACACTCATGCTGCATTAAATCTGTTGCGCCAGCTTCATGAGACTGCAATGCCCCTCAACATGTCCTCGAGAGCAGAATTGCACTGAAATCAACAAGACTCGTGCAATCTCTCAGCTTTAGAAGCCTTTCCTTCACAACCCTCAGCTCAATTTCCAAGAGATACACGCCGGTGTCAAATTAGCAGGCAGGAACGCACGGCGTTCATGCCGCCGGCTTGCAGGCCGATTGCAGCCAGGTTGAGGTTGGGGTTGGGCACAGAGGGGCCCAGAGCAGAGGCGGCTGCCGGGTTGTAGTCATTGGGCCGGCGCACGCGCACAGACACGCCCTCAAACATGATCCCGTCCAGCGCCATCGCGTTGCTGGTCTCCTCCACTGCAGTGCCATGACAATTTCTTCACTGAAACTATACACGTTGTTCCTACCAACACGTGCAAGGTGCATCTGCCCACAAGCTGCAGGTAAAGGCTGCCCGACCTCTATCCCTTGTTGGACTTGCCAGATCCATGAAAGGTCCAAACAAGCGTGGGCACGGTGCTCAAAGCGCAAAACCCCAGCCGGGATAAATTTCTGCAGCCAAAGCCTAACTTATGATCTTGAGAAGAGGCAACCCAGCACTCTGGTAGACTGCGATGCACCATATGTATTGGTGTGGACCGCACATCCAAATTTAGCGCGCCCACTGATCCAGCCCCATTCCTGGTGGTGTGTACATCAACAGAAGCTGGGAGGCAACCGGTGGTGGGAAAGCAATGGGAAGACGCACCTGTGCGGAACTCCACAAAGGCAAACTTCTTCTCGTAGTTGATGTAGACATTCACCACGCTGGCACCTGGACACAGAAGTCAAATTACCTTCAGAATACAGTAATCGCATCCCATCCTGGGCTCTTACCATGCATCAAGACATGTGATGAGCACATAAGACAGCACAGCGGACACTTCTAGACATGGCTTGCGGCAACTCTGCAGTAATGCATGTCTGCAAAGAACCACAAGCGCACCTGGCCCAGCAGTGGTGCCCCCGATGGCAGCCAGCGCATTGGAGAAGAAAGTGGCAATGTTCTGCTCATTGCCGGTGGGCGGCAGGCCTCCCACGTACACTCTGCGCGCGTGCCGCGTCGCCTGCTGCGACGGCGGCTGCACTCCCGGCATCATCCCTGCGCAATTGGACAAATAACGCTCTTACTGCGGGCAAAGTAGCTGACTATGCCAAGGCATGCCACAGAACTCAATGCTGACTGCAGATGAAAACTATTGAGTAGATTCAAAAGAATACGCAGCTATCAATGAGTTTATGCAGCACACTCATTGGCAGATGTGCAATCATCTGAATCCGCTCAATGTCCACATAAAACAATTCTGGACAGCCGATGACAGTTGCTCAAGCTGAAATTTGCAGTGAAGAGCACATTATGCACTCCTCAAAGAGTCGTCCAGGTTACGTGGGGCCTGAATGTATGATCGAAGAAACAGCGAGATTCTGCATGTCTACGGCCAAAATTCCTGCAGATATCTGGCTGTGCTACAAGCAATCCACATAGGCCACGGTACACTCCTACCTGCCTGATGCAAATTGAACCAAATATGCTATGATCCTATGTCTTGGAGACACTGCCTCTTTCAAGCGTAAGTGCCTCCAGGATCTAAAAAAAAACAAGGAACGCACCGCCCATCTGCGTGCCGATCATGGGTGGAGCACCGCTGAAGCCGCCATTGCTGAAGCCGGTGGGCGCCGCCGCTGCAAGAGGAGCCGCCACTGCGGCGATGGCCTCAACTCCAGGCATGCCTGGGGGCAGGCCTGCAGGGAGCCCGCCAAACACTGGGGGGATGCCTCCTGGTGGTGGCTGGTCAAAGCCTGTCAAAGACCACAGCAAAGGAAATATTGATTAGATAATATGCCTTATTGCATGCCCTGTGCAGCACGGAAAGAAGATCATAAAGCCTGAATACACAAGGCAGGTGCAGCACCTGACTTCCTCTCGCGGCGCCTCCTCTCTCTGGGTGGTGAGTCTGATCTCGATCTAGACCTGTGCCGCCGTGACTTCCTGCAAAAGATGGCAAGAAAGGGGTGAGATGCAGCACCGCGAAAGAGGGTGGACAGGGCAGGATCGTGTTAAGCAAGTGTGATTTGGGTCCCTCTAATGTGTCCTAGGCACTGGTTGGAGGAGTGTCCTGCATGCTGAGGTGCAAAAACAGCAAGCGAAGAAAGACTCTCACTTTTCTTTAGAGCGAGAACGGGACCGTCTGCTGCGCTTCTCCTTCCTGTCACGTTCCCGATCTCTGTCCCTAGACTTCCTGCAAATGAGGGATCGTTGCTTAGGTCGAGAAAGTACGTAAGAGGGTTCAACGATTTATAAATAGGCATCTGCATTTCATTAGAACGCTGTGCTCGCTCACACCTGTCATGACCATCTTCACCCATGGTTGCCCCTGCTCTTGATGGACGGAAAGGCTCTCGTTATAGCTCCAGCAGCTTCTTCAAGTCTTTATCTCGCAGTTCCTCTTGCACAATGAAGCAGTAGAATGGAGATCTGTTCGGCTGCAAAGTGGAGACCAATCAGCCCGCGCCACCTGTGCTTAATTTGGCCCACCCAGCACGGCGCAGCATCCGAGACAAGCCCAACCCCTCGCACGGATGGCTCGGTGCTTGTCCGGTGGCCTCAACTCTCCTTAATGCATTTCGAAGATGCATTGTGCATGAGGAGGCTGTATGCCGTCAGACGATCGTGAGAAGCGGCAGAGCAAGCGGGAACGGGCCGAGCTGAAGAGGTGCACTCTGTTCGCTTATCAGGCCAGATATGACATAGATGCAACTAAAGATGCATGCAAAAAGACAAGCTCTTGTCATAACGCCGCGAGAGAGGAGGTCTGGAAGTGTCATGCTAGTGCAGATGAACCCCAATGTTGGCATACACTGTCGTAGGAGAAGTGGTGTATGCAGAATTATGCCTTCCAATAATTGACAATATTGCTTTGTACAATCCGACTGCAGGTCAAGGCGCCTCTTGTCACAGCAGGTCCACGAATACAGCAAGCAAGTGCTGTGGGCAACGGACTCTGATGAGGAAGAGAAGCCATTTAGCCCCCGAAAGCGCCAGGCAGCAAGCCAGGATGAGAGCTCGCGGCACCCTCTGCTGCCTGTGCAGTGCAGCCCAGGCGCAGAAAACGTAGCACGACATCAGAGCAGCATCCCAGAGCCCGATGCAGGCCTACAGCTGGGGGGCACATCCACAGCCTCTCTGATCTCAAATCGTCGGCAAGACCAGCATGCAGAGCAGGAGCCAACTCATGCATCAGATGAGCCCTTCACGAGGGAAGCTTCCCCAGCAAAGCACTCGCCACTGAGCAGCACAGATGTGGTGCCAGATACCCCAACCTCCAGCTGCGGCCGGCCTCCGCATCCACCAGCTGCTCAGCCTGGCACCAATCTTGTGCGCGCAGCTATGCAGAGAGCGGCCGCTCAGCCACTGGCAGCCGACACCTTGCAGGATGGCGCTGCAGAGCCAGCAGGCACATATGGCAGAGCCGTTGAACTTGCTGAGCTGCGCAGCGATGCTGGACATCCTCAACTAGCGCAGAGCAAGGCAGGCAGCTTGCCCATCTTGGCGCAGCCGTGGCAGAATGGGGTGAAATTGACAGCACCGCTGCAGGGCAGAGCTGCTTCGTCAGGGGCGGTGGGCCTCTGCAAAGCGCAAGGGGGAGATGTGAGCAAGATGTCCCCTTATGACATCAGGATGCTGGCGCACTTGAAGCGCCTTGATCAGAAGGCTGCTGCAATGAAGGTATCGGTCATTGCACATCACATTACCTGAAGTGACCAACAGGTTCCTTCGGCAGATGTAGAATGCTCCTGTCGTTCGGAGTACTACATGGAAGTGTCTATGGTGCATACTTGCAGATGGATGTGCATGTGCGGGTTCAGGCGACCCAAGACATGGCTGTCACAATGAAGGAGTGGATACCAAAGTGTTTTATTCTTTGCAGAGTCACAGCCTGGCTCTGGCTGAGGCATGCAAGGTGGCACTGGAGATCTCACCGATGCCTGTGCGCCAGATTGCCTTCCCGGCCGCAGGACTACCCACGTGGCAGCATGCACCAAGCGACTTTGCTGCTCTGGATAGTCTGCACAAGCCACCAGCAGTGACTTACCCAGTGCAACCGGGTGGTGCAAGAGCAGTGCATCCGAGTGAGACTGCAGGAAGTGAAGCAGCAGGCCAGGATCTTCATGGCGTGGAATCAGCTCACACAGGGCAGCAGGATGAACATCCAGGGTGGCAGGCGACGAATGCGGCCGCAGTGAAGGCCAGCCATGTGCAAGCACACCGCCTGGCGCCAGCTGGACATGCTGCTGTCAGTGCTCAACCGCCAGCCTGGCGCGGCAACGATGTCAGCGCTCAAGGAGAGCAGGCTGCGGCATGGCAGCAGCCGCCAGTCTTCAGAACTGAGCCGCCAGTTTCCTCAGCGGCTGCAGGATCTTTGCAGCCCATGAGCGAGCCGGCCTGTGCCATGACGCACGTGCAGCAGTCCTATCAGCCTGCGAGCATTCTGCCAGTGGCAGACGCCAGAGCAGAGCCGGAAGGTGGCCCAGCAATGCCTGAGTGCCCCGGTTCAGAGAGCTGTGGACCAACAGGAGACAGCGGATGGGTGGGCAGCCACTTGAGAGAGCTTGGGCTGGCAGGTGCTCTGAAGCCATCCGAGCAGGAAATGGAGAATGCCCGCTCATTGCCAGCTGACCGGCATGTGAGCGATGCACCTACACACAACACCTTCAGGATGCCTCCCCAGCCAGAGGAGGTCCAGGCAGTGGCCAGCATCAGTGTCACAGCAGTGAGTGCGGCAGAGCTCCTGCTGGTCAATCCAAGGGAGCAGGGTGCACACACAGGAGCAGCCTGGCAGCCTGGCGGGCAGTTAAACAGGTATGGCATGGCTGCCTCGGAGCAAAAAGCCTCAGCAGATCCATTGCTCGATCAGGGGCAACTGATCCCGGACAGGCCCGCGCCTGCCAGCATGTACCTACTGCCTGCACCCAGTGCCCCTGCTGCAGCCAGGCAGGATCAGACTGCACAGCTGGCGCAGCGAGGCCTACCGCCTCACCAGGACGGTGGCGTCAGAGCTGCAGATCAGGGCCGGCACATGGCCCAGCCAGATGAACATGCTCAGCTTGCAGCTCATGACAATGGCCAGGCGCAAGGGACAGTGCAGCAACCCACACTGCCGAAACAGACAGCTGCAGCCAGCTCATCCCTGGGAAGGGCTGGGGCTATGCAGGAGATCGCCCAGGAGCCTGCACTGGCGGGGGTGCGCTCTGCAGAAGTATTTGTATGGAATGATGGGGATAAGGGGGATATGGCGAAGGAGGAGGGTGGTGGCTCAGGGTCGGAGTCGGACTCTGACGATGAGGCGTTTCCTCTCGGCTCTGGCAGGTTGCCGCTGTCCCTCGGCGGCCGGCTTGCCGCTGCCGGCACGAGCCAGAGGTGTGCACCCCTTCCGCCTAATTCTCTTCGCCCTGCAACACTCCCCTTGCTGTCCATTGCTGGAGACCTCACAGTGTCATGATCGGTGTGTAGAATGTTAATTGCAGGCATATGCGCAGCTTGAAAAATCAAGTTTGATGGTTGTGTTGCAGGCACCGCCTAAGCGTGAGTACGCATGCCGCTGGCACGCAGCGGGGAATGCCCCTGGTCACTGCATCTGCCAGGGAAGCCAGCCGGAAGCTGGCTGACTACCTGCCGGCCAAGGTGGTTCAGGGCATGAGGGACGCCGGCTTCACCCGCGACCTCTATCCCTGGCAGGTCCGCAATCTCTTCCCTTTCTTCTCCAGTGCATGGCAGCTGCCGCCACCACATTTTGCATCATTTGTGTCTGCTCATCAAGACGCTGAGTTGTCTGAAAGGCCACATGGCAGTGGGTCTGTGGAAGCGCCTACAAATGCAAGTGTTGTGAGCCACGCCTGCCATGCTTTGCATGCTATGCAGAAAAATTATCTTGCCCGCAGCTGTTGTGCATGGTCCGGTGTCAGCTTGTGGTTGCTGTGCATCGTTTTAGCTTCATGTCCTGACCTCAAGTAGCCATGTCCTACAGCTGAGCTCTGAGAATGAGCTCCTTGAAGACAGCATTTCATGCCTGACGTCACCTGGCCATAAGCTATAGCTCAGCTTCGAAAATGCACTCTCCTGACCAAGTTTTCTGAGGATCTGCAAATCAAAATCACATTCGAATTCTCCCTGCAGGCGGAGGCGCTGAATCAGCCGGGGGTGCTGAAGGGGCGCAGCCTGGTGTTCAGCGCGCCGACGTCGGCCGGCAAGAGCGCGGTGGCAGAGGTGCTCATGCTGCGGCGACTGTGCGAGCCGCGCACGGCCGACAAGGTGGCGCTGCTCGTGCTGCCCTTCGTCAGCCTCTGCGCCGAGAAGGAGGCCCACCTCGAGCGCCTGCTCAAGCCCCTTGACAAGTGGGTTCCCTTCAGTGGCATGCAAACCTGGCGAATTAGCTGAACCCACCCTCTGCCATGTGCCGCTGCGTTCTTCTACCTGTTGTTGGGCAATGTTGCACATTGAGAGTCTTCGCCCTTCATCACATATAGCGCCCAAGTATTGAAAGGGTTCATGGTCGGTGCTACAGCGTGCCATATCATACCCTTCTGGTGGTGTAAATTACATCACCACTGGTGGCATCATGTAAGTGATGTCATGCAGTGTGGACAGAGGTTTGTTCACATGCTGCCAGGGGATGGGGAGGTGTGTGTGATAGGTTGGCACCATTATTGCGTTGGTAATTGACACGTTAGCATAATTACGTGCGCAGGGAGGTGAGGGGGATGTACTCGAACAAGAGCGGCGCGGCGGGGATAAACCCGGAGACGACGGGCGTGGTGGTGTGCACGATCGAGAAGGCCAACATCCTGGTCAACCGGCTGCTGGAGGAGGAGAAGATGGGCATCCTCTCCTGCCTCGTCATTGATGAGCTGCACATGGTGCGCTCGCAGCTGCAGGAGATACCAATAAGGACGTCAATCACCCATTGGAATCAGAGCAAGCCTGAGCAGACCAAATGGGGACTTGGGGCATGGTAGCATCAAGCAGGGAACCCCCCAGATGGTCTCACATGAGCGCATCAGCCTTGGTGCAAGTAGAAGGGAGCTGTGAAATACTCCTGTGACGTAGGGGCATGAACGCTCCCTAAAGCCGCAAAGTCTGCCGTCGTGTCATCCAACGCTGATCGTGAAACGGATGTGGCAATTGATAAGCATGACCCGAAGCCTCGCTGCTGTAGGATGACAGTCTTTCATGTTATGTCTGGCAAGGTACCTGGCACAAGCTATGGCTCGTGCCATTGTCCTTGCATGTGTAAATTCTCACAAGGTCGGTGTCACGCTTTGGTCAGGTGGGGGACGAGCAGAGGGGCTATCTGCTGGAGCTGCTGCTGACGAAGCTGCGTTACTCGACAGCTGGCGTGGACGAGGTGGCAGGAGAGGGGCTACAGATCATCGGCATGTCAGCCACCATGTCCAACGCTGCCGCCTTTGCCTCCTGGCTGGACGCCGAGCTCTATGAGACCTCATTCCGCCCCGTACCTCTGCGCAAGTTTGTCAAGGTCTGGCAGCCTCCCATCGGCACCATAATATACACTTATGTGGTCTCATACCACCGGATTGTACACGATCTAATGTCCCCTGTCAGATGGTCTTGGGCATGTTAGTGGGGCACATACGGGTTGGCAGCATGCTTGCAAGAAAATGGCAGCACCCGGAGGCATGGATATGTCGAACATGAAGGGCCCTTGGTTGGGGACATGCGGCACATGCGTTCTTGCATCCTCATTGTGAGGTAATTTGACCGAGGCAAAACCTCAAGTAAAGCTCACAAGGATTTGTGCCCGTGCTATGTCACATGTGGTGAGAGCAGGGGTGCATGCATGCTCCTGCAGGTGGGGTGCCAGATTAGGGATGAGCGGGGGGACCCGGTGCGCAAGCTGGCGGCGGACCCCCACTGGGACCGGGAGGACCACGTGGCGCTGCTGGCACGTGAGACGGTTGACGCCGGCAAATCCGTGCTCATTTTCTGCGCCTCCAAGAAGGTGACCTTTGCCTCTATTCACCATTCTGCAGCCCTTTACCAATCGTGACAATCACGTGCACGTTGCTTCCTGCTGGTAGATCCAGCACTTCTCTCGCATCCGTTGCCAGACATACCAATCACATGCATGCTGCACGGTGCTCATGGGAGCTCTCACAGGTTTAGGTGAGCACGATAGCATCTAGAGCAGCCGAGAGAGAGCAAATTGCTCGCTGAAAAGCCGCGAGCATGAAGGAACTCAACTGTTTTCATCCAGAGTGTCGGTGCATGCTCTGCTTTGATTGGCTCTCAGTGGCAAGCTACTTGCATCCAGCCAAGCATGAAGCAGGTGCCTGGTAGCCACAAGTGCAGTCTCTGTGACCGTGTGCGTCCTTACCCCACTGCAGAAATGCAGCGACGTGGCGAGGCACATAGCAGAGATGCTGGGCTCCATAGAGGAGCGCTTTTTGGGCGGTGAGGAGCTGGGCGACACCTGTCGCGCCGACTTCCACGCAGAGCTCCTGGGCCTGTCCGACAAGAACGCTGACCTGGCATACACCTTCCAGTTTGGTGTGGCCTTCCACCATGCAGGTTGGTCATCTGCTTCAACTCTGCACCAATTGCAGCTGCTTCTGCTGTATTTTGAGACAGAATACCGCATATGCATCCTTTCAACAGGATGAGTTTCATGCTTGACAAATGACAGAAGTAAGCTGCTGGGCCACTTTTCGCTGACCTGAGAACAGACACCTGACCATCTGTACAAATTAGCTTTTAAAGCCATGGTGCCTACAGTTGAGAGCGTGTGCTGGTGTGTTGGCGCAGATTTGTCGCACGAGGAGAGAGCGATTGTTGAAAAGGCCTTCCGCAGCGGCGCACTGCGGGTGCTAACCGCCACCAGCACGCTCGCTGCCGGTGTCAACCTGCCGGCCGCGCGCGTCATTATCAAGTGCGCGCCACTTTTCCACACCTGCATCCCATTCACGAAGATCATGCAAATTATGGCTATAAGTGGCGTCCACAACCTTATCATTTCCCACGTTTAGTCACTTGCATCATGCCTGCCCGCCTTTCCAGAATTGTACCTTAAATGAATTGCTTGAAGTTTCGGACATTTGATCAACACCCGCATGCATGCAGAGCTTTTACCTGGTTCCCTTGGTCTCAGAACTGTGTGTTGCAGCGGCATGCAGATGGCCGGCACCACCCTCACCGAGTTCAGAGCCGTCAGAAAGGGCATGTGCAGCTCGGCTGAAAGCAGAGAAACCTAGGTTATGACCCCAGGATTGTCCTTGACCAGAAGTGGTACATCGAGAAGGGCATGTGCAGCTTGGCTGATAGCAGAGGACCTTGGTCATGACCCCTGTGCTTGTCCCAGGGAGTGGTACATTGGGCTGGAGAGCCAGTGGCTGACGCGGTCCCAGATTCGCCAGATGGCCGGCCGGGCCGGCCGAGCCGGGCTTGATGACACCGGAGAGGCGATTCTCTGCGCCAATCCCAGGAACCCGCGCCAGGCCGATGAGATCGCCAAGCTCATCCAGGTGCATACACTATCCTTCCCTGACTCCGCTTGCTAATTACCTAAATCCTCAGCATGCGATATCTTTTCTGTGCCTCTCGTCGTGCCAAGGTTGCAGAGTGAATGAGGCAGTGGCACTGTCGGGGCTAGTGCATGCATAAAGCACCTGCCATAAGGTAAAGCGGGCACGAGCTCCTCTGCCAGAAAACTCTGTCACAGCATGCTGAAGGATCCACCTCAGAGCAATGCATCGGCTTCAATGTCTCGTTGGGAGTGATAACTTGTTCTTCGAGTAAGTCAGACACAGCAGGAGCGAGGCGAGCATGCTCTGCCGGGCTCCTGCAGCATGTGCCATGCTGAGCCGTTGCACGACACCACGCATGCTCTAGCGTGATTCCTGTTGATCTGAAGAGGATTTGTGTGTTGTGCAAATAGGACGGGCATGACATGGTGGACAGCTGTCTGATTGAGGGGCGCAAGGGAATGGACCGAGCAGTGCTGGAGGTGGTTGCCAGCAAGGCAGTTGCCACCAAGCACGACGTCAAGCGCTATGTGCAGTGCACCCTCCTCGCCGCCACCAAGGACTTCCAGGTCTGCCATCTGCAGCGCATTTCTCTCTGGCATTGTGGACCTTGACACCTTGCCCTGGCCTTGCCTTGCCTTGGCACAGATGTGTCTCTTCATGTTTCTGCCCATTTTTGAACGTCATCAGCTTCTGCACGATTGGTTTCCATTGAGCGTGTGGAGACTGGCTCAGCTGTGAGGCAAAAATCATCGCTTGCAGGGCAGCAACATGCTGCACAGGCCTCATAATCGTCTCACATGCCATTGCAGCGCATCTGTGGACGTTGTTACAACTGTAGCAACATGACACATACGTTCTTGCATTGTATGTGAAGAGGTGCTGCTGGGCTTGTCAACCAGCTGATCAACAGCTTAGTCACCCCTAATGCTGACATGGCACATTTTCGCACATACTGGTGTGGCGCACGTGCGCGCATGCATGCTGACATGGCGCATGTGCGCGTGTGTGCAGGAGGTGGTGACAAAGGCGGCGACGGACGCGCTTCGCTCGCTGCAGCAGCAGCGGCTGATCACCTGGGAGCAAAAGGCCGGCCTGTGGGGCCCAACCCTGCTGGGCAGCGCCGTTGTTGCCTCTGGCCTTGACATCCAAAACGCCCTGGACTACAAGCAGGTGTGTGCTTGTCACTGTTTGGCACCCCTTGAAAGACCTGGCACAGGGGTTACTAAAGACCATATCTACAGGGTAAGGAGTCAGTATCCCATGCTTTGGCACAGGGGATTTAACATTAGCAGTGTTATGTCTATCACCTATGTGCCTTTCAAGTACCCCTTACAAATGGTAGGCATAGGTGGCTGCACCAGGGGCAATGTGGTTTGCCCGGGATGGCACTTGCAATTAGGCATCTGCAGACCGGCCTTGCTCTGAGGAACTGCGGCTCTGCTCTGAGGAAGCTATCTTGGGGAGTCTATACAACCCAACAATGATCTGCAAAAACTTTCCCTGTACTTTAGTGACCATTTCAGCATGCGCAGCTGCAGTAAATCAGTGCCTCAAATGTGCTGGTGGTTGTCAAACTGCCGACAAATTTGTGTGGTCAGGATCTGGACAAGGCAAGGGAGGGCCTGTGCCTGGACAGTGACTTGCACCTGTGCTACCTCATCACCCCCCGCTCTGAGGACGTCTGCCGAAACTGGGAAACTTGCTGCAACGTCATCCGCTCCGTGCAGGTGCCTCTCTGGTGTAAAGCCTAAAAATTGCTGACACTTGCATGCATGCAATCTTGCGTTGTAAGTGCTTTGGAAGGTGGAAGACAAGCACCTCTGTTCGCAGCCATGCATGCCGTGAATTATCTGTGATTGTAGCATTCTGCAGCTGTGACCAGACAGTATCTGTTGTTGGCAGAAGATTAGTTGTAGTGTGGAATCAAGCAAGATCGGGAGACTGAGGAGCCCGAAGAAAGGGTGCCGAAGGATCCAGAAGTTCAAAGCAGGGGTGTATGGCGCGGGACGCAGGAATTGCCGGCAACCAAGCCAAGAATTCCTCCTGCTTTGCATGTCATGTGATCTGGTGCCCATCTCAGAGGTCTGTGAGGAGGTAGGGTCCGGGGGGATTTGAAATTGAAAGATAAGGGTGGTTTATGCGTTGCGCAGGGGGTGCAGGCGAAGGTGCGGGAGCTGGTGGGTGTGAACATGGGATGGCTGACGCGTGAGGGCTGTCACCTGTCGGCGCGCGCCAAGATCCCCGACAAGCACAGCCACACCGCACGCGTCTGCCGCCGCTTCTTCACCGCCCTCGTGCTCTCCGATGTCGTAGACGAGGTGCCCAAGAGCTTGCTTCTTGTTCTAGTAGATTCCTTGTCAGTCTAAAACTGGCACCGATAGTGGCGTGCATTATAGTCTTTCGGTCCCACCGCTCTTGAAGTCACAAGGCTATTCTATGTCTGCTGCAACCTTACAACATTGCACAGCTTGAATTTGAGAATTATTGAAAAATTCGTTTCTAGCTGGGTGGTTAGGTGCATAGACCACAGCATATCACAAGTGTCTAAACTTTGATATTGCCATTTACATAAAGTGTATCTGCGGGAGCAGGTGGAGCCGCGGGTGATCTTTGAGCGCTACGGTGTGAAACGTTTCGTGACGCAGCAGCTGCAGGAGCAGGCGGGCAAGCACGCGGGCATGATGGCCGCATTCTGCGAGCGCATGGGCTGGCGCAACCTCGAAATGCTTATCGCCGCATTCCAGGCAGGAGCCCCGCCAATTGTCTGCTGCATCATGTCTGGACTTAGCCAAAGTTCATAAAAAATGTCCCTGGACACTTTGAGCAGGGGGCAGAACCTGGAAAAGGCAGATTTCTGGCCATGTGCCTCTCAGCTGAGCTGTGGGCCTTGAGCTGGGTCCCCCGGACAGCCTGTGACTGGGCAGTCTCTATGCCGGGCTGGCGGCACCTGTTTTTGGTCCGCTATCCAGTCCTGATCGCCCTGTAAATTCGCCTGTGTACAGGCATAATGGCATGTCGCACCGGCATCTTTTTCATTCCTCTGCCGCTGCCTGCCATTTGCAGGTGGTCGAACCAGTGTCACTCAGATCAATAAAGCACGCTGTTGGGAGCTTTTGCTTTGTGGCAATAGAAAGTGCATGTGGGTGTCGGCCGCAGTCTCGCTGATTGCACAACCGTCAATCGCGCTCAGGGAGCCCTCTGTGGTTCTAATGTACTGTTATCATCAACTAATTTGTTGGGCTATTTGATTGCAGTCTCGCGCGCTGGCGGGCGTGAAGCAGGAGATAGTGGCACTCACAGAGATCCCCCACGTGGGGCCGGCCTCGGCGCGCCTGCTGTTCAACGGCGGCCTGCGCAACGCCGAGACCATTGCCCGCCTGCCCAATACCGACACGCTCGTCGCCATCCTGTCCCGAGGCGCTTCCCCCCAGATTTATGCTAGCTGTAATAATGCTGTGGTTGCTGAATAGATTGCAGGTGACGACGCATGCACGAGGTTGGGACAGACCCCGGCACTCAAAGAATCCTCTAATCGAACTATGCTCACGTGTGATTGCACGTCGTGTATGGTTGACAGACGGAGGTTGGTTCAGGCTACCTACCAGGCCTGCAGGATGAGATCAGGCCAAGCGCGCCTTACTAGGGCATGCCTTCCCTGCTCAGCATATACTGTCGAACGGCCTTCTACCGGAGGCAACAACATGCAGATATTCAGGGGCTGAATGGGCAAGGTCGGGGCTGTGCAGGCCAGAGCGGGGCAAAGGCGGACCAGCGGAAGCTGCGGCGCTTCAAGACGCAGGCGGCCAAGATCCGGCGCGGCGCGATCGAGATCCTCAAGCAGCAGAAGCGCAACCTCATTGTGCGCCCAACCCCTCTCTTGCCGTGTCATGATATGCCAGCACACATTACATTTCTTTGACCAGAAGGCAGATTAATAGCCTGATGCCTCCACTTGTTGCTGCCCTGCATGCGAATTTACCTCATGACAAGGCAGCCAGCTTGCAGTGCTTCTTTTGCCTTGCATTTGCTTCAGACCTCCCACCTACACATGCATCCACGTTGCCAGCTCCGCTTACTGTGTGCCGGCCCTCTGCGGCACTGGCAGTCTCCTACGCTTGTTCAACTTCTCGCAAGGTCCTATTGTATAATAACAACGTAGAACAAAGGACACTGCTGACTGTATCCTGAATCTGAGCAGGCGGAGGCAAAGGAGAAGGCGAATGCGGTGATTCTGGGGCTGGAGGCTGCGGGCGTCACAGGCACCCCACTCAGCCTGCCAAGCACCGTCGGAGGCTCTTCGACCGCGCCGGGTAGCGCCACAAAGATTCCTGCCACACCCCAAAGCTTCCAGGTGATTTCACCATGTACTGCGCAAAGTAAGGATTGCATTCTGCCATGCAGCATTGTCCCCCACGCAGAATGTCCCTCAACAGAGGGAGGTTCTTCAAGCACATTTATGGACGCATAGGTTCGTCTCTGCCGAGGATGTATGTTTGGAAGACAGGCATGCATGCAAGGGATCATCACACATACCCTGCCCTGTGCACATACAAAACGCAGCAGTGGTGGTCTGCCCATGCAAGGCATGGCCTGCAAGAATACCATTTCGGCGATTGCGGTGTTGCAAGTCATTCTATTGGGGTCAGCAGTGAACACTGGTGCACAGGGCTTAGTTGCAGTGGAGGACAGTGAGACGCTGGAGCGGGTGCATCAGCTGTGGAGGGCCCAGCAGCGCTGGGCATTCACTCTCGACTACCGGCCGCCGCAGCAGACCGCTGCATCTCTGGCCGCAAATGACCTCCTTCTGCCGCCGCTGCCAGGCAAGCAAACGGCTTCAGGCATTCATGAGACGCCCAGTAGACATGTGTTTCCATTTCCCCATTTTTTGCATGCACCTTCCCAGATCTCCTGCATGAGACCTGTGCGTCAGTGAGGCCATGACAGCAAATTCTCACTGCAGAGACCTAGACTGTCACACCTCCCTACCATGACTGTTGAGGCATTGGCAGCTTACTGATTGCCTAGGAACAGCAGGCACATACCGGCAAGAAGCGCGCCAGAAGCATAAATCAGCTCAGCTGTGTGTGTCTGTGCCACAGGCGCGGCCGAGCAGGCGACGCCGATCCACGACACATTCGGCATGGAGGAGCTCGACGGCGGCGACGCCACTAGCGCCGAAATTTCTGGCGTGGCCGTTGCCTGGAACGAGCACTCCTGCTTCTACCTGCCTGCAACCCCTGGTACACACTCTCTCCCCAACAAAGATTTCCGCATTGTCTGCACACTCATTGAAACAGTCAGGCTGTCCCTTGCTTAATGGTTCTTCTCTTCTCAGCAGTTGTTACACACACAAAAGTCATGAGATGCCTTGGAATATTCTCTTGCTCAAGGTATTGTGAGCATCAGGGTAGAAGGCCTTGCGGGCGGAGCATTAATATGCCCATCTTCCCCTGAGCATTGTTTCTTCTCGCATGCAGAAGCGTGGGAGGTGGTAGCGCGCATGTTGGAATCGCAGGCTGCCCAGAAGCTGACGCACGAGCTCAAGCCGCAGCTGGCGGCACTGCTGCGGCCGACCCGCGGCTGCGGCGGCGCGGCGCTGCGGCCGGTGGCGCTGAGCGGACGCCTCGTGGACGTCTGCATTGCCGCATGGCTCGCCATGCCCGACTGCGCCGCCGTCTCCGACAACCCCAACACCGCTGGCTTCAGGGCGCGCTCACGTCATCAAAATGCATGCAAAACTCAACTTTGCATCGGCCGCTTTAGGAAGGGAACATGCATATTTCTCACTGGGGGTCTTGGAATTTGGATGTCATGAGGAGGTTTAGGTCTGCCATGTGCAGAAGGCAGTTAATGGCCTGCAATGACATGTTCTTTGCTTCAGGTTTGTGCACCATTATTTTGGAGCACCATGATTGCGTCATACCGCCACCTGAGTTGCACATGATTGCTGCCCAAGGCTGTCAAGCGAGAAGGACGAATCGCTAGCGACGCCAAGTCAGTGTCACTTTGAAGAGCAAACCCCCAATACAGCAAGCACGTAGTAAGAGGAGGACATGACATGTTTCTGTGGTGGTCCTTGCAGCGGGGAGAGCCTACGGGAGTGGAAGGCCTGCTGAAGGCGTGCATGCAGCAGGCGCCCACGGAGGCCATCAACGCTCTCGCGCGCAGCTCCACATTCTCCCAGCGTCGCAAGGACGCCTGCAAGCGCGCCGCCGGCATTCTGCGCCTGTACAACCACCTGCACGTCGTCATGAAGGCATGCCCTGTTTTCTATCCCCCAATTTCCAGAGCGCTTCGGAGTGCCCGTTTAGGTTGCCCATTCTCCTCTTTGTCACCTTGTAATGTCATTTTGTGATTGTCACTCGTGCCTTCCAGCACAGGAGGAACCTGAGTGCAGGAGAGGTGTCCCCTTGTCCGTACCTTCCCTGTCACGCATTTTGCATATCATAATCTGGTCAAGTTTTCTGATACCCAGGAGTGTAGCTGGTCCTTGTGCAGTTGGTGGCAGCGCAGATATAACAATTGCGAAGGGTAATGAACAGGGTATTTCAGGGCTCACCAGAATACTATTTTATTGTGTGCAGGCGGAGGGCTTGCTGAGGCCGTTGAGGGAGGTGGAAATGCCACTTGTGCCGCTGCTGGCCCACATGGAGGCCGTGGGCGTGGCAGTCGACCCAACCATCTTCGCCAAGCACAAGGTGTCTTCCCTACCCAAGTGTTGCTCTTTGGGCTCTCGCAGATTCTTAAGGAGGTGGCCTAAAGGAGGTGGCCTAGTTCAGATCCAGTTTCTATCTAAAAGGTGCCATTTCCTTCGTGAACTCAGATATACTCACAGCATAATGGGATATCAGCATTCCAGACAGCATGGATAGGCAAGTGTATTGTATTGTGTTTTCCACACTCTGTGCAATGTAATCTATGCAACGCAGGACACCCTTGACCCGTTAAAGCCATAGCAGCTGCTGTCAGCGGCGCTGACGGCACATGCACGCACTCTGAAGGCACATGCACGCAGTCTGACGGCACATGCGCGCACATGCGCAGAGGCCGCTGGAGCGGAGGGTGGCGGAGCTAGACGCGCTGATGGAGCGCGCGGCCGGCGGCGCATTCGACGTGGCGTCGCCCAAGGAAGTGCGCGAGGTGCTGTTCGAGCGGCTGCGCCTGCCGGTGCCGGCCTGCGCCATGAAGCCCGGCCGGAAACACCCCTCCACCGACCAGGAGGCGCGCCCCTTGCTAGCTGTCTGGAGAGAGACTGCACGGTCCGATAAAAATGGACCACTATGGACATAGCAACTCTAGTTTAGACCTAGGCACTGTGTAAATGACGGGAAGAGGCATGCAAAACTTGGTCACGAGCACGAGCACGAGTGGGGTGATTTTGGAGGCAGCATAGCACAGTTTGGGAGGACAGGGACATCTTTTATAACATGTCAATTCCTCTTATGCATGCCTTACGGCAGAGGAAGCACATTGTACAGGCACAGGCTGCGCCTGCAGTGCACTTCAGCCTCTCTGTGCCACACCAATCACTTCTTGCCTATCAGCCCGTTCCTGGTCATCAAGTTGCAACCACAGCAGCAATGGTGCAGGAGGATGTTCTGTGCTGAGGAACAGCGCCTGAAAAGGTTGCAGGTCACTGAATTAAGTATGGGACCTGTCAGCGAGGTATCTATGTAAGGCAGCGGGAGGGGCTGATGGGCAGGATGAGGCGCCTTTTGAAAACACTACCCAACTGCAGGTGTTGGAAGAGCTTGCGACTGCGCACCCAGTGGCGCGGCTGCTGCAGGAGCGGCGCACGCTAGCCAAGGTCCTCGCCGACTTCGTCAACACCTTCGCGCACCGCGCCCGCCGCGCCTCCCTCGGCAGCCCAGGCGTCGTGCGGGTTCCCTCCCTGATAGATCTCCCAAGCTTGTGCTTCCCTGGCGTGTGCCGCTGACTGCATGCATGCAGCCTTCTGCACGCCACCGCAGTGGGACCATATTTGAACCTTGTCATGCAGCACTGTGACCCCAAGAGCGTTGTTCTGTACTTATGCATGCAGCACTGCGCTGTCAGCTGGTCTGAGAGAGGCACTTGTCATACCAGACATGTCTTTGCATCCCTGCATAAATGGCAAGAAAAAGGACACCATCTAGCTTTCAGCTGGTGCCTTGGGATACAGTGCATCTAAGATACTTTGAATATCTGAAATGAGATGAAATGGAAAATTGAATTCGAATCCGCAGAACGGGGCGCTGGTGCGCATCCGCGGCAGCTTCTGCCAGACCTCGTGCGCGACAGGTCGGTTGGCGATGGAGGAGCCAAATCTGCAGAATGTGCCTCGGCCGCGCGCATTCTCCGTTGAGGCCACCCAAAGCGCCACGCAGCTGCCGGCCGCCGACGGCCGCGCCGCGTCCCGCCGCGACCACTCCGCCAACATCAGGCGCGAGCATGTCTTCCGCTGTGTGTCTCTGGATACATATCTTCTGCGAGTCTGAATCGGCATGAGCCATGTAGCAAGAGCTCTTTCTGCTCTTTAACATGGATGGCAAAGGTCAAAGTTTTTTGCCCGCTCTTGGGCATCAGGATTCTTGAAGAGGCCCTCGTATTCACATACATTCGTACAAGTGTTCATTCGCTTACAAGGTTTCCAAGCTACACTCTTTTTGTTGAACAGATGCCGAGGGCATTGTGGAGTTCCAGAGGGTGCTAATGTGCTCATCAGATCCAAGAGCTATCCACAGGGATGTGGGCACAGTATTCTGGCTGCTGAGGGAGGAATTGAAATGCACAGGGAGGCGTTTGTGGCGCCGGCTGGGCGAGTGCTGCTGTCGGCGGACTATGCGCAGATGGAGCTGCGGCTGATGGCGCACATGAGCGGCGACACGCGCCTGATAGCCACTCTCTCCGATCCCGCCCAGGACCCCTTCAAACACTGGGCCGCCCAGTGGCTGCGGATCCCTCCACACTTGGTGCGCGACCGCACATTCTGTGCCTCTTCATTGTCGTATTTTAGCTGCTTGCCATTCCGCTGCCTTGCTGCTTTGAGCATCCAACCCGGGTGAGCATCCTCATTTGAGCACCGGTGCCTGTGACTTTTGAGCATGCTGGCACCATGACAGCGGTCTGGATACATGCACTTCAGGCTCTCGCAGATCTGCAGCGGTCTGATCGGCGCCTGCTCTATGATCCCTAGGCTTGATCGTGCACGCTGTTGGATATGTGGTGCTTTCTGACGGCTGACGCGCATAGCTATGGTTGCACATAACGGTGCAGCAGATAGGCCTCTGGTTGCCATCATCAATGGGCACATCCTGCACACTAAATTTTTCTGCTGCCATACTCATTGTGCTGTACTTGTTGTCCAGTTGTTGCTTGTCTTACCTAATCCTTAAGACTTGAAAATTTGGAAAACTTGTGCAATGAAGCCACATGTCTGCGGGTGCAGGTGAGCGTGCAGCAGAGGGATCACGCGAAGGCGATGGCGTACGGGCTGCTTTACGGTCTGGGCAAAGACCGGCTGGCAGCGCGCATGGAGGTCACGCCCCAGGAGGCCGCGCAGAAATCAGCCGACTTCCGCGCCAGCATCCCCGTGCTGGTGGGGGCTCCCTTCGGCAACTAACTTGCTGCCTGCCACACATGGCTGTCATGCTCTCAATTTCGCTGTGGTTATTCTGTGACGGTGCACTACCCTGCTATGTAGCTATACATACATTATGACGTTTCTTAGGAGGGAGCAGATCTCTTGAGTGGAAGCACAGGGAACCATTTACCTCCTGAGAAGTGATGCAGAGCAAGCCAATGCTGCAAGCTTGCAACCTCGCGCAACAGCTATCTGCACAAGTTCGCCTCTGTGAAATCTGACAATTGTTGCACATCCAGGAAGTCTCAACTATAAACCCCGCAACAATGCACAGCCACATCTGCAAGCTCCTACACCCACAGAACTATAGTACAGTGATATGTGCGCAACACAGGACGCGTGGCTGAAGCGGGTGGTGGAGGAGTGCCGGGCGCGCAAGTTCATAACCACGCTTGCCGGCCGCCGCCGCTACCTGCCGGACATCGGCCACTCCGACCGCGGTCGCCGGGGGCGCGCCGAGCGGCAGGCCATAAACAGCACCGTGCAGGTTAGTAAACACCTCCAATGCATGGTATGTAGAGTAAATTTAATGTCTGATTGCATTGTAGTACGATGTAATACGCATGCTTGCATATACGTGCTTTGATGGCAACGACATCAGGGGTGGCCGTGACAGGTTGGAATGCTGTGCAAGCTTCCCGCACACAGCTGCAGACCTGCAAGTATGCCGTATGGCCTCTGGCTTTCCACTTCCTGATCGTGGAGTAGGACTGAAAAGGCGCCCACGGTTGACTGTTGGGTCTTGCTTGGTTTTGTCGAGTCCAACAAGGGGTAGGGATAATCGCAGCCTTTACATGCAGCTCATCTGCCGAACCACCTAGCCTCATTTGTCAGGAACAGCATGTATTACTTCCTAATGGTGACAGTAACCTTTGTGATGATGCAGGGCTCCGCTGCTGATCTGTGCAAGGCTGCCATGGTGACGCTGCACGATGGAGTTCCCTCCGCATTCCCTGACGCACCCAAGGCCTGCCGACTCGTCCTGCAGGCAAGATTGTTCCGATGATCTTACTCATCTTGCCCCAGCTATTTACCTGTGATTTTTCGTCCTCTTGCTGATGTTCTCAGCACACCGCCAATGCCTAAATTGGCGGAGATGATCCTCTGGGTGCTGTGGGACCTTACCAAGTAGGGTAGCACAATGTCTGGAAGGTATTTTTGCTATGATTGTCGCCTTCTGTTGACTATGGCGATGTGCATGCTTTGGCCTGTTACTCACAGAGCCTTTAATGTCAGCAGTGTTGTGTGCATGCGCAGATCCACGACGAGCTGCTGTTTGAGATAGAGGAGGGCGCGTTGCCGGCGGCAGCAGCGTTGATCAGGCAGTGCATGGAGAATGCTGCACCGTTATCAGTGCCTCTGCGCGTCAAACTGAATGTTGGCCCTTCCTGGGGCGGTCTGCAGCCCTACACCGATGCCTGAGGCTCAATTTTCAATGGCGCCTTGGGCTTCGTCATGCTCATCAGGTAGCGAGAATTTGGCCAATAATGTACCGGAATATTGTCGTGCAGCTGTTGGCTGCTGAGGGTCCTTTGCCGGTGGCTGCAAACCGGCCAACTCAGAGAGGGATGTGTATTTGAGAATGTGTGTGTGTGTGTGTGAGAGAGAGAGAGAGAGAGAGTTTGCCTGCGAGTGACAGGGGTAGCATGTGTTGATGAGTGGCCAGCCTCATTTTCTTAGTAGTACGTTGTAGTCTACTGAACCAAATCTGATCGAGTGATTCTGCGTGATCTTCCAAAGAATTCCAATGTAATGGGGCATGATTGCCAAAATTCTGTAAAGGGAATCCCTAGGGTTGACTTTTATTACGACCAATAATCGGCCCATGCATGCTGCCCCATATGGGGGAGGCTGCAGCCCTCTGCTGATGAGTATCTGTGGGTGCAAGAGCGAGGGACCGCAGACAAAGCGCCAGATGGATACGGGGCATTGGCACCATTCAGCACCCTCACTGTTGCAGGAGCAGGAATGGGTCATGCATAAGCTAATGCATAAGCTTAAGACTCGTTCAGACTCCGCTTAATACATGCCATCTGTTTTGCACCCTCTAAAACCCATTTCCCGTGAACAGACTCCCCATAGAGATTTCCTGTCATAAATATTTGCATCGAAGCCTTATATGCATCGAAGCCAGTGGTACTTCCAGCAATACTTCAGACACTAAATATGTGAATGAATATCAAGGCTCTACAACTAACCCAAAACGTTCGTAGTTTTGCGGGCTATGCCTGCACAGTATCGCCCCGTTCATGCGCACTTCTATCGACAGTACAGTAACAAGTGCTTCAGAAAATTAACCCAACATAAAATTCCCGATGTCCTGCTGTGGCCGTATGGCCCCAACAAAAGAATACAGATGAAATACACCTCACCAACGGAGGCTCCTGATCCTAATCTACATATAGACTACCGTTTTGCTTGTGCTAAAGCTTGAGCGTTGGCTAAGGCTCATCATCTGATGAGGATGATCCATGCGTTCCGCCGCGGCAGCTAAGAACATTCTGCCCATCATAAGGCTGTGCAAGCCGCGGCAAGAGGCCCGGGATGTTAAGGAAAAGGGCCTCCAAGAATTGGGGAAGAATGACCAACGGCATGTAGTAAACGTCTCTCTTCAACCACATGTAGTACAGGCTTGCGACCTGAATCGCGCAGGGAATGCACTGCAGCAATGTGCTGAGGAGCACTATGTTCACCTGCACATACCACAGAGAACTAAAAAAATATAAATGATCACATACAGATGTCAAGTACGGTAGCTGCCACTGAATCACACAGTCAACCCAGATCGATACAGGCCGCATCGCCTCGCGAAGAGGTAATGGAGCTGTTCAAGATGTCCTCACCAGGAGCCTGGTGTCATGATGTATCCACTTGCGGGCGCCCTTGGGGCTTTTCACCGCAAGGAAGTTGACTGCGTTCTCAGCATCCTGCACCTTCTTATCGGCCCTGTAGCTCTTGCATGCGAATACAGACAGCACGATGTTCATGCATGCGAATATCGCCAAGATGCCTGCTCGACCCTGTTGCACCACGTGCACCCCTCATTCAATCACCGCAAATGCAGCCGGCTTCCACACTTTGCTGGAATGGGATTAGGTCACGGGATAGCAAACTGCAGCTGCCTACAGACTGATCGCACGACACCATATATGCTGCAGTTGACACAGCTCCATCTGGATGCGCACCCAGAATGTGGCTAGCGAAAGGCGTTTCCCCAGCTGGTTTGCTGATTGGTCATCAATTTGATACGTCTTGGTGAAGGCTATGGGTGCTACGACGAGGGCTAAGACCCCAGTGAGTGCTGGAAGGATGTGGCAAAGCCATGCTATAACCCTTGGGTGTGGTGGTCGTTGCTCTTTTTGAACCTTCAGCCTGCATCAACATGAGCAGCACTTAAGCCTTTTGCATGCAAATGAATTAGATGGAGAGCGGATGGGGTCACGAACATTCAGCAAGGAATGAGCAAAAGCTGCAGATGGGGCAAGCATAAAAACCAACTGAAGCGCTCGATGCCTCAATAATAGTAGTGCTCACCACATGGCCAGGGCAAGAAACAGTACAACTATGCTGGCGCCATAGCCCACACTTTCCAGAGTCTGGAAGATAATGTAGAGCTCACGCCTTGGGTGCACAAGGTAGGCAGCCGAACATGCGTACGCAATTCCTCGCACTGCAAAGGAATGAAAATTCAGCTTAAACACAAATCATATAGCCTAATCCGTTTCTTAGTATCCAGGAAGCACAGTCCTGTAAGTATCTCTAAAGATATTGTAATCAGGAATCAAACATCACACGGCAGAGGAGGCAGGCGACTTACGTACGGAACCGAAGGCGAGGATGGCGAATAGCTTAAACTTTGACAACAGGAGATTAGTCACGGTAAGAATGGCAAAGAGAAAAAAGAGAGCAGAGACCACAGCTGCTGCTTCACGGCTGTGTCCGACAGTGTCGGGCTGCATCGGGTCACACTATGAGAAGGGGTGTCGCTATTTGCTGATTAACATCTTAGACTCGTCTCAGGCCTTGTGAAGTCGGTCTTGACATCTTGTGCTTGCGATTCAGATATCTCTTACGCATGCTCTGCGACTGCAAATGGAGACAGCCACGTTTGAATACAATTGTGTGCATCTGTGACTAATATCCCGCCAAATTAAAGCATCTTCCCATTGGCATGGTGCTGGCTCCCCAATTGGAGTCCCCAGGGTGGAGAGAGAGAATATGGGAGTCCCAATACCACCATTGGGAATCCAACACCAGGAGATTCGAACCCTTGTGCTGCATACGCATAGGATATGGTAGTAAACGTTCAGTAAAAAATGGCGAGTCCACGAGTTAACTACGCTGAAAGCACTTTACATGACATGACTGTACAGTGCTGGCGTCGCAAGTAAAATCCGCATGCAACACATGCAATTGCGCATGCGGATGTGACAGTGACTAGTGTACACCAAAAGCTCATACTATCAGACTGATAGCCGACAATAGCGTATGGCAAGTTTCAGAACTGCTGCAAATCCCATTGAATTTCCCAGTAGCTGTTCACAAATCCTACAGCGCCCCTAGATTCCGGCAGACTGAAAAGTGCATGAGAATGTCTCAACGAAAGCCAGAATACCGGCGCAGGCATGCATGCATGCAGCGTTATTGGTCCACGCTGCGCACTGCATGCATGCCAGCCAGGCGTCCAGTCAGCCATGCCCAGTAGAAATTGAAGCCCCCGATACGCCCAAAGACGTCCAGGATCTCTCCGCAGAGATGCACCCCCGGCAGCACGCGGCTCTCCATCGTGCTGCAGTCCACCTCTGACAAGGGGATGCCCCCTCCTGTAACTTCTGCCTGCAAGCCCCCACACCACCATGCTCAAGAACAGGTCCATGATAGAGATGCAGCCATGGGGTGTAATTCTACGAGTTTGCCTGTGACATGTACTGATGTGAATGCGCAAGCATAATGCCGGCGGCTTCTAAAGTTTCTGCACAAGCTTAGCCACGACACTGAACAGCAGGATAGCAAAGTCACCAACGCCCTGCAGGAAGCCTGTCAACATTTGCACATCCACATGCACATGCAGACCCATGTGCAAATCTTGAGAAGATCCTGCCAAGAACACTCAGCCTGCCCCGCCAAGCAATCCTTGAACCCACATGTCGCACAGCTGCATGTCACTGTACACTTTTCTGTGCCTTGACAAGATAAAATATGGCCCTGCAATGGGCTCTCTAAAGAGATCTGTGGTTGTCTAAGAAGATCTCTCCAGCCGCACCCGCTCACCTTGGCATACCCCTCATGTCCGTCATAGTCCAACGGGTATTCGGTCAAACTCTCCAGCAGAGCAGCGCGCTCTGTTTTGCGCAGCTCTGCGACTCGCCGGTCCGAGACGCCGGCCTCGGCGCATAAAGCCTCGGCGAGCCGCTGCGGCACGCCATGTTTGCGCAGGAGGGAGGGAACGCTGGAGGAGCCCGGCCCGGCCGCCAGGCGGGCGTCCCAGTCAGCGCGGCTGTCGCCCAGCCAATTCGCGCTCAGCCCTGCGGCACATGCAGCTGTGTTGTCAGATATGAGAATACGCCTAATCTTGTATGTGAGATGAAACCAGCTTGCACTCTGTAATGGGCCAAGGCTGGGATTCCAGGAGACCTCCGGAAGGATCCCTTGCAAAGCCAAATACGCTTGTGGACATGCACAAAAGTCCAAAATGGCATGGGTGCAGAAAGGCTGCTTGGGTGCGGCAATGACATTACATTTTGCACAGTCCTTTCTGATGACTTGAATGAGCAGTACTGACTAATTCATTCGCATGCCCCATATAAGGCGACCAGAGAAGACAGCCTCCACCAAAAAGGGGGAGGATTAAATCGTCAACCCCTATCACAGAGCAGGGAACCAACTTATCGTTACATGGTTCGGCCTTGGAGTCCTGTGGACCTTTTGACGCGGCGATGACAGACGCTGCTCTCGTTCGTTTATATAGGGCATGCAAGACTGACCAAAAAGGGCATGCGAGAAAGTACTATTGTACAAATTCTGACACAGCAATTTGCCAGCAACAACAGCTTATTGCAATGTGTAGGACCCAGCTCAAAAGGTCAACGACTTGACACAATCATGATCCACACACGAGCTAAGAGTGTAAAATGCCTCACTTGGCAGTGGCGTGCCGCGTTCAAGCGCCCGGGTGACGGAGTGTGAGAGGTCGAGGACGCTGGGTCCGCTGTAGCCGCGGTGCGTGAACAGGAATGCGCTGCGCTGCGCTCGCTGCCCCTTCTTCTTCCCCTTGGCGGCCGCGGCGGCCGCCGAGCACTGCAGATCCACATCGTACAGCGACAGGCCTGCATTACAGTAGGTCATGAATAAATTTGCAGCTCTCTTTTTCAGAGCAGAAATATAGTAACAGTGAAGATGACGGTGTTATTGATTTTACTGTCAAGGACCCAGAAACATCTGACATTACAAGAAATGTGGAGCTGGAGTGCTTGCCATTTTTTATAGAGACATAACTACCTCCATGAGCCTCTGCTCTTAGGGCTGCAAGCTGTGCACTTGCATGGAAAAGAACAAGAGGGCATGTGAACGGCGGGGGTGAGTCAGTCGTGGTGTGGTGCAGGCACCTGCCAGCTGGCTGCCGGCGGGATGGCGCCCCTTGAGCGGAGTCAACGCTGGGTAGACAGGCTTCAGCGAGTGGCCGAGCGCCCCGACTATGCGGTGCCCCGTGCCGTCTGTGCCCATCTTTGGAAAGCTCAGCCCGCCCGTCGCCACCACCTGCAAAGATCCGCTCTTTACGAACAAGCATGCAATTGTGGAAAGTTTCCTTATTCTTGACGATGTTCACTGTCCTAAGAGGCAGCGGCACTTGGTGTCTCAGGTTCACTCTTTCACCATATACATTTCTCATTACGTGTGCCGAATTGCATGCAATAGAGGGGCGACGTAGACCTGCCCATAAGAAGATCAAGAAGGATCTGCTAACAGCAAATCCATGCCACCCCTTTACTGCAAGCAAGATTGCCCTGCCTCATGGAGGCCAAGAGCTTTGCAGCATTCAGCAGAGACCATGGTATTGAGACCATGGTCCAAACAGATAAAGTGACATTGTTGAGGTGTCATTAACAGAATGTGCAGTGGCAGAGAGCGGTGAACCTTACGATGCTGTCGGCGTCGTGGTGTGAGCCGTCCGCGAGCGAGCAGCGCCAGCCGCCACCTGCGCCATCAGCCCACACATCTACGCACTCCTGCGCAAATTGTTCCCATCGCAAAGTTTGAGAAATCAGATTGCATCAATACCAGTCACAGGAGCGTTCATCGCAGGAGAACACACCAACGCAATGACAACAGCTGGGCCATGCAATCCATGCAATCCCCCCACGACAACTGCCCTTATGCCTTCAATTTATAGCAAATTTTGAGCCTTGCAAGAGGGTGGTAGGCTGTGCACTGAGAGTGCAGCCCATATAAAATTCTTTGTCTATTCCACGCTGGCAACCGTGGCATACATGATGGCCCTGGGCCCTGGTGACTGGACATATGGTACCGCATGCAGGCAGGATCGCTAGAAACGTTGTTTACCAGGTTGCCTGCTCAGGCCTTCCACGCTGGCCTTGCACAGGATGCGCACTCCTCGGCTGGTGCAGGCCGCAACCAGCCGGTCCCGGACCTCCCTCGAAGAGTTTGAGGCCGGAAAGTATTTCATGTTCTCCTGCTCTGTCGCCAGCGCCAGCCCTATGTTATCCTCCAGCCTGTTTCACAAATTTCAGATGCAGCTCAACTCTTCTGCTCTGCTGGCATGCTTTGCTTTGTGACAAGTACAAGCCTGTTATATATACAGGACCCGCACTTGCCTATGTGTGCACGAGGGAAGAAATGGGATATGGACATCAAGCCTGTGCAGGGGCATTAACTTGCCAAAAAGATGGCATTTAGCGGCTAATGGAACTTTTCAGGTGACCATTATGGGGAAAAGCACCAGTGCTTGCAGTCTTCCAGGGACCAGGAGGCGAAGATGGCGCGCAGGGCTGAGGGGCTGGACTCCGTGACAAAGTCCCTCTGCACGTCCACCTCCATGGGCAGCACATTGCTGCACAGCAGGCGCCATGGGGATCAACAAGGGAATACTGAAAACTTACATTGTCCCGAGGCAGGGCAGTAGACTTATCGTGGATAGTTTTATCAGGGAGATCTGAGATGAGATCAAGCATGCGAGGTGCTGAAGATGTAAGACAGGAGCATGCCAAGTAAAAGGTAGGAAGAGTGATGCAGTGCTGCAATGGCAAGCATGACAGGGGCTGGCTCACCATCGGGCTCCGCCAGAGATGAGGATCTTCTTGCCAGCCTCCCGGGTTCGCTCAAGCACGGTGACCTGGCACAGCAGCCAACAGCTGGCATCAAGGGACCGGAGCTTTGCATTGTCCACTCGAGCAGAAAGGTGTGGTGTCAAGACCCTGAGAAACTTTGCAATGATTGCCATAGGAGCAGCAGGACTGAAGCATTCCACAGTGCTCTGAGCTAGCCATTGATGGTGCTCAGGTGGCTCTTGCTCTGTGATGTCCTCACCTCTGCTCCTTGCAGGGCTGCAAAGTATGCTGCTGTCAGCCCGGCTGCACCTCCGCCAGTGATGATGACTGATGGAGCAGCCTGGCAGACAGTGCTGAAGGGCCTATGCCGCTGCGGTGCATTGAAGGATGGATCACACTTCCTGGCACCGAATTCTTAAGGGCACATCATTGCTGCTTGGCATACACACTGCACAAATGACGAAGGAAAGCTGGGACCTCGTACCCGTGCGATCTGCAGCTTGATCTGCAGATTTCCTGCTCGCAATAGACGTGCCCTCGTCGCGCCGCCATCCAATCTAATCAATCTCATTATCATGTCGAGAGCGAAGGCTCACCATATCTAGCTCAGAGTCCCATACAACCATGCTGGCTGACCCATGACAATGAGAAAACACGGCATACGCTAGAGCTCGACAGCAAGAAAACAACACAATTCGCAGTGCTCATACACCTTCCAATGAAATCTATTGACACTATTCGGAAGACCTCAGATCTAAACGATTGACAAGAAACTCATGTGAACACCACGTGAGGCGTGCTGCTAGCAGGTGCGACCTTCCCAACTCCTTGAACTCCACCCTCAATCTCCACCCCAAAATTTTTAATTAACATGTTGTGGTAAAAAAGCTTTCTACAGGTCTTATAAATTGTGAAGACACGAGCTTGCAAGACCGGAAGGTGCTGATCGATCCCACCCATCCTTCCGTCACATTCGTGCTCAGGTGTTGTCTGTCCTGTCAATCTAACTGTGCAGAAAAAGTGTAAACTTCTGCCGAGCATCCTATCCCGGTTCTCTGTCAGAGCACTTTGCCGAACGACAGATGATGACTCTTTCTCTCCACCAGAGTACCTGAAGTGAGTGGTCTCAATATTGCATATAGAATTTTATTTATCCACACTTGTTATTAAATATGACATTCTGTGTCCGCGTTGATTTGCAGGAGAATCTTGCAGATCACCACGTTATGGGGAAGAAGTGGTTGCCTCTGGAGTCCAATCCTGACGTCTTGAATGATTTCACAAACAACCTGGGTCTTGACGTCTCCAAGCATTCCTTTCACGACGTCTATGGGCTTGACGAGGTGCTGCCAAACTTGCACATCTTCACACAAGTCCTGCTTTCCTGCACATGTGCAGGGTGAGCTTTTGTGCAACAAGAGTGTACCATTACTTATCACGAAGTATTGTTACCCTCCCAGGAGCTGTTGGCTATGGTGCCTCAACCTGTTCTCGCACTACTGCTGCTATTTCCCATCACCAAGGAGTCAGAAGCAGCCAAGGAAGCTGGTGCGCCTTAGCCATTCGTCTACAATTACACGAGTCTCTCGACACTGCTAATTTGATGCCATGATTGATAATGCAAATCTTCTCAGGACTTAAATATTTGTGCTGGTTCGAGCACCATGTCAGTTTCTGTGCCTGGCTCGCAGAGGATGCGAGGCTGAAGAAAGAGGGGTATGCAGTGCCTGAGGGCGCGTACTTCATGAAGCAGACAATTGGCAATGCCTGCGGCACAATTGGGGCGCTGCATGCCATTGCCAACACCCAAGACAAAGTCTCCATCAGTGAGGTCCCCTGCTTCACAGCTGTATGCGCCATTGTAATCCTTCGTGTTGCCATCTGCACAATCTCCCTGCCAGTTAAATGTCATGCTCTGCAGTTGATAAGCGTGCAGTGGGGCAGAAGTGCTTGATCAGGTCCTACTAGCAATTAAGGCAAGTAAAAATTCTGCGAATGATGTCCTGACTTGCAGCGGATGGCTCTTTCCTGGAGCGATTTTTGGCAGCGACAGCAGAATTGACGGCCGAGCAGCGGGGCAAATATCTAGAAGAGCCGCCCCCAGGCGCGCCTGATCTGGACGAGGCACACCAGGCGAGTCACAAACCCGTCCTCTGGAATGGAAAACTAATTTGCCCGTTTCTGCAGCGCCAACACTCCTAGTTGCTAGCCTACGCTGCAGTCAGTAATCTGAACACGTTGCTGGGGAATCTGCCACTTTTGGATCGGAGACAATATTCTCCTGCCCTTCAGTGTATCAGCTACCAAGCACTGCTATGTCCCATGGGCCTAATTCTCAGGACGGTTGTGCAGGGTGTCTGGTGGCGTTTGATATTGATTTTGATTTTGAGGATGATGTTTCTGTAAAAGTTGTAAATGGGCGCGTCCTGCTTGGGCCCTGTGGGGATGACATATCTGGCCTGGTGTGCACAGGCAGCAGCGCAGGAGGGAGACACAGCCCCTCCGTCACTGGATGAAGTTGTGGACCTGCACTTTGTGGCCCTGGTGGAAAGTAGTGGCAGGTGAGACCTGTTTTCCCACAGCCTCCGCTCTACTGTGCATGCAAGGTGTCTTAGCGCCTTAGCATGCAGTTGAATCACATCAATATCATGCCAGTCAAAGCTGCTCTCTTAGTACGGTAGCTATGCTTGCGGCTGAAATCATTTTAAAGTGCTGAGATGGCGATGGGTGCATGCAGGCTCTTAGAGCTGGACGGCCGGAAGTCTTTCCCAATCGACCACGGCCCCACATCTTCGGATGACCTGTTGAAGGTAGCTTTTATAAGCCTACTGGCTGTTCTACACAACAATGTGTATGGGCATTGCCCTGCAGATTTCGTCTACACAAATCTGCATTAATTGCTGAGCCTGCCGACAGTTGTAGTGCTCATGCAGTGTGAACCTCATGCATTTTCTCACTGTCTTGGACAACATGTGTCTCCGAATGCAGGATGCGGCAATGGTGGCAAAGGAGTTCATGGACGGCAACAGCAGCATCAGTTTCAACCTGATAGCTTTCGCAGCGACTCCATCGGAATGAGCTGCCTCCTGTGTTTGCAGCCAGCGCACCTTTGTGATTGGCACCTTGAATTATACGTTTCTGATGCATGGCAAGCAGATCCCGAGGATCCTTTCCCTCTTTTAAGCTTCCCCTTCTTGTATACATGTGCCAAAGGGGCTTGGCATTGTAATGTAAAGACGAATGGCCATGCCCTCAATCTCCCTCGCAGCTTCACACAGCTTCACTAGCGCCTTCACGGGCACCTTTCCAATCTAAGATAAAGAGAGGGAATGTATTAAATAGAATCACACCTGCATCTTCGCCTGAACTTGGAAGGCGAGCAACACCTCCTCTATATTCAGCCAGTTGGGGCCGGCTATCAATGGTTTCTATGTGCCAGTTCAATTGTATGGCTGGCATGCACCCATGATCTGCTTTCCGCTGTACCGACGGCAAAACACTTAGAGTGCACGCATGCATGTATGTAATTTGCATGCATGCAGCCTCACAAGTACCAAATGTAACCCAAAAATCATCTAGGACATTTCGAGAACCCTCCTGTGATAATGCTGAGACTTATTTCATCGTCCTCGGGTTCCTCGAAAATCTGCAGTCGAGAGAGGCAAGTGAACCTGAAGCGCCCAGTCTCACAGTCTAAAGTCTGCAACGACAGTCAACAATGGCTTCTTAGAAAAAGGTTCATCAAGGGGGACATGGTAAGAACAGATTTAAGGCCTGCAGATAGTAAGGATTGAGCAGAGGCATTTATTAGATCACCTTGTTCAGCTTGCGCTCGTAAGCCTCAGTTGAGAGCCACACGGCAGGATCCCCTCACGGAGCTCTGCTCCAAAAATCCTCAGTATGTGCCGGCAATTTGTGCTGTGGGAGAGACATGTCTGACATTTCTGATCCTTCACCCACCCCCAATCTTCAAAAAAAAGTATCACCAGCCCGCACGACATGAAACCTGTGTCCTCTGCTGTCTTGCACCACTTCAAGCTTGTCAGCTGCTAGGTCTGGGACTTGAGCCTCCTGTAACTTCTTCTGCAGTGCTTCTGGGCCGCCAATTGCTTGAAGGAGGGCCTCTGCACATGTGCAGAGTGTTTTTTGGCCCCCAAAGAGGTTTGCTGGCGAGCAGTTGGCAGAGTCTGCCGGTTCATAGAGGCTGCCATTATTTGCTGGGTCTGGGCAGGATGGGATTCTGCAGAAGCTGACCAGGTGATATTCAGCCCCACGAAGCGCAGTGCGAGGAAGCCATATTGCAGGACTTTCAAGGAACTGGTCTCCAGATCATATTGGGGAGTCACGAAGTGAGCCTCCCTACTGTCCTGGCTTTTGCTGAGTAGAATGCAGTCCTCTCTGTTGCTGAATATTGAGCTGAGACATGCGGTCATAGGCTGATAGCTGGTATCCTTGAAGTACTGGCCCTGATCGTCGTCTGATCTGTCCAACTCTTCCTCACGCGCTGCTACGGTTGGCTGGGTGTCTGGCGGCTGAAACTCATTCTCAATATCTAGAACAGAAGACTGATACGTGTAAGCCGTCCTCTGGCGCTTTTGGCCGGCAGGCCTCTGGAAATACTGGGGATGTATAATTTACATGCTGTTTCGGTGGTGCCGTACGATGCAATAAGTGCGAATACCAGCGGTATACCTCAGGAAATGAATGCAATGTCGTGCCGTGTTGTTACAAATTGGGCTTGCAAAACTTTGAGCACGGAGGTCCGATGTACGGTGTTTGCACCTCTTCCGGGAACTCCCGTAGTCCCTTCCACGGGAGGTTACGGAGGTGACGGGAGGGTTACTCGACGGCATCGACTAGATAGACGGAAGGAGCGTCAGCTTCCCAATCAACGGGGCCTTTGCGCATTACCGTTGAACGATAACTCTAGTTTTACTTGTAGTTATTTCAAGTGTGTACGGTCTTCTCAAACTGCCATAACATTTTCTGTGGTCACGTACGGGGAAGGATGTGGAAACTTCATGGGTGTGAGGACGGACGGAGAAAGTTCAAGGACCTAATCGAAGATGGCCGGAGGATAAGGCTGTACAGTAAGGCCCGAGATGGATATCTATACGCCGGTGAAGACCTTTCAGTCCAGCAGGTGGGACCCAGTTGAATAGATTTCCGTACACTCGCGATGGTTTGGCAGTTGCGCCTGAAGCTGTTACCCACTGCAACCCAACGTTGCATTTTACAGCATTTTTTCTTTCAGGTGCACGAGAAGGTTGACGATGAAAGCAGAGAACGCACAGTCTGGGAAGTGCAGCACGCCTTCTTTGAGGGACAAGACTGCATCGCCCTCAAATCTTGCACTTACAAGACCTATCTATCTGCGACCAGTCAGTCCTTTGGCAGCAACAGGTAAGCATTCAGGCATCTACGAGTTCCAAATTGTGTACCTTCTCACCATTCCTAGCTGACACTCTCTGCCAATGCCATCGTTAGATGTTCCCGTAGTACTAGCAATTAGAGCGCCCCGTACAAATCCTCGTACACATGCTGCAGGAGTATTAACCAGGTGAAGCAGGCTGATTGCCTCCTGGCCACCAGAGATCAGCTGTGGGTTCCACACCTCCTGTCAGGCAGCCCCATCGTCAGCATCCGTCTCAAAGGGAGCGCCTGCTGTCTTAAGGGGGAACTTATGGCAAAGAGCGAAACAGAAGGGGTCTTGGGCTTCGGTCGTGCCTGGCAGGACTGCATCACAACGAGGACTGCCCCTCAAGAGAGGCATCTCCCCTACATGCAATGGGACATCCTCCCTTTGGGTGAAGGAGACAAGGTGCATACTCCTGAGTGCCCCAAACTGATTTCGCTAGAGATATCACAACATCTTCCGGACGCCTTCCTTCCTGCAAATCAATCCATTTCTCTGGCTCGTCTGCAGCGTGCACCAGGCTTGCTGCAACATGTTGGCTCAATACAGGCTTCAAGCAAGGTGCTGCAAATGCCGGTTCATTTACCTGGCTTGCATGCGTCTTGCTCCAGTCTTGCCGCATGGAATTGCTCGATGCAAGCTTGCAGCAGATTGTGCTCACTCATTCAGCTTGGCCCCGGCTGGCGAGGGGCAACTATTTTGAGCACCATGCCCACGGATGACTGGGTCTTAAGAGTGCTTGCTTGTATCTGGCGAGTCCAACTAGGCATAGGACCGTGGCAGCCTCCAAGTGCAGCTTGTCTGCAGGACGTACCTTGCCTTTTGGCAGGAAAAGCATGTAATGATAAACCGGCTTGTGTGGGTGGTGCAGTTCAAAGAGGTCAGGCCAGTTAGCGCACCTTATCTGGGCGGCAAGAAAGACATGCACTACTGGGACAATCTGAGTGCCAGGGCCTGCCGCTTGGGTCAGCTGGTGATTCAGTCCGGTGATTCATCAGACTGGGAATTTTTGGCCACTCCCCCACAGATGCTGGACAAAAGTGGCGATTTGAAGCTGGGCAAGATTGGCAGGACTGTCACCTCACTGGAGGACCTCAGCTACTGGAGAGAGTACAGTTATGAGGTGCGTCTATACTGCTGCACATTTTCTTAAGCGCATCTGGACAGCTGCTTGTCAAAAAGCATCCTGAAAGATCTGTGTTCTGTCCTGCACAGATCACAGCGGGTGCATCGGCGCCTGATTTGTCCCTGGATGCCAAAGCGGCAAGCCAGGAAGCACAGGGCTTTGTGCTGAAAAGCCTCGACTGGCAGACGCTGGATTGGAGTCCCAGCACACCCCTCGAACACTACTCGGAAGACCTGTGCAAACTGCTCAAGGAGCACTGTCCCTACTGGCAGGTAATCACCCCATGCTAGCAGCTGTTCAAAGCTTTTGAATCTGGAATACCCATGTGGTAGAGATTCAAGGTGGGCAGGCATGGGTCTGGAGGGTGTTGGGCTCTGATCGCTGTTACTTCAGCTTCGCACAGTGCTAAGAGGGGCTCTGTAGACAATTGCATTGCAGCCCAATAGCTGCAGCTAGCACGCTGCTTTCAAAATCAAATGCAGCTCATGATATCTTAGATTAAAGGCACAAGCACCAAAGTCATTGACCTGACACGGTTGTCTGTTGCAATTGCAGGGAGACGGGCCCCATGCGATGACTAAAGCGCGCATGGGAGTTGTGGCGGGAATAATCACAGCGACAGGCGGGTGCATGTTTACCGGGGGCCGGGCCACACTTCAGGCAGCTGGGAAGCTGAAGCTGAACGGTCATGGGGTGCCCATTGACGCGCATGCCGGCTGGAGCGTGCAGCATGCATCTGCAGCCCACCGCAACCTAAGAGACAACAAGACACAGGCACGCCGTCTTGCTCTTGCAAAGCCTCTGAAGACTTGGCAGTAGAATGCAGTGGTCATCAAGCCTGCTGGCCAGTGTCGGGCCCCTTTATTGACTTGAGCCCCCAGAGACTTATCATTGGATTACTCGCTTCATATAATTCCCCACAACACTTCTGGACCAGCACTCCTTTTAAGCTCCCAGAATTGGAGCCACAATTCAACATGTTTGCCAGACAAACTCCTGACACTTTTAGGCCGACGACCCATGCTGTGATGCAGGTAGTGGCGTATGCAGTCAAGGAGATTGACTGGAGCATGCCAGCGCACCCCAAAATCAGCTCCAAGTTTGTGTGCAGTCCACCTCAGCAGGCCGACAAGAAGAGCATGATCCCCTCAGTCTGGGGGGTCCCGGAACGCCACAGCTGCAAATGCTGCTGAAAGGGGCGATGTTTACAAGAGTTTATGTAATGTATTTAAGGATGAGAAGGTGTCTTTTTAAGCTGTCATTGGGCTATCTTTTCATAGACAGCCCAAGTAACATGCATTCCATTTCTTCAAAATGTATCATGTACTCGTGGCTGCTTTGCCAGACCAGGCCCAGTTGGTTGTGATAATTCATTTTCAAATATTATGTCTCGGTGAGCAGGTCCTGATTCAATAATGACTGGCAGAGGGCTTCCAGCTGCCTCAAGCAGCTGCATTACAGTAAGAAGATGCAACAGCAGGGTGGCTTGAATGCTATCGAGTTTTTTTTTCACTGTATATGTATGGTCAAGGTTGTTGTTGTTGCGTGTGTTCACATCTTATATGTACATTTGATGTTTTTTTTACTCGAGGTTCTGAGCCTTTCATCTTTTTGTACTGTATGACACAATGATGAGAGACTTCACGAGATATCGATCAAAGTTTCTGAGGGTGGTTGCTTGCTCCAGACATTCGAATGTCTTTGAAGCACCGCGATGAAACAAGCAAAGCTTTGGTATAAGGAACAAGTCAGAGATAGTTGTAATTCCAAGATTTCTTCGAAAATAGACAGCTCTATTTCCCAGAAATTTTGAAGTGTGGTGGGAAGAAATAATCTTCCCTTTCAGATCTACCAAATTATTATCAAGTGCTCAACCACATTGTGGACACACGATCAGTGCCAATTATCAGTTCAAGCGCCTATCCGGGCTATGCACTCCATGCTTGCAGCCTCATAGGTGTGATGCCGCCACAGCCAAGCTTGCATCCATCTCAGGCAGTCCAGCCAGCAGCTCAAATGGTGCCACCTGAAACCCATCACAAGCAGCGTCACCCACTTGCAAGCATCCGCCAGTCCAATGCTATTATCCAAGAAGCTGCAAGAGCCTGTCCCAAGTAGAGGACAGCAGCAGCTGCTCTAATACAGTGGAGCTCCTCCCCAGCCTTCATATCCACAACTCTGTCATCCTGCCAGTATTTCTGCATCCTTGCCAGAAATGTGTGAGTCCATCATAGCCCTTACCTGCATCTACCAGCCTTCACTGCAGCTTTTCTGCAGACTCACCTTGCCTCTGGCAGGAAAATCGTGGATTAGAAAAGCGAGAAATGTGAATGCCCCAGAGAGAGAGAGAGAGTCCAAAGTCGTGCAGAAAAATTACATATTCTGTGGTGTGTCAATCAGTCAGGATGAGTAATCGATTAGTACCTGGTTGAGGCCGTCCTGCCAGGAGATCTGGACGGCGTAGTTGCCCAGCGGCTGCACGGAAGCCGGCGCCACGTCATCCGCCACGTCAGCATCGTTCAGAATCTTCTCCCCCGTCCACTCGTTGATGCTCTTCGCGCTCGTGTCGTTGCGCCTGACCACTGCCGGATGCAGGTAGAACTCTGGGCGGCCGCTGTCCGGCAGGCTCACAACAAACGCCCTCAGGTCCTCGTCGTACCTGCACGTAGTAGGAACAGAGCAGGTCAATCCCACACCAGGGACTTTAGGCAAGACAGGAGGTAGGATGCCTATATGCTTTGCCTGGTGATGCACACATGCAAGGCTGGTTGCAACCTCCCCACAGCCTCAGAGCGACAGCCTCAAAGACTTTCAGTTGCCTAGCAAACCTCAAGGTTTTAGATGAAAGTCAGTCCATGAGGCCGGCAAGCTGATCAGCGTAGCAACATATGCCAAGCTGCTCCCGTGGTGCTGTGATGTGGGGGCCATGTGGCTAAGACTGTCAGCGCTACTGTTGCACCATCAACACCTGGCAAGACGCCAAGCACTAAAGTGATGGCATTTGCTCGCCGATTGACACCAACTGACCAAAATGAGGGCGTGTTTGAGGGGCAAGACATAGATTTCTTTGCGGTCGCAATCTGCAGGCAGTCACCTGACGGCGTTGCGTTGGGCGCGCTGCAGCTTGGCGACCTCGCGCACCACAATGGCGCCCAACTCCATGAACGACTCCGCAGGCACTGACGCAGGATCTGACACCACCAACGGCCGCCCACCTGCGCAGGAGCGTTCCCTTGTCTGTCAGTCCAGTTTAAAAAGTGAATGCACCACTCCATTGACAACGATTACGCTGGGGAGCTCTGCAGGGGCATCTGCACCCGGGCAATCTGTGCAGCCTCCCAAATCAATCAGGCCCTCTATCATCTGTGCAGCTGCGCATCAGCAATCTGCACCCCATTGATCAGCACCAGCAGCTTCCCTCAAACCATGTTATGGCACATTCCTTGCCAGAAGTGCTTGTAATGTGCGCCAAACACTGCTAGCCATATTTGAAAGTCGCATAGAGCATGCCTTTCTTGCTGGTTTCGTGCAGAAGTCTCAGGTGTGCACCAGAAGAAGGGGGATGAATTGAAACTAAAGCTGTTAGGGTCAGGACCAGGCAAACGGTTATGCCCTTTGAAAGGGGGGGTATAGGAGGCTTTGTCTCGCACCGTCGCCGGCGGCAGAGAGCTCTGGAAGGATGGGGAATCGGACAAGGTAGGGGACATTGGAAAAGAATTTCAGGCTCACAATGAGGCTGGAATCTGCCCCAATCGTCCCAACCCTGCATTCACCCGGTAAGGGTGATTCAGTAGGGGTCTGTAACGCACCGTCGCCGGCGGCAGAGAGCTCCGGGAGGATTGGGAAGTGAACGAGGTGCGGGATGCCGAAGTCCGCTTTTATCCGGTCCCCCGAGCCGGTGCCGAAGGGGTGGTAGCGCGTGCCGTCGTCGCCGTCGAAGAAGGACATGTTTTCGGCGACGGCCGCGCATGGGACGGCCATTCGCGCAAACATGCGGATGCCCTTTGCCACGTCCACGAAGGCCAGCTTCTGGGGCGTTGTCACTATCACTGCCGCAGAAAATTGCACCGTCTGCGAATGCGCCAAATAAATGCGCTCAGTGACGTGCTCATTTCAAGATACTTCCTTTCAGCTAGGGTTAAATCAGCTCAACTCAGCGCAATTCATTTTGACACAGCTGAACTCAGCTTCATGACTCTGAATAAGTTGCTTTCAGTTTGGTTCAGGGCACCTCAGCTCAGCTGAGTTTAACTCACTGTCACAAGAGTTCAAGTCGAACCAGTTGAGCGTACTTCGATATATTTCTTCTCACTTCAATTGCCCCCAAGGGTTGGTTTCAGCGGCAGTAGGCAATCAACACTGGTAAAAGAAATCCTCTGTGCTGAGCAGTTACGCACTGTCACTGCCGCAACTTTGGACGGCAAATTATCTGAGTCAGCACACCTGACAGAGGGTGAGCTGGATGTCTCCAGTGCCGGGAGGAAAGTCCACGACCAAGTAGTCCAGCTTGCCCCAGTTCGCAGACGTCAGTAGCTGCTGGATAACACCTGCGCAGCACGCCACACCGTCGTTACTTTTCCAAAGCTATCTCTGCAACTCTGACATCCATAGCAAGCGCGCCCCCAAAAAGGTCACTCTGCAGAGCATGCCAAGACAACCAGAGGTGCAGCACCATCGTGGCTGCATGCTGCTTGCAAAGCACAAAAGATTTTTTTTCACATGCAGCAGTCCTCTGATTATAATCTTTGCAACCGTGCCAAACACACAGGGCGCAGCATCCTAGACACGAACTGCAAGGCAGGCAATTCCATCGTGCACGGTGCTTTCATGTCAAAGTGCGGAGTAGCGGTTTTGGTGGACTTGAGCTTCTGATGGGATCTCATTGCCTCTTGATAACCTGTGACACCGGGAGCATGCCATGCAGCTCAGATGAGGCTAATTAAGGACAGTGGTCACAATGCAGCGAAAGAAGCAGCCGCACCTGAAACCATGGGACCGCGCATGATGGCACTGCCCTGGCCGGCGAAGCCGAAGGACATCAATTTGACGCCCTCGTACTCGGTGGGGTTGATGGTGCGAGTCTCAGGGTCCATAATTAATACCCTGACCTCCGGGCTGACCATCGTGGGCAGGCTTGGGCCGTACACGTCAGCGTCAAATATGCCCACCTGCGCCCATTACAACATTCTCACAAATCCTTGTCAGGGTTCAACCATGCGTATATCAGGGTTTTGGATAACAGGGGCCCTGCGCCAGCACTGTCTTCAAGCATACCTGCTTTGAATGTTTTGTAATAGAATGCACCGCCTAGAGGCCAAGCTCGTGCCTCAGGGTCCAGTGCATCAATCCATACTGTGATCTGGTGTAAGCGGATCTTGGATTGCTTAAGAGCCGACATTTTGTATTGAATGGGGTCTAGTAAGAGTAGTGCCCACCTTGGCGCCCATCTGCGCGAGGGTGTACGCCAGGTTCACCGCCACCGTCGACTTCCCCACCCCTGCTCGCACAGCAGGGTCAGGGCTTTAAAAAACCCTCCTGTAAATTGATGAGCAGCCCTCGAGAGACTTATCTGAAGTCTCTCAGTCTAGTCTTAGAAACAGGATATTCCTGTGACAGCCTCACAGGATGCGATGGCAGAGAACACAAGCTGTATGAAGGGGGCGAATTTGCGTAGTGCATCTGAAGGGATGAACTCCTGCAGAGTGAAACCAGGCAATGCCTGTGAGAAGCTGCTGCGCACCTCCCTTGCAGCTGGACACAGCTATGATGTGGGTGACATCCTTTAAGCCTCCCACTCGGCCGTCGTCCGGTGCGAGTGGCCGCTGCGGCTGAGCTGTCATGGTTACGTCAACCTGGACACACCAAGTCCTTGTTTGGAAAGCTGGAGAGCCAGCAAGCTTACTGCAAGCATTGCAAATGGACGATCTTTCCCTCAATGCTGGCCTCTGCCACACGCATCTCCGACCGATCCAAATGGCTTTCAAGCCTCACATAAGCTAGACTCATAATTCTAAACTATTGCTATATGCTTTCCATGGGCCCTGTTCTTGTTGGCTCTGCCAAATCAGGTGTCCCTTCAGATCCTTTCATGTAGCTGCTCACAGGTTCCTGCAAGCCCCCTTCTGCGTTTGTGTAATCGGCGAGCACCTAACACCAAAAAGTGACACCGCAGGCTTTTGCATTGAGTTCTTCAAGTACAGCTACAGTCAGCAAAGCTCCACACCTGTTCCACCCACTCCAGCTGGCCGACATACTGGCGAGCCTTTTGCTCAAACTCGTCCTTGATGGGGCAGGCAGGCGTGGTCAGCTCCAGGGCAAATTGCACCTGCCCAGCCTCGGGGTCAACCGCCAGGTTCTTCACAAACCCGCAGGAGACTATGTCCTGCCCAAAGTCAGGATCGATGATGCGCGCAAGCTCCCGCAGCACCTGCTCCTTGCCGGCCTCTTGGGTCACCTGCGTGCATGTTGCGCGCACATGGTTCACAATGTGCAGACAGAATGGTCGTCTGCTTATGCGCAAAAACACGCTGCTGTGTATAGATAGGACAATCCTGATCTCAAAGATGGCCAGAAGGGCTTGGAACCATCTGATCAGCGATTGAAAGATGCGGGGGCTTTAAGAGGCATGTAGATGGGAAAGTGCTCACTCTGGCAGTTACAGGCTCGGAGGTGCTCACAGCGGCTGAAAGCCTGCTCTCAGCCGACCACTGTGGCCACTCGGCAGCTCCGAAAGACTGCCTGCCGCCCAAAGATCGCTGTGCATGGCTCTCTGAAGCTGCTGAGCTGCCCAGGAATGCTACTGTGCGTCCCACCACAGTAGACCCTTTCTGTGCCCAATGACCTGTGTGTCTGCTGGTCGATCTTTGTGAAAGGAAAGGCCGAGAAGCCGGTAGCAGATGCAGGTCGCACTGCATATGCACCGCCGTTGTGGCTGGCGTCATCGTGGTTTCTGTATCGCAGAGTTTCGCAGTGATGAGCAGCGGCGAGACGACTTTTTATGACGCAACCAGAGATTCAACGATTACGCAATTGGCAGCAGACTGTCTAGTACAACCGATGAATGGTGTGCAGCTCCTATCACGGGACTGCAAACTTGTAACGAAGCTCAAAAAACGATGTGCATCTACACACAAAGAACCAGAGCTTTGAAGAAGTCTTGTTTGGAGATTGAGCACTTTACTTGCCGCAAATATCCATTTGCAAAGTGTCACTTGCGCAAGAGGATCAAGATAGAGCTGGGATGCCAGGAACGCCTCATGGCTGATGTCCGCATGTGCCAGCATGGCGCCGTGCTTCGAGCGAAACGCTGTTGAGCCGTGAAGGCACGTTTTGCACGTGATTTGGATATCTTGTTGCACGCAGACGCACCTTGCCTCTTGGCAGGAACAGGCGTTTGATAATAAAAGTAGAAAGTATTGCAATTTTTGCTGCGTAGGTGATCATACTTTTGCCGGTCCCAAGCTCTCAATATCACTCTTGTATAAAACAAGATGATCGAGCGCACACGGCATTCCTCTGCTTGGTCATGGTCGTGCGTGCAACAGGAAGCAAGGAACCGGGTTAGAGTACACATAAAAGACGCTTGTAGTGTCAGATCTTGCTATAGCTGAGCGTTTGATTTTCCTGGCTCGAAGGGCAGGAACGCCCCCGTACGGACAGGGACGAACTTAAAGCGCAGGAAGAAATGCCTTCACGAATTGAAAATTCCAAATCATTATGCATGCAACCCCGAATTATGCCCACTGATCATCTCAAGGAACCTGAGCATACTGCAGATATCCCCAGGCGAAAGCGAGGACCCAATTATAAGAACCTGTGGCCATTGGCGCTTGGTAAGAACCCATATCAGATAAATTTGCTCGTGCAATAGCATTGAAATAGATTCGTTATGGAGGAACGGCGTGCTTCGAGTCAGCCACGAGTTCACATCAAAGCTTGCTTGATGTTTATTCCTTCCACTGTCACTGTGACACCCAACACAAGGCAACGCATTGCCAGATGCAGAACATGTATAAGGGATCTTAGTTTTTTTTGTGCATGCGCAGCTCCCCTATTCCCTGGGATCGTCATAGCCTTCCGGTGCGAGTGTGCAAATGTTGTACTGCACCCATGCATATTCCATGATTCGACCTGATGGTTTAGGAGGAATGACAGAGAGTAAACCCTCATAGCTCCATCTGCAGGAAGCAGCCAGTGTTGAGGACGCGATTGTTGTTTGGAACAGCAGCCCTTGTTCTGGTGGGGGCTCACCACAGCGCCATGTCCACCAGCATCGAGACTAAATAGCAGGAAGGCTTACCTGGCCATTCATTTCAGCCAGCCGAACGGCAAGAGGCAGCTTGCAGTCTTCTTTGTATCACCCACACATCATTCAAGGCCAGCTTGGATAGCAGAGGAAGATCAGCCCATCTGAGCCAACTGACAGCCCAGAAGACTGGGAGATCAGGTTTAACAAGCAGCAGCGGGGCTCAGCACAACGGCAGACAAAGCTGAGGCCCGGGTGCTTGATAGGCAGACAGGGCTGGGCTTGACCTAGCGCATGTCTGCTGCTGAGGCTGCCAAAGTCCCCAGCAAGCCCCAGGACGGGTGAGGCTCGTCCTGCTGTCCATAAAAATATTCTGCATGGCCTGTACATTCGATCAATTCAAGAATAGGCTTGCAAGCTTGGATATCACAGATGACAGTGCATGGCCCCGAATCGTAGTCAGAGCATAAACTATCCTGCGAGCTTGGTTCCAAGCACACGGCCACTGCTACATGATGAAACACTGGGGAAAGGAGGCCGGGGCAGTGACTTCAAAGCAAGTGTGCAACTGCAGGGAGACAGAGAAAAGTCAGCTGCTGAGCGAGCAGAAGCTTGCTTCGCCCAGGGGCCAGAGGAGCATGGCCAAGGCTTTGTCGCCCGCCATGCTGCGGGTATGCCTCCCTTTGGAATTCAAGATTGTATCTTAGATATTACTGTGCGCCAAGAGAGTTCTGTATCAGGAAGACGTCCTCACAGCAAAGGGATTTGCTCAAATTTGTATTGTGGCAAGCGACGGGGAAGGCAAGGGGTTGGAAAGTGACCTGCTGGCATCAAGGCATCTTGAGCAATCCTCATTGGCCACGCGTGGTATATCGCAATAGCAAACACAATGACACATGCATGACAAACTTTGCATGACTAATGGCTGCAGGCAGCGACAGTGGCGGCGTGCGTGGCGTGGATGGGTGTGTCCTCGGGGCTGATCATGGTCAACAAATACCTGATGTCCACTGACGGCTTCCACTACCCCATGGCCCTCTCCTGCCTCGGGATGCTCTTCTCCTCTGTCGCCTCCTGGTTTGCCTGTAGGGTAGGCCCCCGTCTCACCTGCTGCTGGGCCGCCACTTTCACTCCATATTTCTCTAATGGCTTGATGCTTCAAGGAGAAAGGAAAAGTATGCCCATAACTTGTGCCACCCTTCCCTGCAAATGCATGCTGCCCACTGATCGCAGAGCAACAATGCCAGGCACGAATGTCTAGCCTTGTTGGGGGGCCACTGTATCGATCATCATCCTATGAGATTGTCTCATCCTTTTATATCTGCAACCATGCATCCTGGCTTTTGTCCCTCTGCTGCATCTGCCCTGCACAATGCATGCGCAGCAACGAGCCCGTCATGCCACCACTTTCTGTCGCCCGGCATATTTTGAACTTCAACTTCAAACTTACCTGTTTGCATGCAGGTGATAAGGGTGGTGGAGGTGAACCGCGTGCTGACGTGGCGCTTCTATTTTGCGCGGATTCTGCCGGTCGGTTTCTTCATGGCGCTGACTTTGCACTTTGGCAACATCGTGTACCTCTACCTCACCGTCTCATTCATCCAAATGCTCAAGGTGGGGCCCCTTGTTTTGTGCCACCTCTTGTACTGGCTTTGCTGAAGTGTATAAGGGTGGGGGATCCACAAAAAACCCATATCCATGGTCAAAGTGGGCGTGCATTTTTATCATGAGCGTCAACAAGAGTACTATGTCTCCTCATGCCCTGGCCCATCATCACCATGCTGGCTGCCAGGCATGCACTTCCCATAATTGCGCGGCCCCTTACGCATAAATCCCTTCTGTATTTGCTCTCTTGATGTGAATGTCCTCCTGGCATGCCCGGCTGACTGCTGCGCCCGTCTCAGCCTTCACTGACACCGCCAGACTTTGCAGTCAAGACAACCATAGAAAGACCGCAGCCTCATTTGCAGTCACGGAGAGCACCATCTTGTTGCCTGATTGGATCAGCCTCGTTATCATGAGGATCAATGCGAGAAGCTTTCACAGCTGTTTGTGTCACAGAGGATCACAACTGCATGTGCGCGCAGGCCTTCACGCCGATCATAACCATGCTGGCGCTGTTCGTAGCGCGGCTGGAGGACCCCTCCCAGCGCCTGATAGTGGCTGTTCTGCTGATAGCGCTGGGCACGGCGATGGCGTCCTATGGCGAGGTCAACATGAGCTGGCTGGGCCTCACCTTCATGTTTGCGTCCGAGACCTTTGAGGCCATCCGCCTCGTCATGACCCAGATGCTGCTTGTGGGGCTCAAATTTCACCCCAGTGAGCTCTCTGACTCTGACGCTGCCGAAGTGTGCATGTATTTAGTTGGTCTGTTATGCCCTCGTCCTACTCGTCCATTTGCTGCCAACAGATATAATGTCGAGCACCTTTCGTTGCATACAAAATCTATGTCCTGGCTGATGCAGAAGTGCAGGCCAATGCTTGAGCCTGAAAATGCTCCCTTGCTGATCTCACCACCACCGTCACTCTCTGCATGCATTTCATGTGGATGTGCGGCCAAATGCTTCCGCTCAGTCCATTCGAAGAATCACATGGCTTGGTTGCTGGAAGCGTCTCCCGCATGCTCTTCTGTTCAAGCTTCTTCTCGCGTCCCAATTTTGATTTAACCACTACAAATCCCATGAAATCAGGGCTCTTATGGCTGCTTGGTGCTGCGCAGTTGAGGGGCTGATGTACCTGGCGCCGGCGTGTTCGCTGTGGCTGCTGCTGGGAATAGCGCTGGTCGAATGGCCACGCATGGCAGAGGAAGGCGCGCTGGGGCTCATGGCCGCCAAGCCGCTGCTGTACCTCTCAGCCGCCGCCATGGGCTTTGGAGTCAACTCCCTGGCCTACATCGTGATCCAGCTCGCCTCCTCACTCACCCTCAAGGTGCTCGCGCGTGCCATTCTATATTTGCAATTCTCTTTGCACAGATGCGTGAACCTTTCCGATCGAGGACTGAATTTGCAAGAGCACAAGGCCCTGCCACAATCCTTCACAGAAGATCTAAATTACCAAGGTGTGAAGACCCTTCTATTGTTGAGAAATTGAGAAGAATTGAAAAGAAAACATGCTGGATGTGGATTAATTGGGGGCTCTACAGCACAGTGTCAGGAACAGTTCTGTCAGTCAGAGGTGCTGTCATCCTTTCAAGCTGGTGTGCTCATATTCTTGGTGCGGTGTTTCCTAAGACTTCAGACCTAATGGCACGATTGAGGGCCGTTTATGGAAAGATGCGCCAGGTGTCTTGTAATACCGCACGATCATCCTGGGTAACATGCCTTTTTGTCGAGCTCAGTCTGGACGTTGCATGCTACCGTCGTGAGACCTGCAGTATTGCAAACATCTGGGTTCTAAAAGCCGTCGTTGCTGCACTGTACATCTCCGCATCGGGAGGAGGATTTGATTTAATCTGTATTTGGGGGTACTGCTGCCAGGTGCTGGGCACGGCGAAGAATGCTCTGGTGGTCTGGATGGGCATCATCTTCCTGGCAGAGCTGGTGACACCTCTACAGGTGAGCAACACTTTCTCCCACCTGACCTCGGCCTTGTTCAACCATTGTCAGCCTGCTATAGGGCTGCGTGTCTTAAGGTCGGGGTGCCTTGTAAAATCCCAACTTTGGTGTTGCGTGTTCATGGGTAGCTCTGGCAGCTCCGCCTTTGAGGCAAGCACTGCATTGGCTCAACGATATCGCTGTGGGATTGTCTCTGGAGAAACCACATGGCTGGATCCCTGGGCCATTACGCTGCTTGCTCCATATGCTGCGCTGCCAGGGCTCTATTTCCCAGACTCCCTGACCATTCAATTTTACTTAAGCATGTTCCTGCACACTTTGGTAGTGCACGCTGGGATCTGCAGGGCGTGTCTCTTAGGCGGCATCTTCCAAGCCATGCCTGTCTCTGCGAGTCACCAAACCCGTCCTTCGGAAACCTGAGTCATGGCCGTGAGATCTCACCGGGCCAGGGCCCTTGCACCCACTACTGCTGATGCGCGCTGTACCGCGCAGGGCTTGTCTTTGAAGGTTTACCTTCCATGTTGTGCACATCTCTGCAGGGAATTCCCACTGATGCGCGCTGCGCTGCGCAGAGCTCATCTTCGACTTCCTGTCTAATGTATATTTTTGTAGAGTTTGCTGATGCGCATTGTGCACTGCAGGGCCTGGGCTACGCGGTGAGTCTGGCGGGTTTCTTCTGGTACAACTACATCAAGATGCAGAAGGGGCCGCCCGTGGCCGCCAACCCGACGCCGCCGCGCCGCAGCGACTACACAATTGTGTCCGAGAGGGACCCCGATGCGCAGAAGGGGGAGGTCTGACGCGCCCGATCTGCCTCGCGTGCGGCACGTGATGGCACATGCCGGCAGCTGCTGCCACTACCGCACGGCGCTGTTGAGGTGCAAAGACCAAGGGTGGGCGTAGGACAGGGCTTGCCTGCGTCACGTGATGGCACATGCTGGCAGCTGCCGTGACCGCACGGGTGCTATGCTCGGACCCCTGCTGAGGAGCTGAAGGTATTGGGCTGCATGGGGCATGTGAGGGGACATGCTAGCATGGATTGCAGCAAGAATGGACGTGCTGTCTCAGCCAATAGCGGGCAAATTGGGAGACACCCAAAGTGCAGCAGGCTTCGCCCGTTGACCTTGACATCAGGGTGTTTGCAGCCGTATGGGCGTGTGCATCGCAAAATGGTATGGAAATGGGGTGAACTTGTGGCACGCATGCAGCTGGAACAAACCAGTGGCAGTAGCACTGGGTGCCCAAAAAATTTGAGATCCAATGTCCAGTATTGATGTCATCTGACCATGCATGTGACCTGACTGGGGTGTTATTAATATCATTACAAGGTGGGCGAACCCAAAGCCAGGAGTGTGCAGACAGTAAACGCATCGAAGATATCTTAGCACAAGATACGCTGGTGCGTTTTAATAAATTTGATGTTGACATCAACACGTAAGGTGTTCTTGCACGCTGACAGCAGTAATGTCGCCTGCTGCTATGTACCCTAACATAAGCGTGCCCCACCTCTTCAGCTCTGTAGAAATTGCAGTCTCAGCATATGAATGTTTGCTTTTGTTTGGGATTCAACGGGATTTGATGAGGGATTTCATGGCTGTCACCAATTGGGCTACAAGAACTGGTGTTCCGCTCCTCCCACAAGTTAGAAGCTCCTGCAGGATTTGGGGCTTGGACCCCCGAAAGGGCACACATTATAGTCATCACTTGCAAGACAAGCCTTTAGGAAAGCTGAAGGGAGCCCCTAGGGCCTCGCACAAATTCTTTTCCATGCATGCCATCAGTATCAGTAAACATAACATAACATAATGCAGTCGCATGACCAAGGATGCAGCTGCTGGGAAGGTCTTCTTCTGCGTCCAATCCCCCAGTCAAGAGGGAAATATGCTCATTTTGCTGTCAGCTTGGCAGCTCATGGATGCAAAGAGGAACGCTTGGGAGGGAAGGAGTTTGCGGTATGTCCCGGTCAGAAGCGAAAGCACATAAGCAACGTTTGATTTTGCCTGCGACAGCTGGAGATATTCGACGTATATACGATATTCGCCCTCGAAGAGCCCTCGTTTGAGATATGAAGGCAATTTTGAGGAAACTTGACACTGTGGATTGCGTCCTTGGATCAAGGTGCTAAAAAAGCGCGGACGACAGCCTGACTCAGGCTGTCGGAGCACTACAAGGCGTCTGCAGTTCTGTCCGTTGACCAGATGACTGTCAGCTATGGCTCGTGAGCCACCAATAAGAATCAGAGAGTAACAAGCAGAGGATGCATATGTCAAGGACTGGATTGATATCAACAGCGGGCAGAAGTGCAACGAACGAAAAGGTAACAGGATGTTAGTGAGTCAGCGTCTCATCTTTCTTTCTTACGCAGGCGCACTGGAGGTTCTTCTATGCTTCAAACACTGTCATTCGCGTTATGTTTTTCGACGATGCTCAGCATTGCCAGCTGCCAATCTGCTGGTAAGGTCTTTCGGAAAGAGATTTTGTTCTGATCTGCCGAACCGCTCAGCGAAGTCTCACAGCAGGACTCTATAACCTCTTGTTCTGTTCAACAGATCCGACAGAATATATTAACAAGACGCTCTGTGACGTCTCTGACGCGCTGAGCTATGTCACACTGGCCTCCAAGGCTGACCTCAACAATGAGGCCAAAGCGAGGTCAACAGATGACTCAGCCCTCGCCAGGCAGATCAGTCAAGTGACCATCCAGATGGCAAAGCTCACGGTAGGCCGCCAAAGCTGCCTCTCTGTCTGCCTGAGCAGATCAGGCAGATTGTGTTAGGCAAACCATTCACTAGTGGTGTGACTTGTGCTGCTTTCACTAGTGCAGCTTCTGCTGTCAAGGCAGAAGCCCCTGCTTACCATGCTGGAAAGTGTGTCTGCAGATCTCTACTTGCTGCTGAACTCACCAGTCCTTAGAACAGCTTCTGCTGTGCTGTCAGGGTCCTGCTATCGGGGCTGGCAAGTCTGTCCGCTTATTCTCAAGATCAGGGCAAAAACATGAGCTACGACGAATTCTGTGCTGCAGGCTGCGGTCGTAGCGCTGGAAGCCGAAGGGGCGACTGGGTCTCCAGGCATCCCAGGCACTCCAGGTGAGGGACACTTCTGCCTCCCTGACCAAATTAAGACATTGGCTGCTCTCAAGAACAGCCCTTACTACTCCAATCCAGGAGGATCACTTATCCCTATGCTGGACTGTAGTGAGATCTAGTGAGATCTATGTCAGAGACTCGTCAGCAAGGAGAAGACCCAAGCTGCTGCCATCCCCACCTTTGGAGCAGGCTGAGGACTTCCTCTTTTTTCGTCACTAACGAGTAGAAGAAAATCCAAAGACGCAGCAGAAATTGCTGACACTGGTGGTGACCCAATTATTGATGGATTGCTTCAGGAACTCCAGGGCTGGCCGGTGCTTCTGGACCAACCGGCACCACAGGGCTGATGGGACTAAGCCTCACTGGACCAACTGGATACACCGGTGCAACGGGAGACACTGGAATGCAAGGCCCCAAAGGTGAATTTCTTTACATCCTTGCCATGGTTTGTGCCCATGGTTGATTGGGTCTCGCTTGGATCTGGCAAGTCAGACAAGGGGTGCAGCCTAAACTGCAGCTTGTCTGCAGGATGCACCTTGCCTCTTGGCAGGAAAAGAGTGTGACAATCATCATAATCATCCTCAAAATGATTTAAGCAAAATCCCTTGCGTAGTAGGAAGGCACCAAAGACGCAGGCTGCAACTGTGCAGACTGCAGTTCTCTTCAATGATGTTGTTAAGTGCCTGCTTTCGACAATGGTAGTTGAATTCTACTTAATCTGGCTGTTACCTGCAGGTGTCACCGGTGTAGTGGGACGACCTGGAGAGCAAGGCCCAACAGGTAGTTACTTGATTTTCTGATGATATTTAGACCATCTTCGTTTAAGCCTTTGCTACACTGCAGCACACACGAGCTGTGATCAAGCAATCAAAGCAAGCAGAGCACAGCAGGACATGATAAGTTGGTGTGACGTTTTGTAAATGTCTTTATGAATTTGTTGTCCGTATGTGGCACTGCAGGGGAGACTAGTCCGACAGGCGACACCGGCATCACTGGCCCAACAGGTCCGTACACTAGAGCATGTGCTTGCACCTGCACAAGCATGCTTGCATTTGCGCAAGCATGCCTGCACCTCCTTAGCCTCTTGCATGCCGATCAGGCAGCGCTTTATGGAAGTGTTGCGTTGGCCTAGCCTACAATCCGGAGCTGTCTCCATTAAACCAGTCACTCAGATGCAGAGCTGCTGCAGCCTTCAGTGTTGCTGTTTTCCCTGGAATGAGCTCATCTGGCCCCTTCGCACCCCTAAACACTGTACATGTATTGTATCTGGCCCGGCTGGCGGGGGCGCTAAGAATACTGAGCACCGTGACCACGGGTGATTGAGTCTTGCTTGGATCTGGCGAGTCCAACAAGGGATGAAATTTTGGCAGCCTTAACGTGCAGCTTGTCTGTAGACGCACCTTGCCTCGGCAGGAAAAGCATGAAGTGATGATCAAGAGTGCATGTTCTGTACAGGGGACACCGGCGTCACTGGTCCAACCGGAGACACTGGAGCCACGGGAGACACCGGCCCAACAGGTGCGCGCATGTGCCTGCTTGATGCCCACACCTGCCCAAGCATGCACTGTCCTCACTGCTTATCTGACAAAAGTTTGCCAGACTTTGTTGCTTGGAAGCCAAGCTTCCTATTCAGACACTGTGCATGCTATTTTCTGAATGCCAAAGTGCTCAGATCAGCTTGCAGGCAACCTGCTTTCTAGAAGCTTTCGTTTTAGCGTTTCGCGAACACTAGCTCTTGTTCTTGTAAGCCACCGCTTGGTGCATCTGAGAATGTTCTGCTGCACTGGCCTTTGGAAAATTTTGGCAAAGCAGATTCTCAATGGTGCATCTGAACATGTCTTGCTCGACCGGTATGCTGTATGTTTTGGCTTGTATGAGTATTGCTATAGCAGTCTCAAGCGCGGTGCATGTGAATTTTTTTTTGCCGGCGCTGAGGGCGTCTGTGAACAGTGTGATGCGTGCAGGCGGCTGCCCCTTTGCCGGCCACGCGGCCGAGAGCCTCAACTTCACAGAGCCCCAGGGCACTACCGCCACAGCCCTGTCCCAGTACATATCCTCCACCGCGAATTTCTTGCCGCAGAGCCTTGCACAGACCTTCCTCTCCCCTCCAACCGGCGCCAGCCTCGCGAGCATTGCGTTCACATTCCTCTCGGCGAATTTCCTTGGAGAGGTCACCTTTGCCGGGTACGTCTACGAGTGGGACGTCGCCGCGGACGGGCCCGTTGGACAGGCCATATTCGCGAGTCCCCCGGCCGTCTCCACCGCGCCGCCACCACCGGACGGGGGGGCCTACATTACCGTCTTCAATTCGACGACGTGCGCCGCGCTCGCGGCAAACACCACATACGCGGCGATTCTGTCGACGGCCGGGTATTTCACCGCCGATCAGAGGCTGGATCTGGTGTCCATTGCTCAAGGGATTGACCCATACCCGAATGGAAATCTGTTTATTGCGTCGGGTGGGGCAATTAGCAATGACACCCAGCACTTCACAAGCACCACCTGGGCGCCATACTCATCCAGCCGGGTAGAAGACATTGCCTTTGCTGTCACGTACCTGTGACTGCATTTGATGGCATTTGGACCGACGGAGGAGCGCTAGCAAAGCTTGCTCAGCAGACCTTGTGGATATTTGTTGATCATGCATGGGGCTTTCACGGGCATTGTTCTGTACTGCTGAAGATGCACCGCATGGGAGGGCAATGTGTACATATCAGGCCTGTCATGGTGCCTGTTTGCATGCAGTGCATTGCTACATCAACGGACAGTCATGTATAGCCGCATGGCATGCACAGCATTGCAACTAGAGCCGGCCTCATTGCTTGTATCAGCTAGAGGAGGGCGTTCTGCATTTATTGTCATTATTAATATTACACGCTTTTCTTGGCAAAAGGCAAGGTACGTCCTGCAGACAAGCTGCAGTTAAAGGCTGTTACAATCCTACCCCTTGTTGGACTCGCCAGATTCAAGCAAGACCCAATCAACCGTCACGGTGGACACGGTGCTCACTATTTGTACCGCCCCCCGCCAGCCGGGTTCTGCATTTGTGAATGGTGTCATGTCATTTGGGCGTCGTAAAAGGCATGCTCGACAGATGGACACAGCTAATGTTAACACAACTGCATGCAACTCCAATATGTCCAAAATGGCAGAATGCTGAACCCAGTGCCAGCATCAGTCAACCACAAAACCCTAGCTTTAAATCGAGGGTGAATCTGAGTAGCATCCAGGATTCTCTTGTACGACGGTGCTGAAGACTAGGCTCTGCTCTCCCCCTGTCATCCATTTGTTGCACAGAGAAGGGTGGGGCTTGAATGCGGCTGGTGTTTCTTGCAAATTTGCTAGCGTCGTACTGGTGAGTACCATGACTTGTAACAGTCTGTGCGCGTGCCAATACATGCAAAACAAGATTCATATAAGTTCGGAGTATATGGCAGGAGTGCTTATATCCAGGGGTGCTTGCGCAAATGTTGGAAGTGCAGCTGAGTCAGAGCGCTTCAACGTTTTTTCCGTTCCCGAAAACAAACTGCTCTCAAGGCCGCATGATGCAGTGATTGGTTCTAACAGCCGTAAGAGATATACTAATGCCCACATCTCCATGACAGTCACGCTTTGTAGGAATTCTGGCACCACATTTTACCTTCGATCTGGTTAATGGTGACCATGGGACAGCCCGATCGATCTTCCAGCAACAGCAGCATATTTTACATTGAGGCAGGTGTCTGTAAAATCCACGCTTTACTTGATTATAGAAGGCATTTGATCCTTTCTAACTGCCTGCTTCCAGGACATGCCAGGGCTGCATCTAGCCTTGACAAGGCTGCCTCGAACTCGTCACCTGCACAAGCAACAATGCTGAGGCCGCTGCAGGACCGCGAACGAGGCCTATGCGGCTCGCCTCTGGCCTTCACCAAGGCAGCGTATGTTGCAGCACTCCCCACAATCCGCATGAAGGGCAGCCTGAAACATCACAGCGGCTGCGTCAACCACATCAGCTTCAGCGAGAGTGGTACATCCTTCTGAGGCTCAAATTTGATCCTGTTCTAATCCCTTCATGCGTGTGGTGTGGTGCCCAACAAGTGGTCATTCAGTGTATTGGAACAATTTGCAGCCGCATGCAGCACGGATCTGAGCATCAAGAACTTTGGAGGCACAAGACAGCATCCTTCCCCCACTGAAATGTTCTTGAGACCTTAGTGTCACCTCCTCACATGCTTGGCTTTGCCAGCATGAAAGTCCATTGAAACCATTGTCGTCATGCTACAAACGTCGACCCAACATCGATTAATCAGGATGGTGAGGCATTCAAATGCAAGATATTTTCATGCCAAAGTCATGCATGCAGGTGACACGCTCCTGAGCGGATCAGACGACACGCTGATGGCGGTGTGGGATGTGGAGCGGAGGAAGCTTCGTGGCTCTGTAAGGACTGGCCACTCCGCCAACATCTTCTGCACAAAGCACATGCCGGCCACAGGTGCGGGCAGGTGCATGCACATGCTGATCGGGCACGTGCATGCTGCAAAGTGCGCAAAGGATTTGATGATGCTGGCTGCCTGGCATGGGTAGTAGTGCCGTGGCTGTCAGTTGCTACTTGGCGGACACAGGGGTCATATTTCTGCATGGGTATGCATTGGCTGTGGAGATTCATTCATGCTGCAAATCTATGGCCCTTTCTGCAGGGGTGATCCATCTTTAGCTTTTGCAGGCCCATGCAGGCATCCCACTAGACAGAATGGCCGACAGCAACAGCAACATGGCTTCAGCAAGTGATGTGTTGTTTTGCAAAATTGCAGGGGATCGGGTGGCAGTGACATGCGCAGGGGACAGCGAAGTGCGGGTGCACGACCTGACTGCTGGGCGGGCCATGGAGATCTACACGTGAGTCAGCACGTCCGCCTTACATTCCCCGGTCTCCACCACTCCTCTCGTGAGAATGAGCACCAGCAGCGCTGATGCATTGAGTCTCTTGCCTTAGCCAGCCATCACTGAGATTCAACGATCTGGTATCACAAAAGTGGTTTTCGAGATCAGGCTGCGGCCATGGCTGCAGTGTCAGGTGATCTGTCCTGGGACTCCTATAGGCTAGCAGGCGTCACATGGAGTGTGTTTAGTCACCAAAATTGTGATAAGTCATGATCAGGTGATGCTGACATGGCATGCATGTGGCTGCGCAGGCACCACGACAAACGGGTGAAGAAGCTGGTCACCGAGGCCGGCAACCCCTCGCTCATAATCTCCGCGGCAGAGGACGGCACGGGTGCGCAGGCAGAGTCTCTCAACAATCATTCATGGAACTTTTGCAGCCCATTCTTGCTTCAAGCCCTGGAGAAATCTAGCAGCATACAGCGTGCAACGATTTCTTTTGTTGCTAGTAGCCTGGCAGCTCTGCATGGCCAAGCCATGCCAATCATCTCCGCAGTCACTTTTGCACCCAACGAGGACTTCAGTTCAAGGTCTCCTTGGCAGTGCATGCACGTGAAGTATCTGACAAGCTGGCATGTTGGTGATCATGTCTTAGCAACCGTGTGTCCAGGATGAGATCTGCAATGTCGAAGACTGTAATTGAAAATGCAGTATCGTGCATCCCTCAAACACTCGAGACGCCACGTCATGACGTCATGAAGGTCACGTCATGCACGCTGCGCTGCGCAGTGCGCCAGCTGGACAGGCGGCAGCCGAGCGGCGGCCCGGCGGTGCTGGTGTACGTGCGCTCGCACGGCGGCAACCGAATGATGGAGCTCAACTCTATCTGCTCCCCAGCGCAACGCCCGAACCTCTTCGCCGTCGGCGGGGGCGACCCATGGCTCCGCGTCTTCGATCGCCGTGTCACCTCCTCCGTTGGCCGCGTCAAGGTGTGTACGGGCTCGTTTGTTGTGTCACATGATCTGTCAGCCTTCTCTCATGCAACTAGAATTTATGCCTCTTCTCTGGGCGAGATAGCGTGGCGAGATAGATTTTTGCCTAGTCCACATTTGGCATTTCCTAATGCTCCTTGTACAGAGAAGAGGCGCAGCTTCCCCCTGTATGAGATAAGCTGTCACACAAGCCGTGCCCACGCATGGTAGGCCAATTTTCAAAGCCAGCCGAAGTAAGCAGGCTATGGGGCAGCGGATATGTTCTTGAAGGCCTTCAAATATCTCTTTCCTTTGACTGAAATCCTTAAAGTGCGCTGAGGGGCTCAAGGGAAATGCAGGGCTCTTGGTGCTCCCCAAGTTCTGGAATTTGTCTTCACAAGTGCTTTCTAAGAAGGCATGTGCGTGCACATTCACGCAGGCCGTGGCCATGTACTCCCCAGCGGTGGGTAACCCGGACTATTTCCACGACACAATCACAGGCGTGGCCTGCTCTGCGGACGGCCGCTGGGTCGTGGGGAATTACCTCGACGACGCCGTTTACCTCTTCCCCCTTGACGGCAACGACGCTCCCCCGGCCGCCGCCGAGCCGCCAGCTCCCGTCGGCCGATCCTTGCGGCGGGCCCGCCGCAGCATGTACGCAGAAGGTGGCACCTTCTCTGATGTCTTCGCTGTACCTTCTTGCTCAAATGTGATCAATCTTCCAGCTTGTCCTAATAAAGTAAAGCTGCAAGGCTTGTTGTCGATGCGCGATGATTGCAAGGCAACTGGTTATTTATGCTTGTGTTGGTATGAGGGGATAACTATCTTGACGCCCGCTTTCTTCTCTCCCTTCCTATCGCTTGTCCCTCTCTATGGAGTCTTCTTCGTGGAGATTGTGCTGCGTCACTGAAGTGAACATCCCTCTGTGTCTATCTCCTTGAATTTAAGGTTATCTTGTGCCGATGTGTGCAGGGACGCAGGAGAGGGATGAGGCAATGGCAGAAGCGGCGGAGGAGGGAACGCTGGAGGACGCAATAGACGCACAGTTGGACGCGCAGCGCTCACGCATGCCGGGGCAGAGCAGCCGCCAACGGGCCGAGGTCCTCGCCGCGCGCGCCGGCCGCTTCCGCCGCGAGGGGCGTGTCGCGGTGCGCTGCCGGCCCTGTTGTTCATGCATATGAAATATCGTTTCAAAATAGGGACTTCTCCTCGCTGGTGCTTACCTTCCTGTCAAGGGGAGACAGGCGTCTCGTGATCAGTCCTTGTTAGGCCTGATTGGGGCTCTCAAAGTGAGAAATCTGATACAAACTTGTCTGCTGCGATTTCGTTGTGGGCAGCAATTTGGCAAGCTAATGATGTCTTGCACGCATGACATCTTGCAGAGTACGTCCGTTCTCTCTTCTGGAAAGGGCCACTTCATTTGCAGCAGCTTTTCGGCAAGTGTCTCTCAAGTTAAGGATGCTCTTGACGATGACACTCTTAAGCTCCCGGATCCACACGAGGCGGGGGTATAAGCTTCTGACCCCTGCATGGGCCCAGTATGCGTGCCTTCGCCTCTGACAGTGTTCAGCTTGGGCCAATTCTGCAGCTGCCACAAATCTTCATCCTTCCAAAACTTGTCTCTGCCATCTCAGTGTCTCAGACACATGGTACCCTCAGCGCGTGCATATTTTCTAATTAGTCAGCAAAGCAAGCCAATGGACCTGCATGTTGTCTTTACTGAGTGCTGGACACCAAGCGTGGCAGTTGTGTTTACTTTATCCAGGGCATCTCCTGTTGCGCAATTTCTGTTCCATTTATGGCGGCCAGACCTATGGTGTGCAAAATGTTTTCTGCTTGCAGGAGGCGGTGGTGTGTGCTGCGGCAGCGCTGCGGCTGTCGCCGCGGCTGGGCCGGGCCTTCTTTGAGCTGGCGGCGTGTCACGAGGCCAGCGGCAACTACGACGCTGCGCTGCGAGACGTGGAGCTTGCCAAGGGGTGGGTCTCCCGGGGGGCTCATGAAATATGTAATTCTCTGGTATTTAGAGTGGCCAGGTGATCTCTTAGGTGGGGTAGGTGAGAAAATCCTTCATGGGTTATGTGGTTGCGCCCTGTCTGCTGACATTGGTTGGCTTGAAAGTTTGCATAGCGGAGCCATCCCTGAGAGCGTCGCAGATCTTGGGGAGATGATCATTCAATCGTGTCTGCTGCATGGAGCATTTCAATGGATGATCATCTCTCGTTTATTTGGGGTGTTCTTGGAGATGACTTCAGTGATGGCATGCTCTTGTGGGTGCTTGTAAGCACTGATGGTGATTTGACTCATTGTGATGTGCATGAGAGTATGTGTGGGAGTGCTGCAAAATCTGATATATGTAATGTGGTGTGGCCCCGCCAGGCTGTGCTGGAGCCAGGAACTGGAGGATTTGGAGGAGCGGCTGCGCGCGCACTTTGCAGAGCAGTTTGTCCAAGGTGGGCTTCGCACTCCTAGCCACCCCTTCTGTGCACATAAGTAACACTGCCAATTATCACCAGTGCACGCCTTGTAGTATCGCATGCTCTTTCTTGAAGATTAGCGCATGCTCTTAGTTGCAGAAACTCTTTGTATGTGCATTGGGTTTTGCACCTGCCCAGCAAAAGTTTTATTTATGATAGAAGATATGCCAAAATGAGGATTCTAATTCTGCCATGAATGCAGGCGCTGTGGTTGCGACGCACAGAGCCGTGCTGGCCGTTGACTCCGATCCTGGGGAGGCCGAGGGAGGTCGTCCTTCTCATTCGATTGATCACGGACATCCAAGAAGCAGCGCGCCGGCATCATTCATTGACGACATGCTGGACACCGGCAGCCGACCGCGGCGCCGCGATCGCCGATTCCGCGCGGCAATGGCACAGACGTCGTCAGCCGCGGCCCTGGCAGAGCTGCCGCGCGATCGGAACTTTGCCGCCGCAGCCGCCGCTGCATCCTTGGATGCAAATCAACTCACACCCGCCGATAGACAAGCACTGTCAGGCGCTGCAGCCGCCGCCGACGTGCCGTCTGCCGCAGCCCAAGAAGCGGCTGCGGCGCCGTTTCATTCGGCGAGAGCCGCTCGGGACACAGCGGCAGCGGCCGGGGATGATTCGCCGGCGGCCTCGGAGACGGAGCCGGAGCAAGCGGACTCAGATGGCAGCGGGGGGTCGCAGGCAGATTCTTTGGGCCGGTTGCGCCGCCGCGGCCGCCGGCGCGCGCGGACGCTCGCGGCGGCTGTAAATATGGAGGAAGAAGACATCCGGGCCATCGCCGAGAGCATGCGGCGTGTGCGGCAGGTACGCTCATAGAAAGATTCTTTGTAGGAGCCATGACCTGTTCCAACTGGCTGTGCACTGTTCAATATCTGCCACTGATAAGCAAACCATCGCTGCCAACCCAACACAACGTGCATGATACAGCCAGAAGCTTTTTTTGAGAAGTGTGCTGGCTGCATTCCCCCGTATCATCAATGCTGTCAACTTTGTTGCACCGATGACCTCAAGGTCAGGTAATTAGTACACGATATCAGAATCGGGGCAGAAGCTTGAAGCAGGGCTGCAAATATGTTACTTTATCTCTTACCATGTTCCCCAACTCTGAATCTCCAGTTTTTCAGCTCCTCATTGTTGCATGCGAGTGCACGTCAGTTGAAGATGAACACCGCTGTGTGTTTGATTGCTCCAGGTATGTGATCATTAGGGAGAAAGTACTCAGATCTACCTGATTTTGCACCACCAAATTTGCATGCATTCTTGGGCAAGAACAATTATAGGATTGCCAGAATGCAAAATGCACTTTTTGAAGGAATGCAGGCGCATCATAACGTTTGCGATATGAAGATGGGCAGGTGCCAGACTGCCTACAAGACCAATGAGTCTGGTGGCTGCCAACAGCCCTCTAAGATTTGGTTATAACTGTCGAAGTGAAGTCCATGTTTGCCTTGCAGGAGATGCTAGCGAACAGCAGCAGCAGCAGCAGCAGCTCCGACAGCGATATGAGTGACAGCTATGACATCTCAGAGGGTGACGAGGTCTGGATCGACGAGGAAACTGTGCAGGCCATAGCGGGGGAGCCGACCGGCTTTCTGGAGGCGATGTCAGCGTATAGCGATGATGACTCAGACGGTGAGTCAAACGATGACTCAGCGGCGTCTGCCGAGTCACTGCCAGGGGCCGCCGAGGCAGAGAACGCGCTGGAAAACTACCTCGCCGGCGGCTGGGATTTTGTGTGCGTTGCTCTTGACATGCCAACCACTTCCGTGCAGATGACATCGAGCAAATGGTTTGCATATCTTTGTGCACATTGCTGGCTGCCAAGCTGGCATGATGACTCTGGTTTTGGCACTGCATGGCGATGTCATTGCATGCAATATTCTGTATGTCCAGCGGATGAGGCTGCTCATGTGTCGAGTAGACTGGGCTGCAGTGTTTGAGCTTGGTCATGCAATTGCCAGACCTCGGTCCGGATGAAAATCAACACATGAGCAAGTTTTGAAGCGCCTCCTGGACAGACAGGACATGAGGACGTCCGGCTGACTGGCTAGGGAGGTTTCAAACTTCATTTTCAGTGTCTGCTTGGTGCAACAGCAGGATGGCGCAGAATGCTGCTGAGGAGGAAGACAATCTGGATTACAGCGGGAAGGAGTGGGGCACCGACTGCGAAAGTATGCTCCTTGTCCTTCTTATTGTCCTTCTTATTTGTACATGCTGTTGCTGCCAGTGGCAAGGTGGCTCTGCTGACAAATTGTTGCCATATCCTCTCCCTTGATGAACTTGCCAGATCCAAGCAAGAACCAATCACACATGGGCACGGTGCTCAATGTTTCTAATATCCCTCCCGCCTGCCGGGCCCCCCCTTGTCCTTGTGCTCCCACTACGTTGGTCCCTGCTGCATGCTTTGCATGCTCCCTCACCCAAGCGCTGCATCCCTGCAAGCTATCCTGCTTCCAAAACTTTGCACGAGATCTGCATCAATCCAAGCACAATGCTTTCTTAATGGTGTCCATTGAGGGCACCTGTGCATGCTGGAGAAGGTACAGCGCTGGAGAACAGCTTTGCTGACGTGGCAGCTGATGTCATGCAGGCGACAGTGGGCCGGCTGAGAGGGGGACCGGGCGCGTCGCGGAGGTCGGCAGGAAGCTAATTGACGGGGAGCCGCCCAGGGATCCGCCCTGCGATGCAGATGGGGTGGAGCAGGTACGCCTCATGCCGCCATGCACAGAATTTAGCCCCCAGATTCCTCTTCCTGGAATATGTCTGCTGGGCCACGTGATGCAACCTGTATGCAGGAAGTTGAAGTTCCTGCGGGTCCTCAACCGAGTCACACCAGTTTCGTGCCCACCGTGGTCGACCCACTCTAGGTACAAAAGAGAGGACACGCAGCTCAGAGCTCGGTGCAGCCACAGCAGCATTTCACGATATGCACGTTGGGCTTGGTGATCTCAGTTCAGTGTAGCTCTCAGGCAGCCATGTCTCTATTTCCTTGCGTGCACCCTGTCTTGATTGGAAGAGGACTGGTATGGGTTAGGGGTTAGGGGATTTGCTAATAATTCTGTTAATTACCCCTATATGGGTGCAGGGGTACGTGATGCGGTACCGCGGCCACATAAACCAGCAGACCATCAAGGACGTCGCGTTTGTTGGCCCGGACGACTCCGCGATCGCGGCCGGCAGCGACTGCGGCCGCATGTTCCTGTGGGACCGCGCCTCAGGTGGGTACCAGCACCTTTGCGTCCCGAGCATCTGCAGTACATGCAGGGACAAGATTGCAGGGTTCTAAAGAGAAGGACGCTGGAAACCAGCCCATGCACACAGTCACTGACCTCTTGTGGTGAAAAGTTTTGAGCTTCAGAAGTCATTTGGGTAATTGAGGTGTGGGTGCGGTTTTCTCCAAATTCCCATTACCCGCGGGGCCTACAGTGGCAGTAGCTGTAGGTGTTGGAATGAGTTCTCGCATGCTTGGTCTACGGTGTGCAGAGAAGTCTACCGTCCAGCTTCCAATACTCGAGGGGACACCAAAGGTGAGGTAATCTGTGCTGTGGCGCAGGCCGGCTGCTGACAGCGGTGCGCTCAGACAGGGAGATTGTCAATTGCATTGCGGCGCACCCGCACGAGCCGCTGCTGGCGGCATGCGGCCTCGACAGCAGTGTCAAGCTGTGGGTGCCCCATTATGGAGGCAAGTTCCTCAGCAAATCCTCTTTGGAATTGTGCTGCTGGGACGGAGATGTCACTACATCTTTGCTCACCTTGCACTCGCACCGCGATCTGCAAGGCAGCCCTTTGGGCTTGCTCTGGCGCTCACAGTTCCCTTTGCTTCGTTGCAGTTGTTTGAATTTGCGCTGTGGAGGACTCTTGCTTTGGCTGTAGGAGCAGCTTAGCTTGCCTGTATTGATATGCACCCGTTCAGGTCACAATTGTGGCTCAAATATTGCTTCATTCTCGCTGTAGAAGCACCCGTCAGATGCCTAACCTGAGTTCAGAGCCGCTTGGAGTGTGACTGGGCACTGTGCAATCCTGATGCAACGATCAGAGCTTGCCCCAGCCGTGAGGAGGCAGGTTTTCGCTTTGCAGTGCATCGCCTGGGGATGCAGAGGCGCTACCTGGAGGAGATGGCAGGCAAGAATGCGCAGAAGATGGCCCACCACCGCGTCAGCTTCGTGTAAGCCGCTGCTGCTGCTTGAACAGCTCCATGGACGCAGCTGGAGTTTTCACTGGGAGGGGCTTGATCGCTTGATGCAGCACAACACAAGCGGGGAGCTGCTGTACAGTGGTATTGTATCATATATTGGTAATTGGTCTTGTGTATATGTTGAATCTTGTGTATATGTGGAATCTTGTGTGGATCACCTGGAGTGAAGACCTCCTGGAAGGGGCAGGGACAGTGGCACCGGCATCGGGCCCATTTGTGTTGTCTATGTGTATAACACAAGAGTACTGTCCATCGTTTTTATATGAGAGTTAAAACCTTTTGCCAGCGTGTTGGGGCTTTGCTGGCTATTAGCGGCAAGGACGATTGTACACAGCGCTCGACTTGGGTGAGCGCCTTGTGAGTTGCTCCGAAGGTTGCGTCTTTTCCCGATACCAGCTTTGAAGCGGTTAGACTGGTACAAGTAGGGTGGGTAAGAGGTCGTTTGGTACAGTGATGAGGGCGAGATCCCTCGAGTGCCTGCCCGGCCCGTCTTGTCAAGCGAGCGTCGGTGGGCACATGGCCCGTTTGCTGCCAGGCAGAAGATCGACAAAAGTGCCCCTTCGCTTACACGGCCGAATCTGGGAGTGGGATACAGGACAGTGTCCTCCCGCGGCACGGGATCCTCGTCACGTTACTTGCAAAATATGACATCACGCGTTCGCAATCCTGAGGCAATCATCTCGAGCAGTCGTGGCAGCAGGTCGAAAGACAGCTCAACCGCAGAAAGTGCCAAGGAAGGCTCTCATCCACACATTTCTAAAACCCCGAAGGTTGTCATCCACCCTGATAAACCCTGCCTCCAAGAATGCGGTTCAGAAACAGCTGACTAAGCACTACGGAAATCTTCAGGAGTCCGAGATCTTCAATGAGATCCTGACCGTGCCAAGCGCCCCAGCATTGAGGCACCAAACCAGGGCTTCCCCGTTCATTCGAAAGCATTAAGATCGAGCTGTGAGCTTGTGCAATTTTTTGCCCGCGGCCCCCTGGCTGGCTCGAACGCTGCGTCAGGGTACAATCCGCATACGACATCTGCACTGGGACTGCGAGCCTGGTGTGGAGTACCAGCCTGCATTCATAGTTCGAACCTGCGAGAGTGCCAATTGCTGGCCCACCGAGGCCCCAGCCGCCACCCAACAAGATGCCCGAGGAAGGCCGTGCGGTGGCAAAGGTGAGATATCTGATGCGGGTAGGAGCTTGGCAAGCCGGTGGTGTGGATGGTCAGGGTGTTTGAAGTCAACACAGGCGCAAGATTTGCGTGTGTGCCTGGAAATTCGCCGGCGGCCTGCGCCCTAGGGTGTCCCTGCGCGCCCAGCAGCCATCGCTGTAACCTGCCCCTTGCTTATTATGTGTCCGGACCTCCTGGGTCGCCCAAGGGCGGCTGGTTTTTCGGCACGATGATGAGCTTGTGGCCCTGCAGGAGGAACAATCTGCAGTGTCCGCCGCATCTGGAGCGGACGACGAGCCGGAGCTGTACAAGGCGGATGACTTCCGTATGTACTGTATGAAGGTGAGGAGGACACCCCTGCCTGACAGCCGGCGAACGGATGGCTTGGGGGCTGAGCTGAGCTTCACCTGCTTGGATCCTTGTACGAGGGTCACCTTATTCGTAGACTGCTTTAGTCGCAGCAGCTGTGCTTTGAGCAGGTTTGGTACACTTGCCTGGCAGCACACCCAGGCAGGGTGCCTGCACAGGGCACTCTTGCCTTTCAAACGCCCTAAGATCTTGCAGCGGGGCCTCATTGTTTCGTTGCTGGCAGTGGGGAAACTTCAGAGGAGTCGTCCTTTACCCATCCCTCTTGCTGGCTAGCGGTGGAGAATCTCCAAGGCACAGCCCTGAGTAGCACGTGGGCGCATGATTGTTGAAGAGATGTGTGGGGCGGTCGTGACGATCATGGAATTAATATTTTTCTTACAGACAGCATTACCGGCACATGTGCGCAGGTGTTGCCGTGCAGCAAGCGCTTCTGCCATGACTGGACGGTGTGCCCCTACTCTCACCCGGGCGAGAAGGCCAAGCGCCGCGACCCGCGCCTCTACTCCTACACCGGCATCGCCTGCCCCAACATGAAGAAGGTACTTGATCATTACAGTCTCCTACACCATGTCGGGCTGACTTTACAGCTGCATGTCCTCCCAGATGGCTTGTTAAGCAGACTTGGCAGTCAGAACGGGGGGTTTTCGGCTGCATCGGTTGATCATCGAGCGATGGCAGGACGCTGAGCTGCTGTGGCGGATGTGCCCTCCATGCAATGGGACATTGGAGTGCCCAGGGTGGAAATATACGTGGCGTGCTCTGCCCAGACAGATATTGATTTGGTCATTCCCATTGTCGTTAAGTTCTCTTGGGTGCGGGAAACTGAAGAGTGCGGTGGGTGATGTGCCCTGTGCAGGACCAGAGCTGCACGCGCGGGGACGCCTGCCCGTATGCGCACAACGTATTCGAGTACTGGCTGCACCCGACGCGCTACCGCACACAGCTCTGCAACGACGGCGAGAAGTGCGCGCGCAAGATATGCTTCTTCGCGCACACCCTTGAGGAGCTGCGCGTGCCGGCCAACAAGCCCTTTGTGCCCCCTGAGGCCCTGGCAGCCGCCACCACCACTGCCACCCTGGAGGCCGCCCGCAAGGCCGGCGCCGCCGCCGACAGCCCCAACAAGGTGTGCTCTCACTTTAACGTCTCTTGTTTGCCTTGTTGAATTTCTCCAGGTTCAGGGCCACCCACTCCCATCCAACATGACCGCCCGGGGCGATTTTATCTTTTCATCCGCACCAACTTTGAGCTGGTTTTGAGCTCTTGGAGCTGCCGGGGTGGTTGCGCTGCAGGACTTTTTTTATGACTTTAACTTGTTCCTACCGGCCGTGCTTGGCTGTACCTGCACAAACTCTGTCGTCACCCTCGCAAGCTGGAAATGATGGAGCAGTAGCAAGATCTGCTGCAAAGAGGGTAATTGAGGGAGGGGGCAGGATAGTTGAGCCTGATGAGGGGATGCATCTTGGGGCTGAAACGGTGTGTGTTGATTGCGCACAGGCGGGCCTGCAGATGCTGAGCACGCTGCTGAACGCGCAGCCGGGCAACGGGGAGAACGACCTGCTCAAGACCCTGCAGGCCAAGGTCGCCGGCGCCCAGACCGCCCAGGTGCAATTTTTGGCCTCGTCTGATGCATGCTTTTACTGTCCGAAGGATCCTTGCGCTTTGCACGGCACGTGCTGTCGTGGAGACACAGTTAAAGACGCAGTTGGAGACGCAGCTGTGCCAGCTATGGGGCTGTTGCCTGGAGTTTTACAGCGCACATGCAATCATCTTTGTGTCATGTTTGGTCAATTGTGGAGGGGCTCTTCTGCCCCGGGAGTGATCACATGACATTATCATGACGACATGGGCAAGGTGTCAGTTGATGATGGTGTCATGAAGTCATCATTAGTGATGTGCTGACGCGTCAATAATTGGTTCGCACAGGAGCAGCAGGTGCTGGTGGACGCGCTGGCGACGCTGCTGCAGTCGTGCGGCTTCGTGCAGGAGCCCGCCAGCCACGCCGCCGGCCGCAAGAGCTTCGATGGCGTCAAGGTGAGCACCTGCTCGCCCTTGTGCACATTTGTCAAGCAGGCTGACTCATTGTCCCTCCGCATCAACAATCCAAACAATGGCCTTCCAGCCCTGCTGATTGAGGAAAGATGGCTGTTACCATTGGTGAGCCATTGCCGGACTTGCAAGGAAGGCCGCACACATTCCCGCGTCTCTCGAAGATGTGCTTGGCGACAGAAGACACTGTTGGATTCCAACTACCCTTACCGTTCGAGCAGAACAAGCTGCTTGAGAGCATTGTGCAGGACGATCGCAAACCAAAGATCTAGTGTCTCTTTTGTTCGGTCAATGGCTCTGGCTCTGATGGCCAAGAGCAGCTGCAAACAATGGGACAACACGCGTCCAGTCTTGGGCTCTCTTAAGTAGCGCAGCCCGAATCTCCAAGCATTCTACTGCAATGCTGAGCTACGCAAATCTCACAGCTGTCGAAATGTGCAACCGCAGGCGCACGCCATGCCGACGATGCCGCGCGACGACCGGCTGGACCTGGGAGCCAGCGGGAAGTCGCGCAGTGACCCCGCGCGCACGCGTTCCCTCCGCACCGGTGGTTTGCGCGGCCGCGGCCGCCACTCCATCGATCTCGGCCACGACCTCAAGCGCGCCATGGCCGCCCAAACCATCCACGAAGACGTGCGTGCCCCTGACTCTTGCGTCTTCCTTTTGCTTATCACCTGAGCATCCGTGCTTTGTGCTCCGCTGGATGTTCCCCCTTGCTAGTCGCTGTTTTGTCATTCGTCAAAGGCTGTGTTTCGAAGCTGACCAGCATAGGAAGGTAGCAAATGGGCTGCATTCCCGATGGCAATGAGCTTTCAACGCCTTGGCTGTAAGAGCGGCCAAAAGGTATGAGGGCCGGACTTGCTATGGCAATGGATGACGCGGAGGCAGGTCTTCGAGCTATTTGTGAGGCGCTTTATGTTGTCTGCGTGCAGGCGTCGCTGCCCACGCTCAAGAGCATCGTGGAGGCCCTGGCGAGCAACAAGGACTTCCTGCAGCAGCAGCAGGCGCCGGAGCAGCCCCTGCCGCAGCAGCAGAACAACTTCTCCTACGACGAGCTCGCCGCCTTCTCGGCCGGCATGGCCGCCGCTGCCGCCGAAAATGCCGGAAACGCGCAGCAGGCGCAGTTCTCCCACGAGGACATGCAGCTGCAGCAGCTGGCCGCGGCGGCCGCCGCCGGTGGCTACAGCGGCGACTGGGCCGGCGGTGTTGACCCGGTGCTGCTGCAGAACCTGCAGGCCGCCGTGGCCGCTCAGCAGCCGCAGCACGGCGGTGGCGGCTTCACGCAGGACCATCTGCCGCTAAACTGGAACCGGCGTCAGCGTGGCAGCGCGTCGCTGCCGGCCGGCCCGGGCGCGTACTCGATGCAGGCGGCGGCGCAGGCCCGCGCGCGCGCTGCGCTGGCCGGCGACGTGTGGCTCGGCGACGCGGCCGTTACGGCGCAAGGTGGGCCCGTAGCCGGCCCCGGAAACCCCCATAACTATAGGGGCGGCTGGCCCGACGGCTCCGCCTGCGCGCCGGGAGCGCCGCCGGGCACCGGCCTCTACTCTGCCTTCTCCGAGCCGATGATGCGGTCTTCCGCAGAATTCCTGGCCGCCGGCCGTGGCGAGTCCTGGGCTGAGGTGCCCGGCGGTCTCTCCCAGCTGTGGCAGACGGAGCCCGAAGGCACGCCCCCCTGACAGAACCCTCTGAACCCGTGCTGACACCTTGTTGAAGAATCCGCGCCTCAGCTTGAGTTGGACCATTTCCAACCTTAGTTGCTCAGATTGCTGGGCATGTGATCAAAATTCGGTAGTGTTTGACTTCAGCTGAGGTGTGGGTCATATTCCATTGTCGCCAATCTATGTTTCTAGTCCATCAGCAATGCTGCAGGAGGCTTCTTCATCCAAGTATCCAGAAAGGCCGTGCATAGCTCTTGGCAGGCCAGGGGACCGGACATGTTGCACATGCTTCGTGCAGGCATAGACATGGGCGTATCCAGCAATCTTGGCATGCACAGCAGCCGCTTCGACACTTCACGGCTGAGCACCGACTCGCGCCGCTCCTCGGACTCGTGCTACATGGGCGGCCTGACCGGCCCCGGCCACGAGTACATGCCGCACTGCGCTCCCATCGAAGAGTACGGCGCCGCCATGCGCGGGTGAGTTGTTTTACAAGTTTTTCAGTGGCGTGAATTGCAGCTTTTGTCAACTTCAGTAGCGCTGGCATGGGAAGGGTATTGATCCCTGATCGTGCTGGTAAATTGTAGCTAATTCGGCATGCAGCGGTATTAGTGTCTGCTGCTGGTCTCTTAGCCTCAATCCACAGATTGCTGCTTTTTGTCCCTTCTTCTTTACGGAGAGCAAACACTTTCGAATGAGGAGAGCCCACTGAGTTGAGCTGTTGCCACTGAGGTATGAAAGCATCAAGGATGAATCGCTTGGACAGTCATGGGCATCCAGGGGTGCCTGTGTGCTGCACACAGAAGCCTGAGATGTTGCTGTGATTGTCTGTCCCAGGTCGATGGACTCCATGCGCTACTCGATGGACAGCATGCGCTCGGCGGGGTCCCCCAACGGGACCCCCCGCGGCCCACCGCAGTCCATGGGCCCCTACACCGACTACCGCGGGTCCTCCCTCTTCGCCTTCTCCGGCCCCTTCAGCGCCGGCGCGGCCGCTGCCCCCGGCCCCGGCAACGGCGTGGCCAAGCAGGAGGCCGGTGACATGCACAGCGCGCGCAGCGGCGGAGCCGCCGGGCTGGCCGGTGACGGGGACAATTACTCAGCGCGCGCCTGATCAGGCATGGCGGACGCTGGTGGCGACTGCGCAGCGCGGGCTGAGCGCCCGGTCAATCAAGAGGGCGGGCGACAGGCGGGCAAGAATCTGCGGCGCAGCGGCCGAAAGAAGGAGACAAGCTGATTCATTCGCGGGACTGCGGGAAAGCAGCTCTGTATGTTGTGAGAGCAAGATCAGTATTGGATGGCAAGGAATGTAAAGCGGGGGTCCCTTCTGAAGGGGTCACCCCCACCGGGAGAATTATGTTTTCGCTGGAGTGCGCAGTGCAGGATTGATATCTGAGAAAGTTGCTACGTTGTAGAAAGAGCTGCAGGCCGTATGAAGTGGTCTGCTGGGCACATGGCACGCCTTAAGGTTCATGCTGCCACGTTGGTTGGGAGCAGTCAGGCCATCAAGTGACGAAGGCACATGCCTGGAGCCTGCAGCAGCCACAAGCGCGCATATTGGATGCGCCATTGATGGGGACGAAAGAGAGACATCGGAAAAGTTGCCACCTGCTATTTGCAATGCATCACCAAAATATGGCTTCAGACCGCAGTGATATGACGCCTGTGATGTGATAATGCTGTGTTTTGGCCCCGTGGCACTTGCACACCCGGCAATTTCTGGCTGGATTCGCAGCAGTGAGTGACTGCGTGGTGTGAAAGATGTTCTGGGCACCCCTGCAAGGGGCTCTGAAGTAATGGATGATGGGGGACTTTTCCCCTTTTGGAGGCAGGGTTTGACACCCCTGTCCCCTGGGGAAGGGTGGGAATCTGGAAACCCTGCCCCGCTTATTGACTGCCTAGATTTGTTTCCCGAGCCGCGATTTCTGCGATTTCTTTGAATTGGGTGGGTTTGACTAGGGTTCCGATTATCCTTATGAAGGACAAACTTAAAGATGTCACATTTTTGAGGGGGGCCAGATCTGGCTGTGCTGATGCAGTGCTGAGCTGGCGTCCCCCGGCAAATCTTCTTTGTGTGGATACCATCTCCGCTCTCTGCCTCCGCTTCTGGGGCGCTCCATTTCGAGCGAGCCCCCGAGGTTTTCACGGGTGGAGGGGTGTGAAGGGGGTTGCAATGCCAATTTTGGATTCATTGTGGAAAATTATCCGCTCAGCTCTGCGCGGCGGGTCCGGCCCGGGCCTCAGAGCAATGACAGCAATGCTTGCAGAGGGAACGCCTCAAGAGACGGGCACTGCTCTCGGCCCGGGCGGCGGCCTTGCACAACTGGAGGCACAAGGGGGAAACAACACCAAAACGTATCGCTTTCGATTTCGATTTATCGTGGACGAGCCTCGCATGCATGCGCGGCAGCGGTGCTGGCATGCTGCGCCACTTCTGACGAGTCTCGAGGGAACCAGGCTGATTGACTATTTAGCGGGGGATTTTTGAGGTGAGTCTTCCTCAGGCGCTGCGCCCAATAGAGGGCTTTTATCAAGGTATCAGGGGTCCTTACCTGCGCCTTCGGATGAGGCTGGAATGTTGGTGTGTGGCGCAATCGTATCAGGTGCATCTCGGCCTGGCAAGGGGCAGGCGAGCAGAGGTCTTTCTTTTAAAACTTTCTTTTAGATTGAGGAGTCGTGGCACAAGGCTGCAATCTCTTCTTCTAGGGGGCAATGGATGCAGTGTACAGTAGGGAATGGACTGAAGTGACAGCTGCATTGCAATGCATAGAATGGTGTCCAACCCCTTTGGATTTGTGTGTGCCCGCCTGGTGTGTCTGTGCGGAGCTTAGGAGCTGGGAAAAGGAGAACTTGGATCATTTTTGTGGGTGCCTGCCCGGATGACACATTTTGGCCGGCTGGCACTGCTTCATCTAGAGTATCTGGAATGAGCAAGAGACAACTGCTGTGTGTCTGTGATGCATTGGTCTGCCGCCAAACTTGTCAATCACCTGCATGTGAGTTTTTTTCATCATTTGTTGCGCCAGCCGCCATTTGCCTTACCTCATTCCGAGGTGACAGAGCTCTGGCCTGGTTTTGTCTGCGCATGAGTGCCACAGGGCTCCTCATGTATTTTCTGCGACACTGCGATTTTGTGTAGATTGCATCTCCTTGTGGTGTACACATGTGCATTGTGCTGTGAAGACATTCAAGTTTGCGTTGCTGCTGAGGGAGTGCTGAGACAGGTGTCATCATCTGTGTCAATTTGTTTTCTTTGGCATCACCGTGACGGCTTCCCCCGGCGCTGGGCTGTCAGTGGGGTGAGCCTTATCAGCTGCTGACAGTTACTTGTAATCAGTCATAGAAGCAGCTACCAGCTGGTTACACAATTACCTGGGAGCATGCACTGCAGTCTCTGTGTGGCACCTATCCGGAAACTGAACCAAAACTTTCACCCAAAATATTGACACCACATTTGCAAGAATTCAAGATTGAAGGTCTGAATTGGTATGTACTGGCCATAGCACCTAGGCCGCGAGCTTCATTCCAATCACAGCAGACCTCCAGTCTTATGTGTCCCACCAATGCTCTGAACCAAATCTCTGTACCTCAAATCAGCCGTGCATTGCTTTATGCCCATGTTCCTCGAGCTGAACCCTGATCCCTCTTGAAGCGGTGTGCCCCTGACTCACCGCTGAGTCACTGCACATGCAGTTCAAAATCGTATATTTGGAATTCGCTGTAATAAGCAGCTCTCGCTCGAGTGCGGTGAGAGCTAGGTGAGGAGGTCAATGCCGGTCGAACGGCCGGCTTCAGAGCATCATGTTCCTAGATCAATTCAGCCCAAGAGGGAAATCATCATCATCATCATCATGAGTTTCTGGAGCTGCGAGCTGGCGAGCTCCCTGTTCTGCCGCGTCCGCTCACCCTGGGCTGTTTTATTTGCTCCCCGATGCTGACATTATCGTCGAGGTTGGCATGAAGGATGCTAGCCGGCTGCCAGTGCCAGTGCAACTCTGGGGTTGTCCATATAAGCAGCATGCCAGCGGGCTGTGTCTTGCTCCTAAGCGTATCCACTCCCCGAAATTTCGGGACTTGTTATGTGAGCGCTGGAGATATTTGTTTTTGGGGATCACTGTGCAGCGCAATATAATTTGATGTTTTCTGCTTGAATTGGGGGAGATGTCTCAAACATCTCCAGATTAAGATTTGATCCAACAGCCTCTTGAGAGGCCCTGCTGCTCTAATTCCTAATTGCATATGCTGTGAGGCTGATGCCGCATGTCTTGAGCGGGCAAACCGTATGCCGCGATTGAGCTGTTATAAGTTGTGATTTCCCCACAAAATTTGACCCACTGATGCCTTGCAGCTTACGGATGGTTGAGGACGCTCAGAAAGTCCAGATGGGGCATTCTTGATGGCTGTGTTGCACCGTGCTGAGCTGCCAGTGAGCTCAAGAGGGGATGAAATTGCTTGCAAAATTAAGAGTGGAAAGTTTGTTGGTGTAAGAGTGAATTGGCATTGTTTCTGTGAGACAATGCTGCCTCAAACATATGATCACAGCTTCTCTCGGAACATGGACATGCTGACTCCTCAATTAGAACTAAAATTTGGTACACCAACACTCTTGCCCACTGGCAGGTGGCTATAAGGCACGGTGTCCACTGCTCCAATTAGTTTTAATCGTTTTAAGTTTTCGATTTCTACGTACTTGCAGCTGCACTGGAAAAACCAATACAAATGATCTCAGCGAAATCTCAATTATCGGTGAATCGTCTGACTCTGAAATTCAACATCACCAGCTGTCGGCCTGACCTGGCGTCAGCATCCGTCAGCCGGAAGCTGGAAGCTCGGTCGCAGCTGCCGTCACACAATCTATCCGCTCGTCTATAAATACCCCAGCTATAAATCTCAGTAGCAATTCTCTTGACAAACTGCTATTCCAAGCGATACAATTGCAGCCAACGACTACCGATAGCCTCGAAGGATATACAGATCAACGCCAACATGTCCGGACTCGTCAACAAGGTGAAGGAGAGTCTGCACATCGGCCAATGCTCCGACCCCGTGCATCACCACGGCGCCAAGCGTGAAGAGGGAATCACCGAGGGTAGGAGGCGCTGTCCTGCAAAATTAATGTTCCTTGTTGTGCTCAGTGTCAGTTTTGCTATCATCGTAGCGCACTGGGCTATGTTTGCTTCCTGCGTATTCGGACAAACTGCCATTTAGCAGTCTAGAACTTTGCATTGTCCTGTGTATTTCTCTTCTGCTGCATATCATGGGAAGACAATTAATACAAGCAATTATATCTGCTGTCCCTTATCGGAGATATTTCCTGCGTGGTATTCGGACACCTACCCCTTCGATGGATCAAATAATAGTCGGACACACCCGACGTTGATTTTTTTAGCTTGAATCATTTCCATCTTCGTTTGCAGGCCCAGGAGGTGGCACCCACATGGTTCGGGGCGCAACCTACACCTCGTCGACCAAGAACACCTCGGACTGCGCCTCCGGCAAGTGCGACGAGAACTACAAGCAGGAGGTGCGTCTCTATCGCCAAATACTTGGAAAGCCAGCACAATACTTGGCAAAAATGTGCCCGATATAGCGCGGCCGGTGCACGAAGCCGCGAATTTTGACACCGGTGTCGTCAAGTACGACAAGCATTGAAACCCTAATGAACGGTCCCTTGCCGCACGCCTGATCTCTTTCAGTCTCATTCAGAAGCGACGTGGTGTAACAGGGCAAGCATGTGCCGTGGGAAGACGCCCAGGCCAAGACCAACGAGGCGTCCAAGGAGGCGCACGCCGCTGAGGTGTACGCGTGCAAGGCGCACAAGCACCTAGAGAGCGTCGCCGAGTCCCAGCAGGAGTCCGAGCGCGCCCGTGCCCGCCTGGCTGAGGTAGGATATGTGCTATGCTGCATTTCGCAGCTTACGCAGTGCTCGAAATGTCTATTCTGCTTCGAATGCATGCCTTCTAGCAATGCATGGCGTTTGCTCTAAACTGCTGAGAGCTGCAATGGCCGCTTGCAGTGTAGATAGTTTCATCTGTATCATTTAGTCATTGATTCCTCTGCCTGGGAAGCGGGTGATGTAGCGCTTGCCTGCCCCTGTGTCTCAATGAGTCAGTGCATGAATTTTTAATTTGCTGTGCAGCTGGAGCGTGAGCTCGAGGGCATGCGCAACCGCGGTGTTGACCTGAGCAGGAAGAATGGTGAGATTGAGGTTGCCAGGCGTGCAGCCCAGGAGGCCGCCATGCGTGAGCGTGAGGCCCACAAGTGCGTTGCAGCGCCCTCATTCCCCACACGGCACCTTTCCATTTTGCTGTAATATACTTGCAGCTTGCCTTAAGATGCACTTTCTGGCAGGAGAGTACAAGATGAATATGGTAATTCAACATCCTGGGCCGTTTACAATCCCAAATTTGTGCAGATGTTGTGTACAAAGCCCCAGCTGGCAAAAAGTTGATACTTTGCCTTGTTCTTGACTGGGATCTCTGTGCTGGCTGGAATTTCCAGCTGCACCTGCTTCTTGCTGCAACCATCTTGTCTGGATTCTGTGTGACAGGGATCTGAAGTTCTGAGTCTCTTGCTGCAGGGGATGCGAGGCAGCTGCAAACGAAGCTGCCCTGAAGGAGCGTGAAGCCGCCAAGCTGCAGCGTGGACTGGCCGACATGCGCCGCAGCCTGCAGGAGATCGAGGCAGAGCTGGCCAACCTGCAGAGGTACAACCCTTGACAGTCACATTACATGCATGCGAAGATCTGACTAGTCAGAATGCCATGCTCTGCTTGCAATGCCCTACTGGAGTGAAGCAGCAGCTGTTGGGAGTGAGCAAAAGCTGGTTCCAGCAGTTCCCTACTGGATTTTGGGGAAAGCAGCAAGCTCTTTTGGAAAGTTGATTGCAAGTGCAAATAAATCAGTTTTTTACATGACGGGGTATGTTCCCCCCCCCGTGCTGGACAGTCATGCTGATGGTGGAATTAATGTTTGCAGGACCAAGCAGGATGCTGTCAAGCAGCACGAGCACCACACCATGCTGCTGCGTGACGCTGACAACAAGGGAGACAAGCAGGCCGAGATTGACCGCCTCAACAGGCATGCAACTCTCTTGAATTCCTTCCCAAGCCTGCACACCCTCTTTCCAGCTGTACAGAGAAGGACAGGAAACTGCACTATGGTCAATATGGTCAAAAGACATGCATGAAAAGAGTATATAGGCCAGCCAGTTGGGGCAGGTGGTTGGGGTCCTTGGCTTATTAGTGGAGCTTCATCCAATATTTTTCTGCGTATGGTGTTAAATGACTGCTGAACGGTATGCTGAGTGACTGGTGTGTCGATAGGGAGCTGGAGGGTCACTCCAGGGCAGTGAAGGAGGCAGAGGCAGCTCTGGCCGCTGTCCGTGAGCGCCACAACAAGACCCACACCCACCTGGGTTCTCTGAGGTGCGCTGCTTCCCTTTGCTTCTGTATGAGAGATGCATCACAGCACTGCACACTCTCTTGTTTTGTGGGGAGCAAGACAGGTCTGGCAACTGGTGAAAGACAATGCATTTGTTTGTTTTATATTAGCTCAATCTACGCCTGCCCTTGCAGGGATCAATTAGATGTGTTGAAGCCATGATGATGTGACGGTAGAAACAAGAGATGCGTGCTGACCACTCGATGCTTGCTTGTTGCAGAGCCGAGTGGGAGAAGCATCTGCAGGCACGCAAGGGCCTCGAGGCTAACTTCAACACCACCCGCTCCCGCCTGCAGGACGTCAAGTGAGCCAACTCACCACATTTGCATCATGTTTCTCTTTTACCTGTGGTGGCCCTCACCTTCATTCTCCTCAACAGCATGTTTCGCTGACATGACTTATGGATGTGTTCCAGCCTTGGAACAAGTCAGTTGATCTGCAATATGACTGCAAGTTACCCCTCAAATTATGAGGAGAGGAATGACTGCCACCTTTATTTTGCAGCGAGCGTGAGGAGGAACTGTCCCGGCTGCTGGCAACGCGCCGCGGCCAGCTTGGAGAGCACGAGACGGCTGCACAGCGCGCGACGCGTGCTGCCGAGGCCGAGCGTGAGCGCGCAGCCCAGCTGAAGCGTGAGGCTGACCCCCTGGCCCGGTGAGACTTCTGCTTGATCATCCTTTGTCATACTTGATTGTACTGCGGGCATCTTTGGCAGCCTATCGGCACTCAACCCCTTGATGGAGCTGGATCAGCAGCACAGTGTGTGAGATGCAGTGGGTTTTTGCGAAGTCTCTGTATCATGGTTTTTTAATGGCCTCTTGGACTGCCGAGGACTTGGGATCTGTGATGTAGCTGCCCCTGGATCTATGATATATATCACATTCAGCAAAAGATTTTGATCCTGTTTTCTCATCTGCTGCAGCGACGCTCAGAACAGGAGCGCAGCTGTCGGTCTGGCGGAGCGTGAGGCAGCAGAGGCAGCCAAGCACAAGCGCGACCTGGAGGCTCGCGAGCGTGAGCTGCAGAGCAAGCTGCAGGGCACCCAGAGGACTGTTGAGTCAACCACCGCTGAAACCCGCCAGCGTGTCGAGGGTATGCCCTAAACCTGTAATAGATTTACTCCTGTAGCCTAGCGTAATGTATCTTTAAAAAGATCTATATCTAACTATCTCAGGGGGCAAGATATGGAAGCCTGTGTATATCTGTAGCTTTTCATGAAGAAAACATACCATAGCCTGGCTTGAAGCTGAGGGGAGTCAGCAATGTGGGGGGAATTAGTGACATGCAAAATATTGCCTGCTTTCCAACTTGCTGCCACAGCTCGTTGCATTTTTTGCTATTATGCTCCTTAGCCTCTTCTGTGTTGAGGAATGCAGCAGCAAGTCGAGAATACTGTAATTTTAGCAGAAAATATTGTGTAACATGTGAAACGTTGACAACGTGCTCAGTCATGGCAGATAGAAGTCTTAAGAGACATGTTTGGATGCGCTGTGCAGGCTATGAGAAGTACAAGGTGGAGGCAGAGCAAGCCAACCAGCGCAAGGAGGAGCTGTGGGATGAGGCCAAGCACCTGGGCGGAGTTGGAGACCGCAACGCCGACCGGAAGATCGCCAACATGGAGGAGCGTCTGCAGGTTAGTCATTCGACTTAGGCATCTCGGGTTATATTTATGCAAAGTGTAATAATCTGTGTTCGCTGACTCGAGTAGCGCAGCAGCGCATGAGTGTACTTCCTCTTGAGGAAGTGACAAAAATCTGCATGTTGCTGTGGTTTTAAACTGTTGACTGTCACTTTCGTGACATGAAGAAGAATTTTTTCTGGTAGATAACAATTGTTGATTCAAGTTATGTTGGTGCACAGGGCCTTGACGTGACTGGCTCCAACAAGGCGCAGACTCGCACCACCCACCGCGAGACCACCGTGGTCAAGGAAGAGTAGAAGATGTATCCGCAAGGGTAGATTTGCCATCTACAGAAGCAGAAGAAGCATGCAAAAGATGTGAACTGCTGCGCACAGCTCAACGGGTGTTGAAACAGTGGGATCTGTTGCCGGCATTCCACATCTCTGGCAGTTCAGATCAGGAGGAAAGGAGGTAGTGCAAGACTCCAGTGCCGGTGCAAGCATGTTGGTAGAATAGTCGGGAAGTTGTTTTCAAGTAAATCAGCATAGATGTGAAGCAGTCAACTGAAGCCACCCGTCAGGCCCAAAACAGCTGTGCTGTGGGCACATGGTGTATGTGCTGTGTGGATTGGATGTTTTCAAACATCCTGTTTGCCTCTGCTTGCTGTGAACCTATCTTATCCATAAGTATGCATGCTGTTTTTAATTTCACAGTGTTCTCAAGCTTGCATGATAAGTCTTGTGTAGGAAGGGAGAACATGCCTTATTTTCATGTGTTCAAGTCGTGGCAACTGTGTATATGTGAGAAGTGACACAAGACGTTTTTTGTAATAGTTTAACCAACCGATGATATGAGTATTCACACAAGCTCTGAACAATTAATTCTAACAGCACATGTGTTCAAGTCGTGGCAACTGTGTATATGTGAGAAGTGACACAAGACGTTTTTTGTAATAGTTTAACCAACCGATGATATCAGTATTCACACAAGCTCTGAACAATTAATTCTAACAGCAACCCTATCAAATGATTGTGAGGATTATTCTTTTGACAAAATGACTTCATTAACGGTTCTCTCCAAACCCACCATTCATTCCTTGCAGCAGCGTCAGAACCCTTCACAGCAGTCCACCTGCAGTTTATTGACTCTGTCATCCTCAAATATATTTGATTTTTCTGCTCTTGAAAAGAGCGGGATACTGCATCTCTAAGGCAGCTTCCTCAATTTGCAAATAGTACTCTCACATCTTCATTTTGACCGCTGTGTACCTCTTGCCAAATAGACAAACCAGTCCACGTCACCATCGATCACATGGCTGCTCAGTGGAATATTACCCTCTTGCCATTTTTATGAAATTTGTCATCTCATGCTTTCTTCTCCTCCTTTGGCAAGCCCACTGCTTTAATTATTGCTCAATGAGAAGTCCTCTTGACACAATGTTCTGGATCCCAAGACAGATTATTTTCGTTGTTTTGCCTGTTTCCATCTCAGGCACTCTCCTTCTCCTTCTGCAGGAAGTCCTCCAGGTGCTTCAGGCACTCCTTGAAGTTCAAACGCCCCAGCCCAATCCTGAACCGGCCCTCTGCCACTGATGGCGCATGCTCGTACACTGTGGCAGGCAGCAGCAGCACGCCTGTAACACAGCAGCACAGCTCATGTCAGATTGGAGCCATGCTCTGGGGTGGGATAATTCAGCTGCTGATGTCAGCGCAGAGCCTGCTGAGGCAGCACAGCAGGCAGGGGCAGTTCCTCCTATACACTTGCAAATGTGTCACAGCTTTCAAAGCAGTGCAGCCTGGGTGCATGCTTGCTTCAGGATTGCACGTCTTGAAACCATGCCACCCTTCCGTGCTCCCAGGCAGATCTAAAGCGTGACATGCAATATGAACATAGCGCCTTGGCAAATCAGCAATCCTCTGAAGTCAAGTGAGCAACAACTTTTTTCATTATCATTTCCTGTAGTGGAAGTTGCAGATGACAAATCCGTTGTGCATGCATGCAACAAAAGGGCAAGTCACCGACGATGCGCAGAAAGAGCGCGCACCTGACTTCTGCACGAGGCGCTCGCAGAATTCGTCCACGGGTTCTCCGGTGCGCAGCCGAGGGAACGCCACAGACCCGGCCGCTGGCTCGTACCTAACCATTGGTCATCATCTCAGCCTCTTGACCAGAGCAACAGACCCCATGCATGTTGCGCCCGCTGGTAATATATAGTACATCTCATGATGTTTCCGCAGCAACAAGTGCACGCAAACTCCTTGTGAAGGAAAGCTGTCTGCCTTGCACAGCGCATTTGAAGTAGGTGTCACGGAGCCAGCAATGCATCAGGCGGAGGTCACCAATTGAAAACGTTCCCGCCTTTTCTTAGCAAAGGGAAAGTGTGGGCATGCATCAGCGCTGTAAAACATGTCGGGTCCTTTGCATGTGCGTACCACTCGTACCATTCTGATGCTCACTAAGAGCATTCCAGAAATGCTCTCAAGGGACTCAGCAACCGTCCCTGAAAAATAATTTTACTAATTTAGGACAGCGTACCATTCGAAGGTGTCGGAGTGGCGAGCAAAGAATGCTCGTGCTGCCCCCAGGTTTGCCTCGATCAGATCCAGATTCGCAGAAATCAGCCAATCTCGTGCGCGCAGCCCAATCAACGCCAGCACCTGCGCACCTCATCGATTAGTATTATTAGTATTGTTACAGATCGGCAAACCCAAGCCAAATGCCATAGGGCAGCCACGTCTGCAGCCACGTCTGCAGCCACGTCTGCGGGGCCTACAAAAGTCTGCAGCCTTGTGTTGCCTCACAATGAGTACTACGAATGACTCACTTCCCAGTACTGGTATCTTCAAGTCCTTGGAAGATTGCAAAAGATGTACCACCCAGCTGATAAAGTACCTCTGGAGCTACCATACTGGCTGCACCGGCAGCATCACTGGAGGGCACCTTGGAATTTGCGGGAAACTGGATCGTGCATTCTCCGCCTAATGTCAAGCGGCATCTCAGGGCATGGTCTTATAAAACATGCCGGCTCGCCACCATCAGGAATCCGCAGACCAGCTGAACTTCTGTGGGAAGGGAGGGAACGCGCACCTCGCTGGGCGCGCTGTTGCAGATGGTTGAGTAGTCGTGCAGACGCTGAATCAGCGGGTGCAGCGACGCGTCTCGGGTGGCGAGCCATCCTGGCACATGTGCACAGCACATCAGCCTTGTCACTTGACATGATTGAGAGCGTTGCATATGCTGCGAGCGTTTCCAGCCACTTGTACACCTCACTTGATGACTCAAAGACCCTGCTGTCCCTGTAAGGGCCTATGGCAGGTATGACTTGCATGCCATCTTTGCTCATTCTCACTGGCTCGCTATGTCCTGTTCTCCAGTCAAGAATGCTTAGAATTTCTGCATGTGCTTTGTTTTGAAGAAGGTATGCTTGTGTGGTTTTGACCGATGTGGATGCTGGCCATGCAAAGTACTGCCCCTCCTGTCAACTGTCAGATTTCCACTTCTCTGCCCTCTTGGTTTTCGCAGGTATTCATGCATGTGTTTTATTCCAATAAGAAAATAGCTGGAGATCAGTGTAGTTTCACCGATGCGGATGCCGGGCATGCCGAGCGCCTTGCTCATGCCGCAGAGTGAGACTCCGCGCTCGTAGCACTCCGCAGCCGCCGGCAGCCGCGCGCCTGGATCACGCTCCAGCATCCTGTATTGGCAGCAACTTTACAATTTGTATTCGGACAAGAAATCAAATTCCTAGTCAGCGATTAAGCGTATCATCTTTGCTCTAATCACAAATAAAAGCGGTGATGACTGGTGGCACTGTATTTCATGAGCTGGTGCAAGAAGGAATATGACCGCGTATTTGTTGCAGCGGAGGCCTGCAGGTACACAGAGACTCAAAGCTTCTCTCTCAGGGGCAGAGAATACCCCGCAGCACCGCACCTGTACATTTCATCTGAGAAGAGGTACGCCCCAGCCGCCCTGCACTGCTCCACCAGTGTCTCCCAGTCGGCCAGGCTCAGCAGCGCGCCGCTCGGGTTGTGCGGAAAATTGACCACCACTGCGCGAGTCGTCGGCCGCACCAGCTTCCTCAGCTCGCTCATCTGCTCGAATGTTTATAAATCTCTCAGGATGTTGGGTCAATTTGCTGATCTAAGCGCACGTTCAAGAGCCCGTCAGCAAGATTCCTCGTATGGTATTGTGATGGAGCATTGGGCAGTGCCTGAAAGCTGCGTAGTAACTAAGCAGCGGCGGACAGTGGGAGATCTGGACGAGATTTAAGCGCACTGAATGCCAGAGACGGAAGGTGCACAGAAGCTCCTCTGCCAGCCTCGGCAGCACTAATACCTCTAAATTGGCTTTGAGAAAGTGTCAACAGATCAGACAGACAGCAGGCGCAATGAGATAATTAGCCAAACTTATCGGAGGGGCAAGGATCCAGCATGCAGCCATTGTCCCTCTGGGGACACCCCAAGGAGATGCTCCCAAACGCCAAGATGGTCAAGGGGGATCCCATCAAGAGAGAGCTCACCTGGAATACGAGCCTGCCCTCCTCGTCGGCGCGCATGTGCCAGAAGCTGACCTCAGCGCCGATGGTGTGCGCGATCTGGTACAGCGATTGGTAACCCGGGAAGGTCACGACCACATGATCCCCCGGCCGCAGCATGGCCAGCATGGCAATGGAAAGTGCCTCCTGGGGGCCCATAATAAGAACGTCCTTGGCAGATACGCCGTTGTACAGCTTGGCCACTTCCTCCCTCAGCTCTGGCAGCCCCTCTGGCTCTGTGTATGCCAGCGACAGCTGGTCCCACCTGCGCATACATGCAGAAGCTCATTGCCACTCAAAGTTGCAGTCATCAACTTGAGATGCTTGACTGTGCAGCATCTCAAGTCCATTTGCTGAATATCTTTATCAACAAGCAACTCTGCTTGAGACATGTGCATCGACAATACAGCAATCAGGGCTGCACGACTCGGAGGAGCGCTGATGGGAAGACATCCACTTGGCAGCAGTGCTGAGGTGTCACTATAGGGCAGCCCTGCATGCAGGGCTGGAGATAGCAGCAGAATGAAATCTAAGATATAGAATAAATATAGACGATAGTTCGTAGGGATTGGTGTTGGTGGTGCCTGCAATCGCTGCTGGCCATGGCGCATGCCAGCAGTGAACAAGACGGCATGCACTTGTAAACCCGTGGTTACAGGCTCATGCAGGTTATGTTGAGATGCAAGTGGCTTCGGAAGCTCACTTGCGCCGACACTCGTCGTCCGCTAAGGCGAGGACCTCCGATTGGGACAGAGGCTGGGAATCGCTGCAGCAAAGTGTGTAGGGGGCTGTGAACTCATAGCGTGCCAGAAACCTCTGCAAGCAAGAATAGAATGCATTATTTTACTGTTCAAGATAACGATCGCTGAGAAAAGTTCAGATCTTTCGGTCACACTGAACTTCCTTTGACACGTATACTATTGCGTGCATATTTTTCAAGTGGAACCCATTCGAATGCATCTATCGCATGGCAACGGCACTTGTTTAAGCCAAGGCTTGCCATCACCATACCTCAAGCTTAAATTCTTCCGGCAAATGCTTCGATTGATCACCCATCACTCAGGATTGATTCAACGAAAATGGATTGGGGGACGCCAAAAGTATCCAAAGGAAGCAGTAGCACTCAATGGCAATCTTTTGGGGCTTAAAAGTTCTGTTGTGGCCAGATATCGGAAAGTCTGGGTCGAGACGGCTTTCTGAGTCGTGACTTATGGAAGCTAGATGAAGCCACGTGCTTATTACATGATGTTGATTGAATGCAAAGCTTTCTTCCAAAACCTACTAGAAGATCACAGAAATGCTCAATCTGAGTCATGCACAGAGTACAATATATAGAACTGTGATAGACTGCCGTCACGGGATGTCTGCTAAGAGACATGATCATTCACCTTAAGCTTACTACACATCAATTTGAAAGTCGAAACTCATGGCAATACCGTCATCATGATTGCCTGCACAACTTCCCCATGCGGAGATTTCACAGCCTCATAATTCTGCTGTGCAGACCTCTTGGAGCTCAATAGTGCAGTCTCAAGAAAGAGGACACCCAAACAACGCGTCCATACTCTGCGATACTATCGCAAGCCTTTCTTGCGCAAAGGAGATGGCCCAATTTCAGGGTGCCCCCTGCCCCCTGTCGGCAATCCCCCTGAAAGTACAATGATCAGAGGGGTATTTATATCTTCACTCTAAACCCCATAAGACCCAATGACCCCTCTTACCTCCTAGCTAGATCTGTAAAACTCTTTGGAGTCAGGAGGGCAGGAACGCCGCGTGCTGCCCTTGGCTGGCCCGCCTGGCGCGCCAGACGGCGCTGTTGGCCTTGAAGCCTGACCCGAATGCCAGCTGCCACACTCGGTCCCCCCGGCGGACCCCCACATGCGTCTCTATGCATGCCAGCACATACCTACATGCATGCAAAACGAAAGATATTTTTTGCTATTATGGTCCGACTTGGTGTTTCTTTGAGGAGAGGTGACAGCGCTTCCTGCAGCAGAATGGACAGCCGTAAACAAATTCTTGCATCTGCTTGAAAAGTACAGAAGCAGCACTGAAGCTTTGACATGTAAGATTGCCAGAGTTCAGCCAAAGTTGCAGCCAAATATCAAGGAGTCCGATGCAGTGACCCTGACAGGGTTTGCTCGAGGATTTTTGGTGATTGTGTGTGGCAGGACGGGGAGATGTATATCCGTTTATTGTATGATGCAAAGATTAAACCCCTTAGATGAGACCCTATCAGGGGGCGGCGCACCAGACAGAGCTGGAGGATGTGTTGCCGTAGCGCCAGAGGGTGTATTTGGATGGCCACATGCGCTCCTGAGGCAGGCCCAGCTGCTTCTCTATCGCCTCAAGCACCCCCTTGCCACCTGGCATAACCACCCCGAACAGTCACTTAATACTCGTGGAACTAATTTCTTAAAAGCCAACTGGCGGCTTCCAAGTGGACACCCACAGGCAGTTTAAGTGCCACAAGTATAAGCGCCTTCCGCATTTGTTGAGCCATGTCGGCTTCATGAAGCCAGTTTATAAAGGTGGCTGAGTGGCGCAGCATATTGCCACCATTGCTGGGTTCTGAAGCATGCAGCACACAGGATTGCCACAGATACAGCACTGCATCGAAATTGCTTTCTTCTTATTCTTATTCTTAAACGCTTTTCCTGCCGAAGGCAAGGTGCGTCCGCAGACAAGCTGCATGTAAAGGCTGCCAAATTCCTACCCCTTGTTGGACTCGCCAGATCCAAGCAAGACCCAGTCAACCGTGGGCACGGTGATCAGTATTTGTACCGCCCCCCGCCAGCCGGGGCAAAAATTGCTTTCAGTCAGTATTAATTCACAGGACATTCCCCAGCAGCACGTTGACCACATTATAGCAACCTCACTTGGCAGCAAGAACATGTCCGGCAATGGAAGTAGGTCTGGATTGTATGAAAGGTGGCAGCAGTGTTCGTCACCGGTGTGTATGCAGAAGTGGTTAAACGCGCTGTTGAAGTCGGGCACATAGGCAGGTACATCCATTTTGAGCAGCCGCCTCGCACCCAGAGCAGCAATGTATCTGCAACATGACAAACCCCGCAGAAGTATTATGGCACTTTTTCGTCAAGAAAAGGTGCAGAATGCAGCATGTAAAGGATGCCAACAGCCTATTCTAAGAATACAATTGGGTGCCATTGCTTTGCTGGGCGCGCACTGAACAAGTCATCAGCAACAATGAATGACAGCTAGCTTTTCTTATAGATTAGAAAGTGCAGCATCCATACGTGGCATTTACACAAATAACAAGTAATTGCTGACTCAGCGTGCAGGGTGACTGTACCTGGCCTGCTCCAAAAGAGGCAACACCTTTGGCCCCAGCCGAGCGAGATTCTCCCGCAGCGCCATCCCAGCCACACGCATCAGCGACTGCGCACGAAAGATACAAAAATGAATTGAGTTTCTTGTTGCCTTCTTTGATTTCAGGCTGCCTTGTGATGCTCGACGGCTAATTGCGGGTGAAAGAATGAAGGCTGCGTGGCAGACAACTCTACGTCTGTTTGCATGCTGCAACCCGCTGCAATGGGTGGTGGATGATAATATTGGTAATAATAATAATAATCTTTATGAATGGCAAACCCAGAGCCCAGAGGGCCATAGGGCATACACAGGTCCGTCTGCAGTCGAAACCCGGGGCCGATATGCACACGCTTGCAGCCTTGTCAACTTGCAAATGCACCCTTGCAACCTACAGGTCTTCACCCCCTTCTTACACGATTGCTGAAGGGCCGTCCCTAGCAAACCGCTTGAAACTTCGGGACGGATTTCGATAGCGACGATGCGGGTGTCTCAGGAGCGGTGGATGCCTGCTTTAACCAAATTCATTGCCTGTCAACCATGCTTCATTGAAAGGAAGCCATCTCACCGCCGCGCTGTGCTTCTGGCTCAGGCTAGGCCACATGTACGCGCCTATTTCACCATAAAAGTGTGCTCTCAAATCATGTGTATTAAGAGATTTCAAGTCATGCATGGGCCTCGGCCGTGCCTTGTCGAGGCGCATGCCGACAATCCCTGAGTCGTCCTCCTGCTGATACACGCAGCTGTACGCCTCGTCATGTGCCCCCATGTGCGTGCGCACCACGTGCAGCAGCTCGTACCTGCGCGCATGCCGCTGATTATTATTATTATTATTACACGCTTTCCTGCCAGAAGCAAGGTGCGTCTGCAGACAAGCTGCAGTAAAGGCTGCCAAAATCCTACTTCTTGATGGACTCGCCAGATCCAAGCAAGACCCAAACAACCGTGGGCACGGTGCTCACGGTTTACACCGCCCCCCGCCAGCCGGGGCCGCTGATTTTGAGTTCATGTTTCAAATCCACAAGAAGAACTTGCTACTGAGGGGTGCCACTGCTAGGGCAATATTCGCGCAGGGCAGGCACCACAATAACCTGCAGCCTGCTCAGCTCTCAAATGACCTTGTGTGGACTACTGGTTGTTGTGGCTTGGACCATTGCGACCTCATCATGACTCGTTGGACACACACTTACACGAGTGCAGTCCCATGTGGCAAAGCTATGCCACGGCTGACTACAGCTGCACTGCACCAACTGCATGAGGGGGAGCTCACTTGGCGCAGGCAGCATCTCGGCGGCGGTTGGATAGCAGAACAGCGGCGCCTCCCAGGCGGAAGATGCAGCATGGAATGCTCATGGAGCGCTGGTTGCCCAAGTACACGTTCTGGCTTATGTTCTCCGTGCTCACCACCAACGCCGTGCTGCCTGGGTACACCTGGGGAAATCATGAAGGGTCTTGTAGGCGCTTCATATCTCTGGACCCTGCAGTCAGGTGGCACTTGACCACTCAATACATGTCATGGAGTGAATTGAAAGAAGAAACAGCGTGCCAACTTGCTTCGAGTTCAGCTCTCCATTTGCCATTAGTCCTGTCACGTCATCCTTTTGCATGTCGCCCCTTCCAGCTCTATATCTTGTTTTCTAGCGCCTTTCCTGCTCCATATATTTATTGAGCAAAGGAGAAATTAGTCACCCCACTTTGAGTGCCCCCTGTACGGGGTGATTGAGTGGGTCCAATCTCTATGATGCCTGCCCGTTTGTACTTGTTTAGTCTGACCAAATATCCTTAAAATTAAGATTCAATTCAATCCTCAGCGATCATGAGGCATGGAGCATGCCTGCAGCAGTTCCCTGACCAGTGTTTTGGTGCTTTCAAGTGTGCTATCAGCAAAGCCCCGCGACTGGGGGCATAATCTTAGGTGCCTTATTGTCTGATGGGTCTGTCTTTGGTGCCCTGTTATTTGGATCCGTCTCCCGCTTTGCTGAGAATTTTGTACAAGAAGTAAGCGCACCTGAAGCAGCTCCCTGACCAGGGAGATCGATATGATTCCAGCAGAGCAGCCCATGCCGGCCAGGTTGTAGGTGATGACATCAGCGCGCATCCGGAATTTGTTGACCACCATAGCCGACAGTGACGGCGTCGGACAGAAGACCGAACAGTTCACCACCAGAATGTCCACCTGCACAGACCACGCGGCTCCATTGGTTGGTGCATTTAAGCCGCCCAGTTCCCCAGTGAAGGGATTTGATCAGAGTAGTGGCGCATGCAAAGAAGCTGCAGGTGTGCTGTGCTTGTCTGGCACGGAGAGGCGTCCCTTGGAATGCACAAAGCTGACATGTGGGATATCCCTGGCGAATAAATACACGACACTGGCAGAGAAAGCGCTGTCAAGGCTCAGAGCGCTCTTCACTTCTGGCAAGTGGAGAGTGACACCTTCTCTGCTATTGTGGGACTCACACACTCCGAATTCATCACTGCCTTTTGCCGGAGAGAGTAAGGAACATAGAGGCGTTCGCCTCTCCACAGAGCGAGACTATGTATTATTGCACCCATTTGATAGTGAGGCTAGGAACATGCACCTGGTGTGGCTGGAGGTTGTTGTCTCTGAGCAGCCGGTCCACTGTGTCAAAGATGACCATCTCTGACTCCTGCCGCCTGACCTCCATGGACAAGTTCCACGGCGGAGGCCGGTGCAGCTCTGTGCATCAACAAACAGCAAGCCTCACAAGCTGATCAACTGAGAATCCTCCCTCCCTGTAGCTTTCCCTTGTCTGCATTGCAGCAGGCAATGCAGAACTGCACACTCCCGCCTAACTCTTTGTCAAAATTCCCAGGATTTAATGCCTCCAAAGTGTCTGCAGGTGCCTTCCACGGCCAAATAAGTGACTGGCAGTTAACTTGTCCAAGGAGGCCGTGAGACAAGGCACTACACCTGAAGCATGAGCGACTGGCATCTGGCACTTGGAGTTGATGAGGATGTGAAAATCGTGGCGTGCTCATAAACGGACAGATAGCAAAACCCAGTGCAAACATTGTGCTTACCTGGCGGCATGTAGGCCTCTTCGCCGACGCCAGAGTTCTGCAGGATTTTGTCCATGAATTGCAGTGTGTCCGCCTCATAGCAGCCCTGCGCCCGGATCTGCTCTGCAAACACCTCGTGGCTGCATTTCAGCCTGCATGCAGCCAGTTGAAAACTTTCAGCCTCCCAAGCATTTTCTCCTCTTGTCCTTTGCTAGCATTACAACAAGATTTGTATACTGTTGCTGCCAGAGGCAAGGTACGACTGCAGACAAGCTGCAGGTGAAGCAGACAGGCAGCAGGGGACACGGTACCAACAATACTGTAGTAGTCATTCTAAAACCCGCAATCAATAAAACTACAAGCCAAAAAAGGCAGGAATATGACCCTAACTCCCAAACATAAACCTTTTGATAATTCTGAGACCAGATTCAGACAGCTCTCGACAAGCCCAATTCAATGGAGCATGACCCTGGAATTCAGGAAGACCACTAAAAGTTGCTTTGAAAATTTTCCCGCACCGCCGAGAATGCGGGTTTCAGAATGACCACTACAATAATATGACACATGTTATAAATAGTCCAACTTGAGTACAGCTAGCCTAGCGTGGAGCCATGCTGAGGAGGCAGCTGGTGGGGAAGCTGGGATTCGCATTTGATCACGGAAATCTGCAGGGAACTTGATATTCTAGGATCACTGTCAGCATGCGGCTTGGACAGGGCTCACCTGTCTGGAGGCTTGTAAACAGTGAAATCCAAGAGATACACTGGTCTGCTGCGCCTTACAAGCAGCACAGCTACCGAAATTGCTACTGAACTGCAGCACAGGAGGGCCCAAAAGGGCCAGTGTAAATAGCTGATATCAGCGCTGAGGCTAGTCCATGCTAGCTGTTCCTGCAGAGCAGCAAGCCGAGCAGAATTTGGCGTTGAAAAGAATGGTTAATGACCTAAGCTTCCGAGAAATCCTGATATTTCAGACTGGATTGCCTTTGATGTTCGTCTTATTAACGTTTCGATGCAATGCTGCATAGAAAACGTTCAGCCTTGTACCGGGGGTAACCGGGCATACCAGGTGCAGCATATCTGTGTGTTCGACACCCTGCAGTCACAGCCCTTGTGTTCTATGTGACTTTTAGTGCATCGAAAACCTGGAGCACTGCATTGGTTACTAGCGGGCCTCTCGCCGATGGAGTACTGCAGATGCGTTGCACGCTCGGTTTGTCTTTCGCATTCTCTTCGCAAATCTCCAAATTTATCCTGTATCTTAAACTCTTCTTTATAATTTCAGCGGCGCGAGCTCGTGATACAACGGATTTTTGTATTCATTGGCCGTAACCTCGGACTCACGAAATCAGTGCAGGCAGGCCATCAACGGAACAGATGACTCACAGGCCACATGCCATGGCAAAAGATGCAATGCATGCAAGAAGACAGATTCTAGGCCTCCAGAGTCCATAGGCTTTATGGTCGTCTACATATGTCGGGTCCTGCAATCTGGATTTGCACCTGGTCCCTGCAATCTGGGGAGCAGGGATACACAACCTTGAGTACATACGAAACACGTTGTAAACATGGATCGTTCATACCAGGCTGAAAATGCCCGTTCTCGTCCGCTCCCGGAAGCAAAGCTGCCTTGGGCGTCACCAGTAGTGGGTTGGGTGACCACCTGCGAACCCGACGTGACGATCTGTCTTTTTGCTTTCTCCCCTTTGCCAAGGTCATCCATCGGCAGCTTCACAGGCCTGCTGAAATCAAAATCGATTTGTCGGCGGACAGAAAGTAGGCAGCGTCCTGTCCTTGCTTGGTGCCAGGTTCGAATCCCCGCACCCACACTCTTTTTGGTCATTCGCCATAAGGCGAATGCCCTTAACGGTCGCCCAACCTGGTACGATTTATCTCTAAATTTTACCCCTTCCCTATGCCATTTGGCTCCTGAGCAGGCGGCCACGCATGCTGTACGGAACGCGAACTGGAGTCTAGAGGTCGTTTCGAGGGGATTGCCCCGTTTTAGGCCCTAATTTATCTCTAATCATGTCCCTGGCGATTGGCTTTACGGATACGGCGACGAGTCGTGAGTCCACTTCAGAGCTCGAGAGACACTGGCATCCGCAGTCTAGTGTGTTTTGTGTGTCTTCTTATATGGTGTCTGTGTGAAATCTATAGTGCTGGGAGAGATCTGGGCGGTAGTCAGGGGTTGGTGCAGAATACGACGTGGCGGCTGTGCTCAAGAAACGGGGCGGCGAGTGGTACATTAAATTCTGAAGCCTGAAGTACAGTTTCTCAGCCGAAAGCTCAGAGCCTGAATCGAGGTCATCTTGCAAAGCTCACGTATCCACACTCTCCCCTGCCCCAAGCGTACGCTTTGCCAATGCTCGAAGCTGAAGCTCCTGAACTATCAGTCCAAGCCTCTCCAGCACCTCAGCGATACAGAGCATAACAAAGAAAATCCAGTGTCGCGATTGAATATAAAAACATCACAACAGTATGAATGCCACAACGTCGTGGGCGCTGGCCTGATCCCTGGGTTCTGCCCCCCTAAACGCGTATGACCTCGCGCTCGCCCACGGGCGCTCGCACTTGTTCTCGTTAATTTTGACAGCGAGCCGACATTGCGCTGCTGTGAAGCACATGCCCTGTGAGACCCTCTGTTCTGGAGGAGAATGTTGACATCAAAAAGAGCTTTTACCGATGTGGCTCGTTACTATATGACTCTCCGTGCACATGCATATGCATCGCATTCCCATGCATATGATTTCCCCTCTCTGCACACGCGCCGTCTTCCACCTAGGCGACTTGCATGCATGACATATCATTCACCTCTGCTTTGGCTTTTCATCCATTGGCCACGCCTCACCATCATATGCATATGATCACGATGCATCATGATCAATGCCGCATAGCCGCTATGACACTGCGGTAGACATGCGCATGCGCAGCAAATGTTCGAATTCAAAACAGAGCAACGTGAACCTCATGCTGACATCAGCAGCTTCTTCAGAGCCAAAAAGGCCGTTTATAGTGGAAAGTAGTGCCACCCAGTCTTTCGTTGGCATCCTTGTTGAGAAAAAGCTTCTTGGCTTAACAATCAACTTCATCTGTCACAGGCCTAGAATGCACTGCATTTAAATATTGGATCTCGTCTGCTGCATCACACGGGGAAACACAAGCCAAGTCAACTGAAGCACTGCCCACAGTGATGGGTAGAATGGCAGCAAAAGTAACTCGAATGCAATTGTAAAGACAGAATTGCAAGCCACTCTACTGAGGCAGTGTTTCTGAGCTTATTCTTCTATGAATGCGCACATGTCTTTCTGGCATGCAGAAGTTTCCTAGTTTTGAAGTGAACCACATCTGAGGCTACACAAACTTGCAGAGAAAGCCGACAACTTGGCTGCTTTCAGCAGCTGGCATGCTGAGCGGCGCAAGAGGACGAATGGCATAGACTCAATCGCAGCATATCCTAAGGTTCTGATGGCACTCAACTTTGGATGCCTGCTCACAAGATTCATTCACTGCTTGGGATATTTCTTCCCTTCAGCTGCCTCCTTCCAATCAATTTCAGGCTTGCGCTCCGCAACCCCTGAAACCACAGGGGAATCTACATCTGGCCCCTTAAGATGTAGATACCTCTAAGAATTAGATTGTGAGGATGTATACCCCATTCTAGGCTTGCACTTACAGCGCTAAATAAGACATGGGGTGTACACCCACCGAAATCCTCTCTCACTGAAAGTTCAAATTTGAGTTCAAGCACTCAGCCAATCTTGGCGCTGGCAGCTTCCAGGTGGGCGCTGCCGGTGCTGCTGAGGGTTTCGGCAGAGGGAGGTCCGAACCCAAGGGCGCTTGCTTTATAAAATCCCTCGGGGACCCCCCAGCCGCAGTCCCTCTCGATGCCCATGTTGTACATGTTGCCGGTTCCGTTACGGTACTCGCTCGTGACCACCCGGAAGAACCCACGCTCGCCCCAGAACTCGCCCCACGAGTTGCGCACAATCCTGCATGTGAAAGGCAGGCGACAATGTAACGAGCGCCAGAGAGAATTTATTGTGAAAGGTAAGTATTGACTGTGCATGTAGAAGTTGTACTGTGACAGTGCTGTGCGTTTGACCTGTGATTGTAATAGACTTGCACCATTTTCTCGCTCTAGGAAGCCTTCTATATTTATTTTGTGTGTTGAGGGAGTTTTGTGAGTCAGTACTCCCTGCACCCTTACCAGGGTTACGAACAGTATGCACGCAAAGCGCACACAGGTAATTTTTAGGCATGTGCTCTGCTGCAAAGGAAGAAGTGCAAAATGGCAACAGCGGTCAATGGCCTGCGTCTGACAGGTCAGTATCGAGACAAGTGGCAGGCTCATGCTTTTGTGACAACCATTTGCTGTGTGCATCAGAATAACCGAGAAGCTGACCACGGTTGAGTGTTGCTCACCAGTATTCGGTATCTGTGGCGTTATCCAATCCCCAGCCAACCACGCTGACCATGTGGTTGAAGCTCTGGTCCTCGTTGTACTGTGAAAATATGCCCCGCTTATACCTGCAGCATGCACACACCATCCTTCACTGCACCATCCCCTGAGTACTCAGCAGGGTCTTTAGCCCAGCAGGGTGTTGTTTTGCGTGCAGCATGAAAGAACTAGCAGACCCCACAAAATGCTTGCGGACTAAAGCAAGAAAAATGTGTCCATCCTAGCATTGCAGCAGCTTTTGTCATAAAACAGCCCCTTGACGGACTAACAAGCCAGGAAACACCCGCCTGGCTCTGTCACCATTCCCTCCCTTTCGTCAGAAGACAATCGCATGCATGCGCGGCCAACTGACGTGACTAGTGCTTAGTAACAATGCCACATTGAGGGGATTGAATATAGCAGCGCACTTGTCCAGGGCTGCAGTGGCGTTAATTGGGCAGCTGATTGGTCCGCGCGCTTTGATCTCCGCCATCATTTCGTCCCGGCCCGAAACGCGCCCGTGCTCTGAGACCGTAAGCCGCTCGTAGTCCGTTACGGGGATGCAGGTGCCGTTGTACGGGGGCGCCGGATCGCATGTGAAGCACTGCTGCCTGCATTGGCACATCCTTAGTCATTAAAGTGCAGCACATTCAGTACAGGGCAGGACTGTTACTGCCTGCAATTTTTGCGTTCACCAAATGTGCTGCCTCCTACTGCAAAGCTCGCTGCAGGGATCAGTGGCCTTCAGTGAATTAGATCTCACGGCCAAGGTTGAGGAATGTGGGCAGCAGGAACAATTGTTCCAGGCGTCAAGCAGAAAACAGTTTGGACAAAAGCTCAGGAGACAGCTGACGTTGCTTGAATGTGCCCGATGAGAGCGAAGAGAGTGTCCAGTGGTAGGGAAGGATCAGGGCATTAATTAAAAGATACCATCAAGGGTGGAGGCAAAAGGTGGTCGCACATGTCTGTACATGCTGGCCTGTCCACTGCCACGTAGGTGCTACAACTCTCTGAGGGGATCCCCTGGCTGGCCGCATACTCATACACTTTGGCGTCCCAACCTGCAAAGTCACCAAATCACTTCCATCACTGGTGGCCGGAAACTGGCAGGATAAAATATTTTGCACGCTGGCAAATCCCCCTGCTCAGCAAGGCTCAGAGCTAGACAGTTGCACTCATGCCCTGCGGCTAAAGACCTGCAAGTAAGGCCTTGAGCATGTTTTCCTGAATACTGTATCCTAGAAGCATAATTTGCACCAGACATTCCGACAAACCAGCGCACTGGCTCTCATGGATAGCATGTGACTGGCCAACTCTCCTCTGTCAACCTACGTCCCAAATCTTGTGCATTGTGGATGCATAGAGAAAGAAATGGCAAAGTTCATTTTTTTGCAATGCTATTTCCTGGCCCCGGCTGGTGGAGGCCGGTATAAATACTGAGCACCGTGCACACGGTTGATTGAGTTCTGCTTGGATCTGGCCCGTCACTCAAGGGGTTGGTTATTGGCACCTTGTCTGCAGGACGTACCTTGCCTCTGGCAGGAAAGGCCAAAGGCCTCTGTCATTATTATATTTCTTTTGACAGTTATAATTCTGTGAAGGCGTAAGCTGCCAGACTGCGCGCACCTCCGTCTTTGCAGGAGCCAGCATATCCGCAGTCTATCACATTCTGGGCAGACAAGTATGTGCCCGGCCAAGCAGCCTTCCTCTTTATGTTCCATCTGTCAGCCAGCGCTGATGTGGCGGCCATGGCCCAACAAGAGCCGCTGCAAAATTCCAATGCTAAAAAGTAATTCTTGAGACTGAAAGTGATCTGGCGTAGTGAAGAACAACAACAACAAGGAGGAAGTGATCTAGCGGAGTGAAGAACAACAACAACAAGGCGCTGCCAAAAGAGACCAGAGAATAGAGAAGCAGAAGTGAACCGAATATTGACTGCAACAGGGTGCAGCACTCGAAGTGCAAGGGTTGGGACGACAGTTTGCACATTGACTGTGAGCAAGTGTGCAATGGCAGGAAGCTGACGCACCAGTAGACTGGGATGTGCTGGTTCCTGGTGACTGACAAGTAGTTGACCCCGCCCACATTTCGCCTGCGAGGAATTTGAGGTGGTTGCTTGTGGATGGCGAGAAGTGAATCAAGCAAATCAAGGCTGAGGTGTTGAAACAAGACAGTCTAATGTGACTTATGGAGACAAATAGCAATATTTCTTACCAGTCCCACGCTTGTAAGGAGCCCTCAACCTTGGCTGAGTCCTGTGGCAGGGGGCTCTTTCTGCACGGATCATAGGCGGTGAGTCCAGTAGTGTGCGCAGAAAGGCACCCAATTTAAGGACGATAAAAGAGTGTCTTGAAGCATAGTCGGATTATTTTTGCTGCGGAGCAATACTAAAGAAGCCACATAGAAGGAGCAAGGTCACATCTAGTTCTATAGTACAGTGGAGGGGCCCTCACACTAAAGGTTGGTAGGTGGGATCCGGAGTGATTGAGGTCGAGAATACACTCGGACGAAGGTCGGCATCTGCCCGCGCATAGCCGAACTCAGCAATGACAAACAAAAATACCCCCACCACAATGTGCTTCGGCATCCCAGCAGATCAGCACGGTGCTCTCCGTGGGTAAACCTTCAAAGTCTGGACTGTCAATCTCATTATAAACTTTTAAGACATATCTCACAGTTGTGTGGATGAAAGTCTGACATTTTGGACAATTATTTCCAGCCAATCTGGTGAAAAAGGCTGGCAAAGTTACTCCTCCAGTCTGCCTTTAAAAATTCATGGTCAACAGACCTCGGCTAAGTCCCCTTCACCTCCCAATCTGCCTTCAATCGAATTAAAGACTCTGGAAAAGAGTGTCTGCTCGTTGATGTAGCCCAGGAATTGTGCTAAGCTTTTCTGGGGTTGATGCAGCTGTTGCTGCAGGGTTCTAGGTTTATGCTTTTCTGATGACTAATCGAAATATTTGCAATGCTGCTCAGATATTGTATGACGTATAATACATATATTATTGGGCATTCACGAAAAGCGTTCTTTGAAGCCCGCAGCTTGAAAGCAAGGAATCTACAACACAAAGCTGTCATGAGTATTCAGGCAAGCTGCACAATGTACCGGCGGCGGCGGCCGTAGCCGCTGTGAACTGTGTTGTATTGCAAGCTCTCTGCATACTGGAGGGGGCATGGCAGGGGATGTTTGCAGAGTGCTGACATCAATGGCAGTGCTATCTCGGCATGAACAGGATACTGAGCCTTTTGGCATGGGCATGGGCTGTACGGGGGCAGGAGTAGCACAGCACAATTTTACTGCCCCGAAAAGTGGCCTCTTGGCCCCGGCTGGCGGGGGACGATTTAAATACTGAGCACCGTGCCCACGGTTGTTTGGGTCTTGCTTGGATTTGGCGATTCATCAAGAAGTAGGATTTTGGCAGCCTTTACTGCAGCTTGTCTGCAGACGCACCTTGCTTCTGACAGGACAAGCGTGTATCAATAATAATAATAATAATAATAATAATAATAATAAATGGCCTCTCACGATCAGGATATGGCTCAGGCTGCATCATGCATGCAACGACTGGCAACACCAGACCTGGTGATAACGTAATGAAGTCCTCGACAGAAGTCAGTGCATCCTCAGAACTTGCATGTGCAAGGTATGGCAAAATGAAGCGGTATGACTTTTGATACAAGGCTGCAGAATTTTGTGAGCCCGGCAGAGGTGGCTGCAGACGCCCTGCGTGTATGCCCTATGGCCTTTGGCTTTGGGTTTGCCGACCTGTAATTATGATAAGAATGACTACCTTTGGGCACCACTTTGTACCGCCCCGCACCAGCATGGCGCAATTCTTCATCGGGCTTCATGTCCCTCTTCATTTGTGCCTCTAGGGATGCATGCAGGACTGTGCTTCGTTATGGCAGCGCAGGGCCGGCCCCGCTCCCAAAGGATGCCAAAAAAACAGGTTGTAGGTAAAGGAGCTCGAACTGGGACCTGCGATCGATCGGGTGCCTGCTGGCGCGATACAAGGTTGACTTCATTGCACCCAAAACGAAGTCTGAGCTTCAATCGTCTTCTCAAAAGGCAAGAAAGCAAAAGACAGATCGTCACGTCGGGTTCGCAGGTGGTCACCCAACCCACTACTGGTGACGCCCAAGGCAGCTTTGCTTCCGGGAGCGGACGAGAACGGGCATTTTCAGCCTGGTATGAACGATCCATGCGAAGATCATGTTTCGTTTTTATATGTAATTGACAATTGCCTCGAATCCTGAGTTCTGGGTATCTGTTCATGTTGATATTCAAAGATTTGCTTCATCCAATGCATGACGATTCAAGGAAAGCATTCCAGCGGTTCAGATGAGCGTCGACATGGCAAGGCGGCGCAAGATAAGATAGTGCAAGAAATTTTCCGCGTCAACTGGGGCAGGAACGTGATCAAATTGATTTACATTCATATACATTTTAATTCTCTTTTCCAGCTTGGTGTGCACCCTTCGCGGTCCCTGTGTTCTGGTAAAGTGCCCCTACGTGTATACAGATCATGAGCTAAATCTAGATCTTGTCTGCTAATCTTGCTCTGTGCACGGCTGGATTCCTTACTACGCTATTATTATAATCTCTAGCTGTCAATTTAGCATTGGCCTGGATTCAATGGTATGCAGTGATCTCTACTGAAGAATTAAACCTGCTGGTCCATACGCATGCCTAGCTGCGCATCCAGCAAATCAAGAAGAACGAATAAAAGAATGCTCTAAGAGCCCAGCGTCAATACAGAAGAAGAATCGTCCATCACTGGTCTTAGTACTAGTTTCATACAGCAGCCTCAGCTAACGAACCTGCATAGCAGTCAGCTGCAGAGCCCATCCGCAAGACTAGTGAAAAAATTCAGTGGAGAACTTTGCTTGGCAAACTCCAACCGCTCAATACAATCCAGACTATGGAGAACAGGGGCGTCCTTGAACCAGCCTGGCCGAATGCATTTGCCTCGCTTCTACCAGCCCTCCTGTCAATGCTGCCCATGCCATTCCTGACTGATCAGTGCTGGCAGGCGATTGCTATTCATCTCCCAGCAAGCACTTACCACAATTCTCTCCCAAGAGTCTTGGCCAAGACCATTCCGACACTAAAGATCCCTCCCTCAACTCTGAACCAGCCAAAATAGAGTCATGGCACTGAAAATCGCCCCAGCTGGCAGGGGCCGGTGTTTATACTGAGCACCATGCCCATGGTTGATTGCGTCTTGCTTGGATTTTCCAACAAGGGGTAGGATATGTTGCAGCTACTATGGTATACCTGCAACTTGTTCTCAGTCGCACTTTGCCTCTCGCAAGAATACACCTCAGGTTTGACCCTCTACACGGAAACTATTAGTGATGTGCGTCGAGTCACCCCCCGCTGCGCTGCTGCTAAAATTAGACTTTGAGGGGCCAAAGCCGAGGGCGGCCGCCGCGCCGAATTTGTCCGGGACGGCCCAGCCGCACTGCCGCTCGATGCCGGCATTGTAGTAATCGCCGGTGCCGTTACGGTACGCGCTCGTCACTGTACGGTAGAAGCCGTCCTCACCCCACCACTCGCCCCACGAGTTGCGCGCGATCCTGCAATTCAATTCAGCGCTGACTCAGCGGCAGGGCATGATTCCCCAGGGGATCCCCCTAGGATTGGGATATGTGAAATGCTCTGGACCCCTACGTCCTCAGATGACCTCTAATTGGGGAAACCATTACAAAACATGCAAAGCAGGGATGCTTGAAGACCGTCTAGGCTTATTGGCTTATGCTTCTTGGTTCTGCTCCGCCCATAGCTTTCTGCCACATTGACTGCGAGATTCACCAAGCAGGTCAAGAATATATGGCACTGCCCAATGGTATCGATATCTGCTGTCCGGGCAACCCAGGATTCCTGCTTAGGCCCTGTCAAGCCCTTTTAAGTGCAGCAGCTCAGCTTGGCTACAAAAGACCTGGTGACTGCTTTTGAGTAAATGCCATGCGCAGTAGCAGCTGCAACAGTGCCTGGCAAGCACCCTAGAAAAGGTTTTGTCCGCCGTGTGAATTCCTTTAGAGCTCTCCCATTCAGACACCGCACAAATTTCGGGCAAAGGACAGCAAAATAATGCCACAGCAAACATGACAGAGTTGCATGATCAAGGTCTGTATCCTCACCAGTATTCCGTGTCTGTGTCATTCTCCACTCCCCAGCCCACCACGCTGATCATGTGGTTGACGCCGAAGTTATCGTTGTACTGCGCAAAGATGCCGTCCTTGTACCTGTCAGAACAAGAGGAGAATTTGACGCGAAATAAAGTATCCTCTTGTATCATTACGCCTGGGAGCTTCCTAGTGAGACAAACCTGGTTCCAGCCAGCACACAGATTCCTTGCAGGTTTCATGACCATCTTGTCGGTCTCATGAGAAGAGGGCACATGCAGTTGCCTCATCCCTCAAACTTCATCTTATATTATATATTTGTGCCTATCACATCTAGCATGCTTGTCACGCGGGCTGCAAATCTGCTGCACCTTCAGCACTATCTTTATTATCTCACAATTTCCATTCCTAAGGGCCGGGCAAATCAAGCAACATGGTATAATTGCCGCCCCTGTAATCATTATTCACACGCTTTTCCTGCCAGAGGCAAGGTGCGTTTGCAGACAAGACTCTTCGGATGCAGTAAAGGCTGCCAAAATCCAACCCCTTGATGGATTCGCCGGATCCAAGCAAGACCCAATCAACCGTGGACACGGTGCTCAGTATATGTACCACCTCCCACCAGCCGAGGCCAACATGCTGCCCCTATAGACATGACAAACCCGAGCCCTGCCTGCTCCGCACCTGTCCATGGAGGCAGTTGCATTGATGGCACATGTGATGGGCCCGCGCGCTTGGATCTCAGCCATCATGTCATCGCGGCCCGAGAGCCGCCCGTGCTCTAGCACCGTCAGCCGCTTGTAATTTCTCACGGGGACGCAGACCTTGTTGTCTGTGGGACTTGGGTTGCAGGAGAAGCACTGCTGCCTGGGTGCAAAATTTAACATCAGATCAGTCTAGTGTACTTGCCTCCAAATCTCAGCAGCACTCTAGAGCTGCAAGATTTTCAGCTTAGGTCCAAAACAATGGGCATAACTGCTGCCCGGATTTATTGACCCCCTTCTATTCATACTCAAGAAAACGACAGTCTGACTTTGCTTGTTGACCTCTGGAAAAAGGCTCGCATGTTGCACTGCAAAAGGCAATCTAAAGGGGTGTATTCAGATTACACGAGGGGTCAAGTCAGTAAGTGTGGTGGACTGGAGTGCGCACAGGTCGGTGCATGCTGGCCCGTCCACCGCCACATAGCTGTTGCAGCTCTCTGGAGGGATCCCCTTCCCAGCTGCGTACTCATAGACCGTGCTGTCCCAGCCTGCAATATTAGCCAAACCTTCTTCAGCCCCTGAGTTTTGACTATCAGCGGGCGGGAGCAGAATTGCCTCCAAGACCATCTTTAGGGAAAGAGGCATGCTAACATCATCAAGGCAGTGCGAGCGCCAGGGAGGGAGGAGAAAGGGCTGCCTCGCCGTAAATGCAATGCATGGCTACACGGTTCTGATGTTTGGAAAATCGGAGGCCTACTGGTATTCCTGGAAACCCTTCAAACTATATTAATCTTCTCAAGGATCTTCAGGGCACAAGCATCAGAACAACCGTCCTTTCAGCATCTATCTTGGGATGATGCCAGCGGATTTTGCATGCGTACCTCCCTCGCAAGTCCCAGCATTGCCACAGTCAATCACATTCTGGACTGATAAGTATGTGGGCGGCCAAGCAGCCTTCCTCTTTATGTTCCATCTGTCAGCCAGCGTTGCTGTCGTAGCCATGGCCCAGCAAGAGCCGCTGCAAATAACGAAGGCAGTGTTACTTGTCACTGCACTAAGGCTAGTGCAAGGCTCTATTTCATTATTACTATTCTACCGGTGCCTGCATTTCCTGCCAAGAGGCAAGGCTTGTCTGCAGACAGGCTGCAGGCAAAGGCCGCCATAAATCCCACCCCTGGCTGGACTATGCCAGATCCAAGCAAGACCTAATCAACCGTGGGCACGGTGCTCATTATTTGTGCAGTTATTATTGCTTGGAAAACCAGGCTGAAGGGAGGCAGCAGCTCACCAGTAGACAGGTATCTGTTGGTTTCGGACTGGAGACAGGTAATTGACCCCGCTGACATTTCGCCTGCATGTCAGTGCAGGCGAGCTTGAATACTATTGGGGCAACGACTTTAAAGAGAATTTCGAAAGCAGTAGTTAAGCACAGAGAGAAGATTGTTCTGATTGTGTCATTCGGATGCCTAGGTGGAGGCCAAACATGCATCATAAGGATGAATCGCACCAATCCCATTCCCTGACCAGGTCTTCAACCTTGGCTGATTGCTGCGGAAGGGGACTCTTTCTGCAGGAGGGCACAACAACTCAGGCCAGATACCCGCAAGTTCTGCCACCAATCTGTTTGAATGCCAAATCGTTGACTCACACCTGTACAATGAGGACGCAAGCCAAATAAGAACACATTGTGACAACAACTTGAGCTCACACATCTTGTTATGTACATGCCCTGACGCAGGCTGCACTTACATTAGTGGCGTGTACTTCGGGTCGGGTGTGATGGTTGTTGCGAAAGCACTAGGTCTTAAATCCGCTTGAGCCCACGCAGTAGTGGCGTTCATAAGAAGAAGACTGCACCCTATCAATATGCCGAGTTTCAGCATCCTCACCCAGTTCCTACAACCTAGTTGACTAAACATGTACTAGCCCAAGTCGTGTAAGTTTTATAGATATAGCACTCACGTAACTTTCAATTCGCTTGCTCTACACTTGCCTACGTAACTTCTATGACCCAGGAAATGTGCAACTTGGACACATACACTAGATTACGGAAACACAACAGTTGCGTATCATTGTATACGCTTAGAAATACATCAAAACAGTTAAACATTAAAGACTTCCCACAAGCTTTGCACATTGCGCGCTGTGGTTTGAAACTAGTGTATTCGGGGTTCCGAGTAGGGTTCCGACAGGGGTCGGCAAGGGTTTCCAGGGAGTTGAAGTTTCAGCACATCATGATCTGCCAATGCCACGAAGATTGCACCGTGTGAGAAACAATTGAAGCGATCTGTGAAAAATACAAAAAGATCTTTGAGAAGAAGTCCGTAATATTGCAGCACTACTGGCATAGACGTGCACGGAGATCTATCACGGGACAGGTCAAGTAGAACACAAGCAAAGCTGTTGTCTTCAGGGCGCAGTATGGCCCAGTGCCCAGCCTCATCGAGCGGTCGGCAGCATGCCGACTGCTCTTGGCAGGCAAGGAACGTATTGGCAGGGAGTACAGGGCACAGGAGTAGCACGCGGCTTTTGAGGGCGCCCCTCTCCCATAATGGGAAACCAGCTAGGAGGAATTCTTTCAGAACCACTGCTGCAGCATCAACGATGGCGGAGGAGATGGTCACCGAGACGAAAAGCTCGGAGCGAAGGCAGATTCAGCAGTTGCTCAACAGGTGCTCCGCACTAAGACGTGCTTTTTGTGTTAGTTTCCCATCTCTAGCCTGCTTCAGCAGAATTTGTTTCAGGTGTGTTTTGGTAGAGGCAGTCATGCAGGATTACCTACAAAAGATGAGCGAGGATCCGTGTGCCATCATTTCGGACTAGCAGGCCCTAGTTCATTCTTAGATGCTTTCTGGACCGTGCAGGGAGTACACGCCAGGCTTCACCACTCTGATCGAATCTGAGACATTCGCTAAGGGCCTGGACGAGACCGTTGTCCGTGCCATCTCAGCCAAGAAAAGAGAGCCGGTGAGGCCTGTCAGCCTCTTGCTCGTTTATGCACCGATAGTGTTCCTCTGAATTTTTCTGGAATGTCGCATAAGTTAGGGTGCACTTCATCCAAAATGGGGTCATGAAACTTTATTCTGCTGTCTTGTAGGAGTGGATGCTGGACTTCAGACTGAAGGCTTACAGAAAGTGGCTCACAATGGCAGAGCCTGCATGGTCAGACAACAGGTGTGCACTCTCCACCTCTGCAAGCTTGGAGCGCTTTTCTGGAACTTTGACAGCTCTGCAGGCGAGGGGTGCATGAGAAAATAGAAGACATTGTGTTCAACTCTGTCCTTGGAAGATTTTGCCTTTCAGTGCTCTAAGCATCAAGCCTTGGCAACTTGCGCAGGTATCCGCAGATTAATTTCCAGGACCTGAGCTACTACTCAGCCCCGAAGCAGAAGTCAGAAAAGGTGTGCCACCCTTGCAATGAGCACTCACTTTTTTGGCTGAAGCCCAAGATATATGAAACACTGCAAGCCTCATTGCTCCAAGCTCCCTCTCTTCGTTCTGCACAATGCTCACCCATGCAGGACATAGGCTGACAAGTAATTTTTGCTTGTGGGCAATAGCAGTCTCCTAAGAAAAAGTGATCATCACGATCACCTCATTCCATGCGTCTCCTACTAGGCCAGATCCGATGCGCCGGGGACCCACGAAAACTGCAATCATCAGGATGGAGCATGATAGACTCTACCTTCCTGTGTGCTGTAGAAAAGCCTGGATGAGGTGGACCCCAAGCTGCTGGAAACCTTCAGCAAATTGGGGATTCCCATCAACGAGCAGAAGCGCCTGGCAGGCGTGAAAGACGTGGCTTATGACTATGTCTTCGATTCTGAGAGCATTGCCACTACCTTCAAGGCAGAGTTGGCGCAGCAGGGCATCATCTTCTGCTCCATCTCTGAAGCCATAAGAGAGTACCCGGACCTCATTCGCAAGCACCTGGGCAGCGTGGTGCGCATTTCCTCTCACTGCCCTGCACCACATCCTCCCATGTGCATCTGGCCATTTCGTGTCACCCTTTTGTTTACAGGGCCATTGGCATGCGCAGGTAGAAGGCTGCCCCTGCACATTGCGTGGCATACTCATGGGCCCTGCTATGTGGTGAAGAGAAGACACACATGAACATGTGCTGCACATGTGCGCGCAGGTGCCGGTGGGCGACAATTACTACGCGGCGCTGAACTCGGCGGTATTTTCGGATGGCAGCTTTGTGTACATCCCCAAGGGCGTCAAGTCGGCCATGGAGCTGTCCACCTACTTCCGCATCAATGCCAAGGAGACCGGCCAGGTCAGCACATCCACCTCAGCTCTGGATACAGGGTTTCGGATTGTATGTTTCAAGGTGTAGGGCGTAGCCGATTCTGCAAGGAGAAAGAATGTAGAATACTTATTTGGAGGGAGCAACCTCCCATGGAGGGAGCAACCTCCCTCTGCATGGCACTCACAATGCCTCTCAGTGCCTTGTATGTCATGCATTCCCTCTTGGTTGAACAGAGTGACATCAGACATTGACTCCCCTGCTCATTTGCTCGATGCGCTGTGCAAAGATTTTGATACGGTTATGACGGAGCCTCTTCTCCCTACATGGGGCTCGCAGTGCCTTGTGTACCTTGCCCAACCTATTGGTTGGGCTACTCCCAGACATGCAGCTAGTATCTCCTGAGAATGGCCATTACAAAACAGCTGTTGGACTGCGACAGCTGCCTATTTCAATTGGGAGGGCATGCATTACAATTTCATGGTGTTGAGATTTGCTATTGCTGGCTGCAGTTTGAGCGGACGCTGATCATTGCGGAGGACGACTCGGAGGTGTCCTACCTGGAAGGCTGCACTGCCCCCTCCTACGATTCAAACCAGGTGTGCCAGCTGTACTTTTCCTTCTCCCTAAGACCTGCTGCATGCACTAAATCCCACTCGCGGGGAAGGATGTCAATGGGCAGCACTGGGGCTTGCGGGTGAGATTGTGGACTCCTTGCGGCATGTTTGATCATGATGCTCAGCTCTGTTTTCCAATCAATGATGCACTTGCTTGGTGCCGCATTGGGAACCACCCAATTCTGTAGCTGCGGGTTCTGGAGCCTTGATGTATTGCCTCATGCCAGTGAAGACGGTCCAGACAAGTCTTTCATTCCTCGCTCCGATCACGATACTAGCCAGTATGATAGACTTGTCGGTATTGTCTTCCTGGCCACGAGGTACCTCAGACAGTCCCTTTTGAAGTTGAAAAACCCAGCTCAGCAAGCAGGCTGCGCTTGCGCTACACCCTTCAAGACAGCCGCTTTTGTCATACACTGGCAAAAGGCGTCATGTTGAGTGTGTTTCATGCTTCGAATTGTGAGTGTCTGTGGGTGTTGATGCGCAGCTGCACGCGGCGGTGGTGGAGCTGTCGGCTGGCGCCAACGCGGAGATAAAGTACAGCACGGTGCAGAACTGGTACAGCGGCAACGAGGAGGGCGTCGGGGGCATCTACAATTTCGTCACCAAGCGCGGCCTCTGCCATGGCGCCAATTCCAAGATCTCCTGGACGCAGGTATTTTGCACCAGCAAGGGCTCTATGGAGTACACATGGACATAGCGGGTTGATCAGTAGATGGCGGGTATGGAATGAAGACATGCCTGCTCTGTTGCCTCGGTCACTGTTGCCACTGGCCATACGTTTTCCTATTGTGGGCAGTGATTTATGTGACTCCCATCAAAACTCCAGCAAGCTATTGTTTGCTGGCACTTACAGGGACCCATATCCATCATTCCCCGCATTATAATTGCTGTATGTATAGAAATTCCCGCCGGGGCATGCTGGACTTGTTGGCTTGCAGCAAGAATACTCTTGGAGTCATGCAAGAGCATAGCCTGGCTTCCCCAGAATGGATAATGAGCGACTGTGGAGTCACTTCGCTTGAATGCACCTGTTTTCTTGCCCTGACATGGCAACTTAGTAATCCGTGGATACACTCTGCCCCGCAGGTGGAGACTGGGAGCGCGATCACATGGAAGTATCCGAGCGTGGTGCTCAAGGGGGACAACAGCGTTGGCGAGTTTTACTCTGTTGCGCTGACAAACAACCACCAGCAGGCGGACACGGGTAGCAAGATGATCCACGTTGGCCGTAACACGCGCAGCCGCATCATTAGCAAGGGCATCTCCGCCGGCCAGTCGCGCAACTGCTACCGCGGCCTCGTGCAGGTGCGCCTGTGTTTAATCATTAGGTATCTACGTTGTGATAGGAGCAAGGGTCTTGAAACATCGAGCTAGATGCAGATGCCCCTGGCTGAAATGTATATCCTATCTAAGCACCCCATTCGGCTGGTCGCACGAGTGCGTGGCCGCCTGTTGGGCTGGTGACTCCCGCAATTGCCACTGTAGCCTCTTGCAGGTGCACAGATGGTGCTTCATTGGAAGTAGTTCCCAGCTGTGTTTTGACCATGCATGAAATGAAAGGAAGCTTATTAAAGGCTTCCAATGACGGGCTTGTCGCGTGTTGCGCACTGCCGGTGCATCGGGCTGCAGATGCCTGCAGGAGTCATCAAGTCGTGCATGTGCATGGCTGTGTTGATGTCCAGCCATCGAGAAGAAGGGGTGTACTGCATGCATATCCATCCCGGCTCATCTCTAGAATACGGGTGCTCGGGGTACATGCATGCCGTGCAGCATGTTCTACCAATGCATGCAGCCCTTCACTGCAGAGCGGTCGCTGCAGGCGGATGTCGAGCACGCTTAAGGTCATGCTTGCCCGTGATTTGCTGACGCTGTGCCCGTAAATTGCTGACACTGTTTCTGTGCTGTGTTGGCACAGGTGCAGCCGACGGCTGTGGGCGCGCGCAACTTTTCGCAGTGCGACTCCATGCTCATCGGCGACACCGCCGGCGCCAATACCTACCCCTACATCCAGGTGCGCACCCCTCTGCATCCACCCTCCTTTACTTTCACCCTACAATTCACCCTTATCTGTAATGGGCAGCAGTGATTGTTGCCCGCGGATTATTTTGGTCCTAAGTCAGAAGTCTTTGGGGCCTCACAGCCGGGTCACACGAGACCGATCACAGTCGTGCCTGATGTTTGCCTGCTCTTAACCACTAGAGTGAGCCTCCTCTGCAAGTGGGCGGTGTCTTGCCTGTAGGATTGTTGCGTCCTAACCTTTGGAGCTAATCCCGGGACTAAATTGGGACTTCTTGACGTGCTGGTGTTGCACAAACCCCCCATGCACAGATCCTCTGGCATGTCACACGCGAGTCGTCGGCGACTAAGCGTGCATGCATGCTGCGCGCAGGTGCGCAACGAGAGCGCGCGTGTGGAGCACGAGGCGAGCACGAGCAAGATCGGGGAGGACCAGCTCTTCTACTTCCAGCAGCGGGGGATCGACCCCGAGCAGGCAGTTGGAACCATCATCTCGGGCTTCTGCGCGGACGTCTTCAACAAACTGCCGGATGAATTTGCGCAGGAAGTCAACGCCCTCATGAGCCTCAAGCTGGAGGGCTCCGTTGGCTAAGCAAGGGATCTATCTGTCTCTGTTGTCTTTGAACCACGAGAGATTGCAAGTTTGCAAGCATTCTTCAGAGAGCTTGCCCAAAGGCAGATAAGGGGTTTATCAGCACTCAGTGCGAATTCCTATGGTTGGGCTTGGCTGAGGAATATTCAGCCTCTGATTAATCAGCCTCTGTTGGGCTGGGTGCGTCCAAATCAAGTGCATGATGACAATGTGCTGGGGCAATTGCCCTCCAGAGGAGAAGTATGTTGAGCGTATGAACATACCTGCATGCCTGGCGCGCAGTTGAGCTTGAAATTCAAGAAGACGCGGTTGACAGCAGAAACACTAAACAGGGTTCCCCGAGCAGGGATTGCGTGCAAGCGGTGTCCATCGTCTGCATGGTGGATGTCGATGGACAAGCTGTTTCGATTGTGTTGCACCAGCATGCATATCATGCATTATTTAAGGCGCAAATTGCGCAACCTGTAATTAATTTAGAGAACGGACATCCCCTGAAGGCAACTTGCAAGCTTGTTCTCGACCTGCAAGGTGCCCACAATTTGATCAAGTGCTGGTTATTTAATAAATGAGTGCACACACGCATGGCATGCTCTGTGACAGCCTTGCACAGAGTGAAGAGTCATATTGGATCCCAATCATCTGTGGGTTATTCACATGCGGTGAGATAAATCAAGTCGCAATTAGTGTCAGCACACCATTTTCTCTGATTCAGTTGTGTCCCAAGCCTCTGCAACTCCTTTGCAAAGATCGGCAACACACCAGAGATGCATATGGCAAGTTGCACAGTCATTTGCATTACACCTCCTGCTTGCACTCTTAGCATCTTATTCAGCGCGTCAAAACCCAATCATTGTTTGCATGCACGCATAATTCTCTTAAAAATACACAAGGCGGCGTAATCACTGCACATTCTTACCAGGCATGCACAATCATAGAGATGATCTCTGGACGCAATATAGATATTCTAAGTCTGCTAAACAGATCAATAGCATCAAGTGCAACACAGCTAGACCACGCTGATGAAGACGGCAGTGCACTAGTTGCTGTTGATAGCACAATACACACGCTGCAGAAAACCTCCACACATCTGGATCCTGATCTCTTGAGTATGCATCAGCCCGTAGAGAAGGCACACACATATTCTACTTGAACTCAATAGCAAACAAGGTTGAGATCATCAGTATCCAATCACAGAAATACAGTTTATTTAAAAAACCACAAAACTTAGAACCACACAAGAGCACACACAATTAGAGTTCATGGAGAGTGTCGTACCCAAGAACTGGTTTGGGGCCCTAAAACTGCACTCCTGAAGTGCACTTGACACAAACTTGAGTCCACAATAGATTTGTGGACAAGAGAATGGTGCTGCCTGCTGCCCAAACGGCGCTAATGCAACAAAACATCCAGAGATTATATGCAAAAGATGGCATAACTGATGGTACATGCATCTGGCAGGGATGCTGCAAAACACTAGCTAACTTGAACAAAGTCCTAGCCTAAAGTCCAAAGCAACCAAATGCAGCGAGCAGTGCCTTAGTGGAAACTTAGGCAGCAGGCATTCTAACGCACACAGGACAATTATTGGGAATGCATGCACATGTACACACGGGCAGAAGACCTGCATGGCACTCAGATAACCCCTTAGTCACCACCCCTAGAGGGGACACCATGCCATGTGTGCGTGTGTTTCTTTGTCTTGGCATGTGCACACCACGCAGAAATCGACAGAAGTAAACACATGTGACCTAAACTCCACCTTTAGCAATCTAGTCCATTCAGGGCGAGCACCCATGCACGGTTGCACTCGCCTTCCCAACCCATGAATACAGCAAACCCCACCACCAAAGCATGACAGAGTGACCTTTTTTATCTTGAAATTGAATGTGAAAAGTTCTCTGAGACAACAGCAGCTGGGGAAAAATTATCCTGGACCCCTGTCTCCAAATACTAAACCCAAGTCCCAGCTTCACAATGTGAAGTAATACCAGCGCAAGTGCCACAGACCTGACCCTAACCTAATCCCCCTGATTATAAATCCTAAATGTGCACGATGCGCACAATGTGCTGCGTGATCGGCCGCCGCGGAGGCATCGCCTCGGGAAGACCGATCTCCGCCAGAGTGATAGTCGGCCGCAGCTTCTCGGCAGCTGCCGCCGACACCGAAATCACGGCGCGCTCCGGCTCTGTCTTTGGCGGAACTCCCTGGCAGGTGTCCAGGGGGTGCGAGCGGGGGGCCTCGCCGCCACCGCTGCCGGCAAAGGTGGCCGAGCGGGGGGTCCCCAGGGGATCCCCTTTGCGGCCGCCGGTGCGCGCCTCCACCATTTCGCGCAGCTGATCCATTGTGGTGTCACCCGTCTGTTACAAAAGACACACCATGTCACTATAAGTCAGTTTCATGCCATCTGCTCAGCAATTAGCGCCGTGCAAGGCCTACCTTGCTTTGGGTATAAGCCGGGAGTCAAACCCACTATACAACAAAATTAGGCAAGAGCAGGACCAAGACACAGCCGTTTGCAGGGCTGACTCCTTGATCAACATTAACAAAGATTGCCAGATATCTGATGGTGTTGGCTATGCTGATTCCAATCGGTTTTCAGTCAGGGGCGAGGGAGGGAGGGTACCACGGCAAGGGCGACAGAGGCGCCGCAGTTGGTGCGGACTTGGATGGGGAAGCGAGTGTCCTCTTTCAGGGCGCTCATGAGCGTGCAGGAGGCCCATGAAGCGGCGCTCATTATGGATCGCGCCCCCGCCAGCGAGTTCAGCAGCATCGTGTTTGTCAGGTGAGTCAGCGCGCCCGGGCCCGTCCGCTCTGCAGCAGCAGCGGGAAGCCAAGTTGATAGAAAAGAGGGATTAATCTTGAGACGTGCAGGATTGAGCGTTCTGACGTTCATTATGGAAGCTGATCCCCCATGGCCCAAAAACTGGCCTGTGAGATGAGTAGATGATGAAAACGCACCCCCCAGACCTCCTCTGGTGTTGCTGCAGAATTTGCAGGGGCAATGCATCGGCCCTTGCTGCCTTGTGAGGGTAGCAATCTTGCAGAATTGGTGACAGCATCCATTGGATGCGCCTTGGCCAAATGAGTGCATTTGGCAGAAGGGATAATCAATTGTTTCTATAGCATGCCAGCCAAGCCAACATAGTATGCTTGGCAGCCTTGCGACCAACATCACACTTTGAATCTACAGTGCATTGGTGGTCCTTAAGGAGGTTCAAGCATGGCAAGCAGGCAACTTTGGGGTGAAACCAAATGAAAGGAATGGGGCCTCACCCAGGATGATTAGGCGCTGCTGCTTGGCGGCGATGCCGACTTCCTGGTAGATTCCCGCGCGCATGGCTGCCAGGCTGGCGCCTGCATCCACCTCCACTGCCATCACCTGCCCAGCCAGCGTCTCCACCTGCATACAAATTCCCCCAAGCTCGCATGCATGCACTTGCATATAAACTCCTCTTGAGTTCTTTCGTTGTATTTGGCTTGTAAACACGTCTATTTGGTCCTGACAACAAGGCTCGATACGCTCAGAGGCATGCGCTTGCATTCTTTGCTCAAGTCCATCTCTGCTGATCCTTCTTGATGGCTCAGAGAAACTCAATTTCCTGCCGATCCCTCTTGATGATATGGTATGCACTCTGAGAAACTCAACCACTGTCCTCTGGCACCGATGATGTGGCGCCAGAAGCGAAGCTCCCAGATGCATATTGGAATATCACACCTATGGCCCAGCAGTAAGCTTGGCGGCTGCCTTGGCCTAGACTGTGCTGAGCGCTATTGTGGTGAGAGCGCATGCAAACCATGAGTTCGCAAAGGAAAAGGAAAGTCGAGGGCTCGCCTGCACACGGACGCCGTCCTTGAGGGGGGCGCTCTGTTGGGCAGCCTTGTTCTGTTTCTCCTGCAGGTGCTGCCACCATGTGGTCGCCTTCAGGCTGCCAATCAGGCCCCGCCCATACAACTCCCTGCACATGCAGGGTAATATTAAAAAGCCACAGAGCAGTTTCAGGCCGAAGGCCCTCATGCAGTCTGGCTTGTCAGACGCCAAACGTTGGACAGAACATGCCGTGCTTTGTCCTCAGAAGAACAGCTAATCCTGGCAAAACCCTTATAGCAGCACTTTTTCGTCCATGCATAAGAGCCTGTGATTCTTTATGCAGATTAGCGTGCATAGATGAAAGAGCGCATCGTTGATAGGAAGCCAGCACCACGATTTTTCAAGGAGACAGCAGCGCATGCTCAATCCACAGAATTCCCCATCGACAAGTGTACTCTGAAGGAACATTACGCATTCTGTTTTGAATGCCTGAAGTGGTCAATGTTGCTTGGATCCACTGAGAAGGCTATGCTGCACCACTCAAGTGCACCTGTCCGCTATGATGACATATGCAGCGATGAAGTCACACATCTGTCTTACAGACAAGTGTACTGAAGCGATGCTGTGCCCGCATGCATCTCCAATGCTCTTGCACCGGTCAAGCTGAGCATTTATGTGCACCCAGTCACATCCGCCAATCCCTCTGACTCTAAAATCTACAGTGGTGAAATTTCACAGTGCACCACTGGACGGCCTCAGGCAGGAAGACAAATGGTCTACATTTGTAAAATATTATAACGCACCGGTTGACGGCCTCAGGCAGGAAGATGAAGTTGACCCAGGAGATGAGCGTGCCGCGCAGGTCGCGCGGTGCCGCCAGGTGGCGCGTGACTGATCCCGCCAGGCTGGACAGGCCCGCGCTGCGCGCGCGATCCTCGGCCACCACAAAGAACTGGCGCCGCAGCGGCAACCCCAGAGAGCGCGCCACCTGCTCCCGGGCCTCCGCCAGCGTTGCCTCCGCGGGCTGCGCGCATGTGCCGGCACATGCCGTCAGCACTTTTTGGGAAAGCAACTGGCCTTGATGCTTGTGTTACGAAGTAGACACACGACATGAGAGGTGATGCATTTGACAATAGGGTAAGATTGCTGTGGCGGCTGACACTTGCATGGATGAGTTCATACTGGCATGCACTCATCCATGCATGCATGCCTTCATAATGATCCGCAGGCATAAAATGCTTCAGGTTTCGCTGCTTTTTAATTGCAGGCCACAGGCTGCCAAGACTGCTCTTTGGGATTGCATTAAAGCTGTAAGCCGGAGGCATGTACCAACTGAATATGAATTCTCTTGCAGTGAAGTACGCTACATCTAACACCTTGGTACCAAGCAGATCAGTACATAGAGCTGTCAGTAACTGCAAAAATCCAACATCTTCTCTGAAAGCAATCAGATCCACGAGCCATTTTAGCCTATGGACCATAGATTTGACAAGAAGATGCCTGAGTTGCGCAGGAAGTAGAAAGAATGGTGTGCTGCGCACCAGCTCCATGACCAGGTCAGCGCCACTGAGCAGCTTGACCTCCAGCCGGATGGACTCGCCCTTCAGATTCTTCTTCTTCCTCACTTCGCGCACCTGCAGGGTATAGTGAGACCATTAGCAAAGAAACAATTTCTTGGACATCAAGAAAAGCAGCAGGCAGTGCTGCATGGCCAGAGTATTGCTAGAGTCCTTTGAAACATAGGTCTGATCTGCGCAAAAATCAAGATCTAATGGAAGGCCAATAGCAAAGTCCCGGCTGCGGAGCCATTGCCAATTCATGCCTGCTTGGTGGGTACAGACACAGCAAGCTGCTGACTAATTTGCTTCATCTTCTTTCATCCATGACAATGCAAGATATGGACCATGCACTGCTGCATCATGCATGCCAGGTCCACCTCATCAAGCTGCCAGCTCAGCGCATGCACAAAAGTGAATCCTCATTCAATTCTTGGCAGTAGAAGATACTCACAGGAGTTGGCGCCCAGGAGGCCCAGCCAAGCACTGCCCCAAGCAGAGCCTTGGGCTCGCCCACATAGCTGCTGGCTGCGCGGACAAGCTCGGCCGGCGCTGATGTCAGCGAGGCCGCTGACAGCATCAGGCTGACTGGAGTGCCGATAGCGGCTGCTGACACGTTGATGGCTGCATGAGACGCAGTGCGCACAAGCGACCTCAGCTTTGTGGGTGACACTGGAGCTGCGGAAGCTTCTGCAGCAGCAGACAGACCCCAATCTCAAGAAGGATATACTTTGGTATGGAGACCTGAAGCATGCAATGTATGCATGCCAGCAAAGCTGTCTGAAGAATGCGCAAGTAGGAGGGCAAAGAATTCTTGCACCAAATGGTGCCTTTGCAATTGATTATCCATTTGCGACGTGATCCAGAAAAGAAGTGAGCCATAGAATTCTGCATGTGTGGAGGAGGACAGCACCTTTTGGGGTGTTGAAAGGCTCTACCATGGTTGGTTTCTGCAGACTTCCCTGGCCCTCAGGCCAAGCTTCTGCGCATGCATTAATGGGTTCTTCCATAGTTTCCTGCAATGAAGATTAGCAATACAACGTCAATAATCTGTGTTGTTCTAGTCAGATTTATGACTGCTTGGTGTGTATTCTTGCAAACAGCCAGTTGTGATCTTGTCCACAACGGGACATCAGACGTCGTGCTAAAAACCCAAAGAACATCATTGGACAGCGAGTAAATTAAGTTTGAAGGAGTTTTGTTCCAAATATGACAAAATAAGTGCGATGATCGACAAAGGCAACCGAGGAGTACTCGAGATTTTGAAATTACTGTATATTTTCGGCACCCTGACAAAAAGTACGAAAGGATTGTTTTGAGCTATGCGATTGAGCCATTATGTTGCAAAACTCCAATACCCTAAGCGTCCAATGCATGTAGGTGGCTTGTTACGAGGTGCCAGTGCAATATCGATAGGTGTCGTGGACTTGTTAAACCGTCTAAATGCACATCTAAAGGCAGTGTGAAGCGATCGGCAACAAGGAAGCACCCATGAACTTAAGTCCAGACCAAATTTGGAAGCACGATGTACCAAGATGAAGATTCTGTGAACCGTGGTGACCATTCCTAGTCAAACCCCTCTGCTCCAACGCACGCTGACGCTGTAACTTTGGGTAACAGCCTCACCTAGTGGCTTTATCCTGAAGATCGAGGATGCATCGCTGTCAGGGACCGTGCGCTGGAACGTCAGGCGTCCAATGAAATGACTAGGTTAGTACGATGACACTCCAAGACAGCATCGTGACGTCCGTCAGAGCTGCTGTTGCAGAAAATTTGGCCAGAAACCCTCTAAAGCATCAAGTGCTGCATAGCATTGCTGGGATGAGCGAATCAAGGTCTTGCACGCGCTGTGTGAGAGCCATGACAGTGGGAGCCAGAAATTGGCTAACTGTTATGTAATACTTTGGTCTCCGGAGGCGTTCCTTGCCTTCCGTCGCAGAAAGAAAAGATCCACAGATACATGCAGCTGCATGCAGGTCCTTTCACCACAACACATTAGAGACCAATGCAGCATTGATGTTTGAGGGAGCTATGCAGGACTTTATGTGAAAACCGGGTAGGTGACGTGGTCACAATGTCCAACGTGCTCTGTAGAGCAGCGTTTTGCGCACTGGTGGGAGTGGGATTGTGCGCTGCTCTATTTCGTGAGGATATTACTAGCTTCGAGGTGATCAGTCCAGAAGAGGCACGTTCCCCTCCTCTGCACCAATTTCATCAGTTTCAGCTATGAATCAACGCCAGAGGTGTACATAGTTGCGAGTCAAATAGAAAACCTATGTCCAAGAATCCGACTTTGGATCTTGTACTAACTGTTTTATCTATTATGCATTTCTTCAAGTCCTGCCCTGTCTGCAAAAGTGGAGGGCATGTGGACCTAAACATTTCTGTGGTCAGCACTTGACATTCTTCCTGGCTCTGCAGGTGACGCTATCTCTTGGAAAAACGGACATCGGGGTAGATGTAGCGAACGCCACAAATGGGTGTGTCTCCTCGGTGTCACTCCATGTTGTCAGACAGAAAGAAGCACAGAACTGTCTGTGCCGAGCGCCTGCTGATGAAACAAACATTTTTGCGATTTGCAGGATTCTGTTGGATAGTGGGAGCTTATTCTCAGCCTCATCGCGGGGTGGGAGGGGGAATGTCAGGGCGAAGAGCAAGGAGCAGACTCTGGCTGAGCTTAGGGAGGAGAATGACTGGAAGAATGACCTCATCCTTTTCTGGATGCCAACTTCGATTAGGTGAGCGGCCAACGCTGTATCACCTCCTAAGACGCGCTGCCTGGCAATATTAAGCCACCTCTTGCAGCGATTCCTTGCCCTGGAGGTCCTTTGCACTGCTCTGGGCATATCAACAAGGCTTACTTCACAATTACTGGCTGGCGGGGGCCGGTATAACAACTGAGCGCCATGCCCACGGTTGGGTCTTGCTTGGATCTGGCGAGTTCATCAAGGAGTACCATTTGTGGCAGCCTTCACCTGCAGCTTACTGCAGACAAACCTTGCCTTTTGCAGGAACGGCGTGAAATAAATTGAGAATGGAATACCTGCATCAATGGCCAGATGCCTGACCACATGAGAGATTCTTGTCATGTGCGCAGGGCAAAGATGCCCCGGATAGTGCATTCTTGGCTGCGCAACTATCTGGCGTGCATGGCCATGTATTTTGCTGTGGGGTCCATGTGGGTGTACTACATCTACTGGTGCTTTGGCAATGTCTTCTTTGGGCCAGGCAGGATGCCGGGGGTCACTGATGTCTTCGAGCAGATCAGGGTGCGCACTCTTGCCATCATATCAGCCAATACTGCTCAATTCACACAAACACACTGTCATTTGTGGCTGTCCTCACAACCATCAGACTGCCCCAGATGCCAGAAGAACCTGCCATCAGGAACGTCTGTAATGTCTGTGAGAGCACAGCTCTGCATGCAGCGGATTATTGGAAACTCTGATGCATTCTATATTACTTTACCTTCACACCTCAGATTACCCCTTTCCTATCAGAAGCTGAATTTAGATACACCTATTGCCCCCTGCAGAAGCTGCTGCAAGGATTTAGTGCTCTGATATTCCGAAGGCAGAGGATCCTAATTTGAAGTATCCACATTCAGCGTCCCCTGCCGAAGGTGCACCAAGGGTTCAGCCTTCTTATTTCCATTGGCTGCAGGTTGCAATGGGGTCGATGCCGCTATACGCAATGCTGCCAGCGTTGACAGAGGCAGTGGTGGAGAGGGGGTGGACGAGGGTGTATTCACGCATTGATGACGTGGGGCTGATGTGGTACCTCGTTTATTTCGCCCTCTACATGACCTCAGTGGAGTTCTTTGTGTACTGGATGCACCGCAGCCTGCATGATGTCAAGCTGGGCTACAGGTCAGACCTTCTCACAATCTCTGGAGCAGCACTTCTTCCTGATTTGGTGCTCACAGCATAGAGGTTCTCTTGAGCCCTTACCGCTCAGCATCTTCTTGCCGAACATGTCACAGGCTTGTCAATATTTGCCTGTGCTAGATAGACGATGAGGATGCCCGGCGGTAAGGGCTTAATGCATATTGGGTCCTGTGCATTCAGGGAAGGGTGATCTTGTATCTTGAAAGAGCTGGCTTGATGGGTTATTCTGTGCATGCAGCTGGTTCCATCACACCCACCACAAATACAACAAGGAGCACACGCTGTCGCCCTTTGCTGGACTGGCCTTCAATCCCTTTGATGGCATCTTGCAGGTTTGATCATTACTCTTTGCCTTCCACTGAACCATTTTTTTGCTTCTTTTCTGCTTTTTGTTCCTGTCAATAGTTCCTGTGAGTGGGGCCTGAATGGAGATGTGGCAGCTGAAAATGACTGAAGTTATCTCATTTTGTCATTTGTCTTGACTGCCCCTTAATTGTCTGCAAATGTGGACCAAGGAGATTTGCTGTCCCTTGCAGGCGATTCCCTACTGTTGGACGCTGCTCTATGTTCCCATGCATTTCCTGACCCACGAGCTTCTGCTCTTTGCCACTGGTATCTGGACCACAAACATACACGACTGTATACACGGCAGGTTAGACCCTCAATCCCAGCCTCCCGTGCATTGCTGCATTGCCGAGAAATTACATGAAGCCCAAGATTTCCGGGGAGCCTGTAATATCTAAAGAACATTCTGTGGCCCTTGTCATCATGCAAAAGCTATGCAAGCTTGTAAAAGCCTCAGCAGAGCTGTGCATAAGTTGATATATTTTTGCATCCTTTTAAGAGTTGATATAATGATGGAAGATTAAAGTATCTGCATGTGACTGATGCATGAGACTGATGCATGCAATTGCAGGGCTGATCCCATCATGGGCGCGGGCTATCACACAATTCACCACACCACCTACAAGCACAACTATGGCCACTACTTTGTGTACATGGACAAGCTCTTTGGCACGCTGGTAACCCCAGAGGACTATGAAGCCGAGCAGCAGGCAAAGCTCAAGGCAACATGAGACGAGCACTTGAGGGTTTTGGCTTGTTGAAGTTTTGTGTCGAGCAAAGCAGGAGAGGCGGCGGTGGGCCCTTCCCTTCATGCACTTGATTCTGGCGGGCCAGTCTAAATTTTTACGATATAATGACTTATAAGAGGGAAGAATTGAGAAATTCGTAGCAAAGGGGATTGCTGAGTAGTGAGCAGGATGATAGCTGGCTGAATTGCACATGACTGACCAGGGAGAAACGTGGAATGACGGGAAGTGATTTTGATAGCAGAGTAGACTAGACAGCATAGACACGTGAGTGACCTTTCCTCTTCTTGCGCAGAGGTACTACCAGAATTCTTTTGCAAGCTTCTGTGGCTTGTGACTTACTATTACTTGGCTTTCGCTGATGTCTGATGTTCGTAGATGGTCCTGCAGCTTGTCCTTGACAGAGAGGGAATGATGCAATTTAATAATACTGGTAGATTCTGCTTTCTTGCAATGCATTGGTGCTTCTACCTGTAAAGCTCAAGTTTGCTTATAAGTTTAGCTTTTGAAAATAGCTTATGAATTATTACTATATCTCATAAGTCCTTGACTGCCCCAGCCAGTTTTTATTCAGTCATCAGTGCATCACATGAATGCACTTGGCATTCAACACAGACACATCCTTATCTACTGACAGCATCCCGAGTAAACTTACAGCAAAAAATTTCTGGAGACAAAGAGATCATCCAAGTGCAGTGCCAGTAGCACCCAAATCCTTTTGCAACCCAAAGGAAACTTCCTTGCTTTCTAGCGGGTGCTTCGACCCATCAGTTCACTTGAGTTCAAGTTTCTGTTCTTGTTTTGCATACGCTCCTTGTCACCACACTCTTTCTTCCTCTCATTCAACAAACAATTTGAGAATCACTCCGTGCTGAGGCGGCCCTTGTGCCGTAGGTAGGCCTGCACAAACTGGTCTATATCTCCATCCATGACCCCTGGCACATCAGAGGTTTCCATGCCAGTGCGCACATCCTTGACCAGCTTGTAGGGGTGGAACACATAGTTCCTGATCTGCTGGCCCCACTCCGCCTTCACAATATCTCCCCTGATCTCGGCTATCTCCCTCGCCTGCTGTTCCTGCTGCACTACCACCAGCTTCGCCTTGAGCTGCTCCATTGCCAGCGCCTGTGCCAGCAAAAATACATTTTATTTATTTATTTATTTTTACACGCTTTTCCTGCCAAGAGGCAAGGTGCGTCCTGCAGACAAGCTGCAGTTAAAGGCTGTCACAATCCTACCCTTGTTGGACTCGCCAGATCCAAGCAAGACCCAATCAACCAATATGAAATACATATTCATGGGCCATCAATTAAGACTAGATGCCCTGAACAACAAGAGACGCCCTGTCTGCATGTCAGCAAGTGTACCAGCATAAGCCCCCACCAAGAATATCAAAATCTGACATTTGCTGTATCCATCTACCAAGTGGCCTGAGTACTAGGGAACCATATCGAGTCCTCCAGACATGCACTGACAACGTCAACATTAAAAGCTAAGCAAGTGAAAGGCATTCTGCTCATAAAGAAGAGGACGTCATTATGCAGACTGGTGAAGCATGGGAGGTACAGTGTGACAAAATAGATATCCACCTTGTTCTGCAGCTGCGAGCGCTGTTGCTGGCACCGTACGGCGATGCCTGTGGGGATGTGTTTGATGCGCACGCACGTCTCCAGCTTGTTCACATTCTGGCCGCCTGACCACATTCACATTAAAAACTCGGACAGCTGTGGCATGCAAGCTGCTTTTCAGCGAACGTCTCTGGCCAAGACGATGGAAATTCAATACCTTCGCTGCAGGGAAAGTTGATGCGCCAAAGCCTGGGGAAAGTACAAGAAGGTGAAGGCTAACCTGCGCCCTGTGATCTAGTGGTCGTGATCTCCAAGTCAGATTCAGGAATTTCCACCTGGGTCGCCTTCTCTCCTGCGGACATGCAACTGTCGACATCACTACCCATGTTTGCAAAGACTGCGTACAATGGAGAGACCTCATGCTGCAAAACTACTGCGCCGCTCCTTGTGAAAGCCCAGGACACCGCATGCAATAATGTGAAGAATGCGAGATTCAATACCGTGGTAAGCATTCTAAAACCCGCACCCTCGGCGGTGCGGGATGTTATTAAAAGCAACTTTTAGGGGTCTTTCTGACTTCAAACATACCAAGGTCATGCTCCATTGGATTGGACTCGTCGACAGCTTTCCGAATCTGGTCTCAAAATTATCATAGGTTTCACATTTTGGGAGATACGGTCCAATTTATCCACCCTTTTTGGCCAAAATGATTTTTGCGGGTTTCAGAATGACAGTAGTAGCGAATTTGCGGCATTTTCTTGTTAGCAAAAATCCGAGCACTTCGTCGCTTTTACTAATGATTGTATGTGATGACCCTGGATACACCATGTGGCCATGAGAGTGGGAAGTCGGCGCACCGAGGATTGGCATGACTTCCACGGCAGCGAAGCTGGTCTGACGCGCAGCCTTGGCATTGAAGGGGGACTGGCGCACCAGTCTGTGCGTTCCCTTCTCGCCTGCCAGGTACCCATAGGCGTATCTCCCATGCACCTCCATCTCCACGCTCTTCACCCCGGCCTCCTCGCCTGATTGCACGTTGCACAAAAGGAAACTCAGTGAGCGCTGCTGCGCATATGGGAAGTAATGGCATTGTGTCCCATGGATAGATGCTGCAGCAATGGCTCTTCACCCCCTGCCTCCTCGCCTGATCATAGATTGCACACAGAAACAATTTCAGGGAGTGCTGCTGCCAAGCTGTCAGGTTTTCTTGGCTTTGTGTTGCATGGACAGATGCCGAAGCAATGGCTACATGGAGGTGACAATAAATTGAAGCTGTGTTTCAGCTGGGATACACTCTTGGCCCAAGGCGCACAGAAATAGACGCATGAAGTTTGGAAAATAAAAAAAAACCAGGCAATCTGATAAGACCTGTTTTTTTTTTAAGTCCTTCAGGCTGAGGCACAGAGGTTGCAGTGGAGGATAGGCTGCAATGGGAGTGTGAATTCATGGACGCAAGACCACTGATCTGATGATGGAGCACATTGCTGACCTGGCGATCTGTCGAGGGTGACTGTTTTGTAGCCCTGCTTCTCGGCCCAGCGCGTGTACATGCGCTCCAGCTTCTCCGCCCAGTCCATCGCATCCGTGCCCCCGGCACCTGCCTGCCAACGGTATAACCACCCCTCCTGAGCAATTTTTACGATGCACAGACGTGTGATACCCTGCCTAGAACACGTGCAATAAGAAAACGGATCAGCTTGAAATATAGAAATTAATAAGCGGTGACAACAGGCAGAATGTAAGCAAGGACGCAAAGTAACAAAGAAATTTGCTAAAATAAAATTGCAGGAATAGCTTCAACAGCTTAAACTCCCCACAGCCAAACACACCCATGGCCAAAGAAATGCCCAAGTACGCTTGCTGATGCAAATCATCTTGAATGTCTATTCTCAGGGAATCAAGGCGCTCCAAGAGCAGGTCAGCAACGCAACTGAGCGACACCAATAGATGGATCATGGACTGAGAAAAGTCAGTCCAAGACCAACATGCAGGTGTCTCTCAACAGCATTGCCAACCTAAACAAGCAAGATTTTGAACTGACAGATGCCAGATAGTCTGGGCCAATGTTCAGGTATCTCTCAACACTGCTGCCAACCTGAGCAAGTGAGGTACAGACTGGGCACCTGGATACTGAGGGTGGCGCTGCCCTTGTCATACTCGCCGCCCAGCAGCCGCTGCAGCTCCCACCTGGCAAGCCCCTTCTGCAGCCTCTCCAACGCTTCGACCCCCTCCCTCAGGAACGCCTGTTGCTCCTGCCCCTCCTGCACATGCCAGAGGCATGGTGAGGCATAGCTACAGCTGCCTCTCACCTGCACAACTCTTCAGAACGGTCGTGGGAGGGATCAAGTTATAAAAGCTGCTGAGTGGCTAGCACAGGCACCGCATAACTACTGGACGAAATGCAGCTGACTTTGCAGCATGGCTCACTCTCAAGCGGCAGGCTGACTTGGGAACATGCAAATACATCCAGATTACACACTAATCCTGCCTGAGGCAAGGTGCATCGGCAGACAAAATGCAAGTAAAGGCTGCCGCATATCCTACCCCTTGCTAGACTCGCCAGATCCAAGCAGGACGCAATCAACCGTGGGCACGATGCTCAGTGTAAATACCAGCCCCCCGCCAGTAGGGGCCAATATATCCATATTGTGCCGCAAAACTGATCTCCAGGGAGTAAACAGGCAGAAAGGACCTGCCTCCATTTCAGCGAGTTCAATGGCTGTTTGTACATCTCCCAGGAGGCCCTGGAACCCCTCCACTTCCTGCACGATGCCCTTCAGCTCGCTCATCTGCTGCAGCGTGGCCTGAGCGCTCTCCTGGTCCTCCCAGAATGCCCCATCGCTGGCAGCCTGCTCCAGAGCTGCGTACTGGTCTCGTAGAGAGATTAGATTGGTCACATGCGCTGCCTCCTCCACCTGCTTTGCAGCCTCTACTGCCTGCATACGCACATGGTGGGTGCTCAGGGTGGGATTGTTACGGGACGATCTGGCTGGCAGCTGTTCACGACCCAAAGGAAGATTGTCAGGCATCGGTGGAAATACAAGGGCAGAGATTTTACCTTTGTACTCAAGGCATTGACTGAGAATTCCTGCTCCATGGTAGCTTGCTCCACTGCTGAAGCCTTTGCAGCGAAGGTCCGCCTGCTACCGATATGCAAACTTTTACTCCGTCCTGTGCTCTGCTTTACTTTGAATCTTTCGGCTGGCGAGCATGTCGTCATTCCATCTCGCAGCTGTACGAAAGGTTGCAACAGCACAGGTCTGGCACACCAGACGGAACTCGAGAAACCGCAGGAGGTGGGCCTCATGGCTGATCGGCAAGGGAAAATTTTGTTTTCGAGAATGTAAGTTGGGCTTTTTCGAATCAGGAGCGATCTCAGGCCCAATGGAACAGAAAACACAAAAACACCGTTTACCAATCGGTACACTTTTGGTGCGATCGAGGCCATGATCCTGGCATGTTTCTGAGATCAGAGGAATAAGCTACACACTTCAAAAGAAAATGAGCTGAGAATGGAAATGGGCCACCATCTGGAGACATGCTGACCTCAGCAGCATGCGGCCATGACGTGGAAGATAGGAACCCATGAGATGCACAGGCTGGAATTCTTAAATCGTGCAACAGAACAACCCACAATCGTATTACAGCTTGCTCTCGATTTGTGAACGAACTTTTTTGAACGTCTCCTGCTAGCAGGTTGAACGGGATCGCTTGCAGTTGAGAAGTGACATCTTGACAGTATTGGCAGTAATCTAGCGCCCTTATTGAAGTGCCTGTATCTTCACAATAATACTCAGAAGTGGCGCAGCCATGCACAGCGCCACCCCTTTCATGTCTGCAGCCCCCGATCTTGGGAGGTGAGTTGGGCACCCAAAGCATGCCAACAAACTCTGCTCTGCATACACCAGTCCAAAAATCTCTCCTCAAGTAACTCTGGCCATAATGGTATCTTGTCAAGCAATTTAGAGCCACTGCCAATCCTCAATTAATGCTGAGTGCCTGCAACAGGTGTAGCTTGAGTCCACCAAGCTGCTCGGGGAGGGCCCTGCCCTTCCAAGCCTCCACATGTCCACCTCTGCGCCATGCCGGGGTCAGGCTGTCAGCATGGCCGACGAAGCCCGGCAGCCTCCTGCAGAAGGTGCAGAATCTCAATTCTCTCGGAATGCGTGGACCACAAGCATTACTGGTATTGTCCAAGCCATTTGTAGCCATGCTTCACTCACCCTGCGGTGCAGCACGGCATGCTTTGTATTGCATGTTGCAACAGACATCGTTTGCTACCCGCTTGAGCTGGCAGCAATCAAGTCTTGATAAAATTGGGAATGGATGTATATTACCACACTGCTCCTGCAGGCACACAACACGACGAGGTCGCACAGCAGAAGGCGCGAGCAGTGCATGTCGGTAACAGCAGCATCGGCAGCTTCCGCGGCGGATGCCGGCGGCGCAGGTTCCGTGGACGGGGAAGCTGCCGGCAGCCCGTCGGTAGCTGCGCGGATGATTGCGTTCCAGCAGGCCTTCTGGAAGTTCCTGCGGCCCCACACAATTCGCGGCACCATCCTCGGATCCATCGCTGTCACTGCACGCGCCCTCATCGAGTGCCCCGCTGTGCGCTCTTGACCTTCCTCCTTCAGGTCATGTGACACTCTTGCCTGGGAGAGTGACTTTACCCAATTAAGTCGATGCACGGGCTTGCATGCAGCTCTATCACGGCTTCGTTGCATAGCGCTGGAAGCAGAAGCACAGCTTATCGCACTGAGCTGTTTTACTTCGCCTACTGGTCGATCCAACATATACAGTTGATTCAAGGATTTTAATGACTCAAGATTGCAACGCTCCTCAATCAAGGGATGGTGTGGCCATGTTGCTATTGCAGCCGCCGGACTGGGGCAGTTGCGTCCTTGCTGAACCTGGCAAGACACATTGATACTAACTGAGATGCACACTTGTATCTTGTCGGAGCCGTAGTGATATGAGGGAAATCCCTGCTGTACTGCACATGCAAAGGTGGACTGGGGCGTGCAGTGCCAGGCCAACTGACATGAGTTATATACTACAGCACATCACTTAGGATGAACATTATGAAAGCGCAGTACACCAGCTCAATTGATTGAATGACTGTTTGCTGTGGTAATATGACTAATTGTTGCTGATGTGTAATGGCTGCAGCCGCTGGACTGGGCCCTGCTGCCGCGCGCTGGTCTGGGTGTGCTGGCGCTGTTGGCTGGCAATGGCTACATTGTGGGCATCAACCAGATCTACGACGTCGACATCGACACCGTCTCGAAACCATTCCTGCCCATCGCAGCAGGTGCGCACTCCCACCAATAAGATGTCACGTAAAAGGAGCAGCAAAGAAGGGGAGAAAGATGGAATAAATTCCATGGAACCCCCATTGCCTTAGGCACGTCCTCGCCTATTTGATATTTAAGTTTAATAGCCACAGAGAATAGCTAAAAGAAAGATGGAGTGGACAGAGGAACACCGTCTGGGACCCCAACGTGCAGAGCCAGATATGGCTGAGCAGAGGACAGACCTTTTAAAGCATGTGAGTTTCTAGGATGCCATTCAGGCGCTGTACTGGCAGAGCCTGTGAGCCTTGCTGAAAGCATCTCAAGGGGTGCTCAGAACGTGTTAAGCGACCGGCTGTGTGAGTTCTGCTACAACAGGGGTTTGCGGCAGGCTGATCAGCACATGCAGGGATGGGATTAGAATTGCTTGGGAGTCTTTGGCCGTGATGCCTTCACGGCGTGCGTGATAGAAATTTCTATTTGCCAGGCTCTGCTTGGCGTCAGGGCACACCATGCAGGCATCTAGGCCGTAGGAATCCGAGTTGTAATCCTTCACGTCCTTGCACACGCTATTACAAGCATGTGACCTCTGTAACAGTAAGACGGTAATATTGTGTCTGACTGACGTCTGATGTATCTCTCGACTAGAAATTGGGAGGCGCCCAGTTCAATGTGCACACCCACTTGGGTTTTGCATGGGTTGGGGCCCCACAAGTCTCGAGGGTATTCTTGTGCTTCAACTGAACATGTCAGCTAAAAGATTTCTACTGTGTATCCAAGCACTATTTTATATTGCATTCCTGTCCATCTCCTCTGATTCATGTAGATACCTGCAGGCGAGTTGTCACCGGGGATGGCCTGGGCGCTCTGTGTGGGCCTGGCAGCGGCGGGCCTGGGGATCACAGCCGCCAATTTTGGCCGCCCCATAACTCTCCTGTATGCGTTCGGCCTCTTTCTGGGCACGGTCTACAGCGTACCTCCGCTGCGCCTCAAGCGATTTGCGGTCGCCGCCTTTATGATCATCGCGACCGTGCGCGGATTTCTGCTAAACTTTGGCGTCTACTCTGCCACTCGCGCTGCCCTGGGGCTGCCCTTCCAGTGGAGCCCTGCTATCCTGTGAGGCCCTCTCTCTTGTAAACCCATCACACCCTTTTCCAGCTAAAGCTGCAGTAGTTTTCCAGCGAAAGCTGCAGTAAAGGGCTGCCAGATTTCCTGTTTCATGATGGACTCGCCTGATCCAAACCAGACCAAATCAGCCGAGGGCACGCTGCTCAGTATTCATATCGCCCCCTGCCAGCCGCCGGGCCAACTTGTGGGTTGAAAGGTGCAAGATGGTAGTCCTTGTCAGTCCTGCCTGCCTTCGAAGTGCGCAGCTTGCAGGGCTTCACCAGTATAAAGTTGCCATGTGTCAGTCTAACGAACAATGCCAGGTGTCATATTTTTGGCTTTGCATGCACAATCCGCAGTCTGCAGCTGCTTGTTGGCCTCTTTACCGCTGCATTTGATTCTGAGGGATGGCGGCTTTCTCAAGTCAGACACTTGCTTTCATGAGATGTCATTTTACCGCGCTGCTGCTCAGATGTTGCATGCATGGTGCAATTGGGCCACCTGTGAGGAACGTAATGTGCGCAGGTTCATCACATGCTTCGTGACGCTGTTTGCCACGGTGATCGCCATCACAAAGGACCTTGCTGACGTGGAGGGGGACCGTAAATACGGCATCCAGACATTCAGCACTCGGCTCGGCACCCGCAGGGTGGCATTCCTGGGTGCGTCTGCGTTTTTCAAGTACTAAAGCCTGGTTATGGCAATCTTGAGGATTAGTTGCTGGCATGAGCGCATTGCATCAATAGCAGGTTTTCTGGAATGCCCAAAATAATGTCTGGGCTGCAGCCCTTGAAGCTGCAATATGAAGCAAAGATGCGCGTGTGCCTGTAAATAGAACATGGTGTTATGCGGTTTGGTGCGGATTTCCCCTTCAGGGGCTTGCATGTCTGTTACGATATGTAACAGAGTTGAGGTGACATGGTAGTTTGCAGGTAGTGTGTGGCCTGCTCTGGCTCTGCATGCCAAGCATTCACAACCCCTTCAGCAGTTGACCGTGCTGTTGTCATTGCGCAGGCTCAGGGCTGCTGGCGCTGAACTACGCTGCAGCCATAGCGCTGGCAATAAAGATGCCAGGCACATTCCGCGCACCTCTGATGATCGGCGCAAACCTTCTCTTCACGGCATATCTTGCGCAGCAGACAGCCAAGATAGACAAGGGTAAGTACAGCCAGCTGGCGATTGCTGGGTACTACCGAGGGATCTGGAACCTGTTCTACGCGCAGTATGCAATCTTCCCCTTCATATGAGATGATAGGGTGCCCCATCTAGAGGTCATCTGGGTACTACTATGAGTAATGCCTGCTAGAATGTGCAGTTACAAGACTTGTGGTATGGTTTGTGGTACCGGTGCATCAGGCCATCACTTGACCATGTGGTGACCGGGCGCCGCGGCTGGTCAATATTGTCTGCTAAAATCTTGGGCTTTAATGTTGCATATTTGCATACAACATACTGATTAAAGAAGGCCATGAGCCTGTAGACATCAACAATGACTGTCTTCTGACTTTGAATGACATCCAACCCCAAAGCATTGATGATTGGAATCTTGCACATACACATGGTCTATTCAGAGCAATTTCGGAAACTACCAGCCCCTGTCACTTAGCGAAGCAATGTGATGCATTTTGCTTCCGATTTCTTTGTGAAGAACTGCGATAAGAAGATTGCTCTAGAGAATTCGACCTTAACCCTGTGCAGCTTGGTGCTCAGAGTGACAGGACTATTCAGGTCTGCCATTGCCCATGGTTCCATTGCCCTGCTAGTGCTAGCTCCTGCCGTAGTAAATAGCTAGAAGGCATGAACCTGTCTGCAGCTTCAAGCTAAGTCAGAGCAGGAGTTCAGTACTTCAAAGTCTTAGAAACAGTGCCCATTATTGTCCATATTATGATCAGCAAAGCGAGATCTCAGAGACTGTCTACTATCTCAGTTCATTGATCCTGACAAAAAAACCCTGCAGAGCACACTGCACATCCCGCGCTCTTCGCATGTTCCAAAAGTGATCGACTTATGATGGTGGTGCCTGAAACTAATCAAAGCGCCACCATTTGGAAGAATGCCCGGGCCTGTCCCAGGCTCCCCGTTGTAGACCAGGTGCCGGAGGCCGGGTCATAAATCTCGGATGAGGCAGTGTAGGTGGGGCTCTGAACGATGCCGCCCGCTGCCACCACCGTCCCATCCGCGAGCAGCACCATCTGAAAGTTTGACCTCTTGGTTGCCATGCTGCCGGTGGCCGTCCACGTGCCGGTAGCCACATCGTAGATCTCTGCCGAGGCCAGCTCGCCGTTGATGTCATTACTGTTGCTGCTGCCGCCTGCTGCGAGGACGTTGCCATTGGGCAAGCCAACCATTTGGAAGCTGCCCCGGGGGGTTGTCATGGGCCCTGTAGATGTCCACGTCCCCGAGAAAGGGTTGTAAACCTCCGTGCTCGCTAGGGTCGTTGCGCCGTTCACTCCCCCGGCCGCCAGCAAGTTACCGTTTTGCAGCAGCACCATCGAGAAGGACACTCTGGGGCTAGTCAGAGCGCCGGTGGGCGACCAAAGCCCAGTGGAGGGGCTGTAAATCTCACTGGAACTGAGCGTGCCGAAACCGGTAGTTGTGCCTCCCGCCGCCAGGACATCGCCGGTGGACAGAGTGGCCGTCTGGAAGCCCGCGCGGGCCGCGGCCATGGCGCCCGTAACGGCCCAGGCGCCCGTTACGGGATTGTACAGCTCCGCTGAATCCAAGTAGACAGTCCCGCCGCTGTTCGCCGTAGAGACCTGCCCCCCGGCCGTCAGCGCGCGCCCGTCTTGCAGCAGAACGGTCTCAGGGCCCACGCGCGGCACATTGAGATTGCCGGTGGCCGCCCACGTGCCGCTGGCCGCGCTGTAGAGCTCTGAGGAATCAAGGTTGACTGCAGAGTTGTCAGGCATGAGTTCGGCGCCGCCGAGGGCCAGAGCGGAGCCGGGGGAAAGCCGCAGCATGCTGAAGGCGTATCGGGCGGTGATGAGTTTCCCTGTAGGGAGCCAGCTCCTCCCGGCCTGGCTGTACAGCTCGCTGGAATTGAGGACCGTGATTCTTCCCGCGACCACGTCGATGAACAGGCCCCCCGCCGCCAAGGGTGGCCCTGCAAAGCAACAACTGAACAGATTCAACAAAGTTTTCATCTGCTGAGATTCAATAAGATTCAGAGTAGGTGAGATGCAGACACCAAGGCAGCTCTTTGCACAGGTCTGCTGCACAGTCTACAGTAGTTGCCTAGATCTTTAGAAGTGCAATACTGTAGTAATCATTCTAAAACCCGCAATGAATAATTACTCTTGGCCGAAAAGGGTGGATGAATAAGACCCTATCTCTCAAAATATGTGACCAATGATAATTCTGAGACCAGATTCGGGGGGCTCTTGACAAGAGCCCAATCCGATGGAGCACGACCCTGGTGTTTCTGAAGTCAGGAAGACCCCTAGTGGAATTTCCCCGCACCGCCGAGGGTGCGGGTCTTAGAATGAACACCACAGTATGCTGAACAGAGGAGTGCTGCTCAGCTCTGCCTATGAAGCTTCAAAATTATCGCTTTCCTCCTTCTGAGCACCCCCAAGATCATTGGCTTTTTCAAACACATAATTACTGTCCTTCATTACCGACCAGCTCTCATGCATTATTGCGGTACTTCAGCTGTGCGTGACGCATGCAATGTGCCCCTCTTGCTGTGTGCCTCAAGCCCATGCACATTCTTGCTGGCGTCTTGTAAAGCCGTGGACATCTGTGTTACTGTTTTTCTCATTCTGAAACCCGCACCCTTGTCAGTGCAGGAAATTTTTCAAAGCGGCTTTCAGGGGTCTTCCTGACTTCCAGGGTCATGCTCCATTCAGTTGGGCTCGTCGATTGCTCTCCGAATCTGGTCTCCAAGTTATCGTATGCTTTATAATTTGGGAGATAGGGTCTTAATTATCCACCCTTTCGGTCCAAAAAAAAGTTGTTTCATGCGGGTTTTAGAATGAGCACGATAGCACCGTGTTCGCACAAGACGACTTGAACGCATTAAATCTGGATCAGACCTGGTGGTGGTGGTGGTACAGGGGCTGCAGCAGCTGTAACAGTCACACCAGTCACAGTGGGTTGCCCAAAGATGTCGGCAGGCAGCGTCTGATTGAAACCGGCGGCGGCTGCATCCGTGACATTCGCCGTGTTGTTTGCTGGCGTGGTCACTGTTGTGTTCACCAGCACACTGCCCGGCAGCACGCTGTTGATTGTCACCTGCCGCATTATTGTCGTTGTCAGTACATTTCTTTCCTGCCAATGGTAAGGTACGTCCTGCGGACAAGCTGCAGGTACAGGCTGCCACGATCCTACCCCTTGATGGGCTCGCCAAATCCAAGCAAGACCCAATCAATCGTGCTCAGTATTTGGCGGGGGCCGGTAGCCCCTCGCCAGCCAGGGCAACATGCATCACTGCTATGTTACTCTCATGTAATATCTTGCATTGCAGAGGTTGCTAGGATGCAACTGAGGCAGCACATGCTGATGTCACCGCAAAGCTGCAGTTTGAAGGATGCCCACCTGGAATATGAGGGGGCTGACTGCCTTGATGCCATCAATGTACTGCTGCTGGTAGGGGCTGGTGAAATTGTTCACTGAGAATGTGGTGATCCTTGTCACGAAATTGATAAACACCAGACCGCCTGCAATTGCATGCATGTGAGGTCATCGCAGAAAGCTGTTGCCTTGTCTGCCCTGGGAATTATCACAGGTGCATTGCATGCATCAGCACAGCTGCCATTGAGGTCTTCGAAGCTTTGCTGCAGCCTTCTCTGGTCTGGTTTCCGTTACATGAGACAAGCATGCATCAAAGCATGCGCAGGCGCATGCAGCCTAGGTCATCACACAGTTGCTGCTGCCTTGTCTGCCTTCCTTTTGTAGCTCAGCTGAAACACATGCATAAACACAGCTGCAATTGCTCAGCATTACTCTGACCTGGGTTTGATGTTGTGGTAGGAGGGGGGGTGGTCAGGGGTGGGCGTGTAGGCTTCACTGCGCATGCACAAAGCACCTCAGATCCTTGTACAACGATCCAGAAAGATTATATTGAAGTTGCACGGCTCAAACGACTCGAGGAGTGCAAGAGTTGGGCTGTTGTGACAGGTTCTTGCCAGGAAGCTAGGGATTGTAATGGCAAAGGATGCCACAGCCCAGGCTGCCTTGACCAGCTCACTCAGGCCTTCCTGAGAGAAACAACATACATCATATCAATCTGGACATCTGGAGTGCGTTTGTTTTTACCTTTGGTCACTATCTTGATGGCCGCATTCGCCACATCACCCAAGGCAGTCTGCAAATGGCAGCAGCACACAGGCGATCAGAGGTCGCTTGATGGATGATAAAACAGCAGAACAGCAAGGCAGGCTGTCTTTGATTCCACAGGACGAAAGTCATGCGAAAGGGTCCTGAGTTCGTGCTGTTGGCAGCAAGTTGCAGAAAATGGATGGCGACGTTTGCTTGAGCTGGCCAGCCACATCGAGACCCAGTCCACCAAATGCGTTATGAGACAAGTCCTTGACAATTCGTGGAAGCAACGGTCAGGGGAGCGTTTGCTATAGTGCTTAGATTACCTCAGTGGCATTTAGTATTCCTGCACAAAGCAAAATCTTCATCAGGTTGACTCTGTCGGAAAGTCTTGCTGATCTTTTACGTGTTAAGAAGCTCAAAGCCAAAATCTATGCGACGACCAACACTACCATGCATTGCAAAATTCATCGTTCCGGGAGGCACTGTCGCCCTGACCTTTCTTGGCGGTGATGACGTCCGACACTGACTTGTCAAAAGCAGCCCTGGCGATGGCCTGTCAACGCACAGAGTGATTGATAGCACGTTTTGAATTTTCTTCGAAGTGGACGAAAGAAACGAGATGCGCTCGATAGCAAGAAACATCATGAAGGCAAGGGTCCAGCTTGGAAATCGTGACAAAGGGCTTCCTGAAGGTCATCCCCTTGCAGGTTCGTCACCTCAGTAGAACCAGCCAGCCCTGCAAGGCACACATCATGTGGAGCTTTACTTCTGGAACGCCTAATGCAGTGCGTCCCGCATAACGTGGAGAAAAGCGGCTTTCAGGACGCAGCATAGAAAGCCGCTTTTCTCCACACATATCAAAGCTGCAGGCCGCAATACTGTTTACCTGGGATTATGTTTGAGCCGGTAATTGCCAGGAGAGTGAATAACAGGGAAAGCCTGCAACGCATTATGAAAAGGTGCTTGTTCTTCTGCGATGGTGCCGTGCACCGTTTGCTACGTCAACTGCACTGAATACAGCGGAGATCTTCAGTTCATGCCCATCATGATTGACTGCAGCAATACAGTGCATTATTGAATACACGACTTCCTGGGACTCACTGTGAGTCACTCCCAGACTGCGAAGTCTCTTTCGAATACCACGCTGACATGGACATAGCGCATATAGGTCAACTCCCTGCAGTTGTAAAAAATGGGTTTGGCATGCTTATATATATTTAGAGGACCTCCTAGAGGGAGAACATGGTGCAACTCTTCAACAATCACAGGACAAACGCAAAGCACCATCACACTACAACCGCATCACGCTACAACCTATGTGACAGCAATGCAACAAGCTGGCTCGGTCATGCTTCGAATGCACACCTCAGTGATGCACTGCACCAAAAATGGCATGATTTGGAGGCGAATAGGGGTCTCCAGTCTGCATCAACATAAAAATTGGCAATCAAGTCGATGCAGAGCTGATATAATGGCCAGTACCAGCACTGGGCTCAACCTTGAATTTTTTAAACTGCTGCTGTGGCTTTTACAGGTAGAAATCAGCAGCTCTAAACGTGACGAACAAGAAAACGCTGTGAAGTCAAGATGCAGGGTTTGCAACTGAAACCTTTAGATCTAGACTGGATCCAGTCTCTAGAGTCCAGTCAGCTGGCTTCAATCTGCGGACTTCAAGAGTGCTTGCAGAATACTGGAGGTAGTCTCTATAGAGGTAGTCTCTAGCTAGAGGAGTTCTGGCAAATATTTACGCTACGAAGAAACCCAAGCTGCAAATCATGATCTTGAAGCCTCAACTCCATGAGCAGCATAACATGCAAAAGAATATGGGCCTACATCGCAGTGTCATCTCATGACAGCATTCAGTATCAGTGATGAAGTGGCAGACGAGGAAACCTGTGCAGTGGCAGGCCTCGACTGGTCAGAACTATCATCGGTATCATTTAACATCCCACACAACATTCAGAGTCACCCTGCGCCAGGCAGAATCATGGGGGCCACTCCCTTGGCTGTCTGCTGCAGATTCAGAGGGTAGGGACTCAGCTAATGCAGCCCTGTCATATCACAGACCGCTGATTCATCTCCATTGTCCTCGGGGCAAAGGTTGGTGGCCTCCCCTTTATAAATTCGTCTTCTGGGCATGGGCTCAATTGCTGCAGCCGCCAATCCAGTGTCCATTGTACTGGAAGCAAGACTCAATAGCCTGCCCCTCACAAGGAAACAGAGGCTCAGTTGTTGCAGCTGCCGCCTCCCATGATGGCCACAGTCTAATTCTCACCGGACCGCCTCCCTCTCTGTAGGGGAAATATTCCTTTATAGAGGCTCAGTTGTTGCAACCGCCGCCTCCCATGATGGCGAGGATCATGAGGAAGATGTTGACAATGTCCAGGAAGATGGAGAGAGCACTGCTGATGTACTCGTCCGGCGATACTTGCACGCTCTTCCCCGACATCATCAGCTGCAGGTCGTAGATCAGGTGCACCTGCGCACGGACGATTATGGATCTCTTCCGAATGGTGGATCAGCCTTAGGAATGCTCAGACGCCCACAACTGCGGGTCATAAATCAGGTGCGCTCACGCCCAGGCGATTACACCAATATTTATGAGCAATTAGTCAGCGACAGTAATCCTTCATCATCAGAGCCCACCGCTGAGGTCATAGACTTGGTGCACTCAGTGCTGTGCGCCGGCATGAAGAAATTAAAATATGCAGTCAGCTGTAGGATTCTCAAGGTATGTTTAGGACCCATGGTGGGGCCTGCAGCATCAAATGAGGGGCACAAGACACTCAAGGTAGTGTATTTAAAATGCAGAGGCCTACCGAGAAAAGAATGGAGCCCACGATGCCGATGATCAGGTAGGTCACATTGCGCGTCCTGCACCACAAGAAACAGATATTGACAGGAAAATTCAAGTTTGACAATTTATTGTAGCGGCCCGCAACATCTCTGCTGCTGAAGCAACAATATATTTTGAATGAGGTACATACGAATGCACGCGGGTCATGCAGATGCATGCATGGAAGAAAAGAGCAGAAAAGCCATCCTACCAGAAGATGCCAATGAAAATCATCACCATGAACACCAGCGTAGCGATTGCAAGGTACCCTCCCAGCCTGCAATCACAGAACAGGAATGAAAAATCAGGAATCCATAAACACACCATATTGACACCTGGATTGCTACTTCAACCCTGCAGTGTGATAGCACAACTGTGCCAACATTTAGGCCAGTTCCGTATAGCTCATAATGTGCATAATCGACCAGTCATATTACATCGCTTCCAGCAGTTTGGGGCTGATCCGATGCCTGACCCTGACTCTCAAGAATATTGTCGGGGTCAGCGCAGCATGACATAAAATCCTCGGAAATAAATGTGGCGACACAAATAAGGTGATTCCAAGAGGGCGGTGGAAGAAATCTCACTTGGTGAAGTCCAGCTTTGTGCAGAAGGCGACAAGGAAGCAGCCTGCAACGACCCCGCCAGTGGCCACCAGTGCTATGAGCACCGCCTGAGTATCCCACCAGGAAGTGACCGTGCCTATCTGGAAGCCGAAGATGACTGTGAACGCCGTCTGCGCGCAGGATGCCGGCACATGTCAGTTACACTATGGTAAGGTAATAACGTCTGGAGACATAGGGTTCACCCTTGAACTGCCCTGCAGTGTGATACTGTGAGGCTGGTACCGCATTGCATCATCAGCAATTTAAAGCAGAAAGAAATTTTCAGGACCGCTTGTTAAGTACACATCACGCCGGTGCACATGTCAAGTATGTTATTGTCCTGCTCAAAAGGCTTCCTAAGCGGCCTGAAGAGTCCCAGAAGTATCCACCATGCAACAGCGCAGGACTCGCTCCAGAAATGCACATCTTGAATGACTGCCACGCAGTCGCAGACTGGAACACTCCAAAGTCGTGTCCCACACTGGAGACAGCCAAACTGGTGGCTCAAATCCAAATGGTGAAGGGCCACGCACCAAGAAGAGGTAGTTGTAGGGGACCTTATAGCGCAGGGTGCGACTGCAGCCGAGCGCAATGATGGCGACCAGCGAGAGGCCCCAGGACAGCCAGAAGGGCCACTGGTTGTGCCGCACATAGTTCTGCGCAAGCCAAAGACATATTAAATACGTCAGCCTCAAACTTTTTTGAGCAAAGGAAACATTTCTGTTGGTGGACCCTGGCAATCCTGCATGCAGGACAATACCAGGTTCTGCTCCACAAAAATTGGTGCTGGTCTTTTGTGCATGGAACACTGAAGCGCGGAGTTCCAGCCTGCGCATGTGGTGCAGCCAGGGCGCTGCAGGCATCTCCTTGTGCGCGTTTGCATGCTTCAACGAACACAAGAAAACAGCAGATGCGCACGAGGAAATGGGGCTTAGAGCCATGGCCACATGTTGGCACTACACCTATGTAAGGGACAGAGCAAGCCCAAGGAAAATGTGCGTCATGTTGCAAAGAACAAAGCCAGCGAATTCACGTGCGCACACCTTCAAGGGGTGCACGAAGAAGAAGGTGAGCGAGCAGCCGACTGTGAAGGCGAGCATGCAGGTCACAATGAACAGCACTTTGCGAACAAAGCCGCGCCGCACAGCCTCATCCCTGAAGGAAGCCGCCCACTTGGCAGCCTGTAACGCACATCAGACCTATTTACAAACACTTGACCATGTCATATTTCTTCTTGTAAAGCTCACAATATAGAGCGAATTGGCAGCAGCAGACCGAAACCTGTGCTATGCAGGGGTGCTGCGAAAAGGAAGGATGTTAATCTGTCAAAGTGCGAGATCGTGCATCCACAAGGATTGCCCCACGAAAGGCGCCTGCTGATCATCAATCTGAAGGTTGCCCCATGAGCACCGGAGTCACGCTCTAGGTATGGCTTCCAGAGAGCGTGGCCTTGCGCTCGCGAAGCAACGTTCAGATCCTCACAAAGCGCATTTCTTGCTGTGCATGCAGTGCGAGGAGCTGGCTGTACCTGAGCAGCTTCCAAGTCATAGTTGGGCTGCTGCGGCGGCGGCGGCGGCGCCTGCTGCTGAAAGGCCGCTGGCCCACTGTAGCCTGGGTACCCTGGAGGAGGGCCCTGCTGCGGATAGCCTGCGCCCATATTAATTACATCCGAATTTAATTTGTTAGTTCTATATTCAAATACACCTAGGTGATGTCCCCAGCATGGCCAGCTCACATCACCAGCTAACTGGGGCATGCAGGGCAGAGAAGCAAATTTTGGTATTTAAATACTGCTGTTTAGAGGATCAGGGGATCCAAATAGAAAATAGAATCGCGCACCTTGCTGGTAGCCTTGGCCAGCATAGCCCTGTTGTGGTGGGTAGGCCTGTGAGGGATTTGGTCCCTGGCCCCATCCCTGCTGTGGAGGATACTGAGGGTAACCTGCAGGCAAAGGTTTTTTTTTAGTTAGGAACCATGAAAATTTCCTTTGACACAGGAAGAGCATCAAAGCAATTTGTACTCTCTTGCAGGACAAGTATGCTGCCAGGTGGATCCTTTATTTTGATGCCCTGCCTTGTAGCTGACAGTCTTATGCATGGCAAATTGGACGATTAACGTTCTGCCGATGTTCACCCACCTGGTCCCTTCGCTTGTTTGTCGGTGTCAGCCATGGACCAAGGCAAGCTGTGTTCTCGAGGGGCTCTGCTGAATTGTAAGGTCTGCACCAGTCAAAACACGCAGACAATCGTGCTCTTTGCCTTGTGTCGGTCCTGTGCTACTACAGTGTAGCTGCTGTCAATTTCCCAGTGCAAATAAGCGTATGAGAGGACTCTTGCTGCAAGCCAACCGACCTCGTCGAAGGAGAACAATGCAAGCACAGATCCCGAGGGGCTGCAGAAGCACTTCAGATCCACACGGGAACCAAGTACGACGAACGGAAGCAAATTGCAGGTTGTGCGTTGGGAGCAGAATGCAAATTCCTGAGGGAATGCTCAAGATTGCCTTCGTCGGTAGCTTCCACCTGGCAAGCCTCGCTTCCTTCACCGCTGACGTCATGGATAGCTCCCTCGAAATTGATTTCATCAGACCATGTATTTGCAACATTGCATCTTGCGATTACATAGTGTGAAACATGAGAGGTGTGGGGCTAGAGCAGTCATCCGTTTGCCGGTTCTGGCACTTGAAGTTACACCAGATCTCTTTTTTCCATCAGCTGATCTTGAAATCAAAGTCAAGAGCCAGATACTTACTTGATTGAAGGGTATTTTCAATACAGGCAAATTATTGAGCTGTCATTGCACAAGTCTAACATCATTAGCTTAGCAGCCAAATACACAGTCTTGGGACCTTGTGATAAAATATGCAGCCACAGTCCTATCAATCGGACAAAATAGCAATTTCCACTGCGAAAACCAGCACAAGCAGTGCAGCTGAGAGCTCTCCTGGCTGCTACCTGATTGTGCACAACGTCAGCAAACGCCACAACATTGGCACGCTTGTGCGCAGCGCCGCAGCCTTTTCAGTGACCGAAGTGTGACCTTTCAACCTTCTTAATGCTTTTTTGTGTCCCTGTCATGTCTCTGCATGCCAGTGGGAGCATTGGTTGCTGTGCCTGCGTCTCCATGGTTGATGCTGGACACAAGAAACAGGGTGATTCAGTTGGAGGCAGCTGCCGCCAATGTAAGAAAGCAAGGCTTCACTCTTGGAGCATGCAGAATTGGAAATAAGTTCTGAAGAGAGGGTGTGCGTCCTTTGCAGGTGTGCCTGGTAGGTGCCAGGCAGTTCAACACCTTTGGCAGCCACGGCTCAGCAGACTATGTGAACTACCGCCACTTTCCCAGCCTCCAGGAGTGCTGCCACTACCTCAAACAGGACAAAGGTGCGCTCCGACATTAGTATATATTACTTTGTACTTCAAGGAAACTGGCGTCCGCTGTCTGTTAGCTCTCATCTCAGAGACGTCGCAAGCAACAACCGCTGTTGCTTTGAGAAGGGTGACTGTGTCAGGGTGGGTATGGCATCTCTAAAATTTCAATTAAATCTGGGTGCGCGCTCTAGATGCAGTATGATCCTGGTCACCTTCCTGGCAGGGGGCGCTATTTCTAGCAGCTTAATATAGTACACCCTGTTCCTGGTGTAGCGTGGGAGGGCTGAATGGGACGCAGTGAATCTGTTCTATTTAAATCGGGTCTGATGGAGTGCTGCTGGCTGCATGCTGCAGGATGCCGAATAATGGGGGTGGAGATCGCAGAGGACGCGCAGCCTATACATGCACACCCATTCAGCGGCCCCACAGCCTTCATGCTGGGAAATGAGGTGTGTTGTTCTCTCCTGCTGCTGGTCATCAGCACTTTGCTCCCTGGCTGGCGAGAGGCGGTATAATGTTGAGCACCGCGGTTGGGTCTTGCTTGGATCTGGCGAGTCCAACAAGGGGTAGGAAGTTGGCAGCCATTACATGCAGCTTGTCTGCAGACGTGCCTTGCCTTTGGCAGGCAAAGCGTGTAATAATAACAATAATATCCCCTTGCTTTCAGGGGAGCGGGCTGTCGCCACAGCAGGTGCAGCTATGCGACGCATTTGTGTACATTCCGCAGTACGGCGCCGGCACGGCATCTCTGAATGTAACAGTGGCGGCTTCAATTGTGCTGCAGCACTTTGCGGCCTGGGCAGGGTACGCAGAGCGCCCGCGGTCCGGCGCCAAATACGACGTCGGGGAGCGGCCGCCGCGCACCGGCGCACGAGGTAGACAACTGTGCATTGAGGCCTTAGGGGACTCGGGGATGCTCTTCCAAGTAGATGCTTTACAGACCTCTCCTCCTGGGGTCAATGTTCTCGGAGCTCTAATAATTATACTGTGCGCGACGCAAAGATGAGCCTGTACGCATGGTGTCATGTGCATGTGACAGCGTTAGGGAGTGCTCTGGCTCCAGAGTTTCAGTCTTGGGAAGAACCTGGGTTGCCGATCGGTGCTATTATTTGCATCGCCAGGGACTGTGCCTCTAACGGAGGAGGAGAGGGCGGCAGAGCGTGAGCGCAGGCTGAAAAAGAAAGCAGCAGCCAACGGGCATGACGTACTGCAAGGCAGCGATGGTGAAGATGCGCCCACTTCCAAGCGCACAAATTTGTTTATAGTACACAGTCCTTATTGTATTTGTTGATGACATGCAACGGGTACCCATGTCCTCTTGTCGCCAACATCCTTGCATGGACAAGATAATGCATTTGAGAGAGCAATTGTGCGTGTCTAGGACCCCTGCTGGATGATCTAATGGATGCAGCTGAAGAGGAGTGACCATGTTACACACAGTCTGCTTGTTTACTGAAGTGTTGCTTTACAACAGACTGAAGACGTATCGTCTGTCACAGATATTCTATTGTCGCCAGAAACCAATGAGCCACTAGGGCATGCTGCATGCATTGCTACCTGTGCCTTACTGAACTCCAGATAATCCACACAGAGCTGTACCGCACATTATGAAACTCTGCTTTCCCAGGATGAGTCCTGATGGATGATCAGAACGATGACCAGAATTAGCAAAGTCACTTGAGGCCATCCAGGAAGATCTGGATGCGCTCCCCGCCCGTCTCAAAATCCGCCACTGGCTTGTCCCGAGTCCAGCCGGCCTGTGTCTGCTGTATTAGCTCCTCCAGATCCACCCCAGCCACCTGCACAGTCCCAGACACACCCTTTTGGCAATGTTTAACCAAGCAGCAAGTACCAAAGCCAAGAGTAGAGGGCTCTTTCCTGCATGCACACAGGATTGCAAGACACAACCCCAGGCTCTAGGGGCTGTAATCACAAAAGTACACCCTGTTTCCTGCCCTGGGCAAGATGTGTCTTTAGACAAGCTGCGGGTGAAGGCTGCCACATGTCCTACCCCTTGTTGAAGTTGCCAGATCCAAGCAAGACCCAATCAACCGAGGGCACAATGCTCAGTATTTATACCGCCCCCCGCCAGCCGGGGCCCAGGAGGTACAGCAGCACTTGATGACTACACATGACATTATGCTCCGAGATGTGGGTGGATTGTACTGCAGTGCACTGTCTGAGTAAGCAGCCTTCACAATGTTGTTAATTGCATTAGCTCCACATCTAGATCTTGGATGTAGGCAGGCAATGATAACATGTATTCAGCCTGCGAGGCAGCCCTTTCCCCTTAATATTGGCGCTCGCGCTGCGTTGATGTCAGCAGTCCATTATCTTTATCTTTCAGCGCTACAGTGCTGCAATGCTTGCCATAGCAGCCTGGCATGCCGGCAGAGGCAGCTGGTCTAAAAAGAACACAATTAAAATTCTGGGACAGTACTAGAGCATAAACACCTGCGGCACGACAGTAGCAATGCCGTCTATGAATGCGGCTGGCAGCCGCGTCTCCAGCCGCGTCTCACCCGTCGCCACGCTCGTTATCTTGATGCGCAGGAAACGCGCCCGCCTCAGCGCGCTGCCGGCATCTTCGCCTCCAGAGCCGCCTGTGCAACACGAATTTGACACATTTGCTTTTGCACTCCAAGACACATCCACGACACATTGCAGATAATCTGCATGTATTTCGCTGCGCTGTGCACAATACTTCCCGTCTTGTCATTTGTATGACTGAAGGGTTTCTACAGAGCAGGTACTTGAAGGAAGTATCCGATCGCTTCACACATAATTTTATTTGGAGTGTGGCATTTTGAAAGTACTTGCAGTCCGCCGGAGGTCCTCAAAAGACCGCTGCAAATTTGGCGAAAGCCGTTGCATGCTGTCTGCTTGGAGTACTGAGAGACCTGGCAGGCTCTCATCACTCACTGTGCTCTGCTTGCTATTAATCACATCCATGGGTATCCCCACTTCCTTATCTCAACAGTACAACCTTGCAGACGCTCTTCTACACCTTTAAGGAGAAAACAACTCTCCAGTAACTTGTCAAAGAAGCATAGGCATGTGAGCGAGCATACCTTGCTGGCGGCCACTCAGGACGATGGCATCTGGTTCCACCACAGCCACAGACGGCGCCTCTGCAGCGCTGGATACACTCTCTTCAGAGGTTTCCGCAGCTGTGTCCGGCTGGTCGTCGTTCAAATCCAAGCTCTTTAGCTCCTCGTCCAGGGTAGAGAGCCCTGGCGCCTCCCTGCCAGACCCGCTGCATGCAGATTCGATCAATTACAGTGGTCGGCACATAGGCTCTTGCTTCAGACAATATCAGCCTCTACGCTTCATCTATCTTTGTATTTGCTCTTGTTTCGAGCTCTCCAGCCCCAAATCTGCAGCTTGATTTGCATTTGGGCAGGCCATGACTATGATGGCCCCAAATTCTCATGTGCTCCTTTTAGGTTGGGCGGACTAATCACAGAGGCCCACCGCACTTAAATTCCAGGTCAGGTTGACTTATCTGCGCAAATTGGGACTTCGTTCTCAGCATACAGGTGGCACAGATGAAGCTGTCAGCTAGTCACAAAGCGAGGTCTCCTCATTGCAAAAGTGTGGGAGAGGAAAGGTTCGAACTCACCTGCTGGCATTGGCTACAGCAAGTCCATCATCCTCAAAGGTAATAGAAACATCAACTTCGATGGCTGAAGCTTCCCCGCCGCTGGTGCTGGTTGTTGCACTGCCGTCCTCAGCTGCAGGTGAAGCTGACTCACTGCTGCTGCCGCTGCCGCTGCCGCTGCTGCTGCCGCTGCCGCTGCCGCTGCCGCTGCCGCTGCCGCTGGGTGGCTCTGGCGTTTCTTCGGAGTCACCTGGCACGGCATACCGCTCTGCTTCTGCAAAGTACTGCGGGAAACCCACGGCTGACTGGATCTCTGCAAAGCTGGGCAGTGCTGCTTCTGGGGGGACTCTGCCACCCTGCGCACCCATACGAGCATTCTTCAATCCCGTACTTTCCAGGCTCCTGGAAAGAATGGTTGAAAACAGAGGCTCCAGCATTGCATATGCCCCAGTGTGACACCGCAAAAATAACTAGCTGGTGGGTGTGGATAATAACGTCTTTCAGCTGCACCTCTGGCAGCTAAAAACAGGAATCCAGTATGTTGACAAGAGCCTTATGTTTCAGTGTCTGCATGTGCATGCAGCACATTGATTTACAAGACAGACCTGGCATGTTGGAAGTCTATCGAACACTACATAAAGTAAGAGACTGAACCTTGAGATCGGTCAGTGCTGTCTGCATAGCGCGGATGGAGACACCCAGAAGCGACAGAGGGTACGCCACAAGCTTGAAGCCCAGCTCCTCCAGCTCAGCAGGCGCCAGAATAGGCGTTTTGCCCCCTCCTTCAAGCATGTTTGCCATCTGCCAACATTCCAATCAAGCACAACCCCTCAGCACGAGTTGCCTTGTTCTGCAGAGCTCTGCTTCAGCCAGACACTTTCTTATTCAAGGGCACAGAGTGTTAAACATGGTAAGCCTCAAGACAAACACTCTTTGAATCAAGCGCCACAGAATGACATGGGTTGATAAAAATATTTTCTACATCAAATGCGTACATGAGGCAAAGTGTCAAAGCATGTGACTCAAGGGAGATTGACCTAGATGCAAAGTCCAACCTTTGGGACAGAGCGCGCAGCGCCGCCGGCTGCGCAGAAAGCGCGCATTTCCTCCCTCGATTCCAGGGCATCGATAAAAACAATATCAGCGCCCGCATCAGCAAAGGCTGCCACCCTCCAGAGGGCCTCCTGCAACAGGTTCACCAGCACGCGTCAATCTACATGGCCTGTCCTTGCTCAATGGTACAGAGCTTTCACAAGCTTCTGGCTGGGCTGCGCAGCAATCCAGTTCATCCCCCCACAAGCACCAACCCATAGCTTAGACGACGGGCGCTGAGGTCAAGCACAGAGAGGCTGCACATGTCTTGTTGAGAATATCATGTGACGCATTAATCCTTTCCCTAATCACCCGTCAGGATGCAGCAGAATCAGAGAAGGCACCTCGAGAGACTGCGCCTGGCGGGAGTCTGTGCGCGCAACAATCAAGATGTCAGCGCCCTCCTCGCGTGCATCCACTGCCGCCCTCAACCTGGCCACCGCCTCCTGCCGGCCCACCACTCTCTTGCCGCGCACATGCCCGCATGACTTGGGAGCCACCTGCACGACATTCAGGACTCTCACAGTTATAATCATTAGACGCTTTTCCTGGCAAGACGCAAGGCGCGTCTGCAGACAAGGTGCGGTTAAAGGCGGCCGAATTCCTATCCCTGGATGGACTAGCCAGATCCAAGCAAGACCCAAATAATTGTGGGCACGGTGATCAGTACTTACACCGCCCCCCGCCAGCAGGGATCTTTCTGGAAGTTTAACGCCTACCACCACATACCAAAGCCTGCAGATACACTACGTGTGACTTGGGCAGCTGAGTTTCAGCAACAACCATAGGGATGTCAGTAGGGACCCATAGCTCAGTGGGGGAGCAATCGGCTGCAGTCTGGTAGGTCAGCGGTTCAATCCCGCTTGGGTCCTCTTTTATTAAATCAAGAGCTGTTTGGTTCTCACCTAAATTTGCATACATTCTTAGGCCAGAATTCTGGCCCAGAACAGTATTAGAATTGCCAGGTCCTTGACAGACTGCAGACACTTCAGAAATTTGCGAACTGAAGATAATCCATAAGACCAATGACCAATGAGCCCCAGGGGGCTCCCAACAGGTCTCTAAAATGCAATGAATTAGGTAATCTCAGTAATGTCTCCGCAGCAAATCCAACACGTGATTAATGGCCGTCTAAACTCCAAGGATTGCAAAGACTCATCCCAGCATGATCGTGAGAGACTGGGGCCAGGAGATGCAGCCAGGACCACGTTTGGCCCCTTCCGTCATTGCATGGACGCCATGACCTTCCGCTCCGCCAAAGTTAGGGAAAATGATTGTGGAGCTTGCCTGGTCTTCGATGAGGATGCCAGCAAAGCCAGCGTTGGCAAAGCCCCTGACTGTGCGTTTCACGCTCAGCGCATTCCCATAGCCGTGGTCCCCGTCTCCGATGATGGGGATGGACCTGGTTGCCTCATTTATATTCCTGCCAACACCACGCTTCAATTTTGCGCTGAAACGGAAACCCACTCTAAGCAGCACTTCATGACATATTCCAGGAAAAGGTGATGTCCATAGAAGAAAACACATCTGCTTGGAAGCTGCACCAGATTGTTAAGTGTGACAAGGCTAGCTTGGGCTTCAGGAGAATGGCAGAAAGGCAGGTCAGCAGTAGGGAGATGTACCTGCCCTGGTCAAGGACTTCGCTGTATGACAGCAGGTTTGTGTCTGGGGCGCCCAGCCGTGCAGCTGCTACTCCAAAGCCACTCATGAAGGCCAGTGGAAACCCGGCCTCTTCTATCAAGCGGGCACTGAGGCCATCATGGCAGCATGGTCCCTGCACAGATTGTGACATATGATGTTCCTGGTCCAGAAGGCGAAGAGTCTGTGATTCGGCTGACCAAGGGAGGCTGTAAGCACAGATGCAGCAGGGACAGCAAGGCGCACCTGCAGGATCCCAGGTCCCTCTAGCAGTCTACGCAGGCTGGCCGTGCGAGGATTGGTTGACAAACTTCTTTGAGGACTCTCGTGGGAAGCTGTGATGTTATAGCTCCGGTGGCATGGCCCTGTTGAGGGCTTGCTGGTCTGGACATGTCTGCCTAGGTGCAGGTGGCAGAACGCCGGCCGCGACGTCTTGGACCTGAAAGGAATGCTCACGGAGACATTGATCGATGTCATGGATTATTTGGATGGTGACTCTGCCAGATTTGGCCGGTAGCAATATCGGTGCGTCACAACATGCACAAGGTGATCCGCGACCAGTCGAGAGGATTATGGACTTGGAAACGCACAAAACGATGCGGCAGATTCAACTTAATGTTGTGAAGTGCATACACCTGAATCTGCGAGACCAAATGATGTGCAGATCGAAACACTCAATTCTGCCATACAGTCACGTGAGCATTCCTACAGATGTCCTTCCCATAACCCAAGCGTGCAGACTCCTGCAACATTACACTTGAGATGATTGCCTCTATTTTAAGTCCAATGTTGTACACACCAAAATGCTCGCTGTCCTTCATTAACTGTTTGAATGAGCAGGTAATCCCTGCCGGATCAAAGGCAAAGTGCACCCCGAGATTCCGCAGCGATCTGAAAGTTGCGTTCTTGGGTAGATTGAAAGCATGCCAAACAATATATGGGCGGACTGTTGTGGGCAGGGCATCAGATGCCTCATCCCAGGTGGGCATGGCTGGATCACTGGACACCCCTCCTTCTTAAACCAATGGTGCTGGCAGTTTAGAGCGACTACACCAGGCAAAAAGCTCATGATATTTCTGTACCGTCCTGCATGCGCTGTGATAATCCCGGTGTGTGAGCCCACATTGTTCTCACGCTTGGGCAGGCCGCATCTTCCACCAGGAATGACAGCGAGGAGCGCTGCTACCTTGAGGCACTGCTACTTTGCTTCTTCGCCAGTCAGAACCGATCCCTTATAGCCACAAGGTAAGCGTGGTTCCTGAAACTGCCGCAGACTACCTAGTGTGATGCCTCCCATTGTGATACTCCACTGGCGCTTATTTAAGGAAATGAGACTGGTTGGCAAAGTTATTACATTCAATCCAATATTTTCGTTGTCAGCCATCCATGCCATTGCCATGCATGCATTTCTGTCTTGCATTCCTTTAGCTGCCACGCCCTCATCTAAACTTGTCCATCTCTAATCTATCAATGATCCTAGGGACCCTCCAATCCCTTTCTGACTTTCTGACAAACAGAGAACCGAGCAGCATGAATACAATCCAGACACCAGGGGCTGTAATATCATATAACATTGCACTCTCATGCTGCATGCAGGTTCCTAGTGGAGACACTGCTAGAGATGCACCTGGAGGGCTTCAGCCTGGCAGACACAGAGGTGATGTTGTCAATGGCGCGGCTGGAGTCAGGGGGCGTTCTCTTGGAAGCACTGGAGCAGGAAATCCTGCTCTCATGGTGTGCCATGGTCATGCTCACCCTCGAGACTGTCGGCCTGCCGCGCCGGCCGGCTGCGGTGCGCATCCCCTGACAATGTCTAATTTTGAATGTCTGATTCCATGTGCAGCAGCAGCCGGTGTGATCTGCATCGTTCTGCCTATGGCCTCTGTGCAATGGGAACCTGCACCACATGAGTTTGCGCCTGTAATATGGAGTTCTACATTGGAGGGTTTCGGAGAATACCTTGCTATGCCCATTGCTGTAGCATTGGCTCAAGAAGTGCCTACTGCAATAATGTCTCCATGCACAGAGAGGAAGGCGCGAATTTGCTCATTATGACGAGCCAGAACATGCGCTTTGTTGACTGATGCACGAAGCTAACTCTATGCAAGGGCCCTTTGCCAAAGGGTACTTCCAAGTATCATGGTACCTGACGGTGTCACAAGGCAAAATTACATGTGCTGCAGGAGGAGAGGAGGGGACGCCGCGAAAGGGAGCAGAAGGGGCGCATGGAGTTGGGCATGCAGGGGTTTGTTGCGCAGACCATTGACATGTACCGGCGGGGCTTTGACGCCAGGCGCATGCTGCTGCAGGTGAGCCTGAAAACTTACTCATGCTGTTACTCATGCATGCAAAATGTGCGGCGCCTTACTCGTGCATGCAGGATCATGCAGTGCCGTATTGCTCATGCATGCAGGCACATGCAGCAGACTCTACATGAGTACATTTTATTTATTTGCTACATAGAGTGTTTTGCATGTCTGGGTACGCATGCATCTTGTTGGACTTGTCTGAAAGGCCCAAGGGTCTGGGATTGTGCAGATTAAGCTTGAGTGGAAAGACATGCAAGATTTGCTTTTTGGCGGAGTCTTTTCTTGCAGGCTAAAGGATGTCTGGTGGTGCTTGCAGCAATCGCTGGCTCAGGAAGAGGGAGGCGGGGTTTCACAGGGGACAAAATTCATGCAGCAGAACACGCGACTCATCATCCTCACCCTTGAGGCAAGCACTGCTCTATTTGTTCAGCTCAATATCCGGTGACCCTGAAGCATAAGACTTGGCTTGGTGGGAAATTTTGTGTGGATTGCAGCGAGCACAGCAATTGCGGGGTCCAAATGCAAGGGGGAGATTTTCCGAAAGAGCAGATATTCTTTGAAACTAAGTAAGCATGTGTGTGCAGGTGCTGAGAGAATGTGGCCTGGCAACGGGCATGCTCCTGAGCCCCTCTGTCCTCACAGCGGCTGCAGGAGAGGAGTCCTCAATGGACTCCGACGACGAGGCCAGCACAGACAGAACAGCTGTAAGCCCAGTACCTGGCTGCAAACTTGCCACCTTTTAAGTATTGACTTAGCTTGCCCTGCACAGCAACGCCATGTCATCTGAGATTTCTTCCCAGAAGGCGAGCGGTGATTGGATCCTTAATGAAAAGCACTAGCTAGGACGAATAATTTTTTTACATGCACGTGGTGTACGCTGTGTGCAGGGAGATACTAGTGACGAGGCAGCTTCAACCAGCAGGGCAGCTAGCAGCAGTGGAAACAGCAAAGGAGCTTCACCAGAGGATGCATTGCCTGCAAGTCAGGCTGTGCCAGACCCTGTGCCGCCGCTTGAATACATCTTTGACTTCCTGCCGGATCGGCGGAAGGCGCAGGTTCTTGCAGATGCCAACACACCAGGTAATGTCTGCCTATATCACCCCAAATGCTGTAATTATACACTGCATCATGCAGCAGGCCATTCATTTCTCAGTGCATTGCTTGGTGCAAACCACTATGGAGTACTCAACAGGCATCTTTGCGAGATGGCCACCGCTTGACAAGGTTAGTGCTCAGCTGCATGCGTATGCACTGACATCTTACATCCGCTTCTTCTATGGTCCAATAGAGCCCTGTGGCCCTGAATAAGTGCCAGTTTGACTGACAGTATATGGTATGCTTCATTGCAGATGGCAAGCTCCGTGCGCGGTCGGCAGCGCTGCACCTGTTGATGGCCTTTGTTGGCGCGCACCTCCAGTCCCTTCACGCTGTGCAGGCCTTTGTCCAGAAGGCGTTCAGGTGCTACAGGTGGGGTCAATCACCTGGCTGCCTTTGGCAGTGCTCTATTAGGAACAGTGATCTCAGTAAGTGCTTAGCATGTCTTCAGAGGGTAGATTGAACAGTCACTATACACGTATGCTCAATAGAAAATGGACCTTTGCACTGAAACATGCCAGAAGCACAGATGTACTTGTTGGCACCCCAATGGCTTCACTCTGCACAGAGGCCACACACACAGTGACTGATTGCTCTTGCCACACGCATGCATCCCTGCTGTGAACAAAAAGCAATCGCCCCATGTTGAGATCAAGCTGGTGGCTTAGGGTAGGGTACAGTGTGTTGTACACCTTTCTAATGGTTAACTTGTGGATCAAGGGCCTCGCCTGGCTTGGGGCGGTATAAACACTGAGCACCGTGCTCACGCTTGGTCAGGTCTTGCTTGGATCTGGCGAGTCCATAAAGGGATAAGAATGTGGCAGCCTCGACATGCAGCATTTCTGCAGACGCACCTTGCCTTTGGCAGGCAGAACATGCACTAATAGTGATTATATTTATTAAATGTCGAGCGCAGGCAGGGCTATACGGTGCAGGAGCTGTATGACCAGATAGCGCCAGAGGAGGTGGTGCATGGCGCCAGCGGGGCGCTGCCTGTGGCGGCAGAGAATGCAGCCAACTCACACCGCGCCAACAAGCAGCTGTTCGGCCAGTGGATCAGCATCGTCTACATGACCTTCGCGCAGGTATGGTCGTGAGTAATAGCCCTGCCATGAGCATGTGCAACACAGTAACAAGTGGAAAGAGTCTGGCAATTTATGATATTTATGGTATATTTGCATGGCCTTGATGTTCTATGGGCATGAGTCGCCTGCTTGACAGGATTGCCTGGCACAGCAAACTTGGCTGAGTTTTCTGAGCATTCCATTTTCGCTTGTTTAACAGTTACTTCCTGCTCATGGAATATCAGTGCCAATGTCCTGACATAACACAGTTTTTTGTTTCTTTAATTCGAAGTATATTTTGTGATGTATTTGGAAATGCAGCTTGGAGTGGCGCGCGAAGGCAGCATGGCCCACCAGGATGGTTGGGCGTGGATTGGAACTCCAGAGGGGTCCGAAGAAGGGGTCATCGAGGCGTACAGACTCTCAGACCTTGTGCAGAACACTCTCCGCATCCAGGTCAGGACTTTTGGCCTGCCATTGACACCTTTGTAACAATGTAGTTTAGTTCAATATCTTCTACTCTTCAGAAATCTCTACGTCAATGCCATGAGTTGAAAAGAGTGTCAGTAATCTGAAGTAATGCAGGTGCACTAGGGGCACCCCAAATAGGACCCAAGGGACCTAATTGGAATGTGGCATTATGGATTAAGGGCCTTGGTTTCATAGAACTGGAATATATGGATGCCAAGGTTCATGCCTGGGGTAGGCTTTCTTGGGGTCCAAATGTGTATCTGTGTGACCATCACCAAAACTTATATGGACCTTCGGTTTTAAAACCCAGAACCACAAAACAACTGGTGCGTTGCTGACCATTCCTCTTGATTGCTTTTTTTGGTGTGTGTGGGAGCAGGGCGATGCAGAGAGGAAGGGAGACAAGGGCCCAGAGCAGAGCAGGTCTGCAGCAGAGGCCGCTTTCGTGGAGCACTTCGGCTCGGACGAGGTTTCGCAGATTGTGCAGAAACAGGTGCTGTCCCAACCTTACCAGCAATTGGCAAGAACACTGCATGACCGACTACCGTGTTCTGACCTTCAAAACAAACATCCTGCAGCTTAGAAGTATGGAACATGTCTCAAAGTATCAATCCTGGCACGCAGCATGCAGCATGGAAAGTCATCATGCTTTCCGCACTTTGGTTTTGGGTCCTTGCTTGCAGAAGACTATTGTACATTCATTTGTATATCACGCTATGCACTGAGTCTGTATCACACTGTATATCAGAGCCAGTATTAGATCAGCCCCAATCTGGCTGGAGGCAACGCAGCCAGAGTGACTGCAAAAGACACAAGGCAGTGCGAGCGTCGTGCAAGAAGAAAGGGCTTGAAACAAAAGTTTCATGTATATTCACTGACTAGTTGATAAAATCCCCTGTTGCAGGTGGAGCAGGGGATATCGGTGGTTGTGGTGGAGGACCCGTCTCTGAGGGCGTCCTCTCCCACGCTGACCATGCTGAGTCACTTCACCGGCTTAGTGAAGCTGGGGCGCGATCTGGTCAGCAGAGAGAGGGAACAGCAACAAGAACCGCTTAACACAGTGCAGTGATTTGAACCCCAAATTTAGAAGTGTATGTATTGCGTACCATGCAATGGTGATTGACCTATCGTGTAGAACGTGCAGCTCTTCTGAAACACAAGGATAACTGAAGTTTGTTTGGGATTTGTAAGGACTTGAGAAAATTTGTAGTGCATAATTTATAAATGGTGTGATACTGTGGGTCGTTAGGGTCTACAGGTGCTTCACAACCTAGATCTATACTGTAAAAAGTTGGTGCTACCACTTATGTGCTTTGTCTAAACTTGTATGGTTGTGAATTTACTGGATGATGAAAATGAGGAGTGTCACAAAAGGCGACAAAATGCTAGTGTAGAACGTTCTGTCCCGAAGGGAACTTTTGTTGGACATACAAAATGCGTGCCTGCCCACTAACATATGCGGTACTCTGAACCAAAGTCTGAATACAAATCACAACATCGCTGAAAGGTTGGCAGCAATAAAGAATTTGGAAATAGCCCTGGCAACACAGTCTGAACACTCTCTTGGGTTTTCGTACACATGCCTTCATTATTATTGCTTCAGGGGATGATGATGACCCCTCACATGACCAACTCGCTTTAATCCCTTCCGGAAAGGAGACACCGGCAAAGAATGTTTGCATACGCAGTGCCACAACGCCAGTGCTTTCACTGTACAGGTTACGCCATGTGGCGCCAGAGAAAAACCTGCATGCAAGGCTGCAGTTGAAAAAAGATCTCCAGAACTTTGCTGGATCTGACAATTGCAAAATACAGGGATTTCCCTGCCTGATCATTTACTCAGTATGGCTCCAGAAATACAGCTGCTGTGAGTGCTGGCACGCTGACTGTGCGGCCCTGCTCAGTGACCGCTGCCTCCCTTGTCACAGCATCTGATGAGGCTGCCTGAATAGGGTGCAGCTGAAGGTTCCGTGCATCCTTGGGCCAATCACCTGTGCAGCAAAGCTATGAACAATCAGGTCTTGCATGCAGAGTGCTTGGCGGACCTCTACTACAACTTCCGCCCCGCCAAGCAATGTGTGGCTCCTTGTCTAGGAGGTGTATTGAGCATCTGTGAGGTTGACTTCACAGGGTTATGTGGGCTCAATTACCGTGCTCGAGCGTCTAATGACGCTGAGACTCAATGAACATACATGGCAGTGATGTGCGCAGAAAAGGCTTGAGGAGTATTTGGCTTGCTGTTTGTTTCTCAAGTGCGAGCAGCGGTTTGGCATCAGGAACAGAATGAGGGGAAAATAATGGATCCGGTCTTGCCTGTGAATGGCTTCATGCTGGCGTTGAAGACTGTGAGGATGCGTTTGTGGTGTAAGTCGAGCGTGCCCCCCTCAGAGCTCACCATCTCCATCACAATCACCCCGGGCACCTGCAGGCATGCAGTTATCTTTTAAATTCCATTTCCATTACCTGTTAGCAGAACATGCCTTCACCCCACGTGTCACCTTGACCTCCAAACAGTCTGTCATTCAGTGTGCCGGGCGATGAGATATATTTCAGAGTATGCAGCTGCCAGACATACTGCCCTTGCGATGCTTACCAACTGCAAATGTACTGATTGACAAGAAGCCACAAGCAGCAGCGCGGCACCAAAGCATCAGCAATTAGTGTCAAATATACACCCTGAGCCCTACAATAACAATACAGGGGTGCTCGCCTGCCCGGGCTCAGAGTTTATACATGCCGTAGCCAGCGACGCAGCAGCAATGGTGCAGCATTCGAGGGTAATTCACACCCTGAACCCTAGACTTGAATACTATATTCCTAGAGGTACACGCCTGCTCGGGCCCGGTGTTGTGGAAGGTCACTTGGCGCTTTATGGCGTCGGCTGTCGGCAGCCGGAACAGCGGTGAAGAGTAGCGCACCCGCAGCAGCTCCTCGAAGTACGCCTTGGACGCCTGACACAAATTTGAATTTGAAATGAGTTTCAAATTTGGATTTTGAACACATCAAAATGTTCAACAAAATTGAAATTTTGAACACAGAAGAAAAATGACCATATGACGATTCTGGGCACGGGTACACTGAACCCTCCAAATTTATGAAACACCTGGGAGACCGGACGTCTGAAAGATTTATCAGATTTCTCCGGGATCCGGGGCTGACGGGCTGATCTGCGCATGATGTAAACATTACAGCGACAGCAACTGACACAACAGGAGCTTGCAAAATGTGATGCCATGCAATATATAAAAAACTGGATATTTGGCATCCTCTTTGGATTGAGGAGCCGTATCTCACCCAGTTTTGACCCCTTGATACAAGGATTGACAGATGGGATACACCCTAAACCATAAAACAAGATTATAAATATGGGTTAGCTACAAATAACTATAGAAATTATATTAAAATATGAAGGGGGTCAATGAAAGGGTGCGGCCACCCCTTGATGAGGTCGCACGGCATGCTACAGGATTTGACGCATATCTGTGAGATTTAGGTTGTATATATATATATCAAATATCTATTTTTTTCCAGGATTTAGGAGAGATTTTCCTGAGAGACAGGCACAGAAACTGCGCTCACACCTTGATGAGATCGGAGGAGGGCTTGAAGGAGTGGTTGGCCAGCAGGGGCTGCTTGATGGGCCAGGCAGCCTCATTTTTGGCAGCAGGAGGTAGCCCCACCCCAAAATTGTTGGTCGCGTAGCTGAAGTCCAGGCGATTGAACCAGTCGCCTGCAAATTTGAATGTCAGAGTCACATTGCACTTTTGATCTCAGAAAGGAGACACTCACATGCGCCTCGAACTAACATCACTTAATTGTTAGCTGTCAGCCTGCCATCTGTGTGAAAGGTTGTTGATGTCTCTGCTTTGAGGGAACACCACAGGCTTCAGTCAGCATCCCAAAAGGGGCCTCTGCTGTAGAAGTAAGATCCTCCCCGATTATGTTGAGAGCGCGCCGTGCAGCAGGAGACTGCACAGATACAGAGAGCATGTCTTTGCAGATCATAGCCTGCCTATGGATGCATGCACAACTTTTTCCGGAAGTGCTGAGTCGGCAGGTAACAGAGATGAGTCAGCGGGTGACCTGAGTTGTAGGAGTCACGGTCGAGGCTCTTGGAGCGCAGGATCTCATCTCCGGCGTGGAAGAAGGCAACGCCCTGCGAGAACGCGACCAGCGCCATCGCCAGCTGGCACCTCCGTACGCGCGTGTCAATCCCCTCGTCCTCCGCCGACTTCAGCATGATCTGTCCAGAACACATGCATGCGCAGATTCAAGAGATGTAACGTAGTAAGGAATGTGATGCCTGCACATCTAAGAATGCGCTTGCTGCCGCTCTCCTGTATGGTGGGATCTGTGGAACACCCACATGGGTCCAGATTGCAACTACGGATAATAATCTGCCCAAGCGGACTCCTTTGCAGCTGTGGAATGATCCAATCGGAACACCTGTCAAAAATGAATTTATGTGCCTTGCGTCTTTGTGGGCAAAGCCATCCACTGCAGGAAATTTTATCATAGATCGCTATTTGTCCTTGAATCCTTGCACGCCAACGGCTCTGGGACCAAATGCGTGACTTCAAGGAAAGGAAAGGGCTATTCAGATTGCCCTGAAAGAGTGGTACAGCAAATTACCTGATCGAAGAGGGTCTCATTGTCGTGGCAGGCGGCGTAGTTTACAGTCTCCCAGGGGTTGACGGCATATCCGGCAGGGGAGCTGCCATAAAAGAGCTTGTCCCCGCGCACGGTGACCCCCCGAGCGTCCACAATCTCGTAGTCCTTGAGGTTGCCCGCCAAAGACAGCCGCAGCATGTCTGTGAATTCTAACAGTAGCGACAGCTGGCTCGCCGGGTTCGCCTCGGCCTGCGCGGGACAATTACACAAGCCGCTGTCAAGAGTTTTGATTTTGAAATTGCATTTACCCGCCGAGGCAGTCCTTTCCCCTTACTTCAGGCGCTCGCTCTGCGCTGACGTCTACATTTCTCTTTACCGTATCAGATACGGTCAATGCATGCAGCCTATGCCATGATTGTGCAAGCACTTCCGCCATTTTGGTGTCAAGGATACTTATTGGTGATGCAAGAGTGTTGCATCGCAGCATGCGCTGCACACTCACACACTTCCATCTCAGCAGTCATTCTTCCAATGATGTACTGTGTGTTCATACCATATACGACAAACATCAGCCCCTCTGCGCATGAACATGTCCGATACACAGCCATGCACCCCGATTCCTCCTCAGAAGGCGGAGGGTGCCACGCGTAAGAGTTCTACTTTAGCTGCTCGAGGTTTCAAAGTTCAAATGTGAATCTGAATCTGAACACGGCTTTGAAATTGAAACACATGGGCGGTGTGCGCGCCTGCGTGAAGGAGTTGGAGCTGGTCTGCAGGCCGCTGACAAACCCCTGGTAGCGAGGGGAAGCAAAGGGGCTGCCTCCCATCAACGCATCCCTAAATCGGTCATTGAATGATCCCAGCCCTGTGCCTCCGATGTTGAGCTGGCTCGCATTCTGGCCGCGCTGGTTGCACGCCACCTGGCAGCGTAGAATTTCCACCAGTCAGAATTCATGAGAATTTTGAGATTTGCATTGCACGGCGTGCCTGCCACACAGCCAGTGTGCCTTCTAAGGGCTTGCCTGAACATCAGTGCGCAAGGTGTGGGTGTCTTGGGAAGTCTGAGCACTATTTGATCCTCCTCAACACCATATTGCCTGGTGGAATCGTGAATGAAGCTATGTGCAAGACCTGGCCTCAATAAGAACATAGAAGGAATGAAGACGAAGTCATTTGAGGGGTGACATCTTCTGACCCATTTGAATTTTTTCCAATTTTGACGACATACATGAACCCAAAATTTGTAATTCGTGGTGAGATTCTATCACCTCGCCAAAGTCCCAGGCCTCGCCGTAGATGTATATTCCCCTGCCATCCACCCCGTCAGCCTGGAGGGTGAGCGCGCCGAGCGCGGCCTGGATCTTCTGCATGCTCGGCACCATCAGGTGGCCCATTATGTCGAATCGGAACCCGTCCACCTGTCCGCATGCATACACAGGAATTACTGATGCGCCCATGATTGACTTGAAAATGTTCATCCAACGGCTTGCCCACCGATGATGACTTGAACGCTGGAGGTATCCTTGACACGTCATGGATTCAACATCATCAGGTCAAGCAAAACAGCATCATTTTTCATGACATAACAGTAGATTATGTTTTGATCAGTCTAGAGTCAAGCTCGGTGGAAGAAAAGGGAGTGCGCAGCCCTTGCTTCTGTCACAATCTTACTAGCCCTTCCTACAGAGCAACTCAGGGGGTCATAAATACCGGACAGTGGCATTTAGAAATCCCTGAGCAACTCTTTCTGAGACCTCTGTAAATACCATCGGTAAGGAGAAGTCACCCGCGCCGCACCTTGTAGGTGCGCGCCCAGTGGGTGACGTCATCGATGACTAGGCGCTCGGCCATGGCGTGCTCGGTGGCCATGTTGTTGCAACAGCAGGACGCGCAGATGTCGCCGCCCTCGGTCCGCCGGTGGTAGTACCCCGGCACCAGCTTGTCCAGCACCGCGTACGGGCTGTCGGCACCTGCGCGCACATGCACGCGCATGCCGTCACATCATCACTCCATGCTTCTTCCAGCCCATTAGCCCCTAAAATAAGCTGGGACGTCATTCTCCTGCTAAAGGTTTACTACAGCCCACAGGGCTAGGGGTGTTGCAGCAATCACTTACACAAACTGCTGCTCATCCCTCCCGGCCCCGGGCAAATGCCACTACATTCTTGAAACACCTGCGCCGCTCCTGCTGCCACATGTTCTTCCATACATGCTCACTGGGCCTTGGAATATCGAGGGAGTGCCGCTTATAGGACTTTCAAGTCCTATAAGCGCATGGCTCGGCATGAATTTTGCATTTCGAGGGTGACCAGCTTTTGCGGAAAGTCACAGTACAAGGGAACGCCTCTGTTGAGACTGTGCAGTTTTGTGTTTCTGAGTAGCGGCAGCGCACCGTCCATGAGTGAGTGGAAGGTGTGGTTGTAGACCACGTCCAGCACCACTCTGAGTCCCAGCCTGTGCAGCCCCTGAACCATCTGCCTGCACACAGGAAGCCACAGTCGCTGCTTTTAGTACAACAAGCTGGGTTGCAGTGTACACAATCCTGCCAGATTGCCCAACACATCACTCGATCGCAGACAGTACACCAGGAGCTGTCTTACTCGGACTCCTAGAAGAGCCCGAGATGCCACTGTGCACTGTGTCAAGCTTTGTCAGGCTGCCCCGATCTCAAGGCAGCCCCTCAGACCCATGGTCCATTCCCAGAACCATTAGGTTCAACACTCCCTCACATTGAAAAGAAAGGAGCCACAAGTGTGTCGACCATTTTCAAAGGTGTCATTCCAACGTTCACTACACTGGAGCCTCCTCCACCCCCACTCTGAGAAAAATCCTACACCCATTGCATGTCGTGTTAGCCACAATCAAGTAATGAAAAGAAGCAATTCTCAGCAATATCTTTCAGCCACGAGTGCTGAGCTTAACCATGGAAGGCCTTTGCATTGCAGGATTCTGATCTGGATTGGGAAAAATCCCCCATTGCTGTGATTCCCGGCAGAGCAGAAGCAAGATCTGGAAAGCCATGGATGCAAAGAAAGCACAGAATGCCGACTTTTGGCCTGCCAACACACCTGTATTCGAGGATACGAGTTGGCCCGTCCGGGTTGGTGGCATAGCTTCCCTCAGGAACGCCGTAGTGGACAGGGTCATAGCCCCACTGGTAGGCGTCAGTGGCAGCCACTGCCCACACGGCCTCCTGCTGCTTGGGGCTGTCCGACGGGTAGGACGCCAGATCCCCCTGTAACACATCCGATGTGACTACTACTTTGAGTGAGAGTGGCAATTATTGGTAAGATCTGACTGGCGATCCCAAAGTCAGAGGCCTTATGGCATACATGCAAGGCGTCCAGAGCCATACTTGCGGTGCAAGGAACGGGGAATTAATTGAAAGGAACAAGTTATGTGATGCTGCTTGGGCTGGTCTGATGGCCACATACTTCTTTCCGTAAAAATAATGGTGAACCGACCGACATGCAAGGCAGTGAAGCTACCAGGACAAACACACCTGCCCTCTAATGAACGCAAATTGGAAATGTGTAGAAGGGTGTTTTCATGGATTGCAGGCTTCGGGGTCTGTCCATCGACTGGGATGATTGCACACCTTGTGGCTTGCTATGTGGCATGCTGATAACGTTAATATTGCAAATTTGGTAAGTGGCATTGCTGTAAGCATGGAGAGGGTACCTCTGGCGTCTGCTGGTCCTCGGCCCGCTCCGGCACAGACCCGTAGTCATAGGAGGGCAGCAGGTGAACATGTGTGAGGCCGGCTGAGTGTAGGTCCGCCAGATGCTTCACCCCCGCTGTTTCCTCCTGCACACATCCGCTGAACCCTCTCAACAAATTCCCCCATATGGTCCTTAAAAACTCTCTGGACCCCTCATAGCACTAGAAGGAAAGTTGAAAGCAGATGCCCTATCCAGTTTCTGCATTTTTGCCAGACAACATTTTACAAGCATGCATGCCTTCACATACCCGAACATAGCGGTTGAGGGCTCTTATGCTCATTTATCTGACCAAATAGTGCAAGAAATAACAACAATAACAATAACAATAACAATAACAATAACAATAACACAACATTTTACAAGCATGCATGCCTTCACATACCCGAACATAGCGGTTGAGGGCTCTTATGCTCATTTATCTGACCAAATAGTGCAAGAAATAACAACAATAACAATAACAATAACAATAACAATAACAATAACAATAACAATAACAATAACAATAACAATAACAATAACAATAACAATAACAATAACAATAACAATAACAATAACAATAAGTTGTGCTCACCAAGGCAAATGCGCCATACTTGCCGCGCATGCGCTCGGGGACTGTGGAGTCCGATGCAGAGAAGTCGCGGATGTGCAGCTCATACACGGAGATGTCTGTAGGGGTGATCGATGGAGGGAACGCATCCGTTGCCCACCCCTCCGGCGCCAGATCTGGCAGCGACAGATCCATGATCTGCGCATGCAGGATTTATGGTGTATCGTCCCCTGCTCAGAATAGATCAAAATAGAGGCCAAAAGAAGTGCAATGCACACTGCTGTGTCGCGTGTGGCGAAACATGACGCCATAAATATACAAGGTTATGAGCGCTTCTTGTGTACTATCATCCGTGACTCAGGAATGCGCTGGTGCAGCAAACCTCAAATTGCTAAGCTAGTCATTCATTCAATATGACAGCAAGGACATGACATGTGTCATAACCTAGAAGCCAATAGATATCTACATTCTGCTGATGTCACACCTGTGTTCGCGCGCCGTCCGCAGCGAGGCTGCGGGAGTAGGGGTCGGTTGCCTCCAGCAATTCAATTTCCCTTGACCAAGGGGAATATACCTTCAGGCGATACTTGTAGTACTTGCCTACCCACGCAGATGGCCCCTACAATCACCATTATATACCAGCTGTTGAGGTTATTCTCTGGCGCAGAATCCCAATTGTGGCTGGGATGCATCCGTTGTCTGGCAAGTGAGAATGACACCTTTGCAGTTGGGCAATCAATGCAAACATGGTAACAACTTGCTCAAGGGCCTCTACAAAGATATGATATGCATGGAAAGGTTGACCAAATGTAAATCAGAGCTAAGGAAGAAGCTAAGCACGCACCGAAACTGTCCAGGAACCTGCCTTGCCTGGTGACATGGGCAGCACTTGTGCCTGCCCCCCTCTTGGACCATCCCACAGCAGCAGCTCCATCTGACACAATGCAATGCAAGTACTGTCAGACATCTCTGTAAAACTGCAAAAACCTTGCATCAATGTAATAGGGCAGTGCAGTGACAGCAACGGAAAGAACCACTGCAGCAGGCGCCTTCACTGCAAGAACATGAGCAGAAACATGAGCAATGGAGCTTGGTGTGGTGGTATTCTGAGCTCTGGCTGAAGTCTGTGAGATGCGCTGCACTGGGGGCGGGTGGGAGTACCACCTGCTGTGCTGTGGGGGCCCACACAGTCAGCTGCACATCCTCCTTAGTCACAGTCGCTCCAAGGGGACCGTCATAAAAGCACAGCTCGTCGAGTACACCTTGCAGCTGAATGCCTGCCAAGCACACAATCCAAATTCTCTTCCTTCGGTCTGCCTGTCAGACTAATTAGCAGTTGCACGAGCGGCTTGTAAGCCTCAGGTGCACACAACAAAGGTCATGCAGAGATACTGAAAAATGGAGAAGACGTTATGTATACCTGTGGCGTCTACTGGTGTGCCATCTGCCTCTGCAACCGAGACCACGAGCTGGTGCTTCAGCAAGTCAACCACCTGGACAGACAAAATGTGATTGTCATGGATTGTCATAAATTCTATGCCCATTGCTTCCTCATGCCAACCAATTCTTCACATCATAGGCAGGTACAAAAAGCAAGGGTTGCAAGATATGTAAGCGGCGACAAGTGATTCATGCAGAAAGTGCCTTTGATCAATAGGATAGTCCAGGAATGCTTGCCTGGTCTGGCTGTGAGGAGAGGCTCTTTGGTAAATGTAGCGAGGTGCAGCCGGTAAGGAAAGGGAAGCGTTTGATGACGGCTGGACCAATCAAGCTCGAGTCCTCCTGCACTTCAAGCTCCAGTGCTTCTCCTTGTGCTGTCCCCTCTACCCCATCAGCTGCAGCAGAAGCGACAGCTTGAAGTTGGAGATCATCCGTAATCTAGTTCGTTGGAGAAGGTGTGCAGCGTGTGGGTCTGTTTTCGTTTCAGGAGGTCACGAGGCGACCTTTCATATGTGCAACAGTCAGCCTATGCGCGTGGATAGATTAAGTGAGGATAGGATGGATTAGCAAGCCTGCTGAGAACGTCAATTATTGCACAGAATAGTATCATCCACATGCTACTCAGGAAACAAGCTGAATCTCGATATTTACAACAAAGACTGTTATCGCTCCCAGAGGTGTGCTGCTCACCTGTCAGACTCAGGCTTGCATTTTGGCTGCTGTGAAGCTTGAAGCTGCGGCGCTGGTCGCTCGGACCCACTGGTGGCACCCTCCATGCTATAATGCCCCCTTCCACCCTGTGATAATTACACGTTGTGCATGTCAAGCTAAAGCCCTCAGGCGCAACGAGAGATAATTGCTTTGACAAAGATGCCCGAGACGACAAAGAACTTTGCTTTCAATACACAACACTGTGCGCTCACGCGGAAGATTCCTCAAAGGTGGCCTCTGAGATGATTGACACAAATGCACTGAAAGTGCTTGTGGTGCTCACCAGTGGGCAAAGCTCTTGGAAAGGTCGCCCCGAGGAAGGCTGGCCAGATCAGGCTTCTGGAAGTACACAGTCTTGCTGCCGTCCAGCAACCAGATATCTGGCACCTCATCTCGGATCTCCACTATCTCTCCCCCAGCGTCCTTCTCATCCCCTTTGCAGTGATCAATGACATCAGAAATGCAATAGGCGCAGGCCAAGCAGCTTGCATGTTGAACCTTGCCTTGTCAAGCAACGTCCACATAGTGGTGCTTGGCAAGGGTATCTTCAACGCTGCAGACTGAATGGCTGGCGGAGCACAGGTCCAGGGTGGCTTCCAGGATGAGAGGTGTGCGCCTAAAGAAAAGAAAAGCTGCCAGACGACTCGGAAATGACAACGCCTACCTTTGTGTGTCACTAGGCCCACCCAGTGGTGGAAGTTGACCTTTTTCTGGTCGGGCATCAGGGGCACCTCGAAGAAGTACCCCTGCCCTGCATCCCTGCAGCAGCCACAAACATCAGTGTCGGTATTATAAAATGACAGTACTAAAAAGATGCAGCTGGTATTTACTTGGATGGGCCGTGACATGCACAAGCACTTCAGCAGATCAGAGCAAGATGGGCCAAGTCAGCGCACCCTTTGAGGGGCAAGGGCTCGCCCCACTCGGTCTCTTGTCTCACATCTGCCCAGATGTGCAGTCCCCAGCCCTGCAAACAGTCAGATAGCGCACTGTTTATTTCGTCAAGGGTGGATTTGAGGACATTCGCTGCAGGGATCGACTTTGAAAAGAAGCCCAGGGAGATCGCGAGAATCGCAATACCTCGTAGTTACCGTCTCTTCTGATATAATTGACTCGCAAGGTCCGGCCTTTGGACTGCAATATCTCTGGCACAGATGCTCCCTGATCAATCGCAGTGTTGACTTGGGCCCCAGCTGCAACACTTCTGCCGTTACTAGTCGCATTATGGAGCATCAAATGATATTTAGAAGTAATCAAACGTCCGTGCTGGGGCCTTAATGAGGCCTTTGTGTGAAACGCTCTTCTCGGCTGGGTGTGAACGGGGCTTGCTAAGTGAAAGTGGGCAGTCTGATAATGCATTTTTAATCGATATGCCGAAGAGATTGCAGATGTGCCAGGTAAGCCATTTAAAGAACGATAAGGATGGATATACTTGTGCGCATGGCTCTGATTGATGCAGTGTACTGCTTTCTCCGAAAGCTTTGCGTCCGTGACGTCACTTGCGGACTTCAGTTGACTTCAGCGCTACACCAAAGCAATCTTTGGGCATTGGGTTGCCATATCGCATTTGGGAATAGTTGAGCAGAAAAAGACCCAAGCGAGTTTCCAGGCATTCATCCTGGAGTTCTTCTGTTGTGTATAGAACACCCCCGGTTTTGGTCAGACTTCGTCGCCTGTGCGGGAGACGTGCTCATCTTTGTGATCAAGAGCTTTTTCGGGAATTTCTGCAGTTTCTGTACTCGTGTGACCGCACAGTCGTCAGGTTTGTACTATAACACTGAAAATTGCAGAACTCTCCTTCTGAGCTTGACTGGACCAAGATACAATCTCACCCCGATTACAAGCCAGTCAGTGTGCTTTATGCACCCCTTGTTAAGTTTTATTCCTGCATCCTGTTTGGACTCGGACGCCAGAGTGTGGCGCTGCTATATCCTGCATCTCTTCAGACAAATTCAACTTCGCTTGGAACATCTATGCAGGTGACATGGCTAGGCAAGCAGCAGAGCCTGCACCAGCAGAACCAGAGCCAGCAGAGCCCGATCCTGCGCCTCACACAGGCAAGGAACTCTGGGAAAAGAAGTGCACGTACGTAGCACTGAAGGTACCAGAAAGCAAGCGCACAGCAGGCATGCGCAGCATCATCAAGCAGGAGAGGCTGCAGCTGGAGATTGCGAATCACATGATGAAGTAAGTCATTGCGGATGCGGCAGCTGATCGAGGCTGCTGCAGCACATAATACGGAGTGGCGGACTATGGGCAGAGTGATGATCTGCTCATGAAGGTAATCTTTGTCCCAATAATTATAGAAATTGACTGTTACATGCTTTTCCTGCCAAAATGCAAGGTGCATCTGCAGACAAGCTGCAGCCAAAGGCCGCCATAGCTGTACCCCTTGATGGATTCGCCAGATCCAAGCAAGACCCAAGTAATCGTGGGTCAGCATTTATACTGGCCCCCGCCAGCCAATATTGGCTTGCAGTGCATACTCACCTGTTGTTGTACTTGATTGTCAGATCTTTGTGATATTCCCATCCCCCTCTCCCTGCTGTTCAATGAACAGCTCAAAAGTGCTGCATCCTTGCACTGGCGGACCTCAGCGTGCTGCTGTGTGCTGGTGGCAGGCTCTCACAAACATTATCAAGGCGCTGCAGTGTGTGGATGGCTACGGCTGTGTGCTCAGCTATGATACCATGAAGGCTCTGAAGGAGCTGCTGTCAGACACCCTGGAGACAGGTGCTCCCTCCCTGCGCTGCTCCTGCTCAACAAAGTGCCATTTCTGGAGTCTGAGCACATGCCCGCCTTGGAGAATTACTGCAGTCTCTTGCCCCGGGTTCAATGCTGGTGTGACAAACCACAGCACTCATGCCAGGTCTGTCACTTGAGCTGGCATTTCAAAATATGGTGTTCTGAAGCAATGTGCGATGCTCAGCACAGCTGCGCATGCAATGTGGTTCACAGTCCATTCCACTTGGGCTGAAGTACAGCTGTCGCATGCAGTGTAGTCGGCGGCGGAGGCGCACAAAACGGTGCTACAGCGGGTGAAGGGCATAAAGACGCCCATGCACATGCTGGCAGCAATTCCGCTGGTCATGACTGCCTTACGTGATGATGACGATGGGTTAGTCAAACGCGCCGCTGACGTGGCTCAGGGCCATCGAGCTGAAGTGCGCCGACTGGCACGACATGCTGCAGAGGTGAGGATATATATATATATATATATATATATCTCCCTCGACCCCTTTTTCAAAATGCTTGTTTGAACAGCAAGGGAGCCCCTTTCCACTCCTTTGGCGGTCATCCTGCCTTCATGTATTACATCTCCACTTGGCTTAGCTGTTGTGAAAACCCGGTTCAACCACAAAGTTTAAGCTTACTCTGAAGCGTACACCTGCAGCCTAACCCCTCCAGGGCAGAAACCTGTGACTGCATTTAAGCTGCAGCTGCAAACAATGTGCAGCATACAGTGTGAGATCAGGACGAATCCAACTTTCCTTTTGCTCTTAAGGAGTCAGTAGCGTGAATGTGTTTGAAACCCTGCGTGTTACCCCTGAAGATCCATTTCAATCTGCTCGTGCTCATAAGGGGAGTTCAAGTAAAGAGTTTTAGGCGCAGCACGCTGCCCTCGCAATTGCGGATTGTGATTACTCATGAGACCCCACAAGTGATTTTCAGTCAGTGAATTCGAGTTTCTTCTGCTATTGCACAGGACGTCCTTAGTTGACTCCACGTCACTTTTGCACGGTGCAATGCAAGGTTTGCATGCATGCATGATATGATATTGCCTGCTAGCAATATCCTGCAGCTAAAAATATAGCTGGGATATAAATGGGATGCCATGAGAACGTGAATGTCTGTAGCTGCAGTGTGAATGTGTAAAGGAGGCGCATGCATTGAAAGCTCGAGAGAGAGAAAAATGGATGTTGGGGGTCCGTCAGCCCTATCCTTGGATCCAAACCCCTCCATATTTGAGGAGAGGGTTCACGTGAAACAGTAATTTACGTTATAGGCCTGCTCTTCTCACAGACTTCGAGCGTTCGGAGCAAGTGCGTAGAATCCCCTTCTTTGGTTCTTACAAGGTGATACAACAACCCAGCAAATCGTATCAGCAGCAAGCACCGACCGCACCAGACTCGAGAATGAAGATATTCGTCACTGGGCCATCCGGCTACGTTGGAGCAGAGGTTGCGCGCCTTCTCCTGTCAGACGGCCACTTCGTGGGTAAGTGGCATGCATTTCTAAGATGAAGCTTGCAGTGAGTCGACAAGTACATTTATGAGGGCCTGAGATCAGGTTTCCCTGTATGGTGTCAAGCATGCCGTTGCCGACGCCCAGCTCATTTCACACGAATATGGGAAGTGCAAATTAATTTGTGCGAGCGTAATCTCTAAAAGTGTTGCCGCAGTCGGCCTTGCGCGTTCCGAGGCCCGTGCAGAGGGTCTACGCAACGCAGGCATCGAGCCAGTCATCGGAGAGCTGAGTGACCTTGATGTCCTGGCTAAAGCTTCAGCATCAGGTAAATCCCGTGAAAATCGAAGCAATTGTTGAAGTCCTCATACGGACTCTCACTCTCCATCTTCTCTCGTATTTGATGCTGCCCCCAATTGGACAAGCTGCAGGACACTACACCGTCCTCTGTGAAAGGCACCCGTCTGTAGAGGCCTTCACATAACAGCTTGGGGTCAATGCTGTTCTCAAATTGCATTTGAACAGACTGGAAGAGTGTATATATTGCACATACACACCCAGAGCTGCAGTGACTGCAACCTGTGCTGATCTGTGCTGACCTGCATCCTGAGGGCCGGCTCAAGCCCTGCCTATAAATCAAGCCTCTAACTGCCATGACATTAGAACTACAGATAACACATCTTCTGTGTCTGCTGCAGCGGACGCGGTAATCCACACAGCGTTCTTCCACACAGGGGATTATGCAGAGGCCACCAGGCTCGACATAGCAGCGGTTGGGGCCATGACAGATGCTATGGCAGGCTCTAATAAGCCATTCATCATGAGCTCTGCCACTGGGGTTCTGGGTGAGACTGGCCCTGTGCCGGTCTCAGAGGAGTTCCCTCTCGACCCCCACCACTGCATCAAACCTCCTGGCTCCAGGGTCATCTGCGAACGGGTGCGCATAAATCGAATTCGATCTTGATTTGCCATGAGATCTGTTTGGACGCTGTCGAGCCCTGCTAGCAGTGTGCATGGTTGTCAGCTTGAGCAGATGTAGAAGCAGCTATCTCTGGTGAACAACATACTGTTTGAGGCGGTGAAGTTGCGTTGAAGTTGATTGTACGCCAGGCAGCAAAATGTCAGAGTCAGAAGAATAGCGCTAGAGAGCATTGCTGACCCTTGATACTTGACACATTGGCAGTCCAGAGCTGAACAGGACACCTGGCTTGTTTTTGTCAGCCCTGTACTGACTAAAGTTTAGCTCTGCTTTCCACGCTCTGCTTTGTGGTGGAACTGAGGCTGATGTTCACTGTAGGCGGCGCTGCTTGCTGCTGGAAAGGGAGTGAGGATCATGGTGTTTCGGCTGCCGCCATATGTGTGGGGCAACGGAGGCAGCTTCTTCATTCCACTGCACCTGAGCGCGGCGCGAGAGCACAGCAAGGCTTACTACATCCTGCCGGGTGAGTCACAGGTTACTAATAAGTCCATGCACTCCACTGGAACTTTCTCCCTGTCGTGTTGATTGTCCCTGGAAGTGCTGCAGACCTGTTGCTTGAGCTAGGTACAGCACCAAGCAGGACAGCAAATAGCATTATTGGCACTATGCATAAAGCATGAAGCTCTGCAGGCATTTATCCAATTGTTTATGGAGCCTTGGAAGATGCCGTTGAGTGCTTTTGCTGATTGTCTCAAGTCGCTGAAAGCACATTGGAAATTCCAAGGTACTGATTCATAAGTGCACGGCACATGCAGGCACCCAGAAGACATGTGGAGTGCATGTTGAGGATCTGGCCAAGCTGTACCTACTGGGAATCCAGAAGGAAGCTGGAATCGGCATCTATCACACAACCACCGGCAATGACTACACTGCCAAGTACGGTCCCAGCCGTGCAGCTCTCACACTCTCCTGCGCGCATAAATTTGGATCCCTTTCTTTTCAGGCAAATATTTATTCAGCTGCTCTGCTTCCTTAAAAAGGGGCCCTGAGTAAACGGGCAACTTCCGAAGTCAATGCCATTCTGCAGTGTTTGTGGGGTGAGAAAACCCAAACTGGTTTCTCTGCCATCAGCGGAGAACCCTACGCCAACCCTGAACCATAAACCCTAGAAACACATTAAATATTTAAAGCCCTGGAAGCAAGAAACCCGCATTTGACTGTCTGCATTGTGTGCCAACAGGCAGATTGCAGAGGCGGTAGGGGCGAATGCAGGAGTGCCTACAGAAGGAATTTCAGCGGAGTCGGCCATAGAACAAGGCATCTGGCCTGCGTGGGCTGTGCCGGTAAGTGTTCCCTTTTTTTCTTTTGGAGGGTTTGAGTCAGGGTGATACCAAATACTGTGGTGCTCATACTAAACCCCGCAAAACAAATACATATTTTTGGCCAAAGAGGGTGGATGAATAAGACCTTATGATGATTTTGAGACCTGATTCGGCAAGCTCTTGACACCCCCAATCCAATGGAGCATGACCCTGGTCCTTTCGAAGCCAGAAAGACCCATAAAAGTCGATTTGTCGCACCGCCAGGGGTGCGGTTTTATGAGCACTACCGTTGAACACAGATATAGTACACTGACAGAGCCTGAAGAACGACTTTGTGTCTTCATTTGTTTAGAGTCATGTTGACTTTGGCAAATCACTGGAAGAACATCCAATGCACTTCTATGACGTGAATGTCTCAAATTCAAAACAAACAGCTGGGAGGAATGTGACTGCAGGTGTTTGCCATGAACAACTGCGCCAGCTCAGCAAAGGCGGAGCGCCAGCTGGCATGGGGAGATTACAGGAGCACTGACATGCTGCAGGATATTGCATCCGGCTCCTACGCCCAGAAGTCTTGAGGAGGACGTTATATTTTCGTAATGTGCACCTAAAGCTGATCCTGGACATTGCCTCTGATTTCACGCCCAAAAGGCTTGATATGGGTTTTATTTTTCCTTGGGTGCAAATTGCTGTCAGGTGATGCAGTTATTTTGCCTATCGGTCATGTTAGCAAAAGGCCCGATTTTCTTTTTGCGCTTGTGCTCAAAGAATATATGTACATGTATTTCTCTGTATTAACGCAGACCAGATCCAGCACAATGGTTGTGGCCTATATCCTCAGAAGTTAGTGGAAGGGTGTCTGTGATGTTCTTATGGCCTGTCGGCAATTGCAGAGAACCTGCCAAGAAGTCGGACAGGATATAAGGAACTTGGTTGGCTGTGCAGTGCGTGCAAATTGGCACTGAACATGGGGACAAAGACTCACAGATACATACCTGTTGGCTGCTGCTTTGTTGCTTGTCCCATTGCGGTTTGTTTTGATCCTGCTGTAGCGCCCCAGGAAATACTCAGCAGCAGCTAATTTGAATGTGCTGCGCGGCGGGACTTGTTAAAGTAGGATGGTTCTAGGCGTGAAAAATATTCACAGTCTCAGGGTTCAAACTAAGCACCCAAATGCTTTTAAGGGGGGCTTGGGCGAAAGGTGGCAGCTTGGCTGAAAGTTGAGGACGTGGTATGTGAAATGCCGTGGTATCGTATCTTGCATCATTATCGGCAGACTTGAGAGCGAACAAGCCAAGGGCACTGTAAGGATGAACGATGATGGATTGTCTAAGATATTTCGGGCTTGTATCGAGGTTCAGATCGAGAGCCTTAGATCTTGCATGCTTATGGAGGCCCATCGTAAATCCACCCCTAGCTTCCGCCAGCGAGGAAGCTACTGAAGGCCACGTTGACGCCCACCAAAAGTGCTGATCGATGGTATCAAAGTTGTTGGACAGAAGCAATACATTTCGACAACATGACGACAGATGGTCTCTTGCACCCAAGAATAGCGGGTCTGACCAGCACGTCAGGAAGAACCGCACACGTGGAGTACAGGCATGCCACCTTTGACCAGCCCAAAGAATCCTTTTATGGTGTTGATCAAAAGCTAATAGGATCACATTAAGAGAATGAATTTAGAAGAAAGAGAGATGTGTGTATAGTGACACCTGCTGGATTCCAAATAAGTGGAAAATCTCGACTGGTCAATGATTGTCACAGTGCAGAGAGCAGCCTCTTTGAATCAGTTATCACTTTGTTTACAGGTCTGCGGGTAACGCAGCAAATACCTTTCGACGCTGTCATGTACAATGTAGACACGTGTGCAGAGCTGTGGGTATTCAAGAACAGAATCCCACATCCACAGGGAGAGACCAGGTCCTCACCGTCTTCGTCGAATTATATGCTCTAAATAGTCCTTTAACATATGCGCAATCTTACTGAACTATCAATACAATTTCTCTTGTTTTGAGCTATCACTCAGATTCAGACTGTGCCCATCAGCAGGCAGAGGCGATCGTTGAAGTCAATGGCAGGCAGAGAAGGCGATATGTTCTCAGAGGCAGCAAGGAAGTCTTGGTGGAGGACGAGATTCTGACTAGGGAGGAGCAAGCCAGTAACCTTGTGGATGCCTTCAGAGGTGATGCAGCGTCACCTCCGAAGACATCCTAACATAGCGCTTTCAAGACGGTCTGCATATAGTCTCATGTGTCTTGCCAGGCAGCATGTCTTATGTAGTTCAATTCTATAGCAGCCTTATAGCCCTACTTCCATGATACTTGTGGCCCTCAGCACTACTTTATCCCGACAGCCAATTCGGCACTGCTAGCCAGTGACCATCACTCTGAAAAGCATGTCTTATTTCTGCACAGGCTTTTTCCTGCCGCGAGGCTATCCCGAGACTGTGACACCGGACTACCTGCGCTTCCAGCTGTGGGCAATCCCCGCGCACATCACTGGCTGGATGAGCACCAGCCTGGCCACCTCCAGCCTGCTCAAGGCGGTGGGAGTGGGCAACAGCGCGGTGGGGGCCACGGCAGCGGCTGCTGCCATCAAGTGGATCACCAAGGACGGCATCGGGGCTGCCGGCAGGGTGCTGGTGAGTGCCATCATCAACTCCAATCTGCATTTCTGAATCTGACTGTGGCTCTCTCTGGGTGCGCGGCACAGGCAGGGGTGGCCAAACTCAAAAACAAGTCCGGGGAGAAGTTGTTGCAATGGATCTGGGATACCAGGCCTAAAGAAGATGACATTGGCTTGCTTGTATCAATGGCGCAAACAGCCCATATATCTGGAGCAACTCCCTGTAAGCAGTGGTGCCTGAGCTGGCACAAGCAAGCCCTCGCTCCTGGATGCCTGCAAAGCCAGTACTCAATATCTGCTGTTCAAGGTGGAGAACGAATTCGAAAATCCCACACAAGACACATTCACTACACCGTGCAGGTTGGCGGCCGGTTGGGCAACGTTTTTGACGAGGACCCCAAGCGCTGGCGCATGGTGGCAGAGGCGTTCCTGACAGTGGGGCTGGCGCTGGAGATTGCAACTGCGTTTTCCCCTGCCAACTTCATCGTGCTGGCAGGTGCCGGGAATCTGTCGCGTGCGGTCGGCCGGGGCATGACTAACCCCTGCTTCCGCATCATCCAGACACACTTTGCCGCCGCGTCCAACGTTGGCGATGTGGCCGCCAAGGAAGAGGTCAGCAAAAAGTTTCTTTTGTACGCCATGCAGCCTGTAGATAGTGTAGCACCCATAGCAGCCATTGTTGAGTGTGCCAGGCACACGTTTTTCATGCATGGGCTGAGTAGTGCAAACAGTGGCGGCATCTCCTGCTGACTGTTTCAGGCGCAGCGCAGGATCAGCAGCCCAGGCTGATCAGTGCATGTCAACAGTGCTTATGGGTCTTTCAGGTGTGGTCTTCTCTGCGAAAAAATTGGCGACGGAGGAATTTGGCCATTGAAATCGTGATGAGGCCTGCAGAAGGTACTGAAAGGACATGGTTGTTGGACACTCCCACACCCCTCCGCATGCTGTAAATGGGGTGTTGTGTCGGCACGTGACAGGTGTGGGAGGTGAGCGCTCAGCTGCTGGGCTTGGCAGGCAGCGTAGGGCTGCTGAAAGCGATTGAAGCCACCGGGAAGCCAGAGAATGTGCTGGGTGTGTGGGCCGCTGTCCAGGTGTGTCTCAATCAACGGTTTATGCAAAGACAGGGAAGTTCTGGAAAAATTTATAGAAGTGCTGCTGGAACGCACCTAGCCTTGGAAACCTTGCATTCCACCCTTCAAAAGGATCTGTATCTCCCTTAGATATATATCGCCGTGCACCTTTGCGAAGCCAAGGTTTGGGTGGACACATGACTGAGGCTGGTGATGAATGAAGCCTCCCGAGTGCACTTGCATGTTGCAGGACTCCAGCTGTATCATCATTGTGTCGTATTCCAAGCCTCTGTCTGTGACATATCTTGGAGAAGTTGTTGAGTTCATGTGCCTGCACGTGCATGCAGGTGCTGCACTCGCTGCTGCGGTACAAGAGCTTGGCGGTGCTGCAGTTCCCTTCCGTCAACCAGAAGCGCGCCTGCCTCCTAGCTGCCGCGCATGTTGCAGGAAATCCGCTGCCAGGTCAGCTCGCAAAAGTCATTTGGCACTTGCACACCACCAGAAGAGCTGTTCCGGAAAGCAAGGAAGCATAATGAATGCTGCAATGTCGCAATAGGAACGTCTCATAGTGAGCTGCTGCCTGCAGTATACTGAATTGGGAGGAACTGCCTGTGGCCGCATTTAGGAAAAGTGGTGCATAGTGCTTGAGGGTTGTCGCGCATGCCAGGCTGGCGCAAAACTGTGTGAATTGAGAATGCTGCGGCATGCATGTGCAGGCGTAGCTGAAGGGAACGCTTTGGAGGACGTGCTGGCGTGGCCGTCGCTGGTGCGGCCTTCTGTGCAGTTTGGATGCACACTGCAGGATGCACTGGGCAGCCGAACCAACTCTGCAGAGCTGCAGGTAAGAGCGGGCCGCACCTCACTTCTTGGTTCTGTTGATGGAGTCCATCAGACAACATCATTGGTAACTGAAGATTGGAAAGGCGGTAGTGCATGTTGCCTCATGGCGCTGAATGTACGTCCCGGGTGTGCCGTAAAAGAACAGAGCACTATTTTCTTGCTTTGGTAATATAACTGCGAAGACGGGATTGCCATTCTGCTGAAAAAGGAATGAAGCCATTCATAAAGGTCCGCGAGAGCTAGCCTTTTAATGTCTGCAGGAGCTCTTGCGGTTATACGAGGGGGAGATGCACATCTTGGTTTGGCGTGAGGGGAAGGGGAAGGTTGTGCTCCACCAGGACGCACAGCCGGCAGATGCTTTGAGACCCGTCTGGCAGGTAGACGATATTTGCTGGTAATTGTCTTCTGCTGGTCCCTAGTACTATCAGCAGGGGTGTTTAAAATAGGGAAGCACGGCCCACAACCATGGATTTTCGTCTTTGAAGGGCGCAGAGACTCAGAGATGACTTGCCAGAACAGTGTGTGAGTGCAGTCATCTGATCCCTAAAGGTGCCATTCATACAGCTCAAGAGTACAGGCACTGGCTGTGAAAGGGTGATTCTTCATCTTCCTTTGGGATCATGCATTAGGAAGAGTGGTGTCATGCGCAGTGGCATGTGCTGATTTCCATCGGGTTTTCGACTAAACACTGCCGCTGTGCAGGCTGCCTGGTTGGAGCAGCAGGGGGTGCAGGATGCAGGGCCTGCAGAGCTGCAAGCAAGCCTACACGCATTGAGAGAGCAGGGAGCAACTTTCTTGGAGGAGCTGAGCAGAACTGGCTGGTCCACTGATCGGGTGACCATCCGGACCGGGTCAGCCAGATATGCGCAGCTGCAGCAGCTGCAGCAATGACATGAAATATTGTGCAGCTTGATTCCATGCTTAAATCTCCAGCGGATGTGGCTGGTGCTGATGGAAACACCAGATTCTCTGAACCACTGCAATCGGCCCTGACAGTTGACTTAGCACTGCATGTAGCTGAGATCTGCGTAGACGTTGGATTTCATTGATATTGTTGGGAATGTTACTGGGAATTCACTTGTGAACGATGACAATTTGCACTTAGCAACACCCTCGCATGTGAGGCCTCAGAGGTTTTGCTGGTGCTGCCTGGGGGTGGTGGTGAAGTACCATTCAGCTGCAAGAGAGGACCCAGCCTCTAAGCGGCAACTGCTTGTGGCATACAAGACAGAGGCAGACTTGCAACAGGAGGAACGCCATGTCAGGTGCAGTTACATGCCACCATGTTCTTTCTTCAGGCACTTTCCACCCAGCAATGCAATCATGCACTGTTGTCAACTTGAGGATGAGAAAGATGCTGCAAACATTTCTGGAAATTCAGGGCTTGTAGTCATGAGTGAAGTGCCGGGCATTATCACAGTTTCCTTGCAGTCTTGCATACCCCGTGCACACTGCAGGTGCAGCAGCTGCCAGGAGCTGTGTGCCAGCCTTAAACGTTGCAATCGCTGCTAAATGGTGGCGTACTGCTCAAGAGAGAGCCAGGCCTAGCACTGGATAGCCGGACACATGCAAAAATGCCGAGAGACTTGATGCATGCATTGGGAAACTGACTAGGCTAGCGCTCAAAACCAAGGCGCTGACATGTCATTGCTTCCAATTGAAAAGAGCTGTCCGCTCAGAAGAGTGTAACGAGACCTGAAAACCTTTCCTAAATCCACCATGAAAGCCTTTCAAGGAAATGACGAAAAGAAATGCAAGAAAAATTGCAAATTTGATTACAACGCCCCTTGCATGCAATTGAAGTATTTGTGGTAACCCCTGAAGGGTTCTGTGCGAGGGGTTTTGTAGCATGGTGCGAAATGAGCTAGAAACGGAGAGGACGAGAACGCACAGTGCTCATGCATCACTGCTCGTAATATTAGATTTTATGTTCACTTATCTGACAGACAAGACATTTGTCCACTTGCCTGCGAAGCGACACCGGTTAGGATGCCCGATGCTGCAGTGCTGGCGCTGCTGAACAGCAATATCTTGTAGCTCACAGGCAATTAAAGAAGTCTTCATTATATTGTTTCGGTTTTTAAAGAAGTGATGGCGGATCATTGCTGAGTGGTCTTTGTGATGTGCAGAGGCAGTCCTGCCCACACCGCACGATGTCGTCCAAAGGATGTGAAAAAATGCCACCAACGAGAGGACCTGTGCACGTAGAGATACCATTGATGGTGTTGATGTAGAATTTAGAGCTCTTAAAGGTGCGGAAAGAGATCGATGCGTCCAAAACGGTCCGTTGAAGGCACACACCCAGCTCCAGGCCTACCTCCTGATGTCCTTGACAGAGGGCCGACTTGGCAAATATGAACTGTTAATTTCGTAGGGATCATGGAACAGATGCTTAATGTACTTCTGTGGCCAAGATGATCTTATGTTTTGATAAAGCTTATATGCCAGACAGCATCTGCTGTCGTCCCTTTGAATTTGCGACTCCTCAGGTCTCGAGCATACGAAACTCACGGCATACTTTATGCAAGCAAATAGTGTAGGCTTCACGTTTTTCCTGAAGACATTTCAGAACTCTAAAGAAGCTCATTGGAGCTAGACTTGCAGGTCAGACCAGACCAAGAAGCAGAACCTGGAGATCAGCTGGCGCTTCCAGCCGTCAAGTACACGCTCCAGTGACGATTCCACAGTAGGCACGAGACGCAGATAGGCCAGAGAAGGGCGTCTTTGTGGAGGGCATTGCGCCAGCCATGTCAAAGTCATCAAGGTCCAAGAAGAAGAAGCTCGAGAAAGAAGCAAAGGCAGCATTACAACAGATAGCAGCCCCTAAGGAGGAAGCTACCACACCCAGATCAATCGAGGGTCCTCGCAGACGCGCCAGTCCTTCTGTGTCTCCCTGTCAGGTATGCACTCAAATCATCACCTCATGCAGTGAGTGAAATGCTACACGTGCAGGTGTAGCAAAGGGATACTTTGAAGCTGGAGCAAATTGGATTCTGTGAGTTAGCATGATGCTGCAGCATGCATCGTGCAATCCTCCTGCATTAGCATGATACAGGAAGGTCCACAAGTTGGATGACATGCAATGAAGTGCTGCAAAGTTGCTGAGAAACTAACACACAGGTGCTGCGGTGCAGTCACCGAGCAATTCACCGGACAAGGAGACTCTCAAGGAGGACTTCAAGTGGGCTCCGCCGGTCTGGGAGGTTCTGGCAGGGATGCATGATGGACCAGGATTTGAGTGGCACAGCAAAGAAGAGTTCACTGAAGGACTGAAGGCCTTGCAGAGGAAATGGCGCATCAAGCAAGGCCTTCCCCGTGACAGATCCAACGACGAAGAAGAGAAGCTGCGGCAGCCAGAGCCGACAGGGACACTGCAGCAGCAGAAGCAGCCAGGGCCACAGCAATCACAACCATCCAAGCTGCCTGAGCCAGCTAAGCCATGTGGTCACCATGGGCAACAGCCGCCTCCAGACAGCCCTCTCTACGAGCATGTGAAGGTAGAAAATTCCCTCAAGGCAGGCTGTATCTCCTACTTTTTCTGCAATAAGCACCTTACAGACTTTGCGGACAGCCAGCATGAATTGGTCATGCATCATGCAGATAATGGAATATTCCAGAACAGAGTGACAGGACGTCCTTGCCTGCCTGTGACTGGCGAATGGCTGCTGATGTAATTCCATTCTTGCAGGCGGTGTTTGCAGCTGCTGTCTACCATGTGTCAAACGGTGACATGCATGAGGCAGAAGATATTTTGAGGCCGCTGTTTGATGTTGAGGACCTGCACAATGCTTACCTGCAGATGTGCGATACCTTGGCCATATCATCTAGAAGGCACGCCCTCGCATGCATTCTTTCATCATTTTGTGTGGCTTCCCAGTCGTGATTATGCCAAATTCTTAATGCCATGCATGTTAAAGCTATCTTGTAAGAGTCCTCTGTACCATGCAGATTCATGGTGTCCAAAATGTTCATGATGACGGGCCATGATCTGCTGGAGAAGGACGAGTATGAAGATGCAAGGGGTTGCTACTCCTTCAGCCTGGAGGTGTACCCTGACAACACAGAAGCACGTAGTGCCTTGGCCTTTGCAGAGCTGCGGGTAAACGTCCCTCTTCATCATGCATCTGCCTGCAGCAATGTCTTCTGCCGCTCTTTGTTGCCAAACAATAAAAATGCAACGCCATCACCATTCATGGAACGACACATGCATTTGCTCATTGCTCGTGCATGGTTCTGGACTCACAGTATTGTCGGCATGTGCTGCCACATTCCAGGTGCTGGGCCATGCTGTGCAGTGCAGATTGTCAACATTAGAACAGACTGTCACTATTACTGGCTGCGTGTGTGCATGCAGCTGGGCAACTACGTGGAGGTGATCGAGCACTGCAGTATTGTTCTCAAGTCCCAGGCAGAGAGTCTGCACAGAGAAGCTTTGAAGTGGTGCGCATGCCTCCTGAGACTACAGGTGTGTGACAATTTGCTTTCCAAATAATTGCATGAAGCACGTCTGGAGGAGTTTTCATACATGGACAACTTTGTGGTGGCGGCATGCATGTGATGTGCTCCAGAAAGAGCTGTACTTAGGCCACTACCTTGAGGTCTCATGTCTTAGGCATGGGCTCCCATGTCTTCGGAATGCTGGGCGCTCACAGCTTCACAGCTATCTGCACAAATGCTGCTGAATCTGGCCCAGAAAGAGAGGCCAGAACAGCATGCATGCATGGTACTGATGATCGAGGCTGAAGGAATGCTCGAGTGAGTAATTACTTGCATTGCAGGCGGGGCGTGGCATTCTACAATCTGGGGCGGCAGAGAGAGGCATGGAACGATCTGGCAGAGTGCATGGGTGGCGCGCGGCCCTCTGTCAGGCAGCGGCTCGCCTCTCCCAATGGATTTGCCCTGTTCCGCCTCAAGCTCAATCCCGAGGTGCTCATGCCCCATTATTAAGCTTTCAAAAATAGCGAAAGGAAAGTGCTCAAGCCCTGAAATAAGCGGACTGTGATATAGTATATTTAGCATGAGTATTTAAGAAACCATGCTTCTTCACAGAGACCTGATCTGTCATGCTGCATGTGTATGTGCATTTGTATCTCCTTGATTGAAGCAGGTGCCACAGAGAAAAGTGGTTGATGCAGAAAACAACGCAACTATAGATGTGGGAAGTGACATGCATTCACTTGTGTCATGCAGGTGTTTGGCGATGATCTGAAGCTACAGGAGTCAAACCACATTACGGCATCCATGGCAGCACTGCTCACGCATGCAGAACAGTTGTCAGCCGCTCAGTCAGGCTCCCAACCAGTCTTCATCTCTGGACAAGGCCAGACAAGTGATGCAGCATTCAAAAGCATGCCAGCAGCTGAGAGGCACCTGCAGCGGGACTTGCAACCTGCAGATATCCCTGAGAAGACGCAGCAGAGCATGGCTGAAAGAGTGGACGAAGAGTCCAGCAGAGCAATTAAGATTCTGCTTGACATGTACCCATCAGCCAAGTCAGCACAGCCAGGAGCCCAGTGCTGCACGCTGGGAAATTCAAATTATGTGCACACGCAGCAGGATCACAGCCGGGAGCCGGCGATAGTCCGTGAACAATCCACTCCCGAGGAGCTGAAGGGGATGGTTGGAGGGGGGCGTGGTTGAGGCGGCGTACACGAAGGTGTCAGAGTCAGATGAGCCGGGAGGCAATGCTCCTGATGCATGCATGCCAGCGCCTGACGGAGCTCAGAAGGCCGAGCCTTCCAGTCCAGAATTATTCGAAAAACATGCGCGCTGCCAGGCGTCTCTGATTCTGCTCAAAGAAATGCTGATGAGAGATGCATGACACATGCCGTTTGGGAATGTCAATGCAACTCCCACCAGGGTGACTGGACTTACAGAGGAATGCTGCCCCAGCAGCTCACAGAACATAGCTCAGGGGCATTGCTGCTCACCGAGGCAAGACATGGATGCAGTCAAACTTGAGGAAACAGACAGTGGAGGAGAACACAGTTCTGTTGGGACGCTGGACCGCGTACGTTCTAACAACGCTGCCCTCAGTGCAGGCTATAGCAGACAGTGTATACCGTAGCTGGAATTTGGGAACACCTTTCGGTAGAACAGTTCAGTGCTGCGCACGGAGTTCTGGGTAATACTAAATGCTGCACAAGGATGTGACAGGTAGAGCTTACTGAAATCGCGTGACAGAGATATACGTAGGTGACTTAAGACTCAGGAGAGAAAACAACGATTGAATGAGTGTGCTTTTCAGTTACTGATTGTCAGCTGTGGGTCGAAAATTCTGATGTTAATCAGCAATTATAAGTTCGGAGATTTTGCCTTTCAGATTGATATTCTCACACAGCTTCAAAGCTATGACTGGCTCCCATTACAAGTTAAGTTAACTTGAAGAAAGGGCCTTTTCATTCCCTAGGGGGAAGATCCGGATCGGTCAATTAGTCAACACATCCAGCCAACCTGGGGCTGATCCTAATGCCCAACTCTCTATCTTCCACAACTGCCAAGTATTCAACTATGCACGTTTGAAGATAGTACTAAACTTCAGCATATCTCAGCCGATCAGCGCGATCAAACAATCAAATTTGTCGACATGTGAAGCAAGCACGTTTCCAACAGAGTAAATGAGGACCTACTCGTTTCATTCAGTTTGGAAAGAAAAAGAGAAGCAGCACCTAAGCAATTGGCAGTTTGAATTCAACATCCCTTCGATGGTCGGAATATACACATGACCTGGGTCGTGAAACCAATAGGGATTTATTTGCGCGCATTTCAGGCCATCTGATTACTGTACAGTTCAACTGTGCCTTACAGCACAGAACCCCTCCCGAACGATCCTCACAACCTCCTGCAAAATGAATGTCACGGTAGAGACATTGTGTAGGATTATCCCTTCCGTGTTGATTTTAACTGGCACCACTTTTCGCCGGTGCGTTTGTTATCCTGGCCTGCGGCCTGTCATCCTCAACCTCATCATCTTCTTCATCGTCGCTAGATTCCTCTTCTGCCTTGACCAGCATTGCGTCGATCTGATCCTGTGAGAGCGGTGATGCCTTGGAGAAGGTCTTGCAGTTGTTCTTGTGGCCTGCCCGCCAGTGCAACCTCTGGCAGTCCTTGGAGCAATAGGTGGCCACCTCGCACCCCGCGCACTTCTGCAGCTTCTCGCTCAGCGCCTTGCAACAGTCGCACCTGCGCACAACAGCCACCGCCCCTCTCAGACTGCTTGCAACCCAGCTGCACACAGATCTGCTTTTGTACCATATGCCATCTGCCATCTACCACATCTTGCCACATACAAGCTCAGCATGGCATGCCAATGCAGCAGCAAAAACATGCAGCAGCTTTACAAGAGATATAATAACAAGTCTGAGAAAAGTCTGAGCAAAGTCATGCAAAAAAATGCCTAAGGAAAAGACAGCAGTTATAACGGATCAGGCTGAGCAGTGCAGGGACGGAAGGATGAAGGGGCTTGGTAAGAATAAACAGCACTCACATGGTGTAGACGAGGTCCTGGTTGAGTTCTTCCTCGGAGGTGTATGCAGGCAGCGACTGCTGCGCAAGTTCAGGGTCTCGTCTGACGGCTCCGCTGAGTCGCCCGGCCACGCCGAGGCAGCGCCAGAAGCGGCGCTCATCTCCCGCCATCAAGTCCCCGCACCAATTTGCACTGGTGGACTTGTGCACGCGCGCCTGCATGCAGAAGGCTCGAGACATTAGAGTGTGAAGAGTCCAACACCTCACAGTGCATGGCGTTGACAGGTATCCTTGCCGGGAGCTGCCAAGGCAGAGACCCTGAATTAAAATTTCATTGTAACCTTCATGTACACAACTGACTGTTGACTGCTATCAAGTCACAAGCCCTGGCCTCTACAATTGTGGCTCAAAGCACCAGCACTGGTGAGCCTGACTAACAAATATGCTGCATGCATGGACTGGCCTCGCCCCACACTCAGCATGATCGTGTCCCTTTGCTGCAAAAACCCTGCCTTGTGCAGAAACAGCATTGAAGAAGCACCTGTTTGACGAGCTGAAGGACCCTGTTGACTCGGTATCTGGGCCCCTCGCCACCGAGCAGGATGGCATGACACAAATCCCATCGCACCAGGCTCTGCGCGCGGTCCTCCTGTCCTCGGTCAACCGTTTCCAGAGCTGGACTCAATATCTGCAACGATCACAGCATCCTTGTCACATCACTTCTACCCTTCTAACGCGGAGTGCCTTCGGAGAAAAGTCATCAGAATTGCCTCATCATCTTACCTGGATGCCACCATCTGTTCTGTATCTCCGCTTGGCGATACAGGGAGAAGCAACATGTTCAGCGGGCAATCGCCAATAATCATGTGAAAAATGCATGCACGAGTACGTGTTTCCTCCAAGAGTCAAGGGGAGGGGGCCACCTTGACTTTTGCGGCTTGGTCCTCGGTGATGTCAGCCAGGGCAAGGCTGTTGGCCCAGTTGTCAGGGTCCAGCCTGGCGACTGCTTTACCATGCGAGTCTACTAGCTTCCTGTACCTTCGGCTGTCTTTGGGCAACTCGCTGTCTTTGCTGTTCTGCCTGTATAGAGTCACCAGCCCCATCCTGAGGCACAGCTCCACGTCCTGTGGCCTCAGGTCAAACCTGTGCACCACAACCAATGCATGTCAGCACACAAGACAAAATGTCGACCCTGCAATGAAGTCCTGGCAAGCACTGCAAATAGCATGCACCAGTGTCTTGACAGCACTGGGACAGGCGGCAATCTTGTTCACAGCCTGTCAAGAGAAATGTGTGAAGTTACTCACAAGCCAGAGGCAGGCGTGGAATGCTGCATGCTGGCCAAAAGCCAAAAGATATCTTGTTGCGCTGATCAAGCTGCCTCTTACAGGACTGAAGAAGCCCACAGGCAGAAAGAAGGGGGCTCACTGTTTGAGAGCCTTTTGCCAGAAGTCTGGCATGAGCTCCAGGGCTTTGAGTCCGATGAGGCCGATCCTGATGGCCTCGATGTAGTTTGGCAGCATGTCCTCAAAGCTGCCGACAGTCATTGTCTGCATGGGGACAGAAGTAAGCAGCTGCGCCGGCCTAGTCACCATCTGTGCCGCTGCCGAAATCTGAAGGTTCATGTCCCCATACACTGCAGCCCACAGCCGCTCAGATAAGCATGCATGAAAAGGCCCGACTGATCACGCTGCACCTAAACTACAAATTAGCATTGCGGAGGCGGTCTCTCACTGTTCAATCTGCACAACTTTATGGGCATGCTGTTAGCTCAGTTGGGTGTTTGACAGTAAAGCTAGGACACCAATCTTTGCCACACAGAGGGCAGATGTCCTCAAAAAATTGTATGCCAGGTTATAGCTCCCAAATGGCAGCATTATTTGTGTAGCACATTTGAGGTGAGAATGTAAGTATCATCATACCTCTCCCGAAGGTGGATCCATACTTGGCTGCCTCGCTCATCAAGCTGTTTATCTTCCCAAACTCAAGGTCCAGGCCCATCCCTTGATCACACAGCGCAGCCTTGATGAAACAAGCTGCTCCCTGTGCATGTGCGTATCAGCACATGTCAGTACTTGCTGCCCTTGCTGGGTGGCTTGCAGGACCTCATACACGCGCAAAGACATATGTGCGCTCCTTGCATGATGCTGGTAAATACAGGTGCAGTGTGATCAACAAGTAGGCGGCCACCGATTCTTGACTTGCAGAGTCTGTGGTGGAGTATCAAGCAGGCACAAGATGAAGAACCAAGAGTCATGAGGAGCAGCCTCCCACCAGTGCCAGTTTGTCCTCCTCAGACTTGAGACAGCAAGCGGGCAGATGAGTCAATTCACGCAATTCGTACATCAAAGCGTCAATTTTCACTTTCTTCCTCATGAACTGAGTCCTCTGGCTTGCTGGCGTCCGTTTGGCTGAACAGCCACAGAGCTGAAGTTTACATCCAGGAAACAACGCACTTGAATTATACTGAAGAAACCCAATTTAAGTGAGCCTACCTCGACAACAAGGGCACATAGAGCATGGATCGTTTTTATCGAATTCCTCGGGCTGCATTGACGTGCTCGTCTCCTCTTCTTGCACGCTGAGTTTCTGCAGCTCCAGGAGCCTGTCCTTTGGAACGGGATGGGCTCGAGACGCATGCACTTTCGGCATCAGGGAGAAATGTTAATGCCTGGTGCCTGTAGCACTTTCGATTTAGCTCTGCGTCCACACTTCAATCAGTTATACGTGCCCACCATCGCCGATCTAGACGACAGACTTATGATGCAAATGACAGCACCATAGAGCTTACTTGGTCGTAGATGCTCTATGATGAGAAACAAAATTTGTTATTGTGCTTCCCTTGGAGCAATTGCAGGAGATGGAAGTCCAAAATTGAACACCTCAACTTGCATAAAACCTTCCAACAAACCTGCTAACAGTTGGGATCCTGAATTGACCAGAACAGTGCTTTCCAAAGAGAATTGAACATGGTTGTCCCCAACAATTTAGAGTGTAGAGGAAACGAATCAATTTTATCGTATGGGGGTAAAGAGTAGGTCAAAGCCCCTACGTGTACAGTACCCCAAGGGACCTACAAAATTATAGCATGAGAGTCCACTTCTGTTATACAGAGCTACAGAGATTTGTTTGATAGACTGCACATGGCAGACTCCATAGCCAGTTTTGCACTGCACTGCACCTACTGCACTTACGCTGCAGACCCCTAAGGTGCACTCGCACCAGTCACCGCGGGCCCCCCCGCCGGCGAGGGCCAAACCTTGCAATGCACGCACTGGCAGTCTTGCTGCGCAAACAAATAATCCAGGAATTGTATCAGTTGCACACAACAAAATCTGCTCCTTACTGCCAATAATTTAGTCCCATGCCAGCACTTTCACACATGCTGGCCGCCACCAAGGCCGTCTCTGAATTCAGACCAATGCCTTGGCAGTGTTCATGCTGTCTACTGTGCGCTCTTGGCAACATGCTGTTCTCCTAACCCGGCTCTGACGGTCACACGCATCCCCTTGTATACCACTCTTGCAACCAAACAACGCCAGAATGCATGATCCCATATTCATCATCAAGCAGTCGTGCGCAGACCTATGCAGCTCTGCTCTGTTACCCTGCAGTTCTGCAGCCATACGGGCAGTCGCTGTTGCCGTAAGTCTCCTTGAAGCCTCAGCAACAATTGCTCACTATACCTCTGGGAAGCACTTGGCCAGCAGGCCAATGCCACCCTGTCCTGCAATCCTTGCAGCATCAAGGAGATCATTGCGTAGATCATCAAGCCCGTCATGGATGATCTCGAGCCTCTCCAACTTCTCAACTAGAACTGCGGCTTGTTCCAGATGCATGCCAATGATTCTCCCATCATGCAGGAGAAGCACTGCACCAGAGTCGCCGGGGACACAAATGTGCTCGTACACCACAAAGTGACCTCGCCGGCTGAGACACGCTGTGCACGCCTGCAAATAAGCGCCAAGATCATTCATTGCACCATGTTTGTGTAGTACCAGTATCACAAGGGAGACATTCTCAAGGGTGATTTGTCAGGGAGCAGTGTTAGCAACGGAAATTCCCACTCAAAGAAAGATGTCACAGTAGAAACTCTCCAACCCACATATGCGCCTCACCGGGACGGCTGCAAGACCGGGGCCAAATTCCTTCCCGATCTTGGTGGCCGCAAACGCCAGCTGGAAAGAGCAGAAGACAAAGTTGTGGCTGTGCAATAACTCTGTTACGTCTCGCTCCAGAGGCAAGTATGGCTGAGGCTGCTGCGTGATGAAACAAACATAACCAAGCTCCTTGCTAACCGCAGTGACCTCCAGCTGAACCCTCCTGTATTGCCCATCAGTCTGCATACGCGCTTCCAGCGTCTGGCCTACAGCGGGCAGCTGGGAGAAGATATAGTGGGTGGTTATGCCCCTCTTGTTGTCATAGAAAATGCCCAGGCCTGCAATCCAGTGCACCGCATTGACATATAGGGATGCACCAAGAGAACACAATGCAGATCAGGTGGGCACTCCGCCACTGTCATCCCGCCAAAAATCAAGAAGCAGTTTTGTAAGAAGAGAATCAATCGACAGAGTGTTCTTGGAGTGGTTAGAGTGCAGCAGGTGCACTGGACACCAGAAGAGGGTGAAGGACACATACCCGCATCTGTGTAGTCATCACCCAGAATAATGCAGGTGGCCTTCTCAACGCGCAAGGCCACCTCTGGGAGCAGCAATGGGGAGTTCTGCCGTGCCAGCATGCTCTTGGCAAGCCCGTCAATAAGGTGGTGCACTCTGCTGTGGAGTCCTGCGTGGACCTCACACTCAATACCTCGAGATAAGATCGACGGCCTATCCGTATGGTTGACACTCAAGTTGTCATGGAAAACATGCTGGTGCTCACCGTGACTTGAGTACTCAGATATGTCCAGGGAATATTGAGCGCCTGGATCGAGAATGCACTGTCCTCCCAAGTGTGTACTGCTATTGGGTGCATGCAACTTTCCAACATATGCAGCATTCATGTCACGAAGAGAATTTCTCACAGTCTCAGCTGTGATTGGGCTACCGAATACTTGAACAGCGACTGGGTTTTGGCCCTTCCACACGGTGACAGTCACGCCAGCCATGGCACATAGATGCCCGCTTCTGTGCTTAAGATACCACTGTCGATGCCCCTACTCTCACAGAGCACAGAGGGCAGCTACTGAGAGCAGCTACTTCCTCCCCCCACCGTTTCTCCCAAGAATGCGCTTATTAGATTTTAACCTGCGCAGGCTGCAAGCTTTGCTTGCTGTGCCAGCTGTGGCAAGCCTTAAAGGAGATGATTCATCTCAGATAATTATTGAGTCCAATCTCAAAGTGCATCAGTGGATTCTTCACGTAGCGCAGTTCAGGACCGGAAAGCAAGCTATTAAGGAAATGATAGACGACGATGGCAGTTGTGAGAATTAGAGTTGTCGATGGCGATCGAGTGTCCACTGAGTCGCTACGAACTCCCATCACCGCAGGAGAAGCTAGGGAGACATTGCAGCAGTATAACCGACGATGGATGGGCAAGCTGGCCGCCGTGGGCAGTGAAATACACTTGGGAGGTCGCACAGACCTGGTGCCCGGAGAGACCTACATCCTGACCGTGACAAGGGATGCTGGTACATTTATCCATTGTGCTCGACAAAAATGATATTTGCCTGTAATAAGACTGATAAAGCCGCTTTGGAACTTTAGTTGTTCAATTTTGCGCACGGAACTCACAGACTGCATTGCAACACAGGTCTGGAAGAGAAGCTTGAAGGTCTGGCGGAACTAGTGGCAGGTCATGCGAAAGTACTTCTCCCAGAGACAATTGACCTGGTGAAGACGGCCACCTGCTTGTTCGCTGATGAGGATGACCAGTTCACAGGTAAGTACCTGCTCAACAGCACTTCATGTGCAACCTTGAGAATTTCTCCTTGACACTTGGAAAGCTATGACTGATCGCCTTCCCTCCTGATTACTTTGACTCCATTTTATGCAATTTCTACTTGGCTAGGAAACTAAGGTTGTGGGATGCAATTGCTGAAGGGGCTACTTGTTGCATATGCAGGATTGGGCTGCTTCTATGGGCCCCACTGGGGCATCACCTGCTACCATAACCTAGTGGAGCCACTTGATTCACACGACCCAAATGTGGTGCAGGAGCCCTCCTTGGGAGAAGAAATCGAGGTGTATGTTTTCAAACAGGGCAGGTGTGCCAATGCACCAGGTTTTCCTCCCAATTAAGCAGTGGTAGGGTTTAGCTAAAAATTCAACCCACAAGGTGCAAGAATGGGAGTGATGATTGCAGGTACCAGCGCATCTCGGTCACAATCACGGAGCTGAGCAAAGAGCATGATTTTGTTTGCTTTATCACCGAGCAGGAGCAGCCCTTCTTACAATTGCACCGAGATCCCAGCGTCTTGGAGTCAGCCAGGGAATTCGTACTGTGCTCTTTCCACTTGCAAGCTGGCTTGGGCGACCTTGCCAGTGACTTTGGCATTGGTCTGGCACCATATAGGGTACGCTCTCAAAGAACTTGAGTCCTGGGGTGCACGGTTCTGTCTGCTGATCACACTTTGTGTTCTTGTATGCAAGCTTGATGATGGCGCTGGCATGCAGGCGTTGTTTTTGCGCTTCAGCAAGCACGCAAACCATATGGTGTACGATGTCAACTGCGCACCCGGTGACTCTGGTGCAGCGCTGTTGCTGTTTGAAGGCCGTGTGATAGGGATGCATCAAGAAGGTATAAATAATCTCATTGGGGAATTTGACCCCACCAGGCCAATGCATGCGAGATTAGATGATCTCACGGAGTCTGCCCTTGCAGCTGCCCGGAGTGTAGGACAGGGTGGTCTTGGTTTGTTGGCCAGGTGTTTTCCTCAGGCAGTTTGAGGCATGGGACACATATAGAATGTTTGATACATGCAGAAGTGCAGCGGAGAATTTTTCATGGTGCTGGCAGCTGATAGGACTTGAAGAAAAGAGCAAGTAAACTTTTCATGTGAGTGCACTCAAAGTCCGTGAATGTCTCTTATGACACTACGTAGTGTCATATGTACATTAGTGTATACAAGCAATGCATCACTACCCTTAGTATAATTGTCACTTCAAGGACACTCTCAGAAAAAGGAGAGATGCATGCATGGCATTTGGTGACACTGATGATCATTAATGAACAGTTGCATTGTCTGACATTTGAAAGTTTTGGTTAGTGATCGATGAAACTCTTGCTTGGTGCAGCTCTTGAATTGTATGCCACTGGCATGTTCAAATGAAGTGCAAAAGGTGAAGATGTAGACCGAGTGCAACACAGCAAGAATGTGTCAGATTTAAGAGTCAAGACAGTCCGCTGGACTGTCCATTGGTAGCTGCCAGCTACCAGAGCTACATAAACACACTCCCCTCCCTTTTGGTGTACAGCCCAACAAGCCCCATATGGGGTTGGACCCCATCATACAATAATCGCAACAGCCTTTTGACGCTACCAGCCTTTGAAGCATCGCTGGTACCCCAGTCCCAACTCCTGGTGCAGCAGGTTAACATTGCTGCTAAGTGGCATGTGTTCAATCACATCCTGACAGTGTCTGCATGCCGCAAAATTCCCGCATCATGGTTACTGTTGAGCGCCAGCAGCAATATTGTCACCATCAAGTATTCGGCCTTACAAGATTTGGATCTGCAGTAGTGTTCATTTTGTGAAAGCATGGTGTCATCCTATCACCAGTTGCCTGTTCCTGTTCACTGCATTATTCATCCTGTGCTTGGTCTGCACTACTTTCTAACCTCCACAGCGCTCCCTTCTGATCTCATACCATCATGCAGCAATGCGCAGACCTCTGCAGCTCTGCTCTGGACGCTGCAGCTCGCAGCCAGTTGGGCAGTCGCTGCATGATAGGGCGCACTCATCGAATGAGAAGCTGTGACAGGTCACCTCGCCAACATGCAGCGCAGCTGCATTTGCGCATCGCTGCAGCACCTGCACGCCAACAGAGCCCAGGTGTTCATACTTGTGAGCGGGCTCATCGCATCAAAACTGCTGGACACATGTGGTGTTGATCAGGGGTTGACAGCCCCGAAGGGCCCCCCAAGGGATTGGCCAGCCTGCTTCGGGGCTAGGGGCAAAATTTCAGGGCAACCCCGAGATACATTCACATTTGGCAGAATGGCATTAGTGCAACCTCACGAAGTCACTTGGCTGTGACTCAGGGGCACCCTAGACTTCTCAGGCAATTTTGTACCACTTGAAGGCCGGATCCCAGGGATAATCTGCATTTCCCTGTTGGAAAATCTTGGGAACCTCAGGGATGCCCCGAAATTTCAGCTAGTATCACTGCAGCGAAGCCCCCGCCATGCTCTTGCCCTATTTAGGGGCTGGCCTGAGGTTTCCTAGGACCCCTGTCAAACCCTGGTGGTGTTCTGGTCATTACCTAGATGCTAAACAAATCACATATCATTGTCACCAGACATGCGTCTCTGGGCTGCACTCCAACAAGTAAAAGTCTGGGCTGTACCTCTTCACGGGTGGCGCAAAGGACGTTGCACTGAGCAGCTGGGTTAGGCCGGTCCATGACCTTCGATCGAGTGTTGGGCAGCGAGGATGCGCTGAGGCAAAGGCCTGCATGATCCACGACTTGGGGATTTGCGCAGAACTGAAACAGAGCAGAGCTTGGCAATGGCTGTTGAGAGTCAGTATAACACTGGGGTGTCAGGGAATGTGAGCACACTGAAAGATTCCGATTTTGGACTGTACATGCGCCGAGAACTCACCCTCAATGTCCCCCACATCGCAATGACAAGTTATCTTCGCCATCGCAGCATCACTTGAACCCACAAAAGCAGCCAAAATGCAGGCAGTCGCCGCGATCGCCGCTAGCGATGCCCGGGTGATAGCCATTGTCGCCTTTCGGGCGCTTGCAGAGGCTCTTACTGCGCGATCAGTGCTCTATCCTGACACTTCGTGGCAACCTGTCCACCTAGTAGGTTTATATGATCCGTCCTGTCAGCCTTTGCCGCTACCCTCCTGAAACGTATGCAGTACGAAATCAGACCCCTCTGAGCTCGGATCGACAATACAATGCGTCTGAAGGCAGGTGGATATCTCTCAAAACACGCTGGCCAGCCTTGTCACGAGCATGCGCCAGGTGTGATCCCAGAAACGCCTTCGGAGAACGGTTCCCGGTGCGCCGAGGCTCTTGGACTCATCATGAATTGAATCAAAGCAATGAATGACGATATTACTTACTGCATGGACTCTGCTTTTTCGCAATTCTCGCTGCATCCGCTCCACATTAGCCCGGGTGCTTGCTTTAACCGACATTGCGGCGCCTTTTGCTGGATGATCCCAGTGCGTCGCTGAGCGGGGTGAAGTGCAAGCGTGTTTGTCAAGCAATAGTAGAATATTTTCCTCATCTATATATTGCCTGAGTATCCACATGCAAGCAGAATGGGGATGACGCGTATAGCTGGAGCCTGAGGGGAGCGCAATGGCTTGACGGTGGCACACCAGCGGTGTCAGTGCGAAGAACTGCTGCAGGATGGCAGCGATGCGCAGCTTCATCAGCTCCTTGATACTGGCGGCGGTGGCTGCACAAGCAGCCGTTGGCCAGAGCAACAGCAATGGGAGCGCCCTGTGTGACTCGACAGGTCCCAGGATCTCTTGTGGCGGTGAGTCTTTTCGTGCTGTCTGGAAAACACAGCGATGTTCTTGCGTATTGCACCTGCAAAGCATGGCAAAATGTATGCATCATGGAGCGCCGCGAAGAGATTCTCGCCGGGCTTCCGCTCTGGGTTCTGAAAATCCAAGTCGACAATTTTGCAGGGCTTGCAATCAATTACTTGTGCATACTTTCTGCTAAAACAGCAGATCCTTCCACGTGCTGACGCTACCTTTGAGTGTTTCCAACCCTCTGATCGCTCTGGTGCTTGCGTGCAGGTTCCGATGCCACTTCCTGCCACAGTCAGGGCTGCTGCTACAGCCCTGCTCCTAGCAACATTGGCGGCACGGCCCTGGTCCTGCCAGCATGTTTCAAGCCCAATGCAGACAGCTCAAACTATGCTGTCCAGGGAGCTTCCCTGCAGACAGGAGGTGACATTATAAAGGGGTGAACGAGTGCATCTACCTTTGTATTCACAGCATGCAATGTGATGCGAATGAGTCCAAATCATGTAGGGCAGCGAATGAATCTTTAGATCAGATATTTTGGAATGCATGTGCATTGCAGCCAATGGAGAACAGCAGGGAACACTCAATCTGCAGGGCAATGGCGCTATGCCTTTCCTTGGAGGTGACATCAGCCCATTGATGCTCTCAGTCCAGAACCTTGACCAAAGCATTCTGCGGGTCAAGATTGGGGCGCCAGATCGCTGGGAGGTGCCTCAGGACCGGCTCTTCACCAGCACTGCCAAAGGTGCCTTACAAATGTCAATTCACAGGATGTGATGTGCTGCTGGTTACCACTGTCAATGCATGCATGCCTGGCACTGAACCTTTCAATGTACATGACATGCATGGATGCACGGAGGCGGATTGACAGGGTGTGTTGAGACATGTGCAGGTACATTGCAGGGGTCACCAAAGTACACACTGCAGTACAGTGCCTCCCCCTTCATATTTGCTGTTTCCCGTTCGGATGGCAGCTCAACAGAGCCTCTTTTCAACACTGGTGGAAGCCGCTTGGTATTTAAGGTGAGCAGCGCATTTCTTATGCTCCACCTGCCTGAAGCTTTATGAATGCACAATGACAGCCTTTCATGCATTGCCCTCTCCTGCAAGGATTCAGAAATTCAGGCTGCATGTGAGGCGAATGAATGAATGCATCTCCTTCGTTTCCTCAGGACCAGTATTTGGAGATTTCTTCCAAGATCCTCTCCACCACAACACTCTATGGCCTAGGCGAACACACTAGCAGCACAGGATTTGCTTTGAGGAGGGACGGACAGCCATACACACTCTGGACACGAGACCAGCCACCAAATGTGCCCAACCTGAACAGCTACAGCTCTCATCCTTTCATCATGGATGTGCGAAAAGGTGGGACCTGTGCAAACTCATCCTCCTGGTTGCCCTGCAATGTGCGCTTGAATTTTGCAAGCCTCTTAAGGTGTTCATGCATGATGTCATGTAGCTGCTCTGCTGCAATGGTACATGTCAGATGACAAATTTTCTTGTGAAGGTCATGCATTGACATGCATGGATGTACAGATAATGCATGTGTTATGTGTGGAAATGCAAACTTGTTTTGACTGCATGAACAGGTGGACAGGCACATGGCGTGCTGCTGCTCAATAGCAATGGCATTGATGTTGTGCTAACCAAGACCAAGATGCAATTCAGAGCCATTGGAGGCGTCCTGGACTTATACTTCTTCATGGGTCCCACACCTCTGGAGGTTCTTGCTCAGCTAACCAGCATTATAGGACGCCCTGTGATGCCCCCTTACTGGAGCATGGGTCTGCAGCAGAGCAAGTGAGTCGTGTGCAACACCATGCAAATTCTTCACAACCTTGCCTGGATGAATACACCACCATGCACTGTCGCAAAAGTGATGCATGCTTGATGACGGCATCTGGCCTGTCCATTGTCTTTCAGATCCTATTGCATTGTGCAGGAATGGCTACCTGACACTGGACTACTGCGAGCGCGTGGTGCAGAACTACACCCTGAGTGGCATCCCGCTGGAAACCTTTGTCACAGACATACCCTACATGAACCATCTGCAGATCTTCACCCTGAGCACAGATTACCCTCTGCCAGAATTCCAGGCCTTTGTCAAACGACTGCATGCTGCCAATCAGCGATGGGTAAGCTGTCAGCAACTGAAGCTTTTCGATCTGGGTCTTCCTGTTTCTTTTGCAGGTGCCATTTAGGCTCTAAAGTGTCCAATATTCATGCATGCAGGTACCAATACTGGATCCCCAGGTCCACATCAAAGAGGGCTATGAGCCATATGATACTGGCATCCAGCAGAATGTCTTTGTGAAGGACATTGCGGGCGGCAACTATGTTGGTCAGGTAGACGGTGCTCTAGCTCTTTATGCAAGCATAAGAATGATGTACAGATGAAAAACGGCTATGCAGATTCGGATAATAACCATAAATGTGTTCTGCAGCTGTGGCCTGGAGCTGTGCATTACCCGGATTTCTTTAACAATGCTACTGTGAGCTGGTGGACATCTCTCATACAAGGGCTTCATAACCAGCTCCCTTTTGATGGGCTCTGGATTGACATGAATGAGGCCAGCAACTTCTGTACTGGAGATGTTTGCAGTGACCCCGGTGAGTCCCACCATGATCAGCAGAAGAGTTTGAGTACACAGGTTATCAAAAGCAAAATCACTGAGGGAACGTTAGGTGATCTCCAACCTGTGGCTGCAGGCAATATCGAGGACAACACTGACTTCGTATGTCTGCTTTCCTGCTCGGATGGCACCAGTGCTGCAGGGTCCAATGCTGCAGGACTGCCCTCCGCAGGCATCTTCAACCCTCCATACCTGATCAACAACAATGGGACACAGCTGGACATCAAAACAAAGGTGCATGCAGTTCTATAAGAATGAAAAACAGCCTTGCAAACATGAGCTCTTTGTCTTCTGTGCAAGTAATGCATCACTGGTCTGTGTCATGTGCAGACCCTTCCAGTGAGCGCACGCCATGCTGATGGGACACTGGAGTACAATGCCCACAATGTGTATGGACTGTCCATGGCTATTGCCACAACACAGGCTCTCAAGACTGTCCGGCAGAAGCGGCCCTTCACTCTGACTAGGTATGCGCTCTTCTGTTTCTCAGAACCCGGAGTGGCATTAGCTTTAAATTGCTCTGATGCAATGCAAGCTGTAATTGTCCAACTAAGACCTTCTTTTTTGCAGGTCCACATTTGTAGGATCTGGTGCATACGCAGCACATTGGACTGGTGACACTGCCAGCTCTTGGGATGATCTGAAATGGGGCCCTGGGGTGAGTTTCTGGCTGCACACATGACAAGATCATGCAGGAGATTATTATGGACGTTGTATTGAATGTTCATCCTTCTCTGTTGAGGAGAGTGCCCCACTTTGTTCCTGGTGCAGATGATGATGGCAAATGGGATGTCTGGCAATGCATTCATCGGGGGCGACATCTGTGGCTTCCAATTTGTCGCCACAGAGGAGCTTTGTGCTCGATGGGCTGCAGCAGGAGCCTGGCAGCCATTTGCTCGCAATCACCATGCTGAGGGCTTCCAAGAATTCTACTTGTGAGTCCCTTCTTCTGCCTGCCTCTGTGCATGCTTTGGGAGCATGTCTCCCCACATGTGCGTGTTTGCGCCAGGATTCGAATTGCACGCTAACTGGGAGCTGCCGTGCACACTGCAGGTACCCCAATGTGAGCGCAGTGGCCAAGAAGGTGTTCACATGGCGGCTGCGAGTGATGCCATACCTGTACACAGCGTTCTATGATGCGCACACATTCGGCTGCAGCATCATGCGCCCCCTCTTCTTCAGCTTCCCGGGTGATGCCGCCTCCTACAACATCGACCAGCAGTGGATGCTGGGGGATGCACTCATGGTGGCCCCCATCATGACCCAGGGCACCAGCACCACCTCTGCATACTTTCCCTCCGGCGTTTGGTACAACCTCTACGACCACACAACCATCACTGGAGGCCGCAGCCAGACCGTCATGGTGAGCTCCTACACTATGGCGCTTTTGCATCTGCATGCATATCCCCATGATCAGTCAGCTTGCAACAGGAGAAAAGGATCTCAATTCTCACTTTGACAATGTGTGCGCAGGCTAATCTGACTGACAACACACCCGTCTTCATCCTTGGCGGCAACATCATCCCAGTGGGTCCAAATGGCTCTGTGACGACCACCGCTGCGCGTGCCGGCAACATCACGCTTGTAGCCGCCATGCCAGCTGCCAACTCCCCATGGTTTGATCGCTGCGGTCAGGAATGCGCCGGCAAGAGCCAGCCGGGCAACTTGGTGGCCTGTGGGCACATGTACCTGGACCAGGGTGCGTCCATGCAAGCAAATCCAAGCGACATGCATGTTGCATGTGTTTGACATTGATCTGGCTTTAAGGGCCCCTGCTAAGACCAGTGTGTTCTCTTGTCTGTAAGGCATGTGTCAGCTTGTTTGCTCACAGGATCAATGAGGATGATGACAACTGTGCATTGTGCAGGTGAGGAGCTGAGCGTGGGGACATCCCTGAACAACTACCTCAGCTTTGAGGTCCGGCTCACTGGCAGCACATCTGTGGGCCTCCAGGGAAACATGGCTCTGAACTGGCCGGGAGCACCTGGAGGCGGCCAGGGCTCTGGCTGCACTGCTAATGTCACATGGCCCATGCTGACCGCCATTACCATCCTGGGCAGCGGGCCGGTGAATACTGCTTCTGTGTCCGTTACGGTGAGTATCCCAAAGCACCGCATGCAGCTCAAGATCTTGCTGCATTGTGAAAAATTACACCAAAGCAAAAATTCGTGTGCCTGTTAAGAGGAGCCGTCTGCTTCTTGTGCTGAAGGACATGCGCATGCAATGCATTAGTCATTGGCAGAGGCTTACATTGGGCTGCTGAATGCTCTGCAGGAGGTTGGGAACCAGTTCAGCGCAGACTCAGCCTTTGCTGCGACCGGCATGGTGCAGGCCCAGTCTACCGCACCACCTGTCACGGCAGCTGACGGCAGTGGCAGCATTGTCTCCTACGGCCTGCCCATGCCCAAAGGAAATGTGGCGTACAACTCAGTCACCAACAAGCTGAGCATCACCGTCCTGGACTATCAGCTGCGGTGCCCCAACGGCCTGAAGGTCACCTGGTCATCCCCTGTGGTGGCACAGCCCAATGATGCCGCCGGATAAGAGCACAGTGGAGCACTTTGCACTTGTGCTCTGGTCTATTCTTGAGGTTATGAGTGTGTCGGCAGGCAACAGATAGCAAACTGGGGGGTGTTTCATTTTGAACTTGGTCGCATTGTTCGGCGTACCTGCCGACAGCCTGCACTGCTGAGCTACATGGGCCTGTGCAATCTGTGGGCTGAAGGGATGGTGATCCCTGCTGTGCATGATGTGCACAACAGATGCTGAGGCTATCAGGCTGTGAATTAGGAAATATCATAGTTGGGCTTCATTATCCTGGAGGAGTCTGTGGTAATCTTACTAGGAAGCCCATGTTTGAGCGTTCATGGATATCCTGGAGCGTTCAGCTGAGTAGCAAGGCTATGGTTGGGGTGATGAAGGTGTTTTGCAGCATATACGCGACCAGAATGGTTGGCAGATTAAACTTTCTGTGATGCAATGGGCCATGAGTTCTGATCTGCCCTACTGTCATTCAGAGGCCCACCTTCTAGGACAAGCTGCAATCCCCAACCTTGTATGGAACTGGCTCCCACACATATGTAGCTTAGAAGTTAGAGAACTGCCGTGGACAGCTGTGGGTACTGTCAAGATTGTCATGAGATGTCATTGCAGATTTTGCAGCAAAGAAGGCGGCAATATGCCGCAGAGTGTGCCTGGATATGAGAATCTTTGCTTGCTGCAAACCTGGAGTGTGTAGGAAAACGACTGAAGTACGAAGTATGCCTCTTTTTTCATGCTCGCTGGACTTGTTCAGGTCCTAGCAATAACCCTGTCTTGTGTCAGAGGTAGCAGGCTTCTCGGATGAGAGCCATCAGGCAGGTCAAGGTCTACGTGGTGCTCTGTTCTTGTACATAGGATAGCTGTCCGGAAAGAGCTTTCCAATCCCAAAGCAGCCTTATGAGCAGATCCTTCATATCATGTCTGTGTGCTGCCTGTAATTAACGCAGTATATCGGATATACTGCACTCTGCAATTGAGCATCGCCATACCCTGATTGGCGACTCAACAACTATTTTTCTTGGTTGCTATACCTGGCGCTGCAGCTTGTCTGCAGGACGTACCTTGCTTTTTGGCAGGAAAAGCGTGTACTAATAATAATTATAATAATAATAATACCTGGCGCTACAGATTCATCAAAAGCTGACCCTGGATCTTGAACCCAGTTAGCTCTGCAGCTGCATCCCTTGCATGTCAATTTCCTCTCACAAGTTTCAGAACGGGACAGGTGTCAGCACAAAGAGACATGCCGTGCATTCAGGGAGCCTGATTAGGGCACTGCAATCATGGACTGCCAAGAGATGAAGTCAGCATTCCCAGCTCAGCTGGAGCACAACAGATCTGTCCTGCAGGAGCCTCGAAGGCAGGAGCGACACGGCGCTTGTGCTGTCTTGCAGTGACAGCGGTGCTTGAGTCGACGATGAGGTTCAGGATGAGGGCGTTCGGAACGGCGCTGCTGGCTGCTTTTGTGCTCGGTGCTGTGGCCGGTCAGAACACCGTCGACCTCAGCGCTTGCGACCCCGACGGCCCTCGAGTTGCCTGTGGTAAGCATCAAGATATCGGCGTTGCAGACTTCCAAGCAGAGCAGCAGTGTTGACAAGCAAAGGTGCTTTTTCAGGAACCCTAGACTTGCCGCTCTTTCACGTCGCCTCTGCTACCTGTGATTGATCGCTGTGTGTCTGTGCAGGCTGGAATGGCATTGAAGAGGGTACCTGCCGAGGCATGCACTGCTGCTACTCACCCGGACCCGACAACATCGGAGGCATCACGTACGGCTTGCCGACCTGCTACAAAGCGAACGGTGGAGAGTCCAACTACAGAGTGGCAGGTGGCAGCCTGCAGACAGGAGGTACGCTTCATCCTTCCGCTGAATTTCTCAGAAAACGGATCTTTTGCTTGTCAGGTGCATCACCATGTCTCTCAGATAGCTGGTGTCAGCTCGGGCCAGACCCCTGTGTGCTGGTCCCATTGAATTTCGTGTCATGAAAATATGGGCTGTCGAGACCCCTGTGGCACAGCTGAGTGAGCTCTGTGTGACGGAATGAGATCCTATGCTTGCATGTGTGCAACTCATTGGCCTGAGCGCTGGTGTGGTCTTGGTGCAGATGGCCCAATCATCGCCAAGGGGAACCTGGTGCTGCCATCAAACGGCACTATGCCCTTCCTTGGCGCCGACATCAGCCCGCTCGATTTGCAAATGGAGAGGGTGGACACAGGCATCCTGCGAGTGAAGATCGGTGCTCCAGGGCGCTGGGAGCTGCCACAGGACAAAATGTTCATCAACACCGTCAAAGGTACAAGTCCCTCAAAGGTACAAGTTGCATGTCTACATCATTTATATTGCTTCTGGTGGTCCACAATTGAGCTGCATGGAATAGACTGGAAGGCATGCATGACAGCAGAAGATATATTGCCCAGCATTCATCTGCCATCCATTAAGGGGATGCATGTCATGGTTTTCTGGCATGTCAGGTCTTGCAAGTGGCCTTGCACTTGCTGCATGATTGAAGCCTAACTAGTAGTTGTATGATTTTGTGACTAGGCAACACTGGGGGTTCTCCACTGCTTGAGCTGAAGTACAGCGCATCTCCCTTTGGCTTTGCCGTTGTCCGCGCCGGTGGCAAGAAGGATGTACCCCTGTTCAACACAGCAGGCTCCCGTCTCGTGTTCAAGGTTTGAGCGCCTGCCTTGTATCCGGCATGCAGTGTGAGAATGTGCTATCCCTGCGCATTTGCTGCAAACTGCGACTAGGTGATGCATGCATTATAAACGTGCAAGGCATCTCTGGGATACAATGCCCTCATCTTTGACTGTATGTTTCAGGACCAGTACATTGAAATTACTAGTGGCATCCCAGCGAACGCAGTGCTGTATGGCCTCGGTGAAAGTGCTCCCAGCACGGGCCTTGCCCTGCGGCGGGATGGGATCCCCTACACACTGTGGACGCGCGATCAGGCGCCTGAAGTGCCAGATGTCAACAACTACGGTGCCCATCCCTTCATCATGGATTTCCGTCCAGGTATGGGAATCTCCAGAAATTCTCAACCATACCAGTGCAGCTGATGCGCATGCATGTCCCATGACAAGCCAGGTTCCTCCTGTATCTAGAGCCATTGGCTTGTCTTTAGCACTTAAAGACAGAATTTGTTTTCTGGCAAGACATGCATGCATTCATGAACCCAAAATGTGTGCTACATGCAGGCGGTGCCACTCATGGCGTGCTACTCATGAACAGCAACGGCATCGATGTGACGCTGACACCCAAAAAGATGCAATTCCGTGCCACTGGCGGCATCCTGGATCTGTACTTCCTGGCTGGTCCCACCCCAATGGGCGTGATGAATCAGCTGACCAGCATCATAGGCCGCCCCCACATGCCCCCATACTGGAGCCTGGGGCTCATGCACAGCAAGTGGGTATCCTGTTTGATTTTATATCTGCATGCATCCAAGTTCTGTGCATCCCAGTGCCTCTCTTAGAAGCGAGCAATGCCAGCTTGGGCTTATAGCTCATGACCATGAACATGCAAGGGAGCCTCCCTGTCAGTCTAACCTTGCAGATATGTTATCAGTTGATTGTAGAGCCAAAAGAATACAACAGGATGTTGTTAAAGATATTTTGGCATGTGCAGGGTTGGCTACATGACTGTAGAGTACTGTGATCAAGTGGTGACCAACTACTCGCGAGCACAGATACCCCTGGAGACTTTCATCACGGACAACCAATACGCCGATGCCTACATGGACTTCACCTTCAGCGACGGCTACCCCCAGAAGGCATTCCGGGCTTTTGTGGACAAGCTGCATGCCAAGGGGCAGCGATGGGTAACGCACATGCATGCATGATCTTCGCTGAAGAGATTCCGTTTTTTTTTTTATATTTGCCTGCTGCCAGGAATCATGCTGAAGTTTCTGCTTGATTGCAGGCACCTATCATCAACCCTCAAATCCACATCCAGCCTGGATACGCGGCCTATGAGTCCGGCATTGCTGATAACGTTTTCATCAAGGATATCTCTGGCAAACCTTTCACTGGCCAGGTGTGCCACACATCTGTGTGCACCTTCAGCATTCCTCTTGCCAATGCTTCAATGCCCTTTCCTCAGCACCTGGTTAGAAGTTGATGGTTGCCAACTTGCAGCTCTGGGCTGGCGCGGTGCATTACCCAGACTACTGGGCAAACGTTACGCAGCGCTGGTGGGCTAAAGAGCTGGCAGACTATCACCAGAAAATGCCATTCGATGGTCTCTGGATTGACATGAATGAAGCCAGCAACTTCTGCACTGGGGATGTTTGCTATGACAATGGTAAGGTCCACCTGTCGTCTATCTGAATTCGGTCCAATGCTACTTTCTTGCTGACAAGTCCAGTCTTGTTGAATGCAGATTCTGGGGCTCTCACCTTTTCGATGCCTGCTGCAGGCAAGGCAGGGCCCAATACTGACTTCCAATGCAGAATTGACTGCCACAGAGGCCCGGCTGCTGCCAATGGTGCCCCAAATGTGCCCCCTGCTGGAATCTTCGATCCTCCATACACCATCAACAACAACAACACCCAAGTGAATATCACTGTCAAGGTAAGAATAGTTTTTGATTTCACATGCAAGGGTCTAAAATAGGTTTTGAGCATGTGCTGTTTTCCTTTAGACTATTTTTAAGACCGTCAATGTGAACCCAGATGCTATTATCAGTATACTTACAGCTTGTTCCATGCATGCATTGCAGACCATCTCACCAGCAGCGCGCTATCTGGATGGAGAATTGGAATATAACAGGCACAACTTGTACGGCCTTTCCACAGTGATTTCCACCAGAAGTATTCTGAACAGCCTGATCCCCAAGAGATCCTTCCTTCTCACCAGGTCAGTTGTCAGCAATTGTCCCCATTTTTTAAAGGCCCTCCCTTGCATGCCCCTTCCCCACCTACACGAGTTCTTTCAACTCTACGTTCTGATGATGGCAGACATATATCCCGTATAACAAGACTTTGTCTCAAAATTGCTCACAGGTCCACCTTCCTTGGGTCAGGAGCGTATTCCGCGCACTGGACAGGCGACACAGCCAGCACTTGGGCTGATCTGCGCCGAAGCATTGCTGTAACCTTCTTTCTCTGCTCCATACTGCATGTTGTCTACTTCCACTCCAAACTGAGAAGTAAAGCGCAAGTCTGGTAAGCTTATAGGGTTTTGGTGTCCTGCACAGAACATGCTGGCGAACGGCCTGGCTGGCAATGCTTTCATCGGCGCTGACATCTGCGGCTTCCAGCATGTGGCAACCGAGGAGTTGTGCAGCCGCTGGGCGGCTGCAGGAGCCTGGCAGCCATTCTCGCGCAACCACCACTCCACCGGCTTCCAGGAATTCTACCTGTAAGTTCTCTGATGCAGCTCTTTACAAATTCAATCAACATTTTCTCAAAAAGTCTGCCCAGCGCTGCCTGCATGCAGATGATCACATACAGTGAGGTGCTATTGAATGTCAAGGCCAAGGTGACATGCAGTGTACTAAAATGTGCAAGTTGTCTCTCGCAGGCGGCCGACCATCCGGAGCCTGGCACAGAAGGTCTTCCCCTGGCGGCTGCGAGTGCTGCCCTACCACTACAGCACCTTCTACGACGCGCACACCTTCGGCTGCAGCATCATGCGCCCTCTCTTCTTCAGCTTCCCCAAAGACAACACGACCGCCCTCATCCACCAGCAGTGGATGGTGGGTGATGCTATCATGGTGGCACCCATCCTGCAGGAGGGCGTCGTCAGCACCTCCGCATACCTGCCGCCCGGGGTCTGGTATGACCTGTACAACCACACCGCCATCGATGCCAGCGCAGGGGGCCTCAACACCACTGCCCAGGTGAGGCTTTTTTACTCATTTGCCTTGCATGGCATTGGTTCATCTACGTAAAGTTAGACATTTCAGTCATTAATATGCAGAGCGCGATTGCAAAGGTGCACTGTCCTGTTGACTCTGCCACATCACCCCTGCAGTGCACTTCCTTCTGCAGAATGCCACTGGAGGACACCCTCCTTCAAAGCAGAGAGTATTTGGACATGACAATACTTTCTAACAGCATACTTGACTTGACATGCAGGCGGGATTGGCGGACAACCCACCCGTGTTTGTACTGGGAGGGAACATCGTGCCGCTAGGGCCTCCAGGAACCAACACGACAACTGCACTGCGGGCGGGCAACCTGACGCTGCTTGTGGCCTTCCCCAGTGCTGACTCACCGCCGTTTGAGCGCTGCGGCGGGGGCTGCGGGTCCCAGAACGGCGTCGGCAATCGCGTCACCTGCGGCCACATGTACCTGGACCAGGGTAAGTTGCCACTTCCAGATGCCTCTGCTGTAGATGCCCGATTACATGCCTGTCTCCATGCACCGCTCTCAGTGGCAGCTCTGCATGCCACAGAAGTACGGCATGATGCTGTCCTGATCTTTGGCTGAATTGGTGTCATCTGTTAGTCACATGTACAGTGATTCAAGTCTCAATCCAGGCCTTCGAAAGTTGTGCCAGTAGCTTTGGCTGATACAGAAGATGTCACACAACATCTCATGCGCAGGTGATGAGCTGAACGTTGGCACAGCTCAAAACAACTACGTGGCCTATGAGGCTCGCGAGGTCAGCCAGACTGGCGGCGCAACCCAGGGCACCTTTGTCGTGTACTGGCCGGCCCCCCCAGGCACTGAGGGCGTGGCGGGATGCAGCGCAAACGTCACCTGGCCGATACTGGACATGGTCAACATCCTGGGAGTGGGCCCTGTGGACCTGTCGTCTGTCACGGTCATGGTGCGACTTCCGAGCTGTGATAAATACAGAGCACTGCGCACTCTTGCACACTTGAATATTCTGAGGCTGGCCAGTCCTCCTTGCGCAGCAACAAAGAAAGCTGTTCTACCTGCAGCCTATTGAACTGAATCAGCAGCAAAGCTATGTGAAACAGAATCATATGATTACAAATGATAGATTTGTTGGCGACCAATGATCTCAGCATCAAATGTGTTGTATGACTGCAGGACATTGGTGCCCAGACAAGCCCGTCCAGCGCTTTTGAGACCCCTGGCAGCGCTGTGGTGTCATCGCAGTCTCTCACCAGCACACCCATCCAGGCCGCACCTGTCAGGCCCCAGTTGAAGGTCATGTACAATCCCATGACCAAGGAGCTCAACATCTCCTCCCTGGGATACCAGCTGCGCTGCCCGAACGGCCTCAAGATCACCTGGTTGCCGCAGTCTGCCGAAGGCACAACAGCCCAGGTGCTGTAATGCCAGTCTTTGTTTTGTCGTTGATATCTGTAGAAGCTCATATGCCCCTGTTCTGCATAACAAGACACAAAATTCAAGCGTGTCCGCCAATGCTGAAATGAATATTTTTTAAGTACAGCCAATTTGTCGTGCAGATGCCAACGACAGAGCCTGCAGCTTTCTCGGCACAGTCTGCAAACAACTCGCACAGTGCCATAGTGGCGACGCCGATCAGCTCCATGCTTGCTGCCAGCCCTCCATTCCCAGCCACCGTGGTCTTCCCTGACATCCCCCAACAGCAGGTAGGAGAATATGTTACACTATGGCAGTAATTAAGATTATCCGTAGGGTTTGCTGGGTGTCTGTGTTCTATCATGCAAATCGGCGTCCCGTCGGACGGGTTTGGCGTTCCGTCGGATCTAGTACATTCCATCTCTTGAGTGTTGCATGGTCATGCTGTAAGTCTGCTGACGATTATGGGATGATTGCAGCCGGCATCACCGATCGACGACACTGTGAAGTCTCCCATGGGACTGCCGTTTGCCTGGCCGCCGCAGTTTGCTCCTGGAGATGTGTCTGCCGCCGGCCCCGCCCCTGCCCCGGCTCCCTCAGGGATGGTGTCAGCGCTCTCACGGCAGGCCCCGCCAGCTGCAGGCGGATAGGCTCGATGCAGAACAGCTGAAAGCATCGTGGTATCGATTGTGATAGGAGAGCAGCAACCCTGGCAGGGATCAATAGCCTTTTGAGTGCTCAAGCAATGGCGCAAAGGATGCAGGGCAGCTCATCGCCAAAATGTTCTATGCAATAAGCTCAAATGCAAATGAAGTGACGAGTTCTTACATTCCCCTTTTTTGGGATTTTGTTGGGAGCTTCTCCTTCCTGGGCTGGAGCATCCGCTGACACAAGTTGGTGATGTTTCCAGCCAGGATGGTGGGTGTAGGATGCTCCAAAGCCAACGCAACCATCGCTTGCTCTCATTGATTGATCTCTTAGCAGTGCTGTCTGAATGAAGTACCTGCCCTGCTGATTTCTCAGAAGGATGTTGCTTGGCAGGCAGGCTCTACATCGCCCTGTCTGGGCCTGCTCTGTTAGTTCACTTTGATGCTCTCTCATTGCCTTTCGAGGTGCCCGGATGGGCCATGTCTCCTGCAGGAATATGTGTGTATTTTTTGAAATGACACCTTGCGAATGATTGTCGTGTGAATGGATATGTGAAACCGAATGCTTGTCTCTTGAAGTCTGAACAGTGACGAGGTGATCACTGTGATGCGAGTAGCGCTGCGCTCGGCGCGTGTGTGCTGCTTCACATAAGTGCTGCGCCTGTGGAAAACTGCTGAAGGTATTTGAAAGTTCAAAGGAAGTCTGTATTGTTCCTGACAAGATCCTGAAGGAAAACTATAATGCAAAAGGCGTGTACAGGCTTTCATGCATGCTATGCAGCAATTGAACACGGCTTGAGCGGTGGCTGCTTAAGCTGTGAAGCTCGCATGGCTGGTATGACTGGGGAGATCCTATCAGAGGATTGCCAAAACCATGTGAAATTTGCTGCCAGGAGGCAGCAACTTGTGGGATGCCACTGCCTGGCAGTGGCAGAATGGAATCAACTTTAGCCGAGCTAGACTCGAGTGGTCATGTAATCCACTACTGGGTATGTTTCTGTTGGCATGCTTTGCCTCTTTGGGAGTGACGTACCTAAGAGCAGAGAGATGCAAAAATACAATTGTGAAAATTTGAAGATGAAGTGAAGCTTCTCAGCATATTGAAGCTACAATGTGACGCCGCCTGTCGCCGCACAGGTTTCGAAAGCTGCTTCCGTTCTTGTCAAGTGCATGCGACTTGATCTTCCTGAGACATTTCTGTGTTTGTTGAGTGTTGCTTTGCTCTAAGGTTTGACCAGGACTTGCGAGCAACCAATTGATACGGAATTTCAAAAGGAGTTCAACGAAGATGCCGCCTCTTAGCTCTGAGCAGCTGAAGCATCTCAGCACTGGTTTACTAGAAAATCCTTCTTCGAATATGAACAATATAGTGCCGCTGATGAAAGCTCTCGACCCCAGACAGCCCAAGGTTAGCTATCGGTCACATCCCTCTGCTTCCTAATTGTAAATTTAAGCAGCCGAATCACGATCAAGAGTGATTGGTGGTGATGCAGGAGTCCTCAATATCAGCAGTGAGGGGCATGAAAGTATTCTTTTCGGATGCTTGTGAGAAAGGGGATCTTGGAGCTTCTTCTGCTGTTGTCGATCAGGTCAGGATCAACTTGCGCAAACGCATTCGAAGAGCTTCCAATGTCCTCAAGAAGTAGTGTATCGGAAGGCTGCGTCGTCACCATTATTTGTTTTCCTGTTAGCCGTATCTAACTGTCTGTTTGGCTGTCTTTGACAGGCTGGGGAGTTGAAGGATCCCCACAACTCTTACCTTAAGTGGCTATCTCGCCAGTACACAGCATTCATCCCTAAACTTATCAAGCTTATTGAGGACGGAGCCCAGCCTGAAGTCCAGGTTTGCGCCTACACTGGGAATGAATTATCTGCTTATCTGGCGAGTTGGCACGAAGTGCGCCCAATTGCAGAGTCATGACACATGCTCAGATTCGTTGTGCCGTCCCAGGTCGCAGCTGTTGCGGCCTTGATGGAAGGCGTGAGGGGCTATGCAGACTCCGGAAAGTTCAATATAGCCCTCTATGGCAGAGTAGTTGAGGCGCTTCTGGGCACCAATGCCTCGGCAGATGCACTGAGCTACCTGATCACGGCTTTCCTACCCTACTCGGATGTCAGGTGGATCCATGCAACCAACAACAGCTGATCATGGATGGCACAGATCTCAAGACTTCACAACAGCTCAGTGGTGGCAGTGTGAGTTCTGAGATCCCTGTGACAATGCTTTGTAGGTTCTACACCCTCAGGTCAGTGGCAAAGCTTGCGGAGGACAGCGCGAGTGGGATGGCAACCACAATGGAAGACACTGAGGATGGAGAGACTGCCTTGGCACAGCGCTTGCTGTTGGGGAACATTGCAGGGCCTTCTCACAAGGTATATCTCTGTGCCTAAACACCGCTATTCGGAGTCCACTTGCTTTCACGGAAGCAATAATTTGGGATTTGCATGCAGTTGACTAAGCATTGGAAATTGCACTCCAGGTGGCTGCACTGGATTTGGCTCGCTCTGCATATGATGTGCTGGCCAACATCCATCCAGGGGCTGAGGTAGATGCACAGCACTCCTGGTCCGGAGCAGATGCAGCAGCTGCCAAGGGGCAGTCAGAGAATGCGCAGAAGCGGCGCAAGCGCAAACGGCTGGAGGTGATGCCACCTTGCACTTTCCAGGATCTTGATCTCTTTGTTGATCATGTGCAGCAGGAATGCAAGAATGCAGTGTGTGTGCGCCCATGGTGCATGGTTGCTTGCTGCTTGCACAAGTCAAAGATGAGGGAGATGGAAGAGTGGAATGTTTTGGAAGCAAGAGATGAAAACTGACCGTTGTCAAAGTTTTGTGGGCCTGTCAGGGCGAGGAGGGAACGGTGAATGGAGGCAATGGCGCCAAGCCTGTGAAGTGGGCCAGCCACGTTCTGCAGAGGCGTGCCTGGTCCAAGGCCTGGCTGGCGCTGCTGCGCCTCCCTCTGCCACAAGACATCCTGAAGAAGGCAAGAATTCTCTTTTTCCAGGATGCCATGTGTCTCGGTAGGGTCGTTGGCATCTGTCTCCAGAGAGCACCTGCAGTACTCTGCGAGCGAGATCTAGGCCTTTGGAAGCCATGCGGCTGACCCAGTGAGCAAAATGTTCCATTGAATGCCAATAAGCTTGTTTCTGTACATGCTGTCGGAGAATAGCCCCAAAAGGTCTGTCACTTCGGGACTGACATAAGCAGGATGCCTGGATGGGCCTGCGATCAGCAGATATCCAAGAAATGCTGAGTTCCAAAGTGCTGTGCAGGTGCTGGTGAAGATGCATGGCGACATCATGCCCCACCTGACCAACCCGCACCTTCTGACTGACTTCCTGAGCGCCACGCTGGACATTGGTGGCCTGCACGGCATCCTGGCGCTGCACGGCATCTTCACTCTGGTTACTAAGCATGGCCTGGAGTACCCCAATTTCTACCGCCGCCTGTACAACCTGCTCACGCCTGCGGCCCTCATGGTACGTTCACACCAATTTGACCACCACTGCTGCTGTGCCAAGGCTGTTTAGAGCTCCTGATAGAGGAAATTTGGATAGGGTGACAGCCCGCTAAGCATGTGACGGGGCACTTTTGCAGCCTGTAACTCCTACTGTGGAATGCCCATTTTGAGGATGTTCCAAAAAAAAACTGTTACATCAAATTGTCTGGAAAGCTTATTGTATCAGAGTGCTGCACATGCAGGATTCAGAAAACAGCCTCCCAGCGCAGGACAGCACCTTTTGCCATTTGGGACCTACTATGTGAGATAGTCTCAAGGGAACACCCGAGACAGTGACAGGGGGTGTGCTGCTACAGGCAAAGCAGCGTGTGCGGTTCTTCCAGCTCGCAGACGTGTTCCTGTCCTCGGGCATGGTGCCCGCCTACACTGCTGCCGCCTTCGCCAAGCGCTTTGCCAGGCTGGCGCTGATGTCATCGCCAGCAGGTTTGCCCCTCAAACCAGCTGCCCCAATTGCAAATCCATCACAGGTTTTGACGCATGCACCCCTGGAGATGCTATCTTTTACTACTGTGTTCATGGGTTTTCCCCTTGCACCTTTTAGAGGAGGCTCATCTGCAGCGGCTGAATTGCTCAATCAGGGATGTGCAGTGTCTGAATTGCTCAATCAGGAATAATGTGCATATCCGCAGGCGCCATGATCGCCATCGCGTTTGTGCACAACCTGCTCCGGAGGCATCCCTCCTGCAACGTTCTGCTGCACAAGCCTCAGTCGCCTGCTGCCGCGCCAGCCGCAACATCCGCTGCTCAGGCTGCCTCTGGCGCTGCAGCCAGTGTCAATGGGACAGCAGAAGCAATTTCACAGAACGGGCATGCTAATGGTGGATTTGAGTCAGCTCCAAACGGTCAGCCCGACGCAAGCGTGCAGCGCGTGAGCAGTGCACTTGAGCGGGAGTCAGGGCAGGACCCCTATGAATTTGGGGAGGAGGACCCAGCAGAGAGCAGAGCGATAGAGAGCTCTCTGTGGGAACTGGACAGCCTGCGCAACCACTACTGCCCCCAGGTGCGAATGTGCACATGGGATCTGCTGCTGTTGACGCGCGTGCATATCCTCAATTAGTCAGCAAAGCAAGCCAATGGACCTGCATGTTGTCTTTACTGAGCGCTGGACACCAAGCGTGGCAGTTTTGTTTACTTTATCCAGGGCATCTCCTATCGCGCTTTTTCTGTTCCGTATTTGGCAGCCAGACCTATGCTTTGCAAAAGGCTGCTCCATTTGTTTGAATTGCCATGTTGCTGCTCCAGGTAGCTGCTTTTGCAGCAGTGCTGGACAAGGATTTGACTGACAGAAGGAAGACCGCTGAGGTGGACCTGGGGCCGCTGCTGACAGGATCTTACTCATCCCTTGTCAACACTGAGCTGGCTCGCCGGCTGAAGCAGGTTCCTGTCGCTTTCTACCCCGCCAAGCTGACTGGCCTCATTGACGTGGCGAAGTGTGGGGCTGATTTCGTTGGTTGGGCTCTCTAAAGCTTGGTCATCGACTGTGTCATGGGTACATCACTGTTATAGAATGGGTCCAAGTCTAGGCCAAGTCTGCCACAACGGTTGTCAACATGGTTAGGGGGCAACTCTTTAGATCTGCATGTAAAGCAGACTGCAAGTCACATGTACTTGTGTGGGCAAAACATGCACCCTTTCAGCGCGTATACGTATCACTGTTCTTCTGGCAGAGAATTTGGGAAGTATGGAACCAGTGCGACCTTGGGGGTATGCATGTTGGGGGCTGCATGGTACAGGATATTGGGCGTTACATGGGCATGCATGATTCACGTGGGCTAGTACTCATGAGTACTTGATCAAGGCAGTATGAGCGCCAGGTCATGACCTGGCCCTTACCGTTAGGTGATCACCTAACGGTAAGGAGAGGCCTCTCCCCAGGGGGTTGCCTTGCGCAATACTACTGATTGAGAGCCTAAATACATCATTGGTTCTTGGGAAGGTTTTGGGAAGGCGAGAACAACGTTTCTACTTGTCATTTACCACACAAGCACCTCTGACTCGGATCTGGTGAGAATGAACAGCCCCACCCTCATCTCCCCGTGCACCCCATGGAGCAAGGGAGATGTATGCATGAGGACCATTACAAAAATTGGTTCAGAGCGCGAAACTGGATCGATCAAAGTGACAAAGTTGCTCCCTGCTCGATCTGTCACCCAGCAAGCTCTGCGAATTTAAAAGTAGCTGTCGCCAGTGGATACTCCTTTCAATCGTGGGGCTGGACGGTTCTCCTGGGCGTCAAAGGCACACCTCAGCATCAGCAAACATCCCGCGCAGGTTGTCCAGCGTGCAGTGGGAGAATATCGCGTAAGCAACTCGTGGATCTCAAATCCCTGTATGTGCCGCTTTCTGCTTCTTATCAGCTCTGAACGGTGAAGAACAACCTCGAGGCGGCCTCCTTATCTTCGAAAGTGGCCGGCTAGCCGGCCGAGCACAAGCATCGACCTCTGCAAGAGCTGTTGCCAGCAGTTGCTCCGTACCCTGATTGTCCTGCGGATGACAACAGCTGCAGTCTTAAGCATATAGGTTCTTTTGAAAGGACCTTGGGCTCTCTGCATGTTCCCAACAAGTGGGCTCCTGTGGTCCTTGCTAAACCGTACAACAAGATGTTGATGACGGACCCTGACCTTTAAAAACGCGGGTACTACCCAAGACGTGCCATCCGACTCTCTCAAATGCCTTCTATACAGCGAAATGTTCTGCAGAATTGGATTGCTGCAGGATGAAGGGGCTCCATCCAAAGATTTGGATGTTACATTGGCTTCACATGGGTGCTGTGGATCCACTTAACAACATCATAACTGGAACGCCAGCCCACATGAAGGCCTAATGTCTGGATATTTGTGACAGGTGGTGCCTTGGTGTAGCAATCAAGGAGAAAAGCTGCTGAGGAGCGGCATGAGGAGGCTCAGCAACTTCAGTCTGCTGCTTGCAGTTGCCGTAATCACCTTGCAAGGTGATCCCATCATCCACCCTGGCCCCAACCTTGACTGCGCTGCAACACTTGTGAGACATGCGTCATTGATGCGCACCTCATTTTGACGCATGTTAACGGCTGTAAAGAGGTCCTCTGTCTGTGATTGACAGTGGCGGTGACCTGCGGTAGCTCTGTGGCAAAGGTCTTGACTGCACAATGACATAGAACGCAACAATGCAGGATGTCACAGGGTGGAGGGAAGCTTTCAGATGGACATCCCCGGTACAGTCTCAGATCAGGCAGCTGCTCCCAGTGCGGCCGCTGGAGCAGACCTGGCAGCAGCCCCCGGTCTGGTTGCAGGGCACCTGCTCGCAGACAACGGTGAGCAGCTGCCCGGATACCCTGCAGACCCACAGGCAGCTGCAGCTCCCGGTCAGGTGGCGGCAGCTCCGGCTGGTGCGCAGGGAGATGCAAAAGCAGATCTGCTGTTTGTCCAGCAGGCCACAATGGCGCAGCTGGTGTTCGATGACCCCGACACTGCCACCGATCATGCCCGCCTTCTGCTGCACGGAGTGTCGCCTTCAACAACATGGTGGGATTCTGCTGCCCTCTCTTGGGGGACGTGAACCTCACATCATGCCTGAAGAAAGCTGACCTTGACAAGCGAGGATGTAGGTTCCTCTGAAATGGGCTAGGATTCAAACCTGCACATCATATCAGTACCAGTATCAATTGGACCAATTGAGGGGAATGTCGGGAGATGTGCATGCGAGCCATTCAGAGGCATCATGACTCCTGGTATAACGCACACGAGTGCATCCTATACCCTGATTATGAGATCCGGGATCGCTCTGCAGGTTTACAGACAAGCCCATCCGGCGCGCGGGTGCATTTGAGACGGCCTACTTTGCATCCAGCGACACTTTTGATGAGAATGGCATCTGGCTGGGGGCGCCCAACGCTGCCCTCACGGGCACCCACGATGGGCAGCCCTATGTTGTCATTGTCACCCTCTACAACCCAACCTATGACAACCAGACACACATACTCCAGTACCACGTGCGTACACCGCCCCTTAAATTTCTGCTGCACTGGTTTCAGTTGATGCTACCTTGGCACCCGCTGTTCGTTGGAAGGCAAGGGCTCAGTGGGTCCGCAATGACCTGTAGTATTTTCAAACTCTTAAGTAAGGACTGCCACATATATAATAGTTTGCCGCCAATCCATGTGGATGCCTTGACTTACACAGTCATGTGTGCAGGCAAGCTTGATGATTAATGAGACGGAGAAGAACATGCGCTTGGCTGGAGGCGCAGTGTCTTTCCAGGCAAATCATGCCGTTGATGAGCTTGGCGCGCTGCGCTATGTCTCCTCAGGTCAGTCTGCCCATCTGCACATGCTCACACACAAGAAGTTCAACATGCAGAATCACCTGTTCTGATATTCACATGTTGATGCGCTAAAGTGCACATTGCCAGATTGGACATGGCTGCTCTGATGAGATATGGAGGTAAAGAAACCTGAGCAACAGGTTGGACACGGATCAGCTGTGCTGAGGTTGAGAGTGATTTTGAAGTCGAGTGTGCCTGTGCTGCAGGGCAGGATGCATTCACGCTGCACAATGCGGCCCTGTTTATTGACGACTACCTGGGTGCCTACCCCAACGGCATCTGCCTGTCCTCCTTCGTGAGCTGCCCGTCCTACTATGGCTTCTACCGACGAGGCTGGTGCGCAGTTTATGCGCTCCCAGCTTGCCTCCCATAACCCACCAATAATTTGTCGAGGTCTTTCAAGCACTGGTTTCGGCAACTTGATTGGTCTCTTGGTGCTGAGTAGCTTCCTTTTGTGGGTTTGTGTGTAATATTGTACCCTTAATTTTCCCTATTTGAGGGCAAGCCTACACTTATATAATTCTGTGCATGCTGTCAGTATCACCTGGTAGGGTTTGTTGGATGGTGCACGCAACAGCGGCCTGTTGATGTCATTGCAGGTGGGGCGGCGGTTACGGGCCGGGGTTCAGCAACTACATCGGCATCCGGCGGCTGTGCCCCAAGTGCTGGGAGAAGCGGCGCGCAGACGACAGCGACGATGAAGTGCCGCCGCCACCTCAGCAGACACCTTCCCCCTCCCCTCCGCCCTCCAAGGTGCCCCTGTCGCCGTCTTTGCTGCCCATAAATCTACTTCAAACATCTGCCTTGATAACCTGCACTCATCCCCACAAGAAGTATAGCCGGGAGGGCCAACATAATCTTCACAGATCAGAGATGTCTTCTGTGAATGGCATTCAGCAAGGACATCTTCCGTGTACTCACCTCTCTCGGTTTCCAGTCTTTTCTGGATGCAGGGAGCAAGTCCCTTTCCTGGCTTGGCCTGGCCTGATTTTCCTTCCATGCCAGCTATCGTGAGAGGGCTATTGTACAGAGCCGTTAGCAGGCTTCCCATGGCTTTTCGCAGGACTGGGACAAGCAGAACGACTGGAAGAAGGACAATAACAAGTGGAGCCCCTCGCCCAAGCAGGAGTGGAAATCGGATCAGAGCTGGAGCCCCAGCCCCAACTGGAGCCCCAGCCCCAGTTGGAGCCCTTCGCCCAAGCAGGATTGGAGTCCCAGCCCAGCCTGGAGTCCGTCACCAAAACAGGACTGGAGCCCTTCACCGCAGCAGCAGTGGAGCCCCAGCCCAAGTGCGCGCCCGTAGCACCTGTTATGCACCAAACAAAATGCAGGCTGCAGATATGCACATCTGATCTGGAAAAGTGATGCCTCAGAATCAAGCCTAAGTGTTGTCCTGAACAGTGGCTCGACGGCAATGGGTGTTGCGTGCTCACTGGGTGGCCTGTCCTTGCGCTGCACAGGCCCAGACCACAGCCCATCGCCGCAGCAGCAGTGGAGTCCCTCGCCTTCCCCAGCCCAGAGCCAGTCCAGCCCCAGCCCGCCTCCGAGGTGATAACATCCTGTAGTACTTGGCTATTGGCTTTCTGTAGTTCAGGACACTTGAATATATATATATATATATATATATATATATATGTATGCGATTTTGAGGCAACATTAAACAGCAGTGACTCTTGTAGAGGTTGCAAAGGTCTAGACATGATATGGGAACCATGTCGTGTGTTTGCAATTTGTAGCTTTTATTGAGAGATGAATGGGCCAGAGATTCCTCTGAAGCGCTGACATGTGTGTGCAATTGCTGCTGCTGCAGCACGGGGGGCGCCTATCACTGCACGGGATGCTCACAGGGCGACGGCAAGTTCTTCTGTCAGAAGTGCGAATACTGGTAGGCGCGGGTTGAGGCATGTGCCAAGTGATTCATGCCTCTCAATTTTGCTGGGATTTGATCTGAAGAATACTCAAGCTTGTATCAAGATGTCTCGTTGAACGCATTAAGAAGACACCGCTGATGTTGCAGAGAGCTTGTAGATATGACGCAACGCCAGTCAAAGGCATTGACATATAATTTGCAGGTGTGAGGGCCTGTGTATTGATCCATACTTTGCTCTGACATTGCTGACTGCCTGTGACCATCATTCAAGATACTAAGAACCGCAGATCGTGTCCTTCTTATCTGGCAGCTGTGTTGCAAGTGAAAGTCAAAGTGGCATTTGGCCTGTACTTGCATGCACCATATGCATCCTACCCGGTATTGCAGCTGGCGCAATTTGACCCCTGATGGCCCCAAGCAGCAATGAAGATTGCAACTTCCAGATTGCCTTGGGAGAATGGCACTGCTGGACGATCTTGGTGCCGTCATAATAAGGGAAAATATAATGACCAGTGATCACTGGCAGTGGAGTCAAAAAATGGTGCATGTAAACAATATTGCAAATGGTTGATCAGCCCGGCACATGACTTTTACTATTTCAGGTCGGCAAACCCAAAGCCAAAGGCCATAGGGCATACATGCAGTGCGTCTGCAGCCACTTCTGCAGGGCCTACAACATTCTGCAGCGTAGCTGGTGTTCTTGTGCTTCTCATCGCATCTCAAAGACCCAATTGGGATTGCGAGTTTAAACCCTCATGTTTCTGCACGGTGTCATGATGCATGCTTTCGCGGTATGCATAGATTCGAATCTGAGTTCAGGCCCTGCTGTAAAGTTGTATTTTGCCTCAGGGGTCGAGTACCTGAAAGTTCAAGAGAATTGCTAATGGGCGGCCTGTTCAGTGTGCTGGCAGCAAGGTGCCTCAGCAGATGGCATGCATGCAGAATCGGGGTTTTTGCTTATGAAACCCTTGGCCCTACAAGGGTGAGGGATGTGTCAGGCGGCCATCCAGTGACATCGAAGCTTCATCTGAACAGATCTCGAGGTGGGAATATATTTTGGCTTGGTGGAGGAGATCTCGCTGAAATACATCGCAAGGTCTTTTGCAGTATTGTAGCACGATTATCGAGTCCTTTGAGGTATTTGAAGAAGAGTTAGGCAGGTGAAAAGGAGAGCCACTAGGTCCATCGAGGAAGGACGAACTACAAGACAGGGAATATCGGGCCAAAAATACTGTTGTGACCTCTGCGGCTTTTCTAAGCAAGATCCGCAGAGGTCCGTGTCAGGACCAGCAGACCAAGCCATAGGAGGATCATGGCGAAAAGTAAGTACTGTGCACACTAATTTGAGAACTTGGCATCATGTAATTTCACGGCCAATTAATTCTATTTTATCAGAAGATGCGTGACGCTCATGCTTGGCTTCCCATGTTGTTAGCACCACGAGAACCTGACCGATGTTGCTGACATGGACAGCTCTATTTGCCCTTCAAATTTTGCTCTCAAGGTAGCCAGGGTCACGCATGTGCGCAGGATGTGACATTCAGCTTGAAATATGCGCTGACTTTGCAGAAAAGGGGGGGCGGCGCAGAGACAGGGATGACTCCAGCGATGAGAGAATAGATTCTGCCTCTTGCGCAAGCACATCCACGCTGGCAAGCCTGCGAGATCTGGAAAGCAATGTACTGCAGCTGACTGAGGAGGAGGATCCTTTCTACCGCTGCATAGATGCCCTGTATGAGAAAAGGTGCGCGCCAAGGCGGCTTGCTTGCAATCACTAGCTTTTCATCGATCATTCTTGCTGCTTTCCGGCATATAACTTGAATGCAGCGCGTGAGTTCTGTGTTCATGTCCAGAGCATCGACAAGGGAGAGGGGATTGGAAGCACTCATCGCTCTGCTGACTGCACAGTACAATCATGAGAGCGCTATTGATAGGTGCGAGGCCTCTCACCACTATCAGGGGTTAGGTGGAACACATGCATACTGCCAGATAGAAAAGTGATTTGAGGGACATATGATGAGACGTTACAGGTACTGCCAAGGTGGCTGTGGTTGGCATTCATTGTGGTGTGGTCCTCCACCTTGCTGCTCCTGCTTGTGGGGTGTTGAAGGGCTGCGCTTCATGCAAAGCACCACGTGACACTGTGCGGAAACGTTGCACTAAACTGCTGATGTCCTGCTTTAAGATACCACTTTGACTCCTGGATAAGCCATTTGTCGACTTTTGTATCAGGCGCTTGTAATTTTCAGACTCTCAGACTTACTATTAAAACGGTGTGCCTCTAAAATTTTCTAGCCCTCGTTAAGGACATACTTAAGCAGCAGACCTGACTGCTCTAGACGTTCACTGTGGGTTTGCACAGGGTAGTGCCTGGTGTGCAACTTGATCGCAATTTCCAGAGTACATGACAGGCTGCAATTGTGTGGTGCGCAGGCAAGGGACATTGAGCAGCCTGGCCATCAGGAGTGTGCGCTATGGCGGTCCAGTGGAGGCAGCACTGGCGGCAAGGGTTTTGGGCCTGCTGTCTCTGACACTGGGAGCTGGCGACGACAGTGAAAGGTGACGAGCGCAAATCAAGCTCTTTGTGGTTTTCCTGCCATGCTGGGGCCAGCTATATTATCTCAAGACAATGCAGCGCTATGACTTCACTGACCCTGATGGAGCAAATTGCTGCGCATGGTATCACAAAAGTATCTCGCCGAAAAAACCCCACTTCATAAGAGGGTATCTTTGTGCGTGTTCAGGCTGCTGGAGGAGGCACAACCTGTGTTGGAGAAGGCATCCACGGGGGGCAAGGGGGTTGCCTTGCGTGCCATGGCTGCAGAGGCGCTGGCCATGATGGCCTTTGTGGGCGTGGAAGACCCATCTGTCCTGGACGCAGTCATGGTGCACCTGGCTGGGCTTTGGAAGGGTGCGTAGGAATGCATGAATGAATACAGCTTCAGCAAGGCTTTCGAATGGGTTTGTCTGAAGAGGAATTGGCAAGAGAGCATTCCTGACTTGGTCCCATGGTGATGCCACGTCCGTGGCATGCATATCCATGTGCAGGCTTGACCCACTGAGTACCTTATCTGAATGAGTCTGACGCCAGAGACATTGCATCCTGGTGAGTGACAAAACTTGACGTGACATTGCATGTCTGACAGGGGCGGCGACAGGGGCGGCGACAGCCATAAGGGCGTGGGCGCTGCTGCTGAGCACGCTGCCGGCGTACCGTCTGACAGCGCCCTTTGTGGAGACCGCTCTGGCAGCTCTGGCCGAAAGGCTGTACAGCGAGGCGACTGAAGTCCGCGCGGCTGCCGGCGAGGCCATTGCCCTGCTCTACGACGCCGCAGGGCTGGGGGAGTTGGAGGGCGACTCGGGTGAGTTGCTGCTGACCCTCACTTGTTATATGATGCCTGGCTCGTGGTTCTTGCAACTGCTATCGATTTCAAGTGTAGGGCATGTTTGGATCAACTTTGTGCATGTGCAGGTGACGACTCGGGTGCAGAAACGCCATTGGCATCGGGCGCAAAGCGGTCACCAGGCATGGAAGAGGTGGTGGCGCGCATGAAGGACCTGGCGACAAACCGTGGTGACACGCTGCGCCGCTCGAAAAAGAGTCGCGCCTCTCTGCGGTCCACCTTCAGGGAGCTCTGCTCCTCTGTTGAGGTCAGTGCTGAGCGCCTTTATCAGCATCATGTTCTATCTACTGTATTTCTTAGGCTACAAACATCACACTTCAGGCTAGTTCATGACAGCCTGAAGTTCATGACAGCCAGAAGTTCATGACAGTTATGGTATTGTGATCAATAGAGTGCTTTCTCACAGACCTTCAACTTCCAATCAAACAATATTACTACTACATCTGCTGAGGTTCCTTCCGGGAAAGAGTCAAGTGCTATCACTGAAGGGTGCCTGGCATTGATGCAGAGTGGCACGGTGGCAGAGAGCCGGATAAAACTGCGGTGCGGGGACGTTCTCGTGGTGGACAGTGCCCGCGGTGCTATGCAGCTGGCCGCCCTGCGCAGGTTCTTGGCTGAGGGCTTCCAAGTACACCTACAGCACAACACCCTGCTACACCAGGTATTTGTTTTGCTGTACAGCAAGTCCTAAACGATGCATTCATTTTCTTAATATTACTGCTCTGCAGAAATGCTGTGTCTGATGCGGCACAGTGCAAGGGTGTACATAATCACTTTATGGGTGATTGCCAAACAGTCATCTGACACCCTGAGAACGGTTTGTGTCTGGGGATGTGCAGGTGTTTGACTTTGAACCACTGGTGGAGCAGGAGCGCTTGACGGCTGTGGAGCGCCGCCTGTTCAGGTCACCTGGCTCGGCTGCATCAAAGTGGCGCACGCAAGATAGGAACAGCGCACGCGCTGCCACTGCTGCCTACAAGGGAGCCATGATGGCGGGCAGTGAGGAATGAGCTTCATTTAGTCCTGTGTGTATATAGTGGCGGCAGGCAGCAATCAGCAGTTGGCATCTCGATAGCGCGTTTTCTCATGTGTGGATAGTTGCAGGGTTAGTGCATTTGTGCACAAGGGAACATTGTACATTAAGGAGATTGGAATGGGTGCAAATGCACACTAGTATCTCAGGTGTTTGTGTGCTGGCAATGCTGCCCTCAGATTCTTTGCCAGTCTAGTACACGTAAGGGATGTCAAAAGGCTTCTAGTGTTTTTTCTTGTCAGGTTTTGTAGATATATAGGGACACAGCACTGCAACTTGTTGAACACAGGATTTAACCGACTTAAAAATGGATCTTGGTCACTGGTATCCAAACATCAAGGTACCAACGCTTGAGAACAAACCATGCTTGCCAAGTGATCGTCACCAAAGAACATGAAACTCTATTGCGACTTACTCTCTGTCTCACATTCTTATTGATATCAGACTCACCGCAAAGCCTACACCGAGAACATGACAAGCAATTCTTGCCTTTCACAAGTCATCGGCGATCATCAGTACTGAAACTCTACATCTAGTAACTCCTTTTATTATTCACTAGGAGGACTCTGGCATCAGAAAACGTGGTTTTTTCTATGAAGATACCATGATCTGAAAATAAGACGTAATTTCGTGGTCAGATCACATGCCAATCATAGCATCCAGTACTTCCAAGTGGGTTAACTATGGTGAGATTGAAGGCCATGGCTTTGTAACTACGGTGTCATCGTGTTTACAGAATGCTCTAAAAAATGCTAAGATTGTGCAGTAGGTTAATTGCAGCCATTTAATTGACACAAGCCATGGTGTCCCATAATGATGTCCAATTCTGACCACACAAGCAAGGATTTCTCATGCACACTGTCTCAGGGGCTTTTTCTGGTGCATGCATAATAATTATTTTTAACCACAGTCTCTCCAACCCATGTCCAATGACCAAGCTAGTCTCTGCTTGGCCCGAGGCTTGCGCCAATGTCCATCTCTGCAGTCTCTGCCGTGCAACTCTACCCCGAACCCTCACGCCTTTTGTCCAGCTTTGATTTCACTGCTGTGGCTTTTCTGATGCGTGCAAGAAATTGGTGCGCCTTGTCTGAGGTCAGCCCCTTTACCATGTGTAAGTTGCCAAAGCATGCAATGAGACCACAGTACAAAGGCCGGTAGAGCAAATTCATGTTCTGAACCTGCCACTCCCATGTGTTCATTCGGAGCGTTTCAAACTAATTATTTTTTAGGGAGGTTGGGGTTTGCCATGTTTCAAAGGGCACCATGCCAAGGCAAACAAGGTGTGCAATGTCATGCACCCTCTAGCTAAGTTGTATGTATGCCCCTTGAGGGGATGTGAGGTGGTGGCAACAAGGGCTTGGGTCCCAATGGCTCATATCCCCATGTTTCACTTTCCCATGTTGGCAATTTTGTTGGCAACACTTGGCAACACTTGGCAACTCTTGGCAACACTCAGCCTAGGCATGCTGCAGCAAGTCGCTCTCATGACAAAGGCTCAAGGGACCCACAGGAGGGCATTCTGGAGCTTCCAGGGCCTTGACACACCCTGTGCACAACTTGCTCCCTCCTACCAATTGTTCCCACTGCACATGGCACACCATGGGTCAGCACAAGGCCCATGCTAGACATTGCTAGACATTGCAAGCCACTGCAACCCTTATTTAAATTCACACCCATCTCCAAAAATTCTGGGACACCCATGGCAACCCATAACATGGCCTTCTGCATGGGACTGTGATATATTTAGGGTTTAGGGTTTAGGGTTTAGGGCCCAGTGTAGGGTTTAGGTTTAGGGTTTAGGTTTAGGGTTTAGGGTTTAGGGTTTAGGGTTCAGGGTTCAGGGTTTAGGGTTTAGGGTTTAGGGTTTAGGGTTCAGGGTTTAGGGTTTTAGGGTTTAGGGTTTAGGGTTTAGGGTTTTAGGGTTTAGGGTTTAGGGTTTAGGGTTTAGGGTTTAGTGTTTAGGGTTTAGGGTTTAGGGTTTAGGGTTTAGGGTTTAGGGTTTAGGGTTTAGGGTTTAGGGTTTAGGGTTTAGGGTTTAGGGTTTAGGGTTTAGGGTTTAGGGTTTAGGGTTTAGGGTTTAGGGTTTAGGGTTTAGGGTTTAGGGTTTAGGGTTTAGGGTTTAGGGTTTAGGGTTTAGGGTTTAGGGTTTAGGGTTTAGGGTTT